ACCGTTGCCCCTCAAATTTTTATCCCCACCCTAAAAACAAACGTAGACGCCGAGCTCTCTGGGTGGCCGCTGGGAGGTCTGAAAGGCATCCAGAGTGACGCTTAAGCTCTTTTCACCTCCAGAAAGCGTCATTGTACACCTCCATGAATGGAAACTGCTGTTTGTCTAAGATTTTCCTTTAAGTATCTGCAGCTCACAGCCGTCACACTGCTGCTGCTGCTGCCCCGCTTTAAAAGACTGATTTTACAGAGATTACAGTCTTCTGAAGATTTTCATATTGAAGTCAAGTGATCTGGACGGTCCTGAATCCTGATGCATCCTTATAAAACAGCCTCTTCTCTTTATATTAGACGTGTCTGCTCTATTTCACCCCGTCAGCAGACTTCCTTTCTTTCTCCTCTGTGCGTCTGAAACCAGCCTCAGGCCTGATAAAGCTGAGAGTAAATATGAAGAGGACACTCATCGCTCTGTGGAGGTTTACTCAGAGCACACAGTCTGACAGCAGCAGCAGGAGAGAGGCTGAAACCGCAGAGGAAACTCAGGTCTGAGGGTGAACAAAGGCCTAGAGGGCTGCTGTACTCATCAGTCTGTGTCCTCAGGTCTCTGTCCTCAGCCTCATGTCTTACCCTCGGTTCAGAGAAAGCTCCAGGACTCTTAAAAATCTGGACTCTTCAGGATCCTGCTGTCGACTGGAAGAGGCAGATTTCTTTAAAAACAGACCTGAAGGTGTCATTGGCCTGTGTGGAAACACAAGCTTTGTATTCTTTCTGGGAAAACCAGGAAAAACTGAGGGAAGGAAATTTTAATTGATCTGAAAATTGATACTAGGACCTTTTTTAAAGATTTTTGGAAACTTTTGCATGATTTAGAGAAGCTTCTGCACCAGAGAAACTCTTGTAAGATTCTGAAAAGAAGGAAAAGAAACTTCTGCAAGATAATATACACTTTTAACTTTTGCAAGATTTTTAAGAACTTTTGTAAGCTCCAGAGTTACACTACCAAATGATGAGAAAAAAAGGGAAATTTTGGCCATTTTTGAGGAACTTTTGTAGTTTATCGATAAACCCTGGAAGAATGAGCGAAACACTTGCAAGATCCTTTGAAACCTTTGCAAGATCCAAGGAATCTTGTGCCGTTTTTAGAGAAACCTTTACAACAGCTAGATAAAGTCAAAGCCTAACTGTGGATTCCTCATGGGTTGAAACCTGCAAGATATGAAGAGAACTTTGCAAGATTTAAAGAAACTTTTGCAAGATGCAGACAAACTCTAGAGAGATTACAAAAAACCTGGCTCAAGTGTAAGAAAATTTTCCAAGAATCTTTTATTAAAAACTTCTTAGATGTGTAGTAACTCTTGCTATATTTGAAATATATACAGTATATACAATATACTGTTAAAGTTTTAAGGAACTTCTGCAAGATACTGGAAAATATTTACAACATTTACTGAAACTTCTTCAAGATTCTTTGAAACTCTTGCCACCTAACCTTCATAGAATCCAGAGAAATCTGAGCAAGATCCCTCATGCTTGAACAGGTCCAGGAACAATTTTATAAATTCTCTTAATCTTTTGCGAGATTTTGTGAGAACTTTTGAAGGTACTTCAACTTTGAAAGATCCAGGGAGACTTTTGCAAGATATGAAGACTTTTGCTAAATCCATAGCAACTCTTGAATGATCTTGAGAAAGTTTGCACTTTATAAGGTGCTAAAAACCTTTAAGACTCAGAGAGATTTTTGCGAAATCCAGAAAAAAAATTACCAGGATTTGAAGAAACCTGTGCAAGGTTTAGAGAAACTCAAGTAAATTCAGAAACTGGGATTTCAGAGACATTTATTTTCCCCGTCACGTCTCTTCAGTTCAACAGTCATGTCCATAAACTGCCAATCAGAGTTTGTTACTTTCATCATGGAGGTCGGCAGCCTTTTAAAGCTGTTATAGTGATTGGTAGAAGTTAGTTCCATCATCATCTCTCTTTGGTGAATTGATTTAACTACTTTTGTATTCAGCTGCAGTTTAAACCTGCTCTCATTGCACCAGATAAAAATGTACATTTATGAACTGGAGCCTATAGACAAACGATGTCTTCAATATTAACCTTCATCACTTGACCTCATCTCTGTGTAGCACTGCTTCCTCTCAGTTCTTAATGTGTAGAGTTGACATGGAGGTAATTTAATGTGACTTCTTGAATCTTCTGTAAATGTCAGTGAAAACAGACTCTTTAAAATCCTCTTTAATATCAGGTGGTTCTGAGATGTAAACAAACACATCTCTGTGCAGCTGCAGCATAAATTATACGTTAAAATACTCCTGATTTTACTTTATAGAGGGTGTGCACAGCACTGCAGGAATAATGGTGCATACGCAGCTTAAATAAGAACATCCCTCATATGTATGCGTGTGTGAGGATGTGTGGTAAACGCTCCTTGTCCAAACACTCCTCCGCTGGCTCAGCTCTGACCTCTAGTCTCTCTGCATGCAGCCTTCTCATTATCCTGCAGAGGAAAGGTCATTATTATTCATAACGGGCTGATTGCTTTCTAAAACAAACAGAGACACTGAGGAGAAGGAGGAAGAGGAGGAGGGTCTGAGGAGACGCCGCTCACCTTAGAGCAGCTCTTTGGTTCAGAGGAGGTGGACATCTGAAAGACCATATGTCCTGGTAGATTTTATATTTTTACAGATTATTTGTCCTTTTTCGTTTTTTATCATCCTATTGTTCATTGAAGTTTCATGACGGTCACACAGAGAGAAACAGTCAAACCAACAGGCCTGTAAAGAACCCTCGACAGAACAGGAGTCTGAACCGATGTTATTTTGGGTCAGTCCAAAATATCAGTCAAAACAGACAGAGTTGTTCATTTTCCCCAGAGGATAATCCTCCTGACTACAGTGACCCCCAATAACACCAACATTGGGTTGATGCAAAGTCTGGAGAGTGAACTGAGTTTCTCCAAATTGATGATATTTGAGTAAATTTCAGCTTTTAGGACTTTTTTGAGACTGTCGGCCTCATCAGCTTGGGATATAAACAGAATCTCTGCCCCTCAGTCTTTGAGCTACGGTCTTTTCACTCCTTAAGAACATGATATGATGACACACAGTCCCTCAAGTCCCAGTCAAGTCCAGAGAGCCTGGCACAAATCTCACTCCATACAAGCTAGTCCAAGTCGTCCATATCCTGAAAATGTAGAGAGAAGACTGCTGTTTGACTCAAATGTATTCACGCAGCTTGTTAGAAAACTTTTTACTGAGTTAGCCAAACTGAAACTGAACTTTAAAAACGCGTAAAAGTGTCAGCCGGGCCAAAACTGCACTTATAAAATTCTTGTAAAAATGTTAGCCAGACTAAATCTGGACTTAAAAAACGCTTGTAAACATGTAAGCTGGACTAAAACTGTACTTTAAAAACACTTGTAAAAATTTTAGCTGGACTGAGTTCTTGGTCATGTGTTTAGGAATTTTTTTCTCTCTCTCATGTGTACACCTCAGACTTAGCTCTGAGCGTGCTTCACAGTCCTGTGCCTACGAACTACCTTGTCATTATCTTATACACACAACTTAAAGTGTGCACAAGATAACATCGAAAAAAGGAAGTGTTTCCTTGCCACTTTCACTCATGTTAGATGAGATGGGTCAAATCTGTCCCATCCTAAGGTTGGGTCTTGATAATTCATCAAACAATGAACGTGGTCTAGACCTGCTCTTTTTCTTTGGAAAGTGTCTTGGGATGACGACTGTTGTGAATTGGTGCTATATAAATAAAATTTGATTGATTTGATTGATTGATTGATTGATTGATAAGATCCTAATTACACTAGAACTTTTTAACACAAGATACAAACTTGTTCCTATTGGATAATATCCTGTCCTCAAAGATGTTTTTCGTCCATCATTCAAACTTTTACATATGATGACCTATTTTAAAATAACGGTTATTTTGTGCTTTCCTTCGTGCAACAAGATTATACTTGAGCACACAGGATAATGACTCACAGGCACTGCTCAATGTCTTGTGTGCACAAGATATATTGTTGTCATGAGTTCTTCATGAGTTTATCAGTTTATTTCTTTATTATTTCCTGGAAGTAATAATCACCATATTAATCATTTTGCACTGCAGATGCAGTAGTTCTTCTGCCTAAGTGTCTCGGTCTGATTGCATTTCCATGAAGAAATGATCGTAAATGTTCTTTCTTGAGCTGCGTCACCCTGCAACAGTCTATAATGGACTGGCCTGAGGTCTCTCTACAAACAAACAGCAGCTGGAAGAGAGTGGGTGAGTTGTGTTTAGTCTCTTTGCTAAAGAAATTAGGCAAAGCTGAAAAATTGTTTGGTGGCTAGTGCTGTGGCTGGGACCCTATATGTACTGTTGACAAAGTTAGGTGCTGTTCTGAGCATTATTTGCGGCAATAAAGTGGCTTTTTGGTTGAGATTTGCGCGTGGCTCCTGGGACCATGTGTATTGCTATCGTGCGGTCATTACTAAAGTTGGTATAACTGGAGAAGCAAGTGGTCGGCAACATTCATCTCTCGAGGGGGTGTCTGGCTTGGTGTTACAGTGTGTTTGACCCTAAATTAATTTTACGCCGGAATATCCCTTTAACAAAAGATCTAGGATTTTAACTCATGCACACAAGTTAAGATCTTGTTAAAACAACATTTTTTAAATATGTGAATCAATTATCGGATATATTTAAAAATGAAACTATCAATATAATATAGAAATGCTGGTTTTGGGGGACTTTAGGGGCTCAGTTGCTTTGTTTTGTTTTTTAATATTATTATTTATTCTTTTATTAGAAGGAGAACATTTGTGCAGTTATAGAAAAAGAACTGAAACTTAAAGGTTTTTGTAAAAGATTTTATCATCCAGACAGAAAATAACAGATTATCAGGAGGAAAGGGGGAAAACACTCAGGCTACGATGAGGAAACACTTGACGAGTCTTTCTCACGTTAAAAAAAACGGTTCAGTGTAAAAAGTCCCGGTGTTATTCAGGAGGAGTTCATGATGGTCCTGCCGTACACTCCTCGGTAGTAGCTGGACTCGCTGTGACCGGGGTCCAGGCCGTTTCTGGCCGTCATGAGCGCCCCGGACACCGGACAGCCGTACGCTCCGTACTGACCCACCGGATCAGACATGAGGTTGTTGATGGAGAACGGGTGGCTGAAGGAGTACTGGGGGTGGGGGTGGGGGTGGTAGTGGTCCGGTTTCAGGTGGGCGGGTTCGTGCACAAACAGAGGGTGATGGTGGGAGAAGAGGTGCTGAGGGGAGGGCACGCGCGCGGGGCTGGGTGGGCATAGTTTAAAGTCGAGTCCACCTGGTTTGACTTCAGAGGAGGGAGGGGAGGAAGAGGAGGAGGAAGAGGAGGATGAGGAGGAGTGCGGGGAGTCTGAACCGGCGCTGCTGGAGGACAGCGAGCCGCCCTCCGAGCCCGCCTTCCCCGCCGCCTCCTGCGCCCCTGTCCCGGCCTTCTTCCCGAGTTTGAAGCGCTTCTGTCGGCGGAGGTAGCAGCCGTTCTCGAACATGTTCCCGGAGTCCGGGTGCAGGGTCCAGAAGGAGCCTTTGCCCGGTTTGTCCGGTAAACGGGGCACCTTGATAAAGCAGTCGTTGAAGGAGAGCGAGTGCCGGATGGAGTTCTGCCACCGCTGCTGGTTCTGCCGGTAAAACGGGAACAGGTCCATGATCCACTGGTAGATCTCGTTCAGGGTCAGCATCTTACTCCCGGACTGCTGGATTGCCATGGTGATCAAGGAGATGTAGGAGTACGGGGGTTTGGCGTGCGTGTAGCTCCTCCGGTATGGGGGTTTGGGCTCTCGGGATCCGTACACCGGGTTCAGCACCGGCACGCTCCCGTACGGCGGCGGGCTGAGGGGGCTCACCAAACCGGCCATACCGGATCCAGCCCCGGGGCTCTGTGACACCCCGGCGGGCACCGTGGAGTGGTTGACCCCGACCGGGTTCATGTAGTGCGCGTTCATGTGTCCAGCGCTAGTTAGGCCTGGCGCGTTCATGTAGCTGCTCATAGAGTTCATGGACAGACCGGAACCCAGGCTGTTCACAGACGGGTAACACTGAAACACAAGCGAGCACAGGTGAGCACAGGTAACAGGATCTTGAGTTGTATAAACGAAAAAATACAAATCTGACAAAATACAGACAATTAAATCATGAAATTGAGTTATGTTACTTCTAGTAAATCAAAAATTCATTCAGATTTACTGAGGTTTCAAAAATCGACCATTTCCATCACCGGATAATCGACTGATCGGAGTTTAATCGTTTGATCGAGAACATCTCTGAAAAGCGTGAAACCGATCAGTTTCGAAAATCACACTAAATTTCATCGAAGAAGAAATAACTGAAACTCAATGTTTTATTTTTTTATTGATCATTATCAACAGAGTAAAAACCCTCAGTGATGTCATCATAATCAGTCATCATCCATCAAATTCTCAGTTTTATTCTGCGATTAATCGACTCTCCTCCTTTCTGAAGTCACAGAAGAATAATTACTACATCAAACAGGTATTTTGGTGCCAGATCTTATAGTCGATTTTCCAGTTACCCTAAAACTGCATGTTTATGAATTAACCTTCTTCAGTTGTTTCAGTCTAATCTGTTCACTCTGATAATTGTGATCACAGTTACACACCAATGTCATTTATTTTTTGCTTTAATTTAAATTACATTTTTTAATCCACGTCCATCAAAATAAAATATAACAAAGCAACAGTCCGTTTCTTTATTATAACTCTGAAATTAATTATGTATTAGCCCTCATAAGGCTCCATGATGGCAGGACTGTGTGGTCTTTATGAAGGCCTAGATACCGTGAAACCAAAGAGGAAAAACACAAACTCTGTCAGACTCACTGTGAAGGGAAAAAAACCCCACATATTTCAAACCCTAAATTAGAAATAATTGGGGGGAAAAAAACATCCAATAATTATACAGCCAGTAAAATCATGTTTGATGTTGTTGGTATCATTTGAAGTAATCTGACATTTCCCACAGAAATCATCTTCATTAATGTATTCTTCATATCTATCCCTCATTGTAGCCTCATCATTATTAACAGTAGCCCAAATTTAATTCAAGAGTCATTTCACAACCATTTAAAATAAAGAGCGTTTCATTTGTCTCTGAGCGTTAGGTTACTTAGATTTGATAACCTCTATAATGAGAGGAGAAAATGAGATTTCCCTAAACTCAACGTGGACCTGAAAGACATTTAATCTAATTTAATTATATTTAATCTATTTTATTTAGCCCATTCTTCTATATTAAGGTGATGCAAACTGATCTTTTTAAATACAAAAGCAGCAGATTTTTTTCTTTTCACTATTGATAGAAATTTAAATAATATGTCTGAAAACGTAATTTCTGTTTTTTTAATCAAGTTTCACATTTCAATAGCCTATTTGTCTTAATTCACCGCTTTAAAACAAACAATTTAAGTTATTATAAGTCATTTAAAAAGCAAGTATTTAGTCTGCGGAAAGGCCTTTATTCTACATGTACGAGTTATGAACATATAAGCTTTTAAAAAGGATCCAGTAAACATCTCCAAAGAAAAAACAGGCCATATTTTGGTTTGAGATATTTTTCTGACAGATTATTTTTCAGCAGAATTCACCAAAAAAAGCTCCTACTTCATGAAAACATAATAGTAAGTGCAAAAAATGACATTTACATTTTTTAGATAATTGAAGATGATTGAGATAAATAATAAAAACAATAATAATAATAATAAAAGCCGAGGCCTTCATTTGAAATCCAAATCTCTTATGTAAGAAAACGTGGATTTAAATATGTTTATTTATCTATGTATTAAAATCAGATAAAATCAGAGTAATCTATGCTAATGAACGTGTTAGATCTTATCTGTAAATAAATCCATGTTTCCAGATCGATAATTAATCTTATTAAATTAAAATTCATCATCTATAGGGGCTGATATTCTCCCCGGCAACCAGCGAGGCTCAGCTCGGACTGAAGCCGAGAAAGAGTGCACCAACCTCGGTCTCTCCGTAGTAGTTGCCGCCGCTCCAATCCGCGTGCTCGTGTCCTTCCATTTTAACGGCGCTTAGCATCGTGCACGAGCCACCTTAAAACTCATCCGGACACCGTCACGCGAGGCTCGGAGTGAATAACCGGGTACCTGTCCTCAGGTGTCCGTCAGTGTCTCTCCGGTGTCTCTGCAGGCTGACTGAACCGAGGCTGACACCGTCCGGGACCGACTGAGCTCTGATAGACTCTGACAGACTCCGACACCTGCGCGCGAGCTGCTGCTGTTTGAGAAGCCAGCGACCAATCAGATGTCTCCATCCAGCCCTCCTTGAGCTCGATTTCCATATTCTATGAGGTGTCAGCGCGAGCAGAGTGAAAAAGACCTCCCAACATCCCAGCAGATATCCTACTGAGTGGAAGCCAAAGCTGTACGAGAAAATAAAAGCCTCTGTATTTCCTGTTTCTGTTCAGCATTGCGGAATAAGAAAGGCCCAATAAGAGCCACATAACACTCAGAACTACGGCTAATTAGCAGGCGGTGTCAAAGACTGTGATAACAGTGATTCATCTTCATTAGCAAAAGCCAGGAGGTGACAACCTGATCACTGAAACCATATCAGATCAATCTGTTGGAGATAAGAAGTCCAGCACATTTCACTTCTGCTGGTTTTATCGTGATTTCAGTCAGTGTGACAAAAATGTTAAAAACCACTTCTGGATGACCTGGACTGTTTTTATATATACCCTCCTAAGATCAATCAGATATATTTTAAAATCAGTAGTGAAAGGGATATTCCGGCGTAAAATTGATTAAGGGTCAAACACACCGTAACACAAAATTAGACACCCCCTTGAGGGATTAATGTTGCCGACTGCTTGCTTCTCTAGTTATAAGACTTTAGAAACGACCGTGCAATAGCAATACACAGCAGTCTGAGTAGCCATAAATAAACCTCAACCAAAAGGCCACTCTATAGCAACAAATAATGCTCAGAACAGCACCTAACTTCATCAACAGTACATACAGGGTCCTAGCCACAGCACATCAAACATTTTTTTTAGCTTTGCCTAATTTCTTTAGCAAAGAGACTAAACACAACTCACCTACTCTCTTCCAGAAGCTGCTTGTTTGTAGCGAGATTCATCATTTATTCATCATTTTTTCTACATGGAAATGCAATCAGACCAAGACGCTAAGGCAGAAGAACTACTGTGTCTACAGTGCAAAATGATTAATATCGGGATTATTACTTAAAGGAAATGATAAGGAAATGATCATAAATGTTCTTCCTTGAGCTGCGTCACCCTGCTGTACTCCGTAATGGACCGGCCTGAGGTCTCGCTACAAACAAGCAGCTGCTGGATTAGAGTAGGTGAGTTGTGTTTAGTCTCTTTGCTGAAGAAATCAGGCAGAGCTAAAAAGATGTTTGGTGGCGAGTACTATGGCTTGGACCCTATATGTACTGTTGATGAAGTTAGGTGCTGTTCTGAACATTATTTGTGGCTATAGAGTGGCGTTCTGGTTGAGCACATGGCTCTCCTTATTGCTATCGTGCGGTCTTTACTAAAGTTGGTATAACTAGAGAAGCAAGCGGTGGGCAACATTTATCTCTCGAGGGGGTGTCTAACTCTGTGTTACAGTGTGTTTGACCCTAAATTAATTTTACCCCAGAATATCCCTTTAATAGGTGATGTGTCATGAACAAAAGTTGTGCAGATACTCTGTCATCTCTCCCCTCCTTCCTCTCCTCTTTTTTCTCCTCCTCCTGCTCCTTCTTCTCCTCCTCCCTCCTCGTCATTTCCCCCACCTCTCTGTGTCTGCAGCAGGTTTTACTGTGTGTGCTCTGTTTTCAGTGTGTTTACCTGGTGATGAGACTGAAAGGGGGACAGGACAGACTGTACACAGAGCTGAGGAGCGGGAACAAGGGATGCTGCGGGACCTCCGTGCTCTCCGCACACAGTGAGTCGTCTCTGCAGGCCAGGACTTTAAACAAACTAAATATTTCTCTCCTTTTGTTCCCCTGCTCAGCTGAGAGCGACTGTCAGGCTGAAAAAGGGGGCTGACAGATCTGCCCTGAGAGAAAGTTCATGATTACAGAACACGATCATGAAAAATGATCAAATGACAACTTTTGTAGAACCTAAAAAATCTAGAGGTAGATTTTGTTTTCAGTTTTTTTGTTGTTGTGACTGCTGAGATTCATGGGCAATGTAGTTCTGAAACTGTATCAAACGGGATAAAGTATGTTTTCTAGAGCATGTTTTGCATGTTGATGGGGAAGTATTATCTTTTGAAAGCACTCTCATTATTTCCTCTCTCTTCATTCTGTAAACTGTGTCTCAGGTGGACAAACATAATCTAAGCAGCTGCAGCAGAGATTTCGCCAGGTCTAACCTGCAGCAGGTGTGCACTCCCCTGGGAGACATCTGAGTCTGCATGAAAGTAATGACATTTCTAAAATCATAAATCCAAACCAGTGATTTCTCTCTGGAAAAGCAAGAAGAGTTTTCTCAAGTGCATTTTCTTCTAGTTAATTTTACTCAACTAATTTGGCTGTGTGCAGTGTGATTGGTTAATTTTCTTGTTCTTCAAGCTTTAATAAACTTGCTCCTGCAGAGGGTTTTCAGCTTTTCAGATATTCATTTAATCAATACTGTATAAAGAAGCCTATGAAGTGTGGATTTTATTAGTCTGGACATATGTTTGGTTTAATGCTGCAAAACAATCAGGCCTTTAGCATTAACATTCATAATATCTTTAAAACTAATTAGTTTGTATCTAGTCTGTCCCTGGTGTCTGTAGACAGAAAAATTCAGACAACAATCTTTCTCAAACCAGGCTGTAAACATGTTCATTTCTTCTGTAAAGATGGACTTGGTGTGTATGTGACTTCGGAGGGTTTTGCAGCCAGCCTCAAGTGGACACCTGAGGAACTGCAGTTTTTAGATTAGAGATTGCTGCTTGTCAAAGTACGTGTGTGACCAAGAGACTGCAGACTCTGAGTCCCACAAGTTTATGAATAAGAAACACATGGACACTCTGTGACTCTGTGTCTCTTTATTTCAATCAGATCCAGGTCTCGTTGAAGTTTACAGTCCAGAGTCTATAAGGAGAGTCAAAGAGGAAACAAATGGACTATTCCTGTGTGTCCACGTGGCTCAGAGGATAACCAGACTGACTGGGACTCCTGAGATTGTGGATTCGAGCCTTCTCCAGGGCAAGGTGAATTTTAAAGTCCAGGGGCCAGAGTACCAAGATAAAAGCGTGCAGAGCTCCACTGCGCCACCAGATACCATCAGCACCTGGGGATGAAGTAATCAAATAAAACTCCTACCTTCACTGCCTGTACCTAACTTAACTACATTATACTCCAACTAAATAAACTACACACTTACACTCCCCCAAAAAAAGTATGAACAAAGAAAAACAATCCACAAAAGGAAAAACCCCACAGCACAAAATCTGTGCTGAGGATATCAAACTGGACTGCGGTGAGGGTTCAGAGAAGCTCTCAGGCTTCTTCACTGATCAAGTTATGTTTTTTTATAACCGTGATGTCTTTTGAAACAGTAAAAAAAATTAACAATAAATAAGTGAAAAGTTTTACTGAATATGTGCTTAAGATCTGTTTGCACTTATTTTTGCATCACTGTCAGAAAAGGTGATACAAGTGTCAAATATCTATGAATAAATGAATAATTAAACCTACAGCCGTGTTTGGTGTTATTATATTTGTGTCTATTACATCAATAAAACGTGGGACTTTTAACCCTAGTGTTTAATGTGGTTCTCTCACGATTTAGTAAAATAGTCTTAATATACATTGCACTTACAGAAAACACTACAAATAAAGGGAACTAAATGCCTAATTAGTGAACAAAAGAGAGCTTAAAATAAAAATGTCTTTAATGTTGAGTCACTGGACTTTGACAGAAATGCACATCCACATTAGATTAGAATTGTGACCTGTAAATCAAAATATTTCTTTAACTCACAGGTTTTTAGAAGTTGTTCTTGTCACTTCCTATTTTAGTGCATTTTATTTATTGTTGAGAATTTTGGCAATTAGGAGCTTCCGATGTAAATAAAAAATAAAAGTGAATAAAAACATTTATTTAGGTTAGAAAGAGTATAAGTCACTTTCTATTGCTACGACACAACTCTGGACATGGACTTAAAGCTTGTGAGTGGGTAATGAAATTATGGAGATGAAAAATTAGAAAACTGTTCAGATTCACTCCTTTTTTAATCGTTCTTACAGAACTGTAGGCTGACAGTAGATAAAGTCCACTAGATGCTTCAAGAACAACAGGCTACGATTTTATACTAAAGGTATGTTTCTGTCAGATACAAAGGTTTACTAATTTATTGAATTATTCTTATTAATAAAGACTCATAAAATGTGTTGGTATATGATTTTTTTATTGTAAATTAAGTGGAATAATATATTCATTATTTATAGCAGGGCAATTTGTGTGGAAATAGCACCCTCTGGTGGACAATTATATTTGATTGAGTTTTTTTTATTTTTATTTTTTAATATTTTTTCTTTTGAAGAAACCACCAGAGTTTACGTCTAGAATTAAAGATTTAAAGATGAAAATATCTTAATATTGTTAGCGTAATGTTACAGACTTTTGACTTTAAGACTACTTGTTTAATTTTGTCCATATTTATCTGATTTCAAAACAACATTATATAAAAATGCGGCTGCTTCAGCAATTCTGTTACTTTAAAGTCATGACAAAAAAAAAAAAAAAACTTACACTGATTTAATTAACAGAAGTCAATCATACGCCTGCCTGTGTGTTTCCATGCAGTGAATTAGATTAAAAAAACATTAATGTCAGCTGATTTGATTTTTGGGGAATAAATTAATTTAATCGTAACCCTGATATTTCGAGCTCTATGTTTTCTTTAAGTTGTGTCTAATCTACAACGCAATAATTAAATTTTCCAGTAATTAAAACACCGATGAACTTTAAAAACACAGATGATAACATCACCTGAGAGTATCTCTGTTTGATGATCCTCCTCTTGATCAACAAGTGTCGAAGTTGTCGGAAAGACTGCTTGGAGAGGAAGTGACGTATGTTTCACACACGCGCAGTACAAATTGGGTTTCCGGGTAGCGGCAGCAAGAGGTCGAAGATTTATGATGTTTTGGCATCTTTTCTAATTTTAGATCATTATTAGGTTAATAGTTTGTTTTTCCATCGGATATCTGAAGGTAAGTTTATCTAATGCGAAGTGGAGGTCAAGGAAGACGGAACAGATCTTGAATTATTCGCCTTCAGTCGATAAAATTGATTTAAACGCATATCTTGATATTTTAATACGAGTCAGTAGAATATTTGATTGTTATTGGTGGTCATTTGTAAGTCTTTTACATTCAAACAGATTTTTAAGTCTGACCAACCTGAATAATGTTAAAAAATGTTGCTAGGGTGTTTCGGTTTAAACGGTGACTGTGCTAACTGAGGACGTCGGTCGAACCTGTCCTTCCCTTATGTTTGTCACTGCAGGCAGATCGTAGCGCATTGTGACATTTTGACTAAAAAAATTCAGTAGCATTGGGAGGATCTTTTCCGTTTTTAATCACCTAGTAACCTGGGTAACCACTGAATGAGTTTGGCTGAAAATCACCAGCTCACAAGGTCACTTTAGGTCGGGGTCACAGCAGGTGTTGTGCCGTAGATTGCACCCCTGCTGTAGAATGCATCCCATCCACTCATTAGCTTCTTAAAGTGGAAGAAAATGATCTCATATTAAAAAACACACGAGTATTGGATCATGACAACATGTCAAATGGCGCAGCAAATTTTCGTTCTGTTTTTATGTGTCTCAAAAGTGCACATACATAGGTGTACTTGGGTATGTAGACAATACAGTTAGCTGTCAAGGTAGAGAACATTATGTTTTCGGGACAGCAAATAATCAGAGGGCGATTGTTTTCGGTTTATCTGAATAGCCTGAATGAAATCCTTAAAGACACACTCTTGAATCCACCCGACTGTAAGGAAAATTTGGATTATTTCGCCATTTTATGTATCTTCAACCGCGCTCCCGTCAGGGGGGCATTCTACGACAGGGGTGCATTCTACGACATAACACCAGAGCACCGGCTATCTACAAATGCCAGATGATCTCTCCAAAGATTTCAGAATTTAATCAAACAATGAGATGTTTTGATTTGGGCCTCAGCAGGCTCCTGTCAGCATGGTCATGTACAATACATGTCTGAAATTTCACTTCTCAGGTGTAAAATAAAAGAAGTGATATTGACATTTGCATTGTTGTCACTGATAGAACAAATAATTCATAAAATCCAAAGAGACTTGAACATCTCTAGATTAAGGTAGTCCAGATCTTCCCTCAAATCTGAAGCTGCTGAACTCAGAGTCCTGTGGTCCAATGACATTTAAGATGACTCAGTTAAGTCTTATTATTGGTCTTTATTGTTGGTACAGTTGTCTTAATTTGTGTGTTTCTGTCCCTCTATCCCTCCTCAGATGGCTCCTAAATCCTTGAATCCTCTGGCTCTAAAGCTGATGAGGGGAGTGATTGCTCTGGAGCTGGTGGGCGTCTTTGGGGTATACGGACTGTTTCACATGATGAACAACAGCAGAGGTGTGTTTTTAAAGCTGAATTAAAGATAGAAATGTGCTGCAAACACTTACGCATATGCTTTAACACATTATGCTTTATAATGTTAAAGTTGTGTTTAATCTTTCTTTTGCAGATTTTAGGGACAAAGTGAACAGGAGGTTTCCATCCGTACTGGAAGGTGAGCAGATCAACATCCTCATCCTCTGCTGTGGTTAGACAATTTAATAACAGTTAATCTGTCAGATCAAAAAGCAAACTTAAATGTTTGAATAAAGGACATGATATTTTCACCTGTAGCTTTAACAACACCTAACTGTAAGTCAAAGAAATCATTCAGACACAGGGAAACTCCAAAGGGAATCAGACTCTATCTGAAAACAGTAATATTTTATTTTTGATTGAACTGTACACTCATAAACGTCTGGTTTGTAAGAAATAGATGATGAAACTTGTGTTTTCTTGCTTATGTTTTCAGTGTTCTGGGTTACAAGTAGGATAAACCTTGATAATCTGATCACCTGAAGTCTTAAATTAAAAATCTGTGAGTCAAATTAACATCACATCTAACGTAAGCATTCGGCCACTTCCTGGTAAACATTAATGTTGAAAGTCACAGAGAAATTATAATGATTATTTCACAGATGAATACACTGGAGGCTCAAACACTCACGTGGGTGTCTGTTTTTACAGCCCGTTAGCTCTCCTCGTAATATGGTGTTACGGTTGAATCAGAGACCTTTTTAAATGGGGCCTTTCAGCTTGTTTCTATAACCACCATGTAATCATTGAGCTGGAGGTCATGAGTATCTGGGGTTGCTGTTTAAACCATAGCACCGGTGGTCTTCAGGATGAGAAATTTTTCTTGTAAACTTGATATTTCTTTCAAAATATAATAATAATAATAATTCATAATTATTGATTGCTCGATGAGGTGAAAACACACCGACATGAACCTAAACTCTTCCAAAACAGGAATCTTTAAAATAATTACCTTTAATTATTATTTTACCTTTAAGTATGACCCGGTCTCTCTCCTGACTGTCTCTTTCTTTAGATCTGTAAGATCACCGTAAATATTCAATATGTCGAGGTTTGTGACCCAGAACACTGTAATACTGCATGACAGGCTAGTTTCCCACTCTGGGCATGATGTAATAAAAAGATGGCCACCATAGGAAAATAATTAAATCTGATGATTAATGTGTGGTAAATATGTAACCATGACAACATAAACTGTTTACCAAAGTCTTTAATTTGACTGAAACAGTCATGGCTCCTGCTCAGATCACGTTTTCTCCTGTTAGATCCTGAACCCTCGCCTCTCTCCTTCCTTTCAGTTTATTACAAATCCAACGAGATGGCGGGAATCTACGGGGTCAGAGAGCAGGACCACGAATTCTGGGCGTCCAAACAGGACTGAAACTGTCACTTATTATAATCCACATCAACAAACACAGCAGCCGTTACTTCCTCCTCTTCTTGTTCCCTGTCATTTTGCCTCCCGCCCTCGCTTTGCCAAACGACTTCTTCTTGTTGAACATGGCCTTCTTCTTGCGCAGCGTCTTGGCGTCTCGGCCGTGGATCCAGTCGTCGCGCTGGGCCTCCCACTTCAGCTGCTTCAGCGCTGCAGGGACAAACAGGAAGTATTAGGAAAAAAGAGACAAGAGGAGGATCTTTAGACTAATGGTGGTTACGAATCTGATGGAAGGACAGTCTGAGATTTAACCCATGAGGTCTGTTTTTCTCTCTGTGGAGAAGTTCATAAACCAGCTGGTATCCAGTAAACTCAATAAAAACCTCACAGCTGATTCTTGGCTTGTTTTATCTTTTACTCTGGTGTCATGTTCAGACTAACCTGCACTTTCAAACCAAGAAACAATCATTTATGAGACATACAGTGAGCTCTAACAGGAGCAAACCCCACACAGGGGGACCTCAGCCCCTCTGACTCAGGTGTTCACAGGTGTGGCTCTTACCTGCTTTGTCTCTGTTGGCCATGGCGTTCATCCCGATGTTGTCAAACTTGGAGCCGGCGTTCTCATCCAGCAGAGAGCCAAACTGAAAAACAAGGAATCACATTTAAAAGAAAATAAAGAGAATGTCAAATAAACCTGTAAAACTACTGAAACTTTTAAACGAGTTAAATCACCTCATCAGCAGATGCAAACGTGACGGCCTCTTTCTTCCCTTTCTTCTTCTTCATCTGTTTGGAGCCTGGGAAACAAAATTTAAAACTTATAACAGATTCAGTTTTTTGTTTCTGCAGCAGCTGAAAAATGAAGTCAGACTAAAATATTCACTTCAAACACTTTAGATTTCTTTTTTTAAATAAAGAGAAGAAAGAAACTTGAGAGTGGAGGTTTTAAAATCACCTGCAGATCCAGAAAAGTCCAGCTCCTCTGGCGCTTTTCTTTTTCCTTTCTTTGCTGGAGGAGAAGTTTCTGGACTTTCCATCTCCTCATCTGAATCTGCAGAGAAATAAAGAGGTTTTATAATCAGACACCACTATCTCCATCACTTCAGGATCAGTGGTGAAGGTCATTTTAAAGATTTCTCCTTTTTTCCTTTAATAAAGTAATATTTTCTTTGGTTTGTGATTTCTCTTTGACCGTAGTAAAGCTGGTCTGGTGCTCTGATCAGCATGATGGTGTATTAACCCTTTCCTCTGCATGACTGTTGATTTAAACTTTAAATCTGTAGGACATTTTCTCATATTCAGAGTATTTTGATGTGTACGAGTAGACAGATCTAGGTACTCAGACTTTGACTTCCGTAAATCCTGTTTTAAAGCACATTTTATAATAGTTTGAAGTTTAAACAGATGTGTGCTCACCATCAAATGCAGCATCTTCATCTTCATCTTCAAGCTCAGGCTCTAGAAGACAAGTTTGAAAACATTAAGATATTTTATTTTGTTTGTGACTCAAAATCGTCAAACTGATTGAAAACTTCAAAAGGCTCATATTTCCATCACCATGTAAAAGCTCAGAGTTAACAACATGAAACTCGCAGAGACTCTAATTCTGCAGGACTTCAAATGATGGAAATACAAAAAACCTGAGAGTAGAACCAGAGTTATAAAATCCCTCTCTACCTCCGTCCTCTTCATCTTCATCGTCTCCGCCTCCGTCAGGATCCATGAACATCCCTCCCTCCTCCTCCAGCTCGTCTCCAAAGTCTTCCTCGTCCATACTGCCCAGAGACACCTCCTCATCGTCCAGGTTGTCCATGTCCGAGTCGTCCAAGTCTGAATCGGAGTCCTGCAGGTCCTTCTTTCCTTTTTTACTCTTCACATTTCTGATGGACATAAAGAGGAGAGAGAGAGTTCAGTCATTTAATTATAGCTAATACGCCTTTAAACAGCTGAACTTTGGTCTGAGTGCTAAGGGTTTATGATAATCTGAGGTTACAGATTATTATAACATGAACCTGCTCAAGTTTAACAGGAATAAAACTGCATGTCTGCTGTCAAACTTTATAACAGACACAGTCAAAGATGCAGCTGAGTCTGATTTGAGTCATTTGAAATCAGGAGCTCAATTTACACAAAATACAAAAATCACAGAGATTATATTCATGAATTTTGAAACAAAATAATCTGCTGTCCGTGCTTACCCAGCAAAGTCCAGATTAGTGTCTTCCATCTCAGTGAAATAAGAGTCTCCTTCACAGGAATCTGATCAACAACAAAAATGAAAAAAAAAATTGAAAAAAAATCACATTATTTCATTTGAGGAAAAAACAGACATTTCTGACAATATCAGCACAGACGTGAATAATAACGGAAAACTGGACTGAATATGAAGTTTAATTATTCATAACCTCAGACTTGTAGTTTGATTTCACAGACAGTGAAGTATTTTTTATTCAATGTCTGTTTTTTTCATTTTTGAAAGTTTAATTTTTTGTTATTTTTAAAGCTGGACCTCAGTCATGGGGTCAGCTTTTCTCAGAAACTGTCTGTTAACATCTTCACTGAGATGATTCCTGAAGACAGCAGGATGAACTCAAACAGGTTTGGGTCTCATTCATGTGAGCAGAAAGAAATTTACGGGCAAACCATCATTCATCAATGTTTTAAAATAAAATAAAGTTCCTTACAGGAGCTTTAAATAAACCAGGGTCAGATTTCTCACCCTCAAACAGAGTTTGAGTTAAAACTAAATGAAGTGCCTCTGGTTTTCCCTTCAACAAATAAGACTTTTTATATTTCTTTATTTAAAAACATAATCTTCATAATTAAATGAAGCGTTGGCTCATTTATTGTTCGTGTCTATTTTTAGTTGCTAATGAAACTCTGACCTCATACTCACCCAGGATTTTCTCAAACTCATCATCATCCACATCCTCCAGACTCTCATCATCACCGTCTCTTCGGGGCCGACGGACCTGCTTCTCCTCCTGACGCTTCTTAAAGAATCTGTCGAGGGGATAAAAATCAAAACATGATTGTCAGTCTGTCGTTTTTGTTTGATATGAAACAGAAATAAAAGAAAAACATCTGAATGTTCTCACCGATGGAAGAAGATTTCCTCCACAGGGATCTGATTCTCTTCCTTGGACAGAAACTCCTCACAGTTCACTAACAGACAGAGAGAAGAAGATCGATTCACTGACGCAGAAACTGTTTCTACTTGAGACTTCATCATGATGGAGGAAAATCTTCAAAGGCTGGAGAAAGTTCTGGACCTTACCTGGTAAAGACCGGCCGGGTAACCTCTGTTTGGGCTGCAACACTGCAGAATCTGTGTTTTCTATTCAAATCAAGAACAGTTTCACAGGATTAAAGTTCAGGTTGTTTTTACCACCATCTGAAAATGTAAATCACTGATTAAATCTGTTTTATTTTTAAAAGATACTCGACAAAAACAACAACCAAGAACGAAAAATTGAGTCTTTTTTTCCTCACGTTTTCCTTTGTGCTGTTTGGGGTTTCTGAAGACAAATCGATCCAAGAACCTGATGAGGGTGAAGTCCTGCAGAGGGTCCCCAGAGTACTGAATATAGTCTCCCTGTGGAGAGATTCAAAAACAGTTTAATAGATGAAACAAAAGGCACAATCATTCAGAAAACTATCAGAGGAAGGAGGAATGAAGAACTCAGAAAGATTTCAGGAACATTTGCCTGTAAAGATTCACACAAAGATCTGAATGAACGGATCTGATTCAAGTTTTACCTGCAGGACGGTTTTTGCAAACAGCGACACAGACGGGTGGAAGTGCTGAGAGAGCTGCAGATACAGAAAAAAAACAACCTCAGTGTTTAAAGGTGCTCAGAAAACAGTACAGAGTCATACAACAGAGAGTCCTGGACTAAGATGGTCTGAACTCCTGGCTGGAGAAGTGGTGAGGTTCTCTTTAAACTCATCTTCATCATCTGTTTCTTACTACAGTCAGCATAGATTTATTAGATTTTGAGACACTGTGGATGGAGGTGAGCTTGTTCCAGACTAAAAGGATTTCAGACGACAAAGATTTGAACCTTTTATCAAGTTTTAAAAGTAACTGATATAAATGTGCTCAAAGTCAGGTTTTAGGAACCAGATTGACCCCAGACTACGATGACACACTGGTTTCATCAGTAAGAACACATTCACATAGACAGACGCGTCTCTCACCCTGTGTAGTTCCCATAAAGTGGCGTGGTCGGCGCCGCAGAATAAGGGGTTTCTGTGCAGCGGGTCGTAGCTCTGTTTGGTCTTCCCTCCTAGAGGTGCGAGAAAAAAAGATTCAGCAAAATAGAAACAAACACTTTGAGTATGGGCTTGTCTATTAAAAATGTGAAGAAGTCAAAGAAACTACAATCATCCTGTTAAATGATGTACCTTCCTGTTTAGAGGGCGAGTAAACCATCATTAATAAATTGAATAAACCTCATTTTTTCTGCTCATCTGCAAACGAATCTGCATTTCCTCTTTATCTTTTCTGGGTCTGGTTAAATTCAGAGACTCTCTGATGTTTTTGTTTGAAATACTTTAAATTCAGTTTTTTTCTTTATACCTGAGACTGAGGAACCAACAGACACCTGAAGTTCAACCTGAACTTGAATCTCAGAGCTGATGGTGGTCTGAGCAGCTCACTGACCTTCCAGGTTCTGGTGATGTACCCATGATGCAACAGGTTTGGTCTCCTCTTTGACTGCACTCACTGCTCCTTCCTCCAGTTTATCAGCGTCCACAAAGTGTTCCTCTTCATCATCATCATCGTCGTCGTCTTTCTCTTCAGCCTGGTCTTTGAACTCCTCCTCATCCTCGTCCTGAACAAACAGAAGGAAAACTAAAACCAAAAATCCAACGAACTGAGGTTTTCAAAAAAATTCTGATTAGTGCAGAGAGGAAGAATGATTTCTGATACAAATAAAATACCATGAAGTTAAATTGTTACTTTGACAAAAACAGAATAAAAACGTTTTGAATAGGAAAATGATGAAATTATTAAAAAAGCTTTACAACTTTATGAACACAGAATCAAAGAAAAGATGTAAAGATGTGCTGTCTAACCCCGTTCTGCTGCATCAGCACTCTGAGGCCGGGTTTGGTCCTCATCACCTCAGATACGAGGAAGAGCGCCCCACAGGCGAAGCTGGCGTTCTGTTCTGCGCTGACCTGCAGCAAACGCTTCACAAAGGCTTTGACTCGCCGCAGCGCCACGTCGGCCTTCAGAGATTTATACACAAGATTCAGGAACATGCTCTGACGGGAGGACGATGAAAGACCGGGGTCCACCAATTTCCTACAAAGAAGAAGAAGAAGGAGAGTTAAAAACCCGTCACTGCTACAGTCCAGAAGAAACGAACGACTTTGAGTCCTTCTGCTCTGACTGATAAAGTAAAAACTCTTTTTAATGTTTTGGTCCAAAACTTTCTTCTTTACAGAAATTTAAAGATCCACATTTTCTCAAAGAATCTTATTCACGAAACTTCCTGAAATCTTGACCTGACGAGGATTAGAGAGTCGGAGACAGAAGAGAGAATAAAAACACAACCCTTACCTGTACAGGGCCGTGTAGTATCTGTCAGAGATGCTTTGTTGTGAGTCCATCACCTGGAAGAGCAGCATGAGCGCCTGCACAGCCGTGTTGAACTTCACCAGGTGAACCACCTTGAACAGCGTGTCCAACTGCTCCTTCACCTTCTCGTCTCCGGTGCCGGCGTAGGGATATGCCCGGTTCACGCCTGACAGCAGCACGCTCAGCATCTTGGACTCGATGTCCTTCTTCTTGACGCAGGCACGGAAGAAGGAGAAATAGATGGTGATGAGCTTGGCAGCGAGCTCGGTCTCGTCATGGCTCAGCATCACCTGGCTGAGGAAGCAGACGGCGTAGTACTGCGCCTTCGGGCTGATGTTTGGTCGGAACATGAGCCGCTCCACCTCGCAGCACACCACCGCCTTCATGTTTGGGTGTTTGTGCAGCAACGTCTCCAACAGATACGACGCTTTGGCCGCCGTCTTGTACTCGGGGTCTCCTAGTTTGTTGACCACCTGGATGAGCAGCGCCCGCTCCTGCTCTGGGCGGTTGCACAGCAGCTCATGGGCGGTGGCCAGCGCCTTCGCTTTGGTGGCTGCCACTGTGTCGTGAGCCACGCCGTCCAGAGCCTGCACAAACTCAGCGATGTGATGTTTCAGCTGGTGTTCGAAGTACCAGAGGACAAGGCGGCGGTCTCGGGTGTCCCTGTTCCCGCTGGCCTTCTCCTCCAGCTGGTCAAACGGGTGCTGGGCGAAGGGGCGGAGCTTCCTGTTTTCTGGCAGCAGGTCAGAAAGCAGCAGCTCCCGCAGAGTGTCCAGCGCCATCAGACCCATCCGCCTGCTGCCCTTCTTCTTCACCATGGCGACCAGGCTCTCCACGTGCTCCAGAGTGTGCACTGGGGCGTCCTGAATCAGAACCGTCATGGCCGCCATCCTGTCAGCCAACACGCCAGAGGAGACAACAGTCTTCATCCAGGAGGAGTTGGCTCCTTTCTGCAGGACCTTCTTGCTCTTGTAGAGCGCCACCTCCGACTCGTACAGCCGCTGAGCGAGCGTTTTGTACTGAGACACCAGCGTGGCGTCCTGTGTGTCTGCTGAGCCCTCAGTGGTGTATTCTTGGTCAAACCATTTCCCTCCAGGTTTGACCAGCAGCACCTGACGCTGATGGAACTCAAACACGTTCACGTTCTGCTTCGCCTTCTTCACATTTGTGCTCTGAGCGTCTTTCTTCTTCTTCTTCTGTCTCTCCTCCAACTTCTGGGTGTTTTTAACTTTCTGCTGGACACCAGATGTTTCTTCCTCTGCAGATTCTTTCTTGGTTTGCGATTTTTCACCCTCCTTCTCACCTGCCTCACCTTCACCCTCACCTTCAGGCTCATCTGGGATGACCTGCACTCCTGAAAAGGCGTTGAAGCCCAGTTTGGCAATGAATCTCTGCAGCTCGCCCTCCTCCAGGTCATCTATCGCTCCTTTCTTTCCTCCATCCACAAGCTCGTTGGTGTCGTCCAGACCGGCCAGCATGATGTAGTCAGCCTTCAATGGATGAAAGAAGAAAAAAAACATCAACAACACCCTTTTTTCAAAGCCTCAATGAGGAACTGAAAGGGATATTCCGGAGTAAAATTAATTTAGGGTCAAACACACTGTAACACCAAGTTTAGACACCCCCTCAAGAGCCCAATGTTGACGAGCGCTTGCTTCTCTAGTTATACCAACCTTAGTAACGACCACACGATAGCAATACACAGCAGTCTCAGGAACCATAAACAAACCTCAACCAAAAAGCCACTCTATAGCCACAAATAATGCTCAGAACAGCACCTAACTTCATCAACAGTACATATAGGGTCCCATAGGATCATAAATGTTCTTCCTTGAGCTGTGTCACCCCATTGTAGTCTGTAATGGACTGGCCTGAGGTCTCGCAACAAACAAACGGCTGCTAGAAGAAAGAGGGTGAGTTGTGTTTAGTCTTTTTGCCAAAAAAATCAGGCGAAGTTAAAAAGATGTTTGGTAGCTAGTACTATTGTTATGGCTCCTCAGACCACTGTGTATTGCTCTCCTGCAGTCGTTACCAAAGTTGGTATAACTAGAGAAGCAAGTGGTCGGCAACATTCATCTCTCGAGGGGGTGTCTAACTCGGTGTTTCGGTGTGTTTGACCCTAAATTAATTTTACTCCGGAATATCCCTTTAATCTGCTGATGAAATATGTTGACATTAAACTAGTGTTTTTTTTTGGAGACCCGAAAGAGTTAAAGAGACCATCAGCAACAACAAGGATTTCTGTAGTCCTTAGACATGTCCAAACCCTAGTCTACACCCTGGTGGGTCGAGCTGATGAGTTCCTACCTCCCTCTTTTATAAAGTTTTATATTTCTATGTTAGAGTTCTTATTACTAAGTTAAAATACAGCAGGATGGATTTGTTGTCAGTAAACATGATGTATGCATGAACAGCTGTTGAACAGAATGTTTTATTCCAAAATCAAAATCAATGCAAATCAGCAGCTTTAAGTCACACTCTCTTCAGGTTCATATTACAGGAGAGAGGAGATAAATATCAACATTGTATTGCTTTAACACCCTGAATTGTGTTTTTCAGTCAGCAGGTATCAAAAAAGGGTAATTCATTTAATTAATTTGGCTGAATCCAGTTTCCTTATACATCATAATGGCACCGTTAAAGGACTGGTCAGTTATAACAAAAATGCCGAATCGCGATATTATCGTTGTGATGTGCGATATATTGAGTGTCATGTGTTTACCACTGTGTTTATCTTTGTCAGTACAGTCAGTCGATAAGAAGCTGATGTCGTGAACCCAGATGTTTAAGTTTTGGTTCTGAGTCCATGTGAAATAGAAATAAACCAGGTGAGAGGACTCGAAGCTGTTTCTCTTACCTGAGTTCCTCCCAGCCGTAAAACCTCATCCAGGCTAAACTCTTCGTCTTTCTTCGCCCCTTTTTCATCGTTACTCGCAGCTGGCTCCTCGTCTTCCTCTCCTCCACTGTTTCCAGCCTCCATGTCGTTCTCTTCGGGCTGGAAACGCACCTTAAAACCCGCTCTGGGTTTCTTACGGAACTTGTTTCTTGGTGCCATGCTTGATGCAGCATGAGAGGAGACGTGACCCGGAAGTGAAGGGTAGCGTCACAGCAGAAGTTCCGTAACTGAAAGAAATGACAAAAAGTAAATATTTCAATATAAAAGCGAATTTGATACATAGTGAAAAGGGTTTTCTTGTTTTGTTTGAAAAATATTTTATAAATATTAAGCAACAAGAGGACAAATTTCAGAAGAACAAAGTATCATTTTTAAGGCATATATCAAGGTATTTCCGGTCAAATTAAAGGAAGTGACAAAAACAGTCTTTCTAAATAAGAGTCTAAATGAAATGATATTGAGCTTTTTTTCCCTTCTTAATCTTTGAACACAAACATTTCTAACTGTGTAATAGGATGAAAATGTCGTAATTTTAACAACCTACCTTCTTTTGGTTACAAGTTTACGTGTACAACATTAAAGTTATATTTTTGTACTGGAAAAGCTTAAGTTTTTAATAGAAATATTGACATACCTTCTTTTCCTCTACCTTTTCCCTTCTATTAATTTTTTTTCTGATTTTATTTTATAGTCATCGCCAAAATATGCACATTGATTCAGAGTAAATCAGTCATTCTTTGATAAATTCCATTTAATTTTTTCAGCGCTGTTTAAACTTAAACGAAATTGATTTATTCTGAAAGGGTATCAGGATATGGAATTTCTTTTAACCTTTAGTCAAGTTAGCGTTAGCATTGCGATCTTTTGGGCGAACTTTATGGTTTTAAAGTTCTTCAAACGACACAAAAACACAGAGACGAAGCGTCTACACTTTTGTTACCCAGGTCGGAAGCATAAAAGGTCAATTCAGGCGGCTGTTCCGCTTGTGTTCAACCACTGACGTCTCCGAATCTTAGGAAGCAGTTGCTAACAGGTGTTTCGGGATAAGAAGTGACCATGTAATCTGGCGACTTCTGTCTGCTCTCATCATTAAATATTCGTCGAAACGTGGAATAATTGTTCCTAATTCGTAACTTTTGTTGTCTTAGTCAAAAAAACACTAACTTCGTTTATTTTGTGTTAAAAAAAAAAGTCAATGGAAAGGCGTGATCTCACAAGTCCCCCCTAGCCATTAGAACTGCGATAACCACTGACGGATTTGGTTGAAGGTCTCCAAATAACACGGTCGCAGATTGAGCTGTAACGCCGGCCAACAACCGTCCTGTCCGAGAGCTGTCCATGCGGCTGAAGTATGGAGGATATTTGAATGATTTTACCCTATATTCAGTAATGTGAAAACTCTTTACTCCTTACACAACAATGTGAAGACTGTTGGAGTGTTCTGGGGGATTTAGAAGACATTTCAGCAGTATGAGGGCCTGTTTTGGAGCCAAAACTCAGCTGTTAATCAGCAGAGTCTTCTTTCATCCTGTTAGTACATCAGCAGCAGGTGAGCCCTGACTTGAGAGGTCAACTCCTTATTCTGAAACTATCTTTCATATATAAAATGCTCTCTGCATGTGATTGTTTATTATATATGTGTTTCTATGCCTTTAGAGTTATATATGATGCAAATGTGATCAGTACAGCCTTTACCATTATTCTGTGTGAAGCATTGAGTGACCTGTCTGTAAGAAAGGGGCTGAAAACATCCAAATTCAGAGGACAGGGGTTATAAATTAGAAGTATTATAAACATTAGTTGCTGTAAAGCCACCAGGGTAAATAAATAAATAAAAAATCTTCCCGGTTGATAAGATCCTGTGCTGGTCTGATCACCATACTGTTAATTTGTTTGTGTGTGACAGTGAGATGGAGGGCAGTTCAGTCCAGACTCTGCAGCAGCACACCACCAGGTGAGCAGAAGCCCCGCCCCTCTATGCTGAGACACCTGACCTCCAAAATAAAAGCCACAGGTCCCATTACAGTGGCAGAGTACATGAGGGAAGTGCTCACCAATCCCGTGACGGTGAGTTCTCATGAACCACCTTAAAATCTGCACTGTGAGACCTACAGAAGTCCCCTCATGGTTTAAATGATACCTCTGCTGCAGCTCACAGCTCTTCATTTCTGTAACAGGGTTATTATGTGAGGAACAACATGCTGGGACCTGATGGAGATTTCATCACATCACCAGAAATCAGTCAGATTTTTGGAGAGGTGAGACACAAAATTCACTCAAATAAAAAATAATTCACTCTGAGGTAGACACACAGTTATTTTGGAAAGAGAAAAAGAAAGAGACTTAGATCAAATCTGTTTTATCTAAACTCATCATCTACAGATGCTGCAATTACTGTAAAATCCAGATAATAATCCACACTGTTAGATAAGCACTCTGTCTTCTATTCAGTTAAAAATGTAGAAAATTGTAAAAACCAGGTCCTCCATTGATCCTTAAAGATCCTAAAAATATATCAGAATTTCACAAACAAAACAAGAATTTTGAGTTCAAGATATTTTATAAGTTTAATCAGTCATAATAAACCAAACTAACATTTCATTATCTTATGTTATGAGGGAAAATCATATCTGTAAATCTAATTATTACTGAAAATCTCTCTGAAATTTTTTTTTTTCTTCTGTAAACTGACCGGTTTGACATTTAAGTCTGAATAAATCTTTCTTTGGATAACTTTGACTGACTTTATCTGCAAGTTTGAGTGGGTCATGAAGTTACAGAAAGGAACAAATACAGTAAAATTAAAAGACATTAAGTCATATAAATAAAGGCTAAGACAGTTACACTAACACATAAACCTGAGAATACAGAAATGTTAAAAACTGAAGTGCATCAGTCAGAGAGTGTTCCAGTTTTTTAAGTTCTCATCCTCTCTGGTGTAAGAACAAACCTGAGGTTTTGTGTGTTTTCCAGCTGCTGGGTGTGTGGATCATCAGTGAGTGGATGGGAGCAGGTCATCCCAAACAGCTGCAGGTGGTGGAACTCGGACCTGGGAAAGGGTCTTTGGCGAGTGACGTCCTCAGGGTAGGAACTGTATTAACCTAAACCGAATGGGGGGCTCCTGAACTACATTTCTGTGTTACCGTGGAAACAATGGTACTGAGTTTTGCCTCCTCTCCAGATGAAGTCGTGATAACTTTGTTACTTCCTCTGCAGGTGTTCACTCAGTTGAAGTCCGTCCTTGGGGATGCCTCTGTGTCTCTCCACCTGGTGGAGGTGAGTCCGGCTCTGAGTCGTATTCAGGCCCAGAATCTGACTGGGGATCAGAACCAGGAGGCGGACATAGAAGATGAGCCAGTTTACCGCAGAGGAGAGACCGCCACTGGGTTGCCGGTGTCCTGGTACCTCCGCTTAGAAGACGTCCCTGCAGGTGAGCAAAACAGGCCCAGAATCAAGACTCTGTGATGTCTGATGATGTCTCTGGACTCCTGTAAGATTTTCAGGTTGGAGTTTGTGTTTCAAACTCAGATTATTAGCAGCAGTAGGAGTTCATGCTCCTGTCAATATCATTATGAAGCCACAAAGTGTAAAACTACTGAAGTGTTGAAGGTCCAGATCATTCATGTCATCTCTTTCTCTTTCTTGCTTCTTTTTCTTCTCTCAGGATTCAGCATTTTTCTTGCTCACGAGTTTTTTGACGCTCTGCCGATCCACAAATTTCAGGTAAAAGCTCCCATACCAAACTTTTACAAGTAATAGTAAGTGTTTTTTAAATACATGAGTTGATTTAAGTCTTTTAGAGATCAGTGTGTCTGAGTTCTTGCAACATATTCCTTTCCTAAGCCATGTCATTCTGTTGTTAACACCAGGTGGCGCCAGACTGGTGGAAAAAGTCTAGTGGCTCCCTTTGTAACTTTTGAGTAGATATGAATCTGACAAACACTGCAGGTGTATTTTTAACTTCAGTGTGACTGACTGAAAAGGATCATGGTTAAATATTTTTACTCTGACTTTGTGTAATTTTGTCTTGGCTTTAATTTCTGGCCTGATTTTGATGATTCCACAAAGTTTCTGTGGCAGTAATCTGCACGTTTGTGAGATTGGACAAGTTTATATGAAATTGTAACATTGTTGTGGATTATCCTGTTCCACTGTTTTCAAATCTGAGCCACAGTTGGAGAATAAATTTGATGTTTCTGGTGGTGAAAGACCAAAAGATGAAGAAAAACCTTCAGAGTTTGGACCACAGTTCTGGTTCATTGTGCACCTTCAGGTTTTTAGTGTGTGGTTTAAACCTGCTGCACCCTCATCTCACCTCAGGTGTTTAGTACACACCTGCATCCTTTCTGAGTTTGTGTCTGTTTGTGTTCAGAGGACACAGAAAGGATGGAGGGAGGTCCTGGTGGACATCGACCCAGAGAAACCGGAGCAGCTGAGGTTCGTTGCGGCAATGGCTCCGACTCTGGCCTCATCCACGCTTGTACAGGTAGATATTTGTATCTGTTTACTTTTAGATATCATGAAAGGGCATCAGTACAAGTTTCAGTCTAGTTCATACATTTAAATGTCATATGTAATTTGACAACCTTGCCTGACTGAAGGTGTTTTTTAAAAGAGACAAGCTTATAAGTCTTTGTAAACAATGAATAATGTAATGACCAGATAGAAACTCTCCCAGGAACTTTAAAGTAATAAAACGATGAATTAAAGCTCCTGTGAGGAATTTTCATCTAATCATGAAATGGACTAAATTTAACAACAAAGCTTTTTAATAACCATCATGTCATTTTTAACACCTGTAACTGCTGTGAGAAGGTCAGACCGTGTGATTGACAAAATGATAAAAAAAGAATGTTTATTTTTTATTGCAGATTTTAATGACAGTAAAAGAAACATTCAACAGTTAGAAAACAGCAGCGTTAACTTTTTTTAAAATCAGGAAACATGACTAGGACACCATCAGCCATGGGGTCAATCTGTGTAAAAATTCTGACTATGAGGGTCCTCAGAAATTCTTTTTTTTTGTTTCTGTGTGTGTGTGTGTGTCAGGCAGGTGAGAAGCGGACTCACGTGGAGGTGTGTGCAGAGGGCGGAGTCATTGTCCAGCAGCTGGCTCGGAGGATCGTAGAGGACGGAGGTGCGGCACTGATCGCCGATTACGGCCATGATGGAACTAAAACGGACACGTTCAGAGTGAGAAAACACATTTTTACACTCTGAGGCAAAACTGTTATGAGTTACAGCTGAAAAATTGACAGTTCAGATATTTAAAGAGCTGTGATCAAGGTCTTCACTGATTTAGTTTTGGAATATTTCAGTCCTGCCAGTGCAGAGACAAACAGGATGTAGTTTGTAGATTTTTATCCACAGATTTCAGAAAGTCAGCCAATAATTTTTAACCACTAAGGACATAAATATCCTTTAAAGCTAGAACACTTTTTCTATTTTATGATTGATTTCCACAATAATATTTCAGTATTTTTTAATGATTTATGTCTTATTTAAAGGTCAGAGTGTTCTGAACTTCTTATCATAGTTAACATGTTGTAATGATAAAAATAAAAATAGTGGACTTGATGGCTGTAAGTCAGTGTTGGCTGCATCAGACTCATGAACTTTGAAACATGACCTCTGATTATAACCCTGACTGTGGATGTCGGCTGTGTTTGTTTTTTATTCCTATTCTAAAAATGTGAAATATTTTTAATGTGATGTAAAGTTCTGCTCTGACTCTGCTGCTGTCTTGGTGAGGAAAACCTCTCAGCTCAGAGGTTTATTTGTAGAGTCGGTACATTTTGTTCAGTTAGATGTGAAGGAAACAGATGTAGGAAGCAGAAAAGACCATCTGCTGCAGAGCGAGAGGAAACCAGGGTCATCGCACTCTTCCTCACTGACTCCTACCCCTCCTCAGACCTCTTTATTTCCTCAATTTTTACATCAAAATCTATTTATTCAAATTATTCCAAATCACCTCTGAATATCAACCATAAAGGAAAGAAAACTTAACTTTATTCTTTCTACTAAATCTAAGTGCAATCCTGTAAATCTGCTACAATAAAACTTTGATCATCGATCTCTCAGACTGAGGTTTTCAATTTATACCTTTTCATGCTTTAAAATATTTTTACGTGAGTTTATACTGTATATATATATATTTGTATTTTGTTATCTGTCAGGGGTTCAAAGGTCACCAGCTGCATGATGTCCTGTCCTCCCCGGGCTCAGCCGACCTTACCGCGGATGTGGACTTCAGCTACCTGCGCAGGATGGCAGAAGAGGGCGTGGCCTGTCTGGGACCCATCAGTCAGAGGATGTTCCTGAAAAACATGGGCATCGACTCCAGGATGCAGGTGAGTGACAGAGTCAGAGCTCAGAGTATTTACAAGTAATATTATCGGAGTCAACAGAATTATTTCAAACTTATAACTCAGTGTTGACTCTGATTTTCTGACTCTGTTTATCCCGGTCTCAGAGTTTTTCCTCCTCTTCTTCATCTGCAGGTTCTCTTGAGAAACTGCAGCGACCCGCCTACCAGGCAGCAGCTGATCAGCAGCTACGACATGCTGACCAACCCCAACAAGATGGGTGAGCGCTTCCACTTCTTCAGCCTGCTGCACCCCAGCCGGCTTCAGAAACCCCAGAGACCTGAGGGGCTGAAGCTGGAGAAGAAGCAGACCCCGGTGCCGCTGCCTATTGCTGGGTTCACAGAGCTCAGCTTCACCTGAGAGTGACGGTGACGAGGTGATGAGGCGACAAGTTAGAAAGACATGGGAATCATCAGAGATTAAATCAGACCAGGAGGTTTCTGAAGCTCGTTACAGACTCAAACTCTCTGAGGACTATGTGGACAGGACGCTGATGTTCCTGCAACATGAATGTCCTCTGACTTACAGACGAGGACACGAGGACAGACTTCTTGATTAAAATAAGTTTAAAAAAAATGAAACATTTCTGTGTTTTCAAAACTTTGATAAACTCATGACACAAAGTTCCTTTTCAGTCATATAGGGTGACCATATTCTGAATCCCCAAAAAGAGGACAGGACTACGCGGGGGCAGAGTAAGGTGTAGTTAATTTTAAGAGTTTTTCGGGTCGGATCGACTGTCTTTTACGCCAGGGGTAGGGAACCATGTGCCATGGAGAGCCGAGAGGCTGCAGGTTTTCTTTCCAACCCAAGAGTCCACCAGGTGATTTCACTGATTACCTTACCTCCAAGCAGAGAGCAGGGACTAATCAGTGAAATCACCTGGTGGAGTTTTGGGTTGGAAAGAAAACCTGCAGCCTCTCGGCTCTCCGTGGCACATGGTTCCCTACCCCTGTTTTACGCGCTTCTAACTCTGGAAGTCCACGCCACACACTCGAAACTTCCATACAAAACTGCAGACATTTAAAGGATTTTATAAACCCTGGACAAAACCGGACAGCCCCCCAAAAAAGAGGACATGTGGTCACCCTAAATTTATAATAACTTAATGTTTATGAAGAGTCACTAAAGCTGCCAGAGAACAGTAACAATCCAGGAAATTACACAAAAAACTTAACAAACGAGTCAAAGTATTTTCTAAACCTCGAGTCTTAAAACTGTTTTTAAAAAATTCATCTAAAGCTCAGATACCTGATCCACACTGACAGCAGGTGAGGTCAAAGGTCATGCTGAAGAAGCAGGAGGATCTTTTTCCTTCTCATATTAAAGTTGTTCGCTGAGCACTCGAGCAGCCGTCTTCATGACATAAAAACCCTGAATAAATGAGAAGAAGTGCAGATTAAAAGAAACAGATCACTTTTGATCACTTTGACTCGGTTTCGTCCATCAGCTCCGTCCACACTCTTCAGAATAAAACAATGACTCGGATACAAAATGAGGTAAAACGTTCAGCTTTAATATTTTCACACCAAAGCGTCTCCAACATTAACAAACTTTCTTGTAAAAATATAAAACTTGTTGAGTAAAATCTCAGGCAGGAGTCGGATCAGAAAATTGTCTCAGAGGTTCAAACTCTTGTTTTTTTTTTCTCAGGCAGGTTCACACAGAAACACAAAGTCCACAGCAGCTCCTTCTCAGGTGCTCCTCTTAAGACGTTCCTCAGCAGCTTCACGTCTGCTCCTCAGACGGGTTCATTTCTAAAAGTCCTGAGCTCCAAACAGACAACAGCTGACAGAGTCCACTTTTGATCTGTTCAGTGGGACTTCTTCTGGTGTATCAAACATTTTCCCGCAGGTTCGAAATGACTTAAACTCTGCAGACAAACTTACGGTTAATTGAAACAGTTTCCCAGCAGTGCAAAGACGATGAACACAGTACAGACGGTGTGTATTTAAGACACGGTTGATAAAGTTCCAGTTAGCATCTCAGAGCATGAAAATATCCCACATATCTTTAAATCAGCTTCATCAGAGTAAAAAGTAAGAATGAGCGCATCTTTAAAAACTCAGTTTAAAGAGAAAAGTCTGTAAAGGTTCTGGATTGGACTAAGTCTGACGGGTCTGACCCCTCGGTGTGTTTGGCCCAGAGTGTTTTGGCAGTGAAGCAGGTAAAAGTTCAGACGTGTTCATACAAAGTTCTGACCTGATTAAAGCTGCAGAGTTTCAGTGTCCTCTCACACCCTGCTGCTGCCACAATAACATGTTCTCCCCCAGGTTCCCCCCAAAGAGTCCAGACCAGGTCCGTCCACCCATCAGAAACATTTACCCTCCACAGACACTAAGGGTCCTCCTCCATGTCGTCCAGGTTGGGGGACATGATGAAGTGTTTGGGGTAGTGCAGGCCCCTCTCGTCGGCGTACTCCTCCCAGCGAGCGTCGTCGCTCTCGTGGGTGATGTAGCGCTCACCTCGCCGCGTCTCGAACTCTCTGAGGTCCATCCAGGTCTGGTAGTCCTGAGACAAAGATTTAAAATTAACAATCTGAAAACACACTGGACAAGACATAATTCAAAACCGTGATCAGGTGACCTTCAGATCAAATTTTGAATTGTGAAGAAAAGAAAAAAATCTTGCATCAAGTTAAAAGAAAATTCCCTTAGAAATCTGAATCTTTGTTGCAAAATAATCTAGCGGTCTGTAGTCCAGATCAAGGATTATAATCCTGCAACACCTGAAACTGAAACAGACTCACTGTTCTCTCTGAATCTGGTCTCCTTCAGATGAGGCTGAACTTTCAAAACGTTCCCTCATAGAGATGCTGGATCTGAACTGTGGGCTGCTCTAAGTCATCCCTCCTTTATTTACTGAGGAGGATTTCCAAAAGGAGTGTCAGATTGTGATTGGTCAGACCATCAGAGAGTTTCCCAGCAGCTCTACTACAGGTATAACTCTGTGTTTAAATTTAGGGGCATTGTTTAGGACGGAGGACTGAGGTGTGAGAGGGATAAGAATAAGAATAAAGTCAAAATTTAAGATAATTGAGTAAAAAACGTACATTTACGAGAGAGAAGTTATGAGAACTAACGCTGCGTTCTAGTTACCTCGGAAGTCAGAAGTCCAACTGAAATGACGTCACACCCAAGTTACCAGTGTTTCAGTTACCAAGTCGGGAAAAAGGAAAATTTGAGGCGGAAACAAGATGGCTACAAAAGTTGTTTTAGCGCTTGTCATGTACTTGCATATATTTGGACAAGGCAAGCGCTAAAACAACTTTCGTAGCCATCTTGTTTCCGCCTCAAATTTTCCTTTTTCCCGACTTGGTAACTGAAACACTGGTAACTCAGGTAACCTCGGAATCTGACTTCCGAGGTAACTCGAACGCAGCATAAGTCAGGAAATTCAAACAAATTCTACAAACATTTACAGAGTTCAAATTTGGAAATGAAACTTTAAGTTTTCAAGAAAAACTGGAAAATTTGCAAAATAAAATTCATCAGAAAACAAAACGTCAAACCAAAATTCTGAAATTTACGACACAGTCTGACACTAATAAGATTTACCTGCAGCCAGGGGTGACTGAGCGATTTGTCCACACTGTAACGTTTCCTCATCTTCACCTGCAGCAGGTTGTTGATCAGGTCTGTGGCTGAGAAGGGAAAGAAGGAGTCAATCTGCTGTGGAGGGGATTTTTCCACCTTTAATGAAATAAAAACCTGTAAAACCAGAGACGCTTGTTTTATCCCCTTAGAGACTTTCATTCCTCTGACGCCAAATACAAGTCCAGACATTTTATCAGCTCACAGAAAACAGCTGAACTCGTCTGCAGTCAGCTTTTCTGACAGATTCAGGGGTCCTGAGTCTGTGCGTCTTTCCTGTGGTGGTTTCAAGTCTGAATAATGACCAAGAGCTGGTCACACGCAGATTTTCTGAACCTCTGCTTTAATTGACGGACGGGTGTTTCACTTAAGCGTACGACCATAATTCCCCCCACATTGACGTGATCCCTCCTTCACTTACCCTGCTCTGAGATCTCCTTCCACGGGTTTGGTGGGTACATGAAAGCGGCGTTCTGGATCTGATCGTTGATGTCCTCATCTTCGTTAAAGGGGAACGTCCCGCTCAGACTGACGTAGATGATGACGCCAACTGACCACATGTCCAGAGAGCGGTTGTAGCCTTTGCTGCGCAGAACCTCAGGCGCCAGGTATGCCGGCGTGCCGACCACCGAGCGTCTGAACGACTTCTCGCCAATAATTCGAGCGAAACCAAAGTCGCAGAGTTTGACCTGGTGGAGAAGAGAGGGGGGTGATGGTGCTGCAAAGATCTGAAGACCTACCTGAGCGTGACTGAGAGAAAAAGAGGTCTGACCTGAGGGAAAGGTTCAGCAGAGGCCAAGAGGACGTTCTCCGGCTTCAGGTCACAGTGGACGATGTTCTTAAAATGAAGATGTCTGAGGGCCACCAGGATCTGAAAGACAGACACAACCTGGTTCAGCCTTACCCTGATGAGCTGTGTTCACAGACGATGGATTTTGAAGTGATTCTGAGCCCATGATTCTGAGTCCTGTCTCTGAACCCTTCTGGATTTGAGGTTGGACACATTTTTGTTACTTTCTTGGTTTGGCCTTGAAAAAAATCACAAACTCTAGAGCTGCAAAGGTCCCCATAAAAAACATTGAAATCACTAAATTAAGTATTACTGTTGTAACTGCAGCAGTGTGAGGGTTCAAGCTTTTAATTGGATAATCAATAAAGACTTAATCATGAATACAAAAACAACAATAACAGAGTAAAAACATCACTGGTCAAGTTTAAGCCTTTTTATGTTCCAGACTATCCAAGTCGTCTCTGACCTGTGTGACCAGAAACTTGGTGAGGCGTTCAGGCAGTCGGCTCTTCTCGCTGGATAAAATCATCTCCAACATGTCTCCATGGAGCTTCTCCATGACCACAAACACCTGCTCAGGTGTCTCAAACATGCGCTCCAGGTTGACGATCCCCGGGTGGTGCAGGTTCTGCAGGGAAACAGGAGAGACGCATTAACTAAATACACCAGTTCATCCTGGATTAAACAGTGAGAAGCTGCTCGGCTCAGTGGGGGTCGTACCTGCAGGATGGCGACCTCGTTCCTCAGCTGACTCTCCTGTTTGGTGGGAAATCTCATTTTATCGATGATTTTTATCGCCACGTCTCTGCCGGACTTCCTGTGCTTACCTGCAAACCATGAAGGGGAGGGAGAGATTAGATTTACCTCCCTGCTGACTCACCTTTAAAGAAAATCTGTCAGTGACTTTAGTGAAGTGGAAGAGTAGAATAGAATAGAATAGAATAGAAAACTTCGAGATTAAAGTTGTTAATTTACGAGAATAAAGTCATTACTAACGAAAATAAAGTCATAATAAAATCATTACTTACAAGAATAAAATTGTAATAAAATCATAATACTTTTGATAATGTGGTGCTGATGTGCCGAAAAATTAAGTATCTCCTTGTTTGAGAAACCTTTATTGAAGGACATTTTCATGAAATGCTCCATGGCTCTCATTTCTACTACGGTCATCTTAAACAACAGGTTAGAATAGATAGACTTTACTCTGACTTTATTCTTGTAAGTCATTATGTTGTAACGACTTAATTCTCTTTAGTAATGATAATATTCTTGTGAGTAATAATTTTAGTACAACTTTATTCTCGTTAGTAATAACTTTTTTCTTGTAAGTAATAATTTTATTACGACTTTATAATTCTTCTCGCTGGACAAAATCATCTCCAACATGTCTCCATGGAGCTTCTCCATGACAACAAACACCTGTTCAGTCTCAAATAGCTTTATTCTCGTGCGTAATAATTTCACTACTTTATTCTCGTAAGTAATAATTTTATCACCACTTGATTTTCGTTAGTAATGATTTAATTATGACTTTATTCTTGTTAGTAATGACCTTATTATCATTAGTAATGATTTTATTACAACTTTATTCTCATTAGTTATGATTGTAAACTTGTCAGTAATGATTTTATTATGACTTTATCCTTGTTAGTAATGATTTTAATACAACTTAATTCACATAAGTAATGATTTTTATTCGACTTTATTCTCATAAGTAATTACTTTATTTCAACTTTATTCTCGTGAATTAACAACTTAAAGTCAACATTTTTTTTTAATGTGGCCCTAATACTCTGTCACTTATTTTCATTTCACTTTGCTTTGACAACATTTTTTATGCCTCAAACAGTAAAAAGTATTATCCATCACGTTTATCACATATTTTCATCCTGAAATTAAATAAGAGGACGTCTATGACAATATCAGGCATGAGGGATTTGTCCAGTGCAGTCTGTAATGCAGCAGGAAATCACGTGTTTTTGCACCAAACAGGAAAAACGTTTGCACGTTGAAGTTATTGCAGTTTATCAGAGAAGGTTGTTGCTCCATAAAGGTTATTCCTCCATGAGTGATATTATTGCATCATAATAAGTATTGCACATGTGTTATTTTGACAGGATGAGTAAAGACATTAAGAGTCATGCACTGAGGAGGTTACCACACACTGACACCAACATTTCTTGTAGAATATTTAGATGTTTTAGGGGAGAAGAGACCAGATCAGATTTTTGGTTTTCATTCAGGAAGTGAAGATTTGACTTTGATTCTAAGTGATTTTTTCCTGTCGGGTGTCTCACCTCCGTAGACGATCCCAAACTGTCCGGAGCCTAAGACCTCGTCTGCAAAGATCTGATACACTGAGCTGATATCCTGGAGAGCAGACAGGGGTCAGAGTTCAACAGTGGAAAAATCAACACATAAATACACATGAGGGTAAATGGCACCTCTCTACAACATTATAAAGAACATTTTTCACAGTGCATACATGTCGTGCCAGAGCTGCTGTTTCTGACCTTGACAGGGTCAACATGAGTCACACTAACTGGGCCGAGGGGGTAACATGCTTGGGTGAGATTTGAACAGCCTTGTTGTTGGATTTTTAGGTATTTTACAGTCTGTCACTGTTACTTAGCTGACTGTTTTTGCTGTTTCTTTCTAAACTGTCCCTGAAAATTCAATTCATGTGATTTTTTATCACACATGCGTCGTCAGTGGTGAAATCATGTGATGCATTTGTCATAATCTCGGAGAAATACTGTGACAGGCTCTGATGAAACAGAGGATCACTCACCACGTTCTCTTGGATCTGGGAGTTGGACACTGATATGCTGATGGAGAGTTCCTCTGAGGAGACACAGGGGCAAAGAAAGAGTGAGTCAATGTACGTGGAAGGCAAAGTTGCATAGAAACACCTGGGCATCATCTCAGATCAGGGTTTTTATTTTTTCCAGATTGATCATAATAAAAGCTTTAACTTCCTGTTGAATCTCTCTGATATGACAGAGCAAAGTGAGCTGTATGTTCAGTCAGGAATAAACCTCCACATCCGCTGAATTTCCACTGATGATGTGCTATTGATTTCAGATGGCTGGCTGGGGTGCAGTGGGGTCAACCCTCTGAGGTCGATCAGGATGGTCTGCGGGGGGCAAGCAGCCAACTGATATCCAGGTCAGCGGTGAGGTCATCATTATGAAACTTTATGAAACTTGAAACATTATGAAACATTATGAAACAGGAAGCCTTAACTGTGGGAGTCCGGATCAGCTGTGAATATGTGGACTGATGGGTCAGTATTGATCTGGATTTTACTTTTAGACTGATCGTCATTTTCTGTTTCCGCTGAGATCAAATAAACGCTGGACGGTTGGTCGTCAGCTGTAAGCCCCGCCCACTCATATGTGATGAATTCCCTGAATGTCCTTTGTGTTTTATGTCTTAATGATCAAACATGCAGTAAATTCAGCTTTCTCATGGTTAACCTGTTGGATTGTTTTGCTCAGATCCAAGTCAGGCCGCTCTGCTGGGTCCTGTTAGTTCTGGTGCCTCCTGATAAGAGTTCCTGCTTCAGCCTCTGATCAGACAGGAACCTTCCTGTGTGCAGTTCACATTGCCCCCAGGTTTTCTCTGGGTGCTTGAGCTCCTCCCCCACAGTCCAAAGACACGCCTGTGTGTGTGTGTGTGTGTGTGTGTTAGCCCTGTGATAGGCTGGCTGGTGTAGAGCCTCTCGTCCAAAGACAGCAGAGACAGACTCCAGACTACTGGATCTGGATTTGAGGCTCAGTGTGTTGATTGGGGGGTTGATTATGTTTATTTCCTCTTGTTAACAATCATGGAAGTGAGTCTGGTCCTCTAAAAAAATACTATTACATAAGCCGTCCATTAACTTATTGATCTGTTGCTGTCATTTCATGATAAAAACATCTATTTATGGAGAGGTGACGATAATTACTCACCAGCTGGGAACATCGCTGACTGACTCCTTCAAAATAAAGCTGACTAAAACAATAATAACTGTTTATGAATGAGATGAATTTATTCTTTAAGTGCTGCAGATTTCATTTGGAGATGAAACACAAAACTCAGAGAAAAAGACACTTTAACCTGAGATGAGTCAGAGCGGGAAATCCTCTGAAATCCCTTCAATCATGTTAAAATGTCAGCACGCAGCCAGTCTGTGTCAATCCTGTGAATCAGTATTTTGAAGCTCTCAGCAGTAAAAGCCCAAACCTATTTTAAAGCTTGAAGAGATCTGAGAGTCTGATCTGAAGAGACTCAGTCTTTTTCACGTCTTCACCTTCTCTCTCTCTTAGAGACAAACTCACAGGGCTGTTGGAGGTTAAATCATCACAGAGATCACAAAGAAGGATTTCCTACTTAACGGAAAACTGTGTCTCAGAAACTTCAGGAAGACACAGTTTCAAAAGTTTCTCTTATAAACTGGAGAACCGACTGACTGGAGTCCTGAATTGTGCATGAATATCTCCTTTTTCACCTTGATAATCTCATGTAACCTCAGGTTTAAGTGTTGCTGAGTCTGGTTTAAAACCTCACAAAGATGAGATTTGTAGGATTACTCACTGTGGTCTTTCCCCTGGCCGGGCCCGGTCCCAACGCTGGCCTTGGGTGTGACAGGCATCATGGCCTGCCTGATAGCCTTCTCCCAGCTTTGGCCCACATCTCGCCCCACGCCGGAGGCCGATAGAGCAGGATTGTGGTGCAGTCCGCCGTTGTCCTCACCGACGTAGTAGACCATGCTTGCTGTGATGACCTCGAAGCAGTGAGGGTTGCCGCCCTGGGAAAGGTTTCCAAAGTCCTGAGCCGGCTCCACCTGGAGGATCTCGGACAGGGGGATCTCCTGTTATAGTGAAAGAAACATAAAAATGAAACTACAGTTCACTTTAAGGGTCTGTTACTAACTGTTAAAGGTCAGCAGTGATCAGAAAATCTGCTTTTCTTTCCTCACACACCTGAACTTTCAGCTCTCAAACCAAACTCTATTCATCTTTTCTCTGAAGCTCAGCAACATTTCTCTTTTTTAAAGTCATTTTAGCCATAAAGAGAATCTAAAAGGTCTAAAAAAGGCTCAGTCCAGCTCCCTCCATCCTCACACCTCTGCTGTCAGCTGAACTGAGACGCTCTTTGAATTTCAGCGTTTCAAACTTCCTTTCCTTCCTTTTTCCTCCACCAGCCCAAACTCTGCCAGATCAAACATTCAATCCTGCTTCAAGCGCTTCAATGTCAGCCCAACGTTTTGTGTTTTGCCAAGTTCACCCTCCACCCTCTCCACCCCCTGACCACAAACCGATCAGCATCTCTTCATCCTGCTGCTCTGATTAAAAGGCAGGACGTTGCTCGGCCTATTTGAGCACGAGGCAGCGTGGACGCAGACCAGAGAGACAGTGGGAGGAAAACTCACATTCCAGAAAGCACCCCCCCACCACCACCCCCCAAACCCAGCCCCACCTTTCATTTCAAAGAAAGGTCTCTGCTGCGCTTCGTGGTGAAGGTCAGCGGGCCGCTGTCTGTTCGGAGATGAAAAGAGGAAAAAGCCTCTCATCATGAAAAAAGCTGCAGATAAGCTCACCCAGTGTCACCTCACCTCTGTCAGGTTCACCTCCTCTCTCTCTCAGTTCTATCTCGTCCCCCTGCCGTGTATTTTGTGTTAATGCATCTTGACTGTTTATATGTTTGCAAACCTGACCCCCCCCATCTGATCCAGCGGCTGAAACCAGATCCCTGCAGACCGGCAGATCTCCTACCTTGTAAAACTTGGCTCCGCTTTCATTCTGAAACAGAGTCAGACTCTTGCTGTCCAGCCTCCAGTAATGTCTCTTCCTCTGTGGACACAATAAACTCCATCAAACACAAAGTATCTCAGTTTAACACACACACACAGATATCATGATGTTAATTGTAAGACCAACAGAAATCTCAAACCGTCTTTATGTTAAAGGAAGTCGGTTAGTTTATGTGCTACTTATTTAAAGATTTATGAATTAATAATGATCACTATTAAGTGGCACAAAGCTGATAAAGGCCAGTCAGATTTTTCTGTTTGTGCTCCATTCAAACACTTGAACAAATAAAAAAGCTCCTTATCGAAGCTCAGTGGCCGAGTGCTGCTCTGACTCGATATTTTGCACACAAACACTCTGCACCTGCATGTCTGTGTCTCTTTTAGTCTCCTCACCAGGTTGTCTCTGCTGCTGTAGTGAACCATCCAGCCCTCTTTCACCACCGTGGAGCTTTTCCTCTTGGTGTGTTTGATGGACTGAACCACTCGCATCAGAGGGATGTTACTGCTGGTCGACGGGCTGGGGGTCAACAGGACATAATGAAAATACTTAAGACTACGACTTTAAATGTAAATTGTAAATTCTTAAAATATAAAATGGTGATTAAAACTATTATTCAGACTCTGGGCAGAGCAGGTGAACCATAACTCATTTTACCAATAGCTGAGCAGGTCATTATGGACTGCTGTGATGACTTCATATAAAACATGTGGATTATCTGTTAAATGTGAGAACTACTCTGCAGACCCGAGTCTCTGTTTACTCTGAAAAACAGACAAACTGCTCATTATTAACGAGCTGATTCTCATAATGAATCTTCTGTCTCCTCACGGTGCTGCACAATCGTAACTCCTGATGATGTTACTAACAGCATGTGGAGTCATAGTCAAGCAGTCAAAAACTGAGATGTGATCTTAAAACTGTTACTTGAGAAGAAAGTCCTCCTTGAATGACCATAAAAACTGAATACAAAATAAACCAGCTCAAGCCGTCACAGTTGAAACCCCATTTTAATAAATAAAGCTTCAGGAATTCCACTTCTGTTTTGAGGGAGACAAAATTTCTGCTGTCAGTAGATATCTAATCAAAACCTTTCAAATGAGCTTTTACTCTTCCGACAAACAAACAGGATATGTTCTGTTGGTTACAGGTCAGTCTGAAGGTCGCGGCCTCACCTGATGGCTCTGAGCGTCTCATCATCTTTCTCACTGTCCATGCAGGGACCCTCAATGAAGAACAGCTTGTCATCAGCGTTGGTCATCTCATCCTGCTCGTCCATACTGTGACCACCATCACTGTTGACGTCACAGTTGTCGACCTCCATCGTCACCTCAGAGTCCGGACTGGGACTGGTTGGTTCTGGAGGGCACAAAGAGTCGGACTATCAAGTCTCATGACAGAAAACGAACAAAACAATTTAACCCGAACAGCTAATTCAGCGGCAACATCACCATGTACCATGTAAGATGTTCTTTATGGGCCTGTTTGAAGAAAAACACGATGATACAAAGTGAAAACACAGAGAAGTCTCTACAGCTGCCCTTTTGTCGTATTTTTGTTTCCTCTTAAATTTAACTCTCTAGTCTGACATTACGAACATTAACATTATAGAGTAAAATGGTAGCAGCAGGATAAACTTACCCCCGTTAAAGTCCACCTCACCGAGGCAGTCTCGAGGAACTTTGGCCGCACATCTCTTATGGCAGTTAAATTTACAATCTGAAAGGAGACAAGATGAGGACACCTTAAAAGAGGCCTCTGTTTTAGCCACCTTGACATCACTCTTCTTCTCCACGCTCGTACCTTTGCACTGCATGCCCTGGCGGAAGAGGCCCTTCAGCAGACGTTTACAGAACTGGCAGATCGTTGGACGGGTGTAAGTGTGGACTGAGAAGGTGTGCGGGACTTTAACTCGACCCAAAACCATCTTCTCCATCCAGATGGGACGACCGCTCAGCAGGGAGTTACGCTTCCCTGCACCCAAGAGGGGGCGCTGCTTCCACCAGAAACAGGAGAGGAAGAGGAGAGAAGAAGACGGTGAGGAAGATTTGAAATGTGCGTTTAGAGTAACAGGAAAACCTATTCAAGATTTGAGTTCTTAGAGGCGAGATAAAAATTAGAACTTTTCTTCAGCGCATTTACACCCTATAACCGTTCTGAGGGTGAATTTGAAGACTTCTTTCTTTCAGTAAAGGCTGCATAGATTGATTATTTTAGGATTCAGTTCATTATTTTGGTGATTAGTTCAGTAGCAGCAAGAAAAGACACTTCTGTTTATTGTAAAAAGAAATGGGAGGAAATGAGGCCAGAAAGGGGTTTAAAAATGTGTCTCTCATACCGGCAATAAAAAGACTAATATTCAGCCCTATCATAGCAAGAGAATTAAGATAAATTTATCTTATTTTATTTATCTTAATTTATCTTACAAATGAAACAATCAGACGGCTCAAATGTTCAGAGCTGATGTTCAGGGTTGTTCTGTGAAACTGAGTGATCTAAACAGATGAGCAAGGTTCAGGGTTTATGAATTACTCTAGCGAAGATTTTTCAGCTGTGACTGTTTCATTATCCACCAGACAGTTCAGTGACAGTAAAACCAGACTGATGATTCAACTCCACCATGAATGAGCGACATAAACAGGAGAGAGCAGATCACTGACTTCCTTCCTTCTCCTCCTGAACATGTGAAAGTATCAGGACGGAGGAAAAACACGATTCTGGAGTCTTCTGGAAAAGTGTTCGACATATTAGAGGAGTGTAGTTATCTACAGTCACGTCAATGCTGAAACACTCACTCAGCCTTTACACTGCTCTGTGTGTGTGTATGTGTGTGAAAGAGAGAGAGAGAGAGAGAGAGAGAGAGAGAGAGAGAGAGAGAGAGAGAGAGAGAGAGAGAGAGAGAGTGTGTGTGTGTGTGTGTGTGATGGAATTGACAGAAGTGTGCTTGTTCCAGTTAGCATGAAGCTGACTGTGAATCACTTTGTTCAATGGCTTGTGAACTGGATGGAAAATCCAGTGGTTAGCCTGCAGCTATCAAAGAGAGAGAGAGTTATTGTGTGTGTGTGTGTGTGTGTGTGTAAATGGCTGCTGAAAATGGCTCGGTGGCTGCACAGCTCAGATCTGCTTTCATTCATGCTGCTCGGTGTCGGTCTGTCGAACTTCTTCTGATACTTTTTTCTCCATCACACTAACTTTATAAAGACGGTTGGTTAGATCAAGTTCACTCGTATTCTTTTGTAGTCATTAACTTTGTATCCTGATTGGTGATGGCGGGTCTATAATGCCAGAGAGGTGTAGAGTCAGCTCACTTGTAGGATCAGAATGTTGGGGTGATACCTCTCAGCTTGGGAGCGTTGGCCTTTTGAATACTCTCTCACATAAATGATGAAGTATCTGCCGTTTCAAAGCATGACGTTTTCAAAAGTGTGAAAGTCTCAGACAGCCCTCCTACCTGATAAAAACATGTCTGTCTCCTGGTCATCGATTAATCTGGTTTCTAAACTATTAAAGCTGCTCTGGAGTGCCTTGCTGAGCGGATTAGGGGAAAGAGGCAGGGTACATGCTGACACACATACAGAGTAGACCAAACAACCGCCCTCAATCACAATTACACCTTCAGGCACTTCAGAGTTTCCAGCTGGACCTGAACATGTGTGGACTGAGAGGAGACCGAGCTTAACTTTGCACGGTGATTCAGACCCAGATCTTTGTATTTAGATTTAGGGATGTGTCATGTCATGGTGCGAGGGTGCAGAAATCAGTGAGCAAGTCCTAAGCAGGAGGGAAAGTACCATCTTATCTGTAAACCACTGTTTGATTCCCTGACATAAAAGCCATCAGTGACTGTCTGTCACCCACCTCTTCCTGTGGTATCGGGGTGAACTCTGTGGAAGGGGGACGGGCGATGGACATGATAGTCCCCGGCAGGGACACATTGGAGAGGCGTCTCTTCCTGACCCCTGTGCAGTTGTTGGGGATCTTGAACGCACAGCGTTTGTGGTAGTTGAGTCCACATCCTGGAAAAAAGAAACTCATTTTCAGCCCTGATGGTACAAGGTTCTGTAAAAGTTCTGTGGACTACAGGCCTGGATTTCCAGAACCTAACGACATTCTTAAATTCACAGACAATTGAAAGTTTGGCTAAATCACTAAAGCAGATCCTGACACAGAAAGCACAGCATGAACAAGTCTACAGATATCTCCATATTTCCTGGTTAGGTGGGAGTTCATTGATTCAGACATTTATATACTTTTTCATGTTATTTTCTCAGTACTCTTCTGCTTGTGTCTTTGCAAATCCACCAGCTGCAGCCTTTCAGACCTGAGGTAAGATTTTTTAAACTGATAACAACGTGCAGTTTAAGGTGTGAAAAGGAGGTGCCTTTAGCGAGCTGTTATAAGACAGCATCTTTAGCTGCAGAGCCTTGATGTGAGACTACGTGAGCCTGACGTCCTGAAATAGTCACCGTGCTGTGTTTAACTCTGAACAAACTTGACCTTCTCGCTGCACCGTCCTCAGAATAAACTTTTACTCTCTGAAGAAGATCTAAAAATAGTTTTCTGTGAATTTAGTTTTCTGGTGTTTAACAGCATCACTGCCTCTTTGGTCTGTAGTTTGTATTTTATAACATTTACACAGAGCATTATGCAGCAGAGTGAAGTGGAGGCTGCGGGTACACTGTTTAAAAAATTAGGATTTGTTGAACAAGCTGCATTTTTTGACTGTTTGTAATTCAGTCTTTATTTTGTAGAATTAATCTGCAGAAACTTCAAGAGTTAAACCATGAATGTATGATGTGTAACGTGGTATAACTGTGGTATTCAAATGACCTTCACCTCCACTATCTGATCTGATCTAAGTCCACAGCTCAGAGAAATCTGCTGCTCTCTGATTTGAATGGAGTCTGTTAATCTAGATGAGATTTCTGCAGGTGTGAACCAGAGCAGCATGGAGTCACCTTTACATGGCATGACCTTAAATAACCCCAAAGGGTAAAACCACATCCTCACCTTCACATTTGAGGCCCTGCCTGACGAGCCCCCACAGCATCTCCCCGCAGTCATCGCAGAACGCCGGCGCCTTGTAGGAGTGGACGTACAGCGCGTGAGGGCGGATCTGGAAGTCCTCTGCTGTGGCCAGAGCTGACATGAAACAAGACACAGAGGGTCAGCCTGGAGGATCTCCTGACCTGGATATGCTTTAGACAGATGCACAGACACTCTGAAGGGTTTTAACTTCCCCATCTGTGAGGAGATAAGAGCGACATCACTGCTGATCTGAGTCAACTCTGTCATGTCAGCGCTCAATCAGATTGAGAGCATGTAGAAAAACACATCAGAGGGGAACAGAGTTTTTAACATGAGTGAGCCAACATCACTACGACTACAGCCGAGCCAGAGCCAGGTTAAAGAGGATGTAGGAGCCAAAATATATTTGTTGAGGGTATGATTTTTCTGATAGGTATGTCACTTCCAGGGATCGATACTGAGGGGTGTGCTTTTGGGATGTTTCGCAGGTTATTTAAACAGACTGGTGTAGTCAGAGACAATGGGTTCTGACTGTTTTTCACTCATCCCTCTACCTTCATTTTATCATATCAGCTTTCATTCGAAGGCAAAAGTTTGGACCTGGATCAGTATTAGACTAAGTTTTCTTCCTTTTTTGAACAATAAATTACCTTTAACACTCTGGCGGACTGAATGAATGAACGAGTTACAGATGCAAGCGCACCTAAACCCAAGCGGCCTTTTGTTGTGGGAAAGCAGTCACTACAGAGGACAAACAAGACAACAGAGTCTGACTCTGATCCTGTTATACAGTGAGTCCAAGAAGTATTTGATCCCTTGCTGATTTTCTTCGTTTGCCCACTAATAAAGATGTAATCATTCTGCACGTTTAATGGTAGATGTATTCTAACATGGAGAGACAGAATATCAAGACAAAAATCCAGAATATAACTTTAAAGAATATATTTTAATTAATTTGTATTTCATTGAGGGAAATAAGTATTTGATCCCTCTAGCCAAACACACTCAATACTTAGTGGCAAAGCCTTTGTTAGCAAGCACAGCAGTGAGACGTTTGTTGTAGTTAACCACAAGTTTAGCACACACACCAGGGGGAATTTTGTCGCTTGGCAACTCTGACCTTCAGCTCCCTCCATAGATTCTCAATCGGATTGAGGTCCGGAGACTGGCTGGGCCACTCCATGACCTTCATGTGATTTTTCTTGAGCCAATCCTTTGTTGCCTTTGCTGTGTGTTTCGGGTCGTTATCATGTTGGAAGACCCAACCACGGCCCATTTTCAGCTTCCTGGCAGAGGGGAGGAGGTTGTCCCTCAGGATTGTACGGTACATGGCTCCATCCATCTTCCCAGTGATGCGGTGAAGTAGCCCTGTACCCTTGGCAGAGAAACACCCCCAAAACATTATGCTTCCACCTCCATGCTTGACGGTGGGCACAGTGTTCTTGGGGTCATAGGCAGCATTTTTCTTCCTCCACACATGGTGGGTAGAGTTGAGGCCAAAAAGTTCAATTTTCGTCTCGTCTGACCACAGAACCTTCTCCCAATAACTTGGTTCATCTTTCAGGTGATCATTGGCATACTTAAGGCGCGCCTCCACATGTGCCTTCTTGAGCAGGGGTACCTTTCGGGCACTGCAGGATGTTAATCCATTGTTGCGCAAAGTGTTGCCAATTGTTTCCTTGCAAACTGTGGTCCCAGCTGCCTTCAGGTCATTTACCAACTCCTGACGAGTGGTTGCAGGATGATTTCTGACCGTTCTCAGGAGCATTGTCACCCCACGAGGTGAAATCTTCTTTGGAGCACCGGGCCGAGGTCTGTTGATGGTCATGTTATACTCTTTAAATTTTCTAACAGTTGCACCAATAGTTGTTACTTTCACATCCAACACCTTGCTAATCTTTTTGTAGCCCATTCCAGCTTTGTGGAGGTCAACAATCCTGACTCTGAGGTCCTGAGACAGCTCTTTGGTCTTACCCATGTTGGAGACTTGAAATCTGTCAGATTGTCTGATTCTGTGAACAGGTGTTTTTCACACAAGTGATTAGTGAGAACAGGTGGCTTCAGTTCAGGTAACAAGCTGATTGGGAGTGTCTAACTGGTCTGTGAAAGGCAGAACTCCTAATGCATACTGAGGGATCAAATACTTATTTCCCTCAATGAAATACAAATCAATTAATATATATTCCTTAGATTTTTTTCAGGATTTTCTTTTTGATATTCTGTCTCTCCATGTTAGAATGCATCTACCATTAAATGTGCAGAATGATCACATCTTTATTAGTGGGCAAACGAAGAAAATCAGCAAGGGATCAAATACTTCTTGGACTCACTGTAGGTCTCTGGGCAGCACAGGTTACCTGACCTTTCAACCCTCCTGTTAACAGGGCCACTCTAAAACCCTAAAACTGGGTCTATCCTGTTAGAGCATGTTCCAGGGACGTGATTGTCAAAAACTACAAGTTTTATGAATAAGTAAAAAATATCTTTATTAAGCTCTGTCTGTTAGGTTAATGCTAATTGAACACAGAGTTAGGAAACACAAATTATTAATAATAAATCATTCTTCATACAGGGAAATAAATGAAGACTTGATTGCAAAAGCATTTTTTCAACATAGTTCTGGGCGATATGGGAAAAAGTGTATCAAAATATTTGTTTTTTTTATATTAGTCGATATATATATCATAATATAAAGAATGAAATTTAAAGAGTACTTATTGATAGCATGTCTTTTGCTATATAATAAGATACTGCATCTGTGAGTCTTTGTGTCTCTTCAACATTTTGTCGTAAGGCGTTGCACTAGAAAAAGCAGACAGACTGGTCGGCTGTTTTGGTTGCACGGGCGCCATGGGCTCCTTGCTTTGCTTGGGGTTTGTAACCTTTTGCATTGTGCGTGCTCTGCCGCGTGGCACTACTTCAGGTGGCTAAAAAGATTTGAGGTATTCCCCGACTTTGCGAGAACATGTACTCGACATGATTTGCAGTGCACAATACTCTGCTTCATGTCTGACCTAAAAAAAACCACAACAAAAAAAAAACCCTCCACACCACCGACGTTTTCGTGCTAGTGTTGTTGACGATGTCATCATCTGTTGAGCCTTCATCTGCATTTCCGTCGGGGGTACCACTAATTTTCTTTTTTTCCTCACCGACAGTGCTGTCAGCTTCACGTGTTAAAGTTCTATGGTTCCATGTAGCTGCAGCCAGCGACTACGCAGTTTGCTACTTGGTTCTAATTCGGCACGATTGGTTCAGCGAGAAACCCGAACAGCTTCCCTTTTTATTGGCTATTCGTATAGTCTACCAAAACATGGCAGAATACCGACTATTGAAAATCATACTGACCATGTTTTATACTGATATTGAGGGAAATTAATGTTCGATTTATATCGTTATTGTTTTATCTCCCAGCCCTATTTCAGCATTAGTAAATTTGTGGTTCATTGTGCAGTCTGAGCCTGGAGCTCCATGGAGTCTTGAATCGTCACAGTTCGACAGCTGTACTCGTGCAGTCTGAGGTGTTCAAGAGGTGAAAGAACTCATGCATCTGTTTATTTTCTCAGGCTGGTTTTGCCCCTGTGCTTGTCTTCTTATGGGTCAGGCATGTTAAATGCTCTTCAAACAGAAGCAGAGACTTTAAGGAGAAATGAAGCGGCTCAGCTCTGCAGGTTTTCTGCAGCAGCAGCATGAAGACGAGGAGAAGCGGCAGGAGGAGGAAGTGGTGGTGGGTTAGAGTCGGTACAGTTCAGGTGGTGTCTTTTGTTTCCTCCTTCCTCTGCTGTCATTTGAACCTGCAGCTCTGCAGCGTCGGGTGTTCAGCTGTTCAGGTGTCAGTTTGAGTTTCTACAACCAAACCTGTCAACACCGTACAGGAAATGACAATCCTGTACACAGAATCATGGTTAGAGTGTGCAGGGTGATCCGAGCGACTCTGCGGTGGAGGAAACTAGATCTGAGGCGACCTCACCCCTTTCTCCCCCCCGTTCTCACCCACAGAAGGAATAACACCAGAGAGGGCGCAGGAAGCTGAGACAATCTAGCAGCCAAAGTTAATTCATGCTGCGCTTCAAAACATAAAGAGGTTTCCTGTGAGTGGGTTTAAAAACACTTGGGTGTTTGCAGGAAAAACAGAGCAAAAGCAGGCGGGACACGAGCAGAGGCCACATCTATGATAAGGCGAATAACCAATCAAAGTTCAGTCAAATTTCAAGGGGGGGCTGAGGTACCCTAAATCCCTGAATCTGCCCCTGAGATCCTCATCCGTCCTCATCATGTCTTTGCGGACTCCAGGACTCTTCTTACGTCAGCCCTGAAAACTCTGTCTGAGCAAGTGTCTCTGTCTCAGCGTCCCTGTCTCTCTTGTTCAAAGCAACCAGGAGCTGCAGTCACAGTCATGATATAAACACATATTTCTTATTGATCGGCAATTGGAAATTTCAGTGGCCTCCATTTGTCTCCTCAAGAGTTAGAAAAGTGTGCTTCAGCCCCTAAATCCAGTCTTTAAGTCTCAGCCGGAGACTTGCAGCAGGTTCCCAGAGACGCTGATAAGAACAGCGTGCAGCGTTTTAAAGGTATTACATCATCAGCATCATCCCTCTGTCTCGCTAACATGAATCATAATCCAACCAAAGTGCTGGAGCTCAGATCCCGGATCTGAGGGTCAGCAGCTGGAGGCTAACTACAAACATTAATCTCAGAGCTGACTAGTTACCACATGAAGAATCAGAGGGTCTTACCAGAGAGCACCACCTCCACCAGGTCTCCTTCATGGATCTCGTCTGCCGAGGTCAGACGCTGAAGGATGTTGTCCGAGTTCAGGTCGTGACGGAAGAGCAGGATCTTATCGTACATCCCGAAAAACCCACATTCAGGGAACTGAGGAAGAAGAGGAGGAGGAGATGGTCAGGGATTCATGTAGACAAAAGTCTGGACCGCTGTGACACTGAAGGTCCTCAGTTAGACCAGCTGAGAGGTGTTTATGTGTTCATTTACTTCACTGACTAAAACCCAGAGAATAACTGATCATCATATCAGGTAAAACTTGTCATTAATCAATATCACAGTCTGGATCAATCGTCCATATTCATATCCTCCCAACACTAGACCATCTCTCAGGTATGACAGTCTGACTCCACTCCCCCTGGCCTGAGTCAAATCTCCATAATACTGTGATGAATGGCTGCCAAAAATAAAGAGTCAAAGTTAAGATGGATAAAGCTTAAAGTTTCTGAGAGCCTGAGAGGACGGATAAACTTCTGAATTTTTCCCCGGGGACAGCGTCATATCTACAGAAAAAGTGACATCATTGTGAGGGTCCAGAACAAGATGGTTTCATATCCTGAGATTGAGTGAAATCAGAGAAAGAAATGTTTATTTGTTTGATATAAAACTGTGTCTTTATACACAAAAATACACATTTGTATGAAAACCTGTAACTGAAAATACAAATGTTGGTTTTGGGACCTTTCAAACTCAAATCCTGAGACGTAAACTGTATGAACTAAGGAGTCACTCTACTGTGTTATAATAATATCAGTAACATCATTCATATGGATCTAAAGTCTATTATCACAGTCAACACAATGGCCTGCATCAGTTTTGATGTGGTACACACAATAAACATCATAACACTCATGATCTGCCCAAAGAAAGAAACCAGATCCTGGACTAGACCACTTTATCAAGACTTAAACCAGAGCCAACAAGTGTGCCAACATCATTTGATCTACATCTGCAGGTTTTTATGGCTTCACATAGTCTTGCCCCACCTGACTGTGAAAAACTGTTCTCCACTTCTGAACCCGTCTGAGACCCTCTCGTAGAGTTTTTCAAGCTGTTCCAAAGGCTAAACTGAAAACCAAAGGGGGCTGAACTTTTCCTGAGTCTGGGCTCAGACTGCCAGAGTCAGTCATTGCTCTGATTTCACAACTTTAGGATTATTTTTACTAAGAAGCTTAGACTCTGTGATTTTATTAATCTGTTTTTCAGATGTTTATGCTTTCACGATTGTTTCTGTATTTAGATGTTTTTATTGATTCCTCTGTAGGGACGCAATGATTAGCCAACATTGTTAATGAAAAAAAAAAAAAAAAAGAAAAAAGTCGACCATGAATTCCATTGTCGACTTTGTCGCCAGATGTATTTTTTCCAGTGGAGTGAGGCATTTTACTCCATTACGATCTTCCTCTAGAGTCCGCCGCCGAGAGGTAAGGTATTCAAACATGGCGGCGCCAGCATCCCGTACTGCAGCTACGAGTATGCGTTAAAAAACTTCCAAAGTTTGGGAGCACTTTCGCCTAGATAGGGCAAAAATGTTAAATTCAAGAAAAAATTCAGAATTATCCAATTCGCGAACTAATTGTTTCAATAGTCAGTGACTAGTTGACTGTTAAAATAGTCCTTGGTTGCAGCCTTATTCCTCTGATATATCTGTCTCTCTTTCTTTTGTTGCCTGTATTAACATGCCGTGTTTAGACTCTCAGCCTGCAGGTGGCGCTGCAGAAATGACTGATGAGCCATTTCAGAGGTCAAAGAAGAAAGAAAACAGCAGCCTGAGCTGGTATTTCTCAAAGCTGCAGACATAAAGTCATTTAATCCACATCTGTCAAAGGGCTGTCAAAGGGCCCAGCTGACCTTTGACCTCTCTCAGTGACCATCCTTTTATCCAAAGGGAGCAGCGTGTCCTCTTCACATTATCTTTATCTTCATGACTTCATCGTCCTCTGAAAGTTCACCATGACCTCACTGTTCATGAGATGAACACATGACATCTGTGGAACATCAGGCTGAGATGATCCATCAGACAGTTGCTGCTGCCGTCCACCGACCCTCACGTCCCCCTCTCTCTCTCTCTCTCTCTCTCTCTCTGTCTTCATCAAAGCTGGTCTTCTGCTCTCTTTCTCAATCGGGGGAGGATTCCCAGCAGCTACATCCTCTTTGTTAAGAACTTTTAACACCATGTGATGACAGTTCACCTCTGGGTCACCGTCCTTCAACCATCACTCAGAAACAAACAGGGTTACAGTCTGTTGGTTTATACAGAGAATATGAGACCAGGACACTCAGGTGTATACACGAGATGGAGTTGTAATGCCAGTAAATCCTGCATCAGTCTTCGTAGATTTTGTTTAGTACAGTGTGTGTCATCTCTACGGTTAAGTGCACATTCTGTTTTTTCTGCACTCACGCAGGTGAAGCAGCTTCCTGTGGTAGTGGGATGTTAGCAGGATGTTAGCAGTGTGCAGGTAGCATGCAGCATAGGTCCTGCAGCAGAGAAAACAGGACCGACAGATAAGGAGACATTACAAACACACACACACAGCCCTGCAGGACCGCTGTTATGAATTATCACAAAGCAACACAAAGCAGACAATAACACAAACACAGACAGAGGACAGTCTGAGACCTTGTCCACACTGAGAAAAAAAGTGTGGATGAGAAAGTTCTGTTTCTTCTTGACGACACGTTGACATGTTTAATTTCTCCATGAGTCATTTCTATCTCTCTCTGGTTCCATTATTTTTATTGTGTACCATCAAACTTTTTCTTTTTTCTGTTTTCTTTTCTGAATCTTTAAAATTCAACAGAAAACTTAGACAAACAAACAGATCAGCATTTATCCTCCCTTTCTGCAGAAGTGTGAAACCATGACCAAGCAGGAAGCTGGCCAAAAATCCTCTGTGCTGATTGGGCCGAGTTCTCAACCAGAAGTGAAACACTCATGTTGAGCCGTTACGATGACACACTTGGGCCTCCTCCAATCACGTTAAGAGTCAGATGTAGGCTTCAACGTTGACGGAGGTGAGTGGAGAAACAGAAAGAGTTCTGTTAATGGACAAGAGTGTGTGCTTAATACACACTGATCCCTCTTTATGGTTAATCCTCCATTAACCAGGTTTTAACCTCCGAACACACACACACGCACGCACACACACACACACACGCTTCTCCCTCCCCAAACTGACGCCGTGTTTCTGGTCTCAGCACTTCCGTTTGAGTTTTCAGGGTCACAGAAGTCAAAACCTCTAGGACCTGCAGCCAAAAGGCCAAGAGGTCTCCGTCTCTGACATTAGGTCTCGATGTCACCGCCTGGAGGAGGGATAACCATCACCTCTTAATCTGTGAAACACCCAAAGCTTTATCAGAGACTGAGTGCTCACAGAGTCTCAGTAATCCTGATTCACTCCACTGATACAAAGACGTCCACACACTCACAACACTTTGGTTTTCATGTCTGCTTTTATTTCAGGGTTTCAGATATGTTTGATTACAGCAGAAATTATGGTCACGGTTATTTGATTGATTATCAAACACGATCATGTCTGATTTGTTGTCTGCAATAACCACAAATGACCACAGACATTTATGTGACCGACAAACCATAAAACTGTAATTAACTTTAAAGGAAATAGTGAAAATATTAGTTTTTTGCTCACTAAAGCATGCTGGTTTGTTTATTATTCAAGAAAATTCACACTTAGTAAACTGGTACTACAAATCCTCTCTCTGATCCACTCTCACAGTCTCTTCTTAAAGCCAGACTTTCACCTCCATCACAGTATTTTAACACTGTTATTAAACGAGCTGAACATAAGTCTTAGATGACTAAAATGTGACGAGACGAATACATGTTTACATTGACGAGACGAGGCTAGACGAAAACGTTCATGGTAGAAGATGAACGGAGTTGCAAAATTCATGAGCATTTCGTCAGTCAAATGCTAAACATATACTCTGCAGTGTTGTTTTCATTGATGATGACGTTGAGAAAATATTTCGTTATCGTCAACGAAAACAACACTGGTTCAAATACGCCAGAAGTCATGAGTCTGAGCTGGTAATGACGTCACACCAGAGTTACCAGAGTTTCAGTTACCAAGTCGGAAAAAAGCAAAATTGGAGGCGGAAACAAGATGGCTACATCTATGTTATTTTAGCACTTGCCTTGTCCGAATATAAGCAAGGACAATTTTGCTTATAGTTTTCACTTCTGATTCTGCTTTTTTCTGACTTGGCGCTGGTAACTCGGGTGTGACGTCATTCCCAGCTCGGACATCTGACTTCCTAGGTAACTCGAACGCAGCATAAGCCCTCACCTGGACTACACTGAGATTCAGGCCTGCATTTTACTCTGACAAGGACCAGGGTCAGTCACAGCCCTCAGTTTGTTCATACTCTAGTCCCCCTTTTGTGTAACTTTGGGAAAAATCTTGATGATAATAGGATCATTTTTATAAGGCCAAAGATCTCGGCTTATCTCCATCTTTGAACCTTTTCTGACAAATCCAGAAGGTTTCTGAGTTTCTTCATCCCTTACTGACTTCATGATATTTGGAGCTCTTCTCCTCAAACAGCTGCTGATCATTCTTGTTTCTCGCCCATCTGACAGCAGGATTATAAAAACACTCAAACAGACACGATATGAAGAGCACTAACAGATAAAACAGCTGTTTATCTTCCTCTGCTGACTCGGACTGCCTCTCAGCTCCAATAAAACTCTCCACCTCTTTCACCATCCGCCCGCAATTAGCCTGGAGGGACGGTGCTAAAAGGGGCTGATGGGAAACCTGAAGGTAAACAGCAGCTCACCCCGTTTCCCTGCATCCGCTCAGCTGTCACCTCGCTCAGGAAACAACAGGAAGCGGCTCAGAGTGGGTCAAGGTTGTGGGTGTGAGTGTGTGGGAGTTTCATTCATAGACTGAAATCACAGCAGGAGGAACAAGTGACAGAAAACACCCCGACGAACCTGGAGCTCTGTGTTTGACTGTTTTAAAGGTCTGTATGAAACACTGTCAGTCCTCCTCTCTTCTCTCTCATATTATTACTGCAGTTCAGTCTGACCTTTGACCTCGCCACCATTTCTCTTCATCACAGAGGAAACTCTGGAACGTCTTTAAATGACCGACATCCTCTGTAATCACTCTGAGCTCTAAATTCAAGGATGAACCATAGACTGTATATATTTTGGACAACTTAGTTCCGCCTTTGGCCAGCATACGGATTTGAAGCTGAAAAGCACTCGGTTATTCCGTGTTTTTTCTCCACTTCGTGAAACCAACATTGTTCAGTCCACTCCACCACTTGCGCAGTAGCGTTGTGCAGTGGGGGAGTCGCCGAGAGTCGCTGTGATGACACTCGGCTCAAACAGCGTATCCACCAGGTGAGCTACGCAATCCTTGTACGCCCATAGGCTGTATCAAGTGTCAATCATAGAAAACATGAACCCCCTAATAACTTTTAAAAACAGAGCTGTGCAGAAAAAAAGGGGACTTGTTGAGACACCAGTGTGACAGTAACTACATGTCAACATCGCAACCAGGGTGAGAAAAATGTATATTCTGTGTAATAAATTTCTAAAGTTTGTCCACAGCTCCATAAGCTTTGCTGGAGGTGGTGGGATTTATGACCAATACTGCAGCCCGTCACCAGGGGGTGCTGTTCTCGGAGTGGCTTCACCCAGCGAGGAGGCAGACGGCATCCATTCTATATACAGTCTATGGGACGGACAATCAAGACTAATGAAGACAGGTGGACATTAGCAACCAGTAAAGCTGCAGCTTCCCCAATAATCAGTATTCAGTGACCAGTCCATTCGTTACGCCTTTACTCAGGCGGTCTAAACTTCATATGACGGCTGTAATATGAAGGTTATTACTTAGGCTCTATTTTAACTACTCACAGTGAGTGTTGTAGACTTGTGAAAATGACCACAACTACATCCTCCCTGGTCCTCGGTGTGTTACTGTGTAAAAGTGACCTCAGTGTTTCCTCTTAGCTCTTTCGGCAGCAACATGACCACACATAAATAATTAACTCGATGCCACAGACCGATACACTTCATGAGAGAGCTGAGAAACGTGACCAGAACCAGGCAAGTCTGAGGGGTTACTTTTCATTCCGCAAAGTTCAGACCTCCACCTTTTCTGGTTTAACAGCTTTTTCTTCTGAGATGATCATGCTGTACCGGTAAAACTTTGTCAAAATGGGGCTCCACGACTGCCAGCTGAACCAGAACAAAACAGGGAAGCAAAACCCCAATGCTCACGCTGCAAAGAAACCGAAGAGGAAGGATGCAAACTGCTCTGCAAACTACAGAAGAGACACATGTGCCAAAGGCGGAGGAAGGCAGAACACACCTCACCTCTGTTTCCTGTTGGCTGCAACAAATGGAAGTGAATTCATCATCTCAATACAAATAACTATTATGAATACAGTCAAAACACAGTGTATGAGGTAGGTGTTAGCAAGCAAGGAACCCCTTCAGTTCACATGAAGACATTATTTAATATTCAATTTTTGCTTGATATCATCGCTTAAACAATAAGAATTAGGCGGGAAGAGCACATATTTGAAAAGCAAAGGCAGGCAGAGCAGCAGCAAAGACCCGGCCCATACAGAGGAGCGTCAGTGACAATAGGCTAAAGCAGCTTAAATAGAAGGAACTTTCAAACTGTTGGATAGTGGATAGAGCTGGTCACCTGATAATTTGGATGCTAATGAGTCAGAGATATCCTGGTTAGATTTGACCTGCTGGACAGACTCAAGTAAATATCAAACAATGACACACTTTATTTTCTGATCAGATAATATTAGAGATTCAAATAAAAAAAGGAATTCTTCCTGGTTCATATTTGATCCACAGGTACAGCAGGAGCAGGATATAGAAGTCATTTACATTATAAGATAAAGTGCAATGGTTAATGTGTTTAAATGAGACTCTTCCTGAGTCATTTATTCCCTGAGTCCAGACTTGCAGGACTGTACTTCTTTTCAATGCTGGATGCTGTTCCTTAAACTGATCCAACAACAGAAACTTTTATACTCAGTATGGTCTTTGTTTTTTAGTTTCAGTTTCAAAGAGGAAGGCAACAAAAAAGCTGCAAAACCTGCAAAGCTCAACTCAGGGGAAAAAGTGCCCGCATTATATTCATTTCAACAGTTACTTATAGACCCACTCTGATCAAAATCATGTTTTTCTTGTTGTCTACATGTTCATGGCATTGTTCTGATGCTAGAGGACATATCATGAGAAAGAGCAAAACTGCATTTCTAAGTATTTCTGCTTTCATATCGCTGTGAACCTCTGGCAGACCAAAACGGCAGGTTCAGACACAGTGAGATTTTCTACATCACAAGTCCAAGCTCCGGCCCTGGTGCCCCGCTCTGCAGGCCAGATCCCAAGATGTAGAGAAGACGATGGCAGAACAAGTGTGTGTGTTCGCGGATGCAATGCTCATTAGAAAGTTAATTATGATATTAGCTTTTATCATGCCCCCAAAGACATAAGTGTTCAATGTTAGGCTACAAGCTAGCATGAAGAGGGGGGTGTAGAGCAGCACTGTCTCCGCCCATAACTCAGAGGTGAATTGCTAATGAGCTACTGGAGCTCTGCAGAAGCAGAAGAAAAGTCCTTGAAAATGACACAGGTAAAAACTTCATAATCATAATTTAAAGACCACTGATAATGCTTTGAAAACCTTCAAAAAAACACTGGAGAAGGTCTTTAAACTCACACTAAGTATAAATACTCCTCTGATATGTTAAAAAACTATGACTGTTTTTAAAATCCAAATTTTAGAATTTTTGCCTCTTAATTTCTTTTTATGAAAGTATGAAAGAGTGGATATAATGGTGTAGTTTAGGTTTAAGAAAATGTAACTACAAATCTTTTTCCAAAACTCACAATCATCTAGTTATTCAGGTTAATAAAGCAAATGAGAGGGTGACAGTGGGAGAGAAAGACTGCAGTAGACAGTAGCTCAGTTCATTTCGTCATGTCCTTTCAGGTGTACAGGTGAGACAGCATTTGTGCAGTCTGTAGTTAAAAACCTGAAGATCCATTTCAGAGAAAACTACCTTTTCTGATCATGAATCCTGCACAGTCTCATGGGATTCAACCCAGCTGAACAAATTAAACACCATCATCTTCCCCTGATTTTTTCTTTGAACAGACATTGTAAAGTTTTTGTACTCAATCAAAAGTAGCCGAGCAAAGATTAAATGAAATCAGGAACATAATCGCGTTTGACAATCAGGACAGCTACAGTTGAAGGTCTGTCACACCGTGTAAGTGGAGCCTTTAACAGATCTGTGGGCGGTCGAGCATCACTACAACATTACTAACAAAACTCTCACTCTCTCACCGGCATGTACATCTCTGCCTGGCCTTGGTTACCACAGAAACCAGTGAAGCTGAGGACTCATCACCGAGACAACGAGAAGCAAGATCGTGAATTTATGTTGAACGTGAAGGTTCAGGTGATTTTTCTTTTTTCCCTACAGATTCGTTTAAGGTTTATAATCTCCAACGACTGCAGTTACGAAAAAGATAAGAGAGAGAAAGGTGTTTGAAAAACTGAATCTGATGGTTTTTAAATCATTTAACGAAACAGTAACTGCAAATAGAGCTAAGAAAACACATCACATACAGAAACTGAATAATTCTTACTGTTACTGAGGGGAAAAAAGGTCATTCAGACAAAGACAAACCACATTCTGCAGGGATTACAACAGCATGGCTCTGTGGTAGAAGAGTCCTGCTGCGTAACTGGCCTGCCTTTAGGATTTGTGGTTGTATAATTGGTAACCGCCCCTATCTAACTCTGTAGACTGATTCTTCCTTCACTGCTTAACTCAAACTCTGAACTGATAGAGGCTCAAATCCTTCAGTCAGAGTGATGAAATAAAGAGGGGAGAGTTCATTACATAATCCAGGAGGGGACTGTCTGTGTGTTTGTGTGTCAGGAGGTGGTCAATGTGGCGACTTACATGGGAGGGGAACTTCCCTACTCCCCCCACACACGCACACACACACAAATGATATAACAGCGGTAATTTGGACCTGAAGCCTTAAACGTCTCACAGCTTCTTGGTTTGGACACAAAAGCAGGAAGGAGTAAATTTCAGTGATGATGTCATTTTGTAGGCCAAACTGGAGCCCACCTTTTCCTCACACAGGAGAGGCCTGCTGGGAAATGTGCTCGGTCTTAACCATCAGTGGAGGAAATTAGCAGGTAGCTGAGATGTTTGGGCACAAAGCAAGCAGCAGGAAAAGAAGCAAAGTGAGTTTACTCCAGGAAACAGTTTCAGCTGTTCAAAGAAACAAACGTTTACTGTGTTCACGTGAAGGACGTCCATCTCAGATTAGATTCTGAGAAAGAGATTAAGAAGACTAAGACAACAATGCATCCATCAGGAGAGGAAACTTTAGTCTGACTTAAAACCAGGAGGGTGATTTTAACCTCAACATTTGTTTGAATTCAAGAGTCAACAGAAAGATTTCACATGAGAGCAGCAACTTTCCTCTGAGACACCAGAAGAGAGAGAGAGAGAGAGAGAGAGAGAGAGAGAGAGAGAGAGAGAGAGAGAGAGAGAGAGAGAGAGAGAGTGTGTGTGTGTGTGTGTATGCTCTGGTGGAGGGGAGGGAAATGCACATAAAGGAGTGAAGCAGAAACAGGTGGTGCGTTCAGAGCGAGCGGTAAAACCAGAAAGATGGTGAGAGATAAGGTCTGAGAGCAGAAGTCTGAATTTTCACACCTACAAAGATTCCTCGGTATTAATCCAGATTAATAAATAAACTATAGAGATTAAAAACAGAAGTTGAAGGAGTTCACAGTAAACATGAGGACATCTTTCCTTGTGGTCTGTGAGCAAAGATGTAAACTCCTGGCAGGCTGATGCTGATACAGTCAGGATGAAGAGAACAGCTGACAGTAACTCTACAGTAAGTTACTGTCACTGAGAGGATCTTTGAGCACCAAGACTTTTATTTCTTTTCTCCTCAAGTTTCTTCTTAGTGTTATTTATGGAGCACCAGTCGCAGAGTAAAAAAAAAATCAAGCTTTTAATCAACTATTACAACGCTGCTTAATAAAGTCTTGACTGCAAAAACACTCTAATCTGACCCTGTGAGTTTGTCTTGTTTCTGGTACTTTTTATTTCACGTTACACTGACCCGACAGGTCCACACACACACACGCAACCTTTAAATCAGCAACACATTTTGTTTCTAGAAACTTTTTCCTGAGAACTTAGTATTTACATCTGATTTTGGCCACAACAGCTTAAATCTGCAGGAAGGTTTTAGTAACTTTGACATTTTCATCAGTCTGTGTTTTTATTTTATTTTGGCCTTCTGATCCAGAGTCCAGAGTAGCACTGAGTTTTTACAGCTGGATTTTAGTTTTTATTTGTTCAAAAACACTCTGTTTCGGTTCCAGTGCTGGTTTTAGTTTTCTATGATATAGAGAATTTGTACGGAGCAGGACCCCCCAAACTCTAAAACTCCAAACTTCATCTTATTTGGCTGTTTTTTTCCTGTCAGAGAGCAGCTCTCTGTGACATTCACTACATGGCTGATGTTGCAGGTAATAATAAAATGTTATTTACTGATGTCTGGACTCACATAGTCAAGCCCCCCCTGTCTAAAAGGTCTGGACCCGCCCCTGCTTGTTAGCACATACCCTCAGAATGTTTTAGGTAGACCCATACTGGACAGAGGACTCTGATAGACAACTAAAGGGACTACAGTGACACACAGAGACTCCACTCACAAGTGTGTGACTTATCAGGTATGTTTGTCCATGAGGAGCCCCGCAACCTCGACAATTTAAGAGTCTATGTGGATCTGGATGTACGAGGAGCAAACCAAATATCTACGAGCACAGATACAAGCACAAGTTGAGCTCTGCTGTTTTGGGGTTTCGCAGTTTTAGAGGACCCTCAGTCTGCATAGAAATAAAGGTCTCACAAATGTGCATAAATATAAAGTTTCTCTAATTTGGGGCAAAAAGTGGTCAGCTCTCATTTTTGTGAATCCTAGACCAAAAACTCAGCAATCCCAGAGAACCACACGAGCCTCTCATCTTCAACGTCTGAGCCAACAAAGCTACAAAGAGATCTTCTGACTTACCTTCTGGTCCACGATGGAGCAGACGAGCTCCCTCACGGCCGACAGTGAGTGGTCCCCGGGCTCCAGCGTAACCGTCTCTCTGGTGAGTCCGATCTGCAGCAGGAAGGAGACGCCATGGAGGGAGCCTCTGGAGTTTGTGGGGCTCGGGGCCGTCACGCTGCCGTTGGACAGCCGGCTGCAGAGGGTGGCGGGCGGGCTGGGGGACGGTGATGGGGTGGGTGGAGAGGCATGCTGAGGGAGGGTCGAGAAAGACCGCGGGGAGGCCGGCGGCGGCGGCGGGCTGTTCTCAGCAGACATTGGCCGCTATCTGTGATGTCGTCTAGGCAGCGGGAGGACGACAGGAGGAGAAAACAACATCCAAAAGTAAGAGGAGTCCGTCTGCTCAGGTGTTCAGGTCAGCAGAGTGATTTCCACACACCTGTTTGTCTCAGACTTCAGACTAAATAAATCCTGCAGGAAAACTTTTCTCCCACTAAAGAGCATCACTGGAGGAAGACTCTGAAAACTGATGACGTAAAACCTCAGGAGGGCTCATCCTTAAAACTTTGACCCCGAGGTCTCAGGCCTGCAGCAGACGACTCTCTCTCTCTGCACGATTTTCAGCAACTGCATCTGAAAGGCACAAAAACAGCAAGTTTAATAACTACCATGAACTTTATTGACTCTTACAGAAGGTCAAGAAGGTAAATCTCTAAAGTTTGTCCACAGCTCCATAGGGATTGCTGGAGGAGGCGGGACTTATGACCAATACTGCAGCCAGTCAACAGAGTGTTGTTCTCGGAGTGACTTCACCTAGCGAGGAGGCAGACAGCATCTATTCTATATACAGTCTATGATTTTACACCTCTGAGTCAGAAGAAACTTCAACCCTGCAAGATCATCAGGGGAACTTTTGATGTGCAGAAACTATCTGCAGAAAATAACAAACATTCAAATTCAATTAAAAATGTTTCTCAACTTGTTTTTCAAACTTTTAATAACTTCCGTTCTTGCACCGACATGTGAGATGATTTTAACTCATATTTATTCAGCAGATGAATTAACCAGACCATTATTGTCATAGTATAGATCCACTACAAGATCTGAACCAACACAACTGGAAAAACATCAAATCTAAGACCAAAAGTTTGGAGTTTTGTGTTGATTTTGATGAATAAAATGTAAAAGATAGTTTTTTTTTTAACTCAAATATTTTTATTTAAGGTCAAACTGAGGTTGTTAGATTTGTTAAATTTTAAAAATGTTATGTCATTATAGATAGATAGATAGAGGAGGACTGATGATGAAAACTGAGCAGTGAAACATTAAATAATTTTACATCAGGATGCTTGATGTTAATTATGTTCAAGCACTTTTCTGGACCTGCATTTTTGACAGTTTTTACATTAAAAAAGGACAAAAACAGATTCCTGATGAACACACGAGTTACATTTTCATCAGGGTAATGAAATAATGTGAAATACTAAATAAGTGAATATTCAATAGGATTAACCATCGAACTGTAAAGTAGCTTACAAACCACTGAAATGAGCTCAAACAACAATGATGCTTTATTATTAAAGCTGTAGTTTTATCAAAGTACAGTCACATATATGGTAGGCTACTATTAAAAGAGCTAAATCAAAGGTGCCGTTCATTATGGCGGTACCGTTAACACCTGGTGCTGTTCGGTTAGATTATGAATGAATATAAAAATAACTGTTCATGCTTTTAAAATAATGCTACGGGTTTTTAAGACATAAAAACTAAGTTAAAGTCCCCGTTACCTCTGAGCACAGGGCGGGTTTTCCGCTTCTTCCATGGAGGCAGAAAAGACTCCGAAAAATGTTCGTTAAAGTTCAGACTAGACCGAGGCTCAGCCCGACAAACAGCGCACTTTAACGGACTCAGTCTGCTCTTTCTCCGCTGGACTCGGTGCTCCGGGTCTCTGTGGGTGAAATAAATCAGGTAAACGAAACCGTTACAGCTTTTGTCCTGGACTCTGTTGGCTCCAAACTTCCCTCCCCGGACGAGCTGCGGTTCTGACCAGGCAGCGGCAGCAGCTTCATGCGGATCTGATTATCAGGGAGGAGAGCACAGAGGCGAACCTCCGCTCAGCACCAGGAGGAGCGGGGACACGAAGAGGGCTCACTCCGAGGGAATTCCAGGGACCGACAACCTGTGAGCTAGCACAAATAGTAGCTACAGTGAAAACTCATCAACGGAGCACTACTTCTTACCTTTAAAAATTACTCAATTAAATTTAATGTGAATTTAACGTGTTGGTTGCCAGTAAAAACAGGACGATTTGCCAACAGGGCCAATGCAGTTTCTCACATAATGGTGAACTTCCTCCCATCTTTCCTTCTGAGAGACTTTTTACCTGTTCTGTTGTTCCTCTGACAACTTCTGACACCATGTTGCTGACACTTAATTTAAAATAAGCATATATTTAAGGATAGGGTTAAAATATAAACCCTGTAACTTATTGTAAAGTTTCTACCCTTTCAATGATATTTTGAGATTCATACAATGTAATTATCAACCCAGGTTCGTCTTACTCTGTGTGTTAGTACGAAAGCGGATTCCTTTATTATCTCAAAGTAGGCCATCTTTTTAGTAACAGAAGATCTTTGCCTGCGCTCGTCCAATGGCTTTCATCATTTGATGCTTTGGCGCCATCTTCTGACGGAAATAGTATATTACACAAAGGTCCTCTGTTATTCTGGACATTTTAGAAGTAAAATCTATAAATCTGTGTTACTCCAGTCTTTAAAAAAAAAAAAATAACTCAAACAAATCACTCACATTATATTAAGTAGTGCAAAACATCGAGTTATAGTGTAGTAGAAGGTAACAGCAGCAGAGATTTAAAACTTGAAAATAAAGTACTTTACGTACGTACTTTAAAAACTCGTCCCTGCCTCCCCAACTCCTTAACCCCCCTGACCCGTTAGTGCCTCCAGCTGGCCTCTTCCTGACCTTCTGTGTGTACATAATAATAATAATAATAATAATAATAATAATAATGATGATGATGATGAAGATGATGATGATGATGATGATGCATCTATATCTGTAGCATCTCAGCACGTTTTTCAGGTAAAAGAAAGAAAATTGTGAAATTAAGTGTTTTAGTATTTCTCCCATATAGACAAACTTTGGACCAAACTTTGACCCTTTTACGCCAACAGGGGGCGATGTTTCCTTACTGTGAAAACGGCTGGTTGAACAGGGTCAGGGTGACTTTTTTCATACTAGTTAAGCCTGTTAATTAGCTATCTAAAACAAGGATAATCAGTGGATAAAAAATGAAGAAATAGTCTATTTAAAGCCGTATATTGTGCCTCCATGTGGTTAGTTTTGCTAACTAACACAGTCATGCCTCAAAGGTCTATGTGATTGTATGAAAAGGTTTACAAGCGTTTCTAAAACAAACAGAAATACTATTAAACCCACTTTTTCTTAACCGTTACGAACTTTCCTCCTCATAAAATACGGATTTTAAGGCGGTCTTTTTCGCTATCAGCCAGGAAGCCCCGCCCACAAGAGCTTTTTGGAAGGCTGCGTTCAGGTACTATCGATATTTTTCGCACGTTTTGTAGTAACGTGAATTATAATAAAATTATTGTTGGTTATTGAACATATTAATTACAGCAGGGGAGACAGTAATTGTTAGCATCTGTAGACTCAGTTTTGACTCCACAGGCAAAAATAAAAGAGAGGTCCATGATAGAAACACGAGAACAGCAAAGACACCCTGTTTTACCCCCAGTATACTATGTTCATTATTTTCTTTATTAGCACTTATCAGTGAATTCAAAGGTTAGTTTTGCACTTTCTTTGTCATAAGCTTAAGAAAGTCAACAATTTGGGTTTTAGAGATGTTGTCTCTAAACAGTCAAAGATTGGTGTCCACTATTAAATGGGATTTAAAAGGTGTTTTACGGTAAAAGCTGTTGAATTATTTGACATTTGTTTTTGTCATTGTTTAATTTACAGTTGCCCTTTTTTAGACTCCGTAACTTCACCTCGTATCCCCTTTAAAACCAGTTCGTTCTGTGTTGAATACTTTATTTCTCTCCCACTTTCTCAAGCTATAGAGCGAATTTAAAGCCCTGTGCTTCTGTTTACACTCTTGGTTTCCACTCTCAGTTTTCACTCTCAGTCCTCTCAGCCACCACAGTTCAAAGTCCTAATATGCTCCTTCCCATGGGAAACATCTGCAGACCCTAAAAAAGCTGAACAGGCTGAGCAGGCCCACACCCACATGACACATGACAGGGTTGCAAAGGAGCTCAGAGGATTAAAGACACGCTGCAAGAGTGAAAAAAAAAAATCTACGACAGAGACTTTTACAATGTAGGGCTGAGACAGGGCCACACTACAAAAAACACTTTCAGACCTTTCTTTATTTATATTTCTTCAGATGTCAGATAAAATCAACCCCATAATTATGTTATCAGAAACTAAGAATCAGTAAAGTAGACTGTACAAAGAGAGTCATTAGACAGAAGGAAACTTGAAAGTCAGGTCTATATAAAAAACACAAGGTCTAAAAAGGACAGCTGGGCAATATATAGTTAGAGATCAGAATACATAAATCTGCATTTACAGAGAGCAAAAAGTACATTTTCATTAAATATAAGATGGAAAAATGAAAAGCGTTGCACTTGAAGGCAGCACCGCAGAATTCAATGGGATTGGGAGTTTAGCGGAAGAGGGGCGTGGCCCTCCGCTTGTAACCTGACACCTGACCCATGCGCTGCTTTGACTGTAAACTTTCTGCATGAGCTCCGTCAGTCAGACTTTCAGCGTGCGGGGAAGTTGGTCCAGCCCGAGTCTGAAACTGGAATATTCACCTTTAAACATGAAACACTGACGGTTGAAGCTGTTTTTTCCTCGGTTATAGACAGATCGGTTTATCTTTTTCAAGAAATGGAGGCTGTTAGTAAGTGGAGCCCGCAGCAGGTGGTGGAGTGGATGAGAGGTAAGGCAGATTAAAGTTGTTCTGTTGGCTGTGTTTGGGGAAGGTAACGGTGCTGTGTGCTTTCAGTGTTAACAGTGAGGGTGAACTCAGAGCACTAATGTCGTCTGTTACAGAGAGAGAGCTAGGGAGACTTCTCAAAACTACGATTTATACTCTTAAAAAAAGCAGTTAAGTATAATCTGAAATAACTCACACTAAGTCAGAGTTATTTTGAAGATTTGATGAGCCTAACCACATATATTGTATATTTTTTGTACATTGTTACAGCTTTAAGGTATTAAAACCAAACAATACTAAGTCGTTTTTTTGCTACACAATTTCTAAAAATAAATAAATATATATATATTTTAATTTTTGATAGATTACTTGAACAACCATACTTCAGTGAACACATATAATAGGGAAAACAAACAAGTTTTGATGAGCGCAATCAGATATATTGTGCAATTTTTGTTCATTGTTACAGCTCTAAGGTATTAAAACCAAACAATACAATATAGTTTTTTATACACAATTTTTCAAAAAGAAAAAAAAAAGTTTTAAATTTTTTTGATGGATTACTTGAACAAGTAGACTTAACTACACACATTTAACAGTGAAAACAAAAAAGTATCTAACTGAACTATCAAAGAGAGAGTTGTTGTAATGTAAAGAAATTGTTTTGGATGACTACAGGAGTTGCCAATAACGCTTAAAATGAAGTTTTTAAAAATCATAACCATTTCCTTGTTTATCAGCTGTAACTTAAAGCTCCCGTGGGTAGTTGTTGACATCAATTGAACAGACTTAATTTCATTTTGATGCATTTTTATTGCAAACAAGACCATCAGCGACAAGAGTGAAACTTCAATGTTTTTGTTGTTAACGTGGTATAAGCTGAGCAGCCCTGAAGAAACAGCCTGCTTTTACATTTTCAACCTCAGAAATTCACAATCACTGATACATTTGACTGTCAATTCATCAGGATGAGGTTTTTTGTTTAGGCATGTTGAGGTTAAGATAAGTCAAGATGGCTCGGAGTTCCTCACGGGAGCTTTAATGAATAAATGTTCACAGTGTGGATTGGATCCCTTTCTTGGGTCTGAGGTTGAATGTAAGGAACAGTTGGGGATAAAGAGAGTTAAACAGTAGCTGAGTTCAGTGAAGCAGGTCTGAAAATGTGCAGGTGTCATGGTCAAACTGAGAATCTGTCCACTAAAATGTTTTCATTAATTTTCCATACAAAGCTTTTACACCCAGTTACACTCCGTCATCTCTCTAATGGTGGCTCATGTTTGTATGGCAGAGCTTTTATGTGTTGGCTCATTGGCAGGCTGCAGGTTGTTACCGTGTTTACCATCTTTATCATATTTCCTGACCACCATCGCAGATAAACATGATGAGAAAACACACAGGGCAGCTGGTTGGTATTATGAGCCCTTCATGTGTGCCAGGTATTCAAATATTTATCAGAGTGTCATTGAGCAGTAAACCAGCCCGACCAGGTCTCAGATCAGCCACAGGGTGATCCTCAGGCTCGTGATGCTGTGTTGTGAAGAGCGTTTTTTTAATAACAGAGCCGTTTGGACCTGGAGCAGCAGCTTGAGTTGTTGATTTTTGAACCTGTGAGCATGCACAGAGATTCATTGAAAGTAAAGCCTTGAAACCTTGAAAAAAAAACTCATAATGTTCCCCTTTTTTAAAAATAAACACATGGACAGGAAGCCTGAACATCCTGTCTTTGAAAACCTGAAAAAATGACAAACAATGACCTGGGAAGTTTAGCAACATGCAGGTTGAATTGACTTTGCTGCATTGTTCACATGGACACAACAAACTCCTGTTTAGATAACGTGATGTGTGATTTTTACTGAGAGATTAAAACTTCTGAACAGAAAAGTACATGAATTAGATTTTTACAGGTGTCTGCTGTTGCCCATGAATTTGGCCCTGTCCAAGTAAAGAGAGACTAAATTTAATCGGAGTTGAGGTAATGCTTTAATATCATTGGTTAACACTGCATGGCTTGGTCTAAGGCCAATCATTGTTGTTAAATTGGAAAATATCATAGAGAATACATTTTGTGCGCTTTTTGAAAAATTTCCCAAAACATTTTTTTCTTTTTTTTGATGCCCCCTTTAAGGGGCTGAATGGTTACTGTGGTCTCTTGTTGTCTGCATCTCTACCAGAATCTGGAGTCCTGTGTAGATTATGCAAATCTGGCCAATGACACACAGAGAACTAGTCCAAGATGGTTATGAAGTCATTTAAGTTTTGGCTGGCATTTGTGTGAAAAAGTTCTGACACGTCATGTTGGCTGCAGGCGAGCTGCTTTAAATATTGAACACAATCAGGCTGCGAGGATTTTTTTTTTTACTTATGTGCAACTTCTCTTTCTACCTCTCTGTACCTCTTTTTCTTCTCAGCAGATGTCTGTGTGTAAATGAAGTGCCTGTTTTCATGTAAATTAAACAGAAAAAAAAAATATCCACCCTGTTTTAAAGATCTGAAAGCTGCCCAGGGCTGGGCGATAAACCGAAAATTTACAGATACCAAAATTTACAACAATAACCAACGTCATTTTACCCATACTGGTATATTCGGTGTCAATAAATAAATAAATAAATAAAAGTTGGTTTTGAATGTGTGTTGGTAGGCTATGATCTCATGTCCCTTTAAGACACTGTTCTACGTCAGAGTTGTGGAGTAGTTATTTTCCCTTTATCTTTATCGAGGTGAAGTGCTCAATATATCATGGTATTGATTTGAGGCCATATCGCCCAGCCCTAAAGCATCCACTGATATGAAAAAAGTGTGCATAAAATGGAGTCACTGTGTATGTAGGTATGTAGGTCGACTGATCATGGAGCTGAACAATTAAACAGATCTTCATTATTATTTTGATTTTGGCCCTCAAAACTATAGAAATATGATAATTGAGTCTTACCGAGACTGAGCTGTCTGCTTCTTCCCAAAGACTCAAATGAAGACATTCAGAATTATGATCCTGCTGTCATTAAAGACATGTGGGAATCATTTATAAACCTCTGTTGAGCCTTGGAATAATATTTTGAGCCTATAAATTTGGTGGTCACTTACATTTTTATCAGTCCAAACGTCAATAGAGCTCTGTTGTACTCCTGTTCTCCAGCTGTGTTGTACAGTCTGCAGATCCACAAACGTCTCCCACTTGGCTGTCAGCCTCTGCTTTACATGCTGGAGTAATAAGGGACTTTTTTTTGTACTTTTTATCTGTTGAATTATTTTAAACTCTCCTGTGTTCCCTTAAATACTCTGTCTGTTCCTTTATTTAAACCAAAACCCTGCATCTCTAACAGTGGTTCACTGATGTGAGAAAGTGAACATCCATTCAGCCCAGTGTGTCCTCTGACAACAAACACACATACCAACACACACGTCATATGGCAGGGAGGACAAAGCAGATCTGAGTGTCAGCAGTGGTCCATAAACACTCAGACAAACCCAGCTCTTCACGGAGGTCAGTCTCCTGCTGCGGAAGGGTCAGAGGTCACTGTTACTCTTTTCTGTGGAGGCGTCATTAAACCACACAGACATGATCCCACTTTTGTTCTGCATGAAGAGATGACAACACACAAGGGTCAGTCACATGACCTGCAGGGTTTAATGAAGCTCTGTCCCTCTCTGTGTTTCCAGTCAGTCTCCACACTGCAGACTAATTAAGACAAAATAATCAGACCCCTTAAGCAGTCATGAGGGGATCCCCCAACCAAGTCCTGAGGGTATGACCAAGTCCAGACTTTTTAATGATCCTGTAAAAACTATGATAATTTGAGATGATGGAGTTTTGATAGTTATGAGCTGTGAAAAAATACTGATGTGATGTTCTACGTCATTGAGATGCACTTGCAAACACAGTCAGATTTTTTTTTTAATAGAATTTGTTTGAACATGAACAACAATTAAACATAGTACAAATTTAAGACATTAACACACAGAAAAAAAACCATAAATAACAGAAAGTTAACAAAACCAGAGAGTCGAATAATTTTGTCATTTGCATGTCTAAAATAGAGTGGGAGGAAGTCGAAACTTGTCTGGTTCCACCCCTTCAATCAGAGGCAGCTAAATATCAGAGTGCCTCTGGCTTTCAGTTCGGACCAACATTTTTCACAGCTAACAATGTTTGAAAATAACGTGGACACGCTTTTTTCTTTGTTTTTAAATTTGACCTTTTGACCCTCATCTTTAAGGAGCACTAAAGCTTTTTTTGATTTTTCCTGACCCAATGCAGGAGATGCTCTTACCTCTTTCTATCAATTATTTTAACATATATTTACCTTTTTGAGGCCGATACAGGGAGTCTATTCCTGACTCCGCTCTGGCACCTGTATCTAGCAGCACCTGGATCCAGCATGTAGAGCCCATGTGATCACGACAACCATGTGTACTAAGGCAGTGGTTCTCAAAGTCCAGTCCTCGAGGCCCACTGTCCTGCATGTTTTGGATGCTTCCCTGCTCTAACACACCTGATTCAAATGATCAGCTCGTTATCAAGCTCTGTAATGGCTTAATAATGAGCTGATCATTTGAATCAGGTGTGTTGGAGCACGGAAACATCCAAAACATGCAGGACAGTGGGCCTCGAGGACTGGACTTGAGAACCACTGTACTAAGGTACTAATAAAGTAGCAAGGAGTAGGAGTGATGTCGGCCCTGTGGCAATATTTTTCGGTGAAGTCCGAAAAACACGTTGCAGCTGCGTGTAAAACTTGTCATGCAGAAGTTTGTGCTAATATCGGTATTGGCCAATATCGAAGGCTACAATATCGGTATCGTATCAGAGGTAAAAAAGTTTTATCGGAACACCCCTAGTGTACATTTGTAAGTTCTTGAAATGGATGTTTCTCCAAACAGGAGCCATGCTGAGTGCCTTTACTGTGGGTAACACATTGAAAATATCTCATATACTCCACTTTGGGAAAATGTCCAGCATGTGCCAAACAGCTGCTTGTACTTACATGGACGGTATAGTTGCGGTTAAGGATATACTACTTTAAGTTAAATTAGTTTTTATGACACTGAGGTTAAAATACTGAATTGTGATAAAACAAGTTGAATAGATCACTAAATGTTCCTGCAGATATCAGCTCCTTTGTCACTGACCTGATTCTGTGATAGCATCTACACTGAAATTAAAGCAGATTGATGCCTCTGGCTGCAGGCACTGAGGGTGTGTGTGTGTGTGGCCTATATTTGTGTGTGTGGCTTGTATTTGTGTGTGTTTTTACTGGCATTACACTGAAGCAACAGCTTTTTTCATTGGCTGTTGAGTAAAAATTCCTGAGTTGGATCTCAGCCTGTTCCCACACCAGCTGACCACAAACACCACAAACCTCTTAATCCAGGCTTTGAGGCAAATAAAACTAAACTGAAATAATCCTGGAGTAAAAATAGTCCCAAAAATAGTCAGGGAATTCCTCTCATGTAATATAGGTCAGCTCTGTAACTTCCAGCCCAGTTATTTTAACGGGATTAAAAACAAGTTTGACAAAGAAAGAGGAGGGAACTCATTTCCTCTGACAGATAAGTGAAGGCAGAATAATAAATGTGCAAACTTGGGTTATTGAAGGTTATTGTGCAGATTTAAAAGAAAAAGTTTCACTTCAGAGTTCAGAGATATTTTGAGAAGCAAACCACATTTTATTGAAAACAGCTGCACAGTATGAACCTCCCTCTTAAATGCAAGAGAAAGTGACTGTTCTGCATCTGATCTGGGTACCTGTTTGCTTGTTTTTATGGTGTCTCTCATTGTTAATTTGAGGGACATCTAACTACAGATTTATATCATTGTTTTTCTGTAAATGTTTCAGGATTTCTGTCTTTTATTAATCTTCTTGATGAGGATATTTTTTATTGCCTGATTTGAAAAGCCTCACGTCATGTAGCGCTCTGACTTCAGGGCTGTAACGTGTTTTTCTTGAACAGCTGACAGCGCTCAAGAATCGTTTTTATACCTGCAGAAAACCTGATTATATGTGATCAGAAACCAGCAAAACAAAGAGGATCCATCTACTTGTTTTGATAGGAGAACATTTTGGTTGGGACAGGTTGGGTCTCTAACTGCAGAAAAGTTTGATTCATTGTGAAGTAAAGGTAAAGATTTCTCTTTAAGATGGTGAGATTGTCTGTGTGTCTGAGTCCTTAGGCTGTTTTGAGTGGTCTGTGTTTTTGGATCATCAAACTGATCACACAGCTGGAGCTCGGAGGTAAACACAGCTCAGCGTGTTCAGACAGATCTGCATATTTCTCTGCTCGTCTGGCAGGTGCAGCTACTCACCTGAGCGTAAATGATGACAGAGGTGAGAGAGAGCAGGCTGCAACAAGGGGACACCTCCATGCCTCTATCATAACCAGCATGTGCACAATCAGCATGTGCACAGTGAGTAAATCCTGAGGCTCTGCTGCAAAAAACTGATCAGCATGCCTGGGTTTGAAGGATTCTAGAAAAAGTGGTTGATTTTTTTTCTCTAGATTCTGGAAACTCGAGTTTTCTATCAGATAAAGATAAACAACAAGTCGTCTCATAAGTCACTCAGTGATCAGGGATTTAAGATAAAAGCACTTTTTAATGCAAACCATCCCACTAAAGGTGTTTTGACTGGAAGTCGAGAACTTTTACCAGGACGTTGCCACACGTTTAGATGCAAAACTCATGGATATTTTATTAGGAAGTCAATGCAGAGAGATTTACTCGACTGGCAAAGCTGGCACACAAGTATCTCTGCAGACAAGCAACAACAGCACCATCTTAGAGCATGTTTTCAGACTGATTCTGACCCAGGTAGACAGAAAACTGGACACTGACTCTGTTATAGTTTTCTTGGCCATTGTTTTGGTGCAGGAATTCCACGTTTAGAGATTTGAGTCTCACTCAATGTGACTGAGATTATTTCATCCGTGCACTTCTTTGTAACTTTCTGTAACTTTGCATCACAGTTCGTTTACATGCAGTATGGTCTAATGGAAAATCTTATGATCTAGTAGAAAAAACAACAGAAAAATTCACTTAAAAAAACACAAAAACAAGAAATCAATAGTTGATTGTTAGTATTTCCAAAGACTGATCCCAGAGGATACTTTGATTTTGCATCATTTCCTCTTCATTCCAGTAATACTCCTGAAAACGGAAGAATTTATTACCTGAAGAAGTTAAATCTGCATTTAATTAGCACTAAAATAGGCAATTCTGTTCTCATGTCATCTAATTTTAATCAGTCCTTTTATTGATTGTGAGATCTTTTAATGTAAGATGATTAAAGAGCAGTTAATGACTATTTATGTTTTGTAAACTTTATAAACCTCAGGCATTAAAAGTCCTTTCAAAGAGGTTTTTAATTTCCCCTGTTAAGGAGCTTGCAGCTGCAGTGAAATCCTGCTTTTCCTCCCACTGGATGCTGTTTTGCCAAAATAAGCCTGATTATTATTTGTTTAATTGAGGGAAATTGGAGTGAAGCCACAGCTCAGATCTTTGTGCTCACAGTCGCAAGTACAAAGATTTTATCAAACACAGACTCTCTCTGCTGTTTTTATTTCCGAGACAAAGGCAGGAGGTCACACTGTCAGGAAGATTTAGAGGTTTATTGGAATTATATAGTGAACATATGTGCATTATTTTGGCCTGTACAGCTGTCGATATGTACTTTCTAATGTTTGAAGATGCTGCTGTGGTTTCCTAAAAGTCTCCAGAGCCAATAGAAACAGCCCCTCCTCTCCTGTCTGCACCTGTTGACAGCGGGATCGTCCTGAGTGAACACAGGTGTGCTGGTTTAACTCCTTGAAAGCAGCAGCTATCAGACTGTGTAAGTCATGATAACAGAAACTCTGTGGCTTCGCTCTGATAAGGAGGATCTGAGCAGCACGTGATGATTGTTCACATCAGAACCAGAGCGTGAAGGCGGGATGTTTGTTCAGAGGGAGGAGGACCGCTGTCAGCTGAGAACGCCGTCACCACGGCCTGATGAAACCCAGCAGACAGAGCAGAGACGCAGTTTTACATTAGATCAGTATCCTGATGTCTTTGACCAAAAGTATGTGGGCTCCTACGTGTCTCAGTTTGTGGTTTTGTTCTGTCCACCGGATTTTGAACTTTGCTGCAGGGATTTGGAGCTGCAGGAGCTTTAGTGGTGTCAGGGGATAAGGTCCGGCTCACGGTCAGTGCCCCTCATCATCCCAGAGGTGTTGGATGGGATTAAGGTCAGGGGTCTTGTTAACCAAGCCAAAGTGGAAACCATTCAACTTTGGACCAGTGCACTGAATTATTGTCCCATTGAAACCAGAAACGTCTATGATATCATTGTTGGCCCCAGTTTATAGTAAATGATTGATGACACAGGAGCAGGTAGTGTTCCTCACTACCTTGTTGCTAAAGCTGCATGAAGAGCCCGGTCTCCCACCCAACATTTGTTCTTATCAGTGAAACTGAGGTCAGTGAGGGAGCCGCTGAATCAGAGGAAACATCCAGATTGTCTCCACGGAGAGCCTCTTCCTGCTTTCCCTGTGGCGAGAGTGTCTACGGTCACATTCGCATGAAAATCCAGCAGATTACACTGACAGATGCAAATTTTCTTGACGTACATGCAAAAACTGCTGCTTTGTTTCCTGGTTATTAAAACAAGGAACCTGATTTAATCCAGGCTGCAGCTGCCTTTTTTTTTTTACCCACACTTCTATAGATGGTTACAGTGTCGACTCGAAATACAAGAGCCTGAGGAGAAGTCGCAGAACGAGTAAGGGCCTGTGTCCACTGATGTACTTGCAGTGGAAAAAAAACTTAAAACAGCAGCTCCAGATCTGAAAATGTCAGAGGTTAGTTATTCCTCTGAGCGGAGTTGTTCCATCTTCAGTACATTTTTGCACTCAAATGATTAAGAAGAAATAAAATAAAAATATGGACAGTGGGCACAGGCCCTAACTTTGGTTATAGCCTGATCATAATGTGAATGTTGTGTGCGCACCTGAGTTGTGCTTCTCTGTTACATCACCCTGATTCATGTAAACCCCTGTTATTAGATGCTGTTAAAACAGATGGGAACAGTTATGAGGCCGTCATCAGTGTTAATCACTCTTGCAACCAGTAGTAAAAACTGCTGGAGATGAAAACCTGCAGGACTGGAATACAGAATACAGTGATGCAACAGCAGGGTGCATTTCCACAAACCTATTGTTTTTTAGCGTATAGAAATTGAAAAGAGCCTCCCGTCCAGGAGCTGAACTCTGCCGGTCTGTGGGTGAATTCCTGTTTGTTCGATTTCATCCGCAGAAAGCTCACAGAGCTGAAGGAAATCCTTTTTCCTCCTGAATGGTGTTTGTTGACACACAGTGTGTCCCCGCTGCCTCGTACCATGAGTCCGGCTGAATGCTGTGTGTTACTGTGTGTGTGACAAAGTGGAGTGTTTTATAGAGGCTCAGTGAAGCTATGAATAGCTTTAGAGCTCTTTTGCCACTTTTCCTCTCTGCTCTCCACCCTCGTCCTGTTGTGATGGGGGAGGAGGAGTGAGGACTCCTTTTGTTGCCCCCAGCTGGGGAGTGTCGGGGCCAAACTTCAACACGTGCCATTTGTTGGGATGAATGAGCAAACAGGGATTTTCTTTATTGAGCACGAGCAGCTTGATCTCTGCTGGAGTCTGAGGATTATAGCAAAGAAGAATAAACCTTTAAAGAAAGGATGTTGTTTCACTTATTTCACCGTAATCCAAATAAAATCCTTTAATCCGGCTCATTAAAGCAGCTGGAGCAACTTTGCCATCTCTGAATACTGTCAAGTATAGATCAAATTTGAAATAGTCCTGTAGCTCCAGTTACAAACTCAAGAGCTCCATGTGAGGATGAAATTAAAGTGCTTGGTCAGTTTTTTTTTTGTAACCTAAAACATGTAAATACATATTAAAATAGCTTTGAATTCTGACAAACTGACCAGAAAACACTCACAAAACAGACAAAATATAGCAGAATTTACCAACTCTACTAGTGCTGATAATTGCAGAGCTGGTTGCTATGTGGCTGATAAATTATTCTGATATCACTGTTTTGTTTTTCTTTTTTGTCTTTGATAAAAACACCGGTTCTTCTGTGGCCACTGAAATCCATTAAAATTATTCTCCTTAGCTTAAATATGTTTTTAGATAGACTTTTTATTTATTCCTGAAAAAGACAGATGTACTGAATTTTGCAGTAGATTTCAGACCATGATCAATATTTATGTTAGAAGCATTATTAAACTCTAATTCAGAATTCATATATAACACTAATCAGTAGGTGTTTCAGATGTGATATGGTGACAGAAAAACCTGTTTTCACTCAGGGGGGACTTTAACATCACTTGAAAGCAGCAAAACCCAAAAAGTTAACAAAAATTGTTCAAAAAAATCAATTTAAACACATCAGTCTGACTGAAAAGGATGATTTTACTTGGATGAAAGAAAAATAAAGTGAATTGACTGTGGGGTTTTACACTTTTGGTCATCTTCACATAGTATATACAACAATACCCCTGAACTCCTGTGTGGCTTCTTCATTTTTTATTGACCAAAAGTAGAGAAAACCATCAGCTGAGTAATTATATCATACTTTTATATAGATATAGTAGCATAAAAACTGAGAATTTCTTAACTTTATGAGTAGCAGCAGTTCAGTTTGTTGTATCTTACTCAGTATTTCTGCATCGATAAGTGTCTCGTCTGTCAGTTCTTTGCCGCTGTGATTTGTGTGTTTCGGGGTCAGTCTTGTCATGTCACTCTGTAAAACGAAGGCTGACATCTTGTTTGTTTTGATCTTTTTGACCAATGATTAACCGGCCTGTTTATGAGCAGCTGGAGTTTCACCTGCAGCTCTTTTATTGACGCCCTCACGTGTTTAACTGGATCTGGACCAGCAAGCCCACTTTATCAGGAGCACGCCTGTAAATACTTCAGAGTTTTACTGTCAGAGCTGGAATTTAGGAGACAGACTGTAACTGTCTGTAACTGTCCAACACACACAAGGCTGGGTATTTAGGAAGATATAATTGAGGGATTTCCATCTGCTGTGTAGAGATAAGACGTGTGTGTGTCTTTTAATCATTTACAACTTTTATTACTCACTTTGATCTGATTATAATTGCCGTTAAACCACCACCACTAGTTTTTCAGCAGAGGTTTTATCACATATTGGTGAAAACATGGGTTGGACAAATCCTCCTTGCATATTTTCCCACCGTCAGGCGGTGAAAGCTCTCTGAGCTGTAGCTGGGTGAGGCAGTGACAGGGCGTGAGGGGTCTCAGTAAATCTGCGGTTTTGTCGTTGTAGTAAGAAGTCAAACTTTCCCACCCTGAGCTGCTGCTGCTGCCTCTCCATAATAAAACAGAGTTTCCCAGCAGCAGCTGACTGATGGACAGTCCAGCAGAGGCCCACAGTCCTCAGCAAACACACCATGAGACCACAGACAGAAATTAAGATCTGCTACATCAGTGTCAAAGTCAGCTCCTCTGGATCTGCTCTGCAGAAATATCCATCAGGAGAGATCTTTGTCTTTTTACTGCAGAAATCATAACTAAACTCTTCTCAGTCTTTGCACACTTGGTTTAGTTTCTGCTTTCTTTTTGTTCTGACTGGTGAAGTGGCTTTGGAAGTGAAGTGAGACTTTGATAGTCATGTATCAGCAAATGAAAGTTGGCAGTGTAAATCAGTCACTATGTAAACCTGTTTTGATCCCACAGATTCCCAACCATGGGAGCTGGATGTCATTACAGTTGTTTGTGTTCTGCCTGCTTTTACTCTCCGTACAGACTTTTTTTTTTTTTACTACAGACGCCAAAGCCTGCTGACACCTGATTGGTCAATACAAACACTTTAAAATCAAGGCCCATGTGTCAACATTGTTTCGTGTCAACGTTGTAATTAGAGATTAAAATGAGTCTGTGAAGTTACAGACCACAGCAGTCTCTGTGTAAATCTTTGATTTCAATAACAAAATGAAGATGTGATGAAAGCCCAGAGCTTCAAAGAGAATCAAGCTTTTACAGTCTCAGAAAGAGTGAGGTTAATGTGAGTGGGTTTGTTTTCAGGCTGTAGTGAAGCATCTCATCTCTGTCCAACATCAGGATCTTTTATTCCATCCAATGAAAATGCAAACCTATAATTCATTCACTCTTAAAACAGTACACTGTGTAATATCTGCAGATAAGAGCACAGATCCCCATCATAAAACCAAAGACCTAAGGGGGAAAAGTCATCCACAGACTTATATGAAATGTTTTTAAGGCTGAGATCTGATTTACCATCACAATTTTGATTATCAGTGACTCTCTTTCATTCCTGATAGTCCGTCACAAGTCTTCTGGATTTGGTGCTAAGAAACTGTAACAAAGAGTTTTCATCAAGCATTTATCCACATTTAGGGACTGGACAAATATTTGGATTGAATTGGAATTGGAGGATATATCGACACCAAGGTCAGGGTCCAAACTCAGGGTCCTAATTCAAAGTGTTGGCAGAGATCAACCTTTATAAATGTTGACAGCTATTTAGTTTAAGAAAAAAAAAAATAGAACATAGATTTTTCTCCTGACAGACACAATCACATGCATTTTTCCCTCAATCGTATATTTTCTACATAAACATAATGGAAGTGACGGTTTTGCAAGTAGTTTAACAGTCTGAGTATTAATATGCAGAGCAGACTTGCAATAAAAATCTCTGCTGACTTTTCGTCACACAGAGTCACACTCATACTATTAAATGTGGAATTACAGCAACAAGAGAACTGCACAGACACATATCTCAGACTCAGTGGCCTGTTTTTCTAGATACTTGTTCTTATTGAGAAAATAAACTGGGTCACAGTCAGAAAACGGGTGCAAAGGCAGCCCTAATGATACAGAGGTACTGATGTGCCAGACTTGGTAGTCCTGGAAATCTCTGTATTGACTCAGTCTGTCAGCTCAGTGACGGGGTCATGTCCTGTAAGATGTTTTCCACCTCCAGAACTCAGCTCCTGTACTGTGTGGTGTACCTTCAGTCAAGAGGTTCACACTGAAACATGCTCCCAACCTCAGACAGCAGTAATATGAGACCACATGTTTATAATCTCTACCTGATCAGTCAATACTAAACTGTTAACACCCCTAACTTCAACAGAGTATTTAAAGCATGAAGAGAAATGATGAAATATCTTAAAGTTGGAATAACCAGCAGAGAGAAGGAGCATAAAAATTGATTAAAACCAGGTTAATGTTGCAGAACTCTGAGGATTGAAGCAAACCGTCTCAGCTCTGCGTCTCATTAGTCTGCTGCTTCAGAATCACTAACTGCTCAGCTGTAATTCAGAGCAAACATCCTGCTCGTCGTTCCTCACCGCCTGCCAGTCATTTAAAGTCGCTCTACCAGAGCTTTGGGACGAGTGCCAAACCCAAATAAAAGAGGCATGATAAAAATGTCTCAACTGCCACATAAATTAACGACATTTATTTCTCACGAGAACTTTGGATCCAGCTCTGGATGTTGGCACAGTGCCGGATTCAGGAGGAGTTTTAACCCCTCTGGGCTCCAGAGTCAAATTTTCAGGGTGAGTTATGTCCTTATGTAGTTTTTAGGCTTTAAACTGAGCATGGTCGAACAGTGGAAAGAGATCAGATGAAGGTCAGGTTTGATTTAATGTGAAATAAATTGACTGTCACGACTGTCTGAAGCCTGGTTTTTAATCTAGCCATCTGAGTGGGCTATTTCTGCTGATGTAGAGGGAATAATGTCACGTTCAGGTCCAAACAGAGGCTCACATTTGCTCACTGAAGCTTCTGTTCTGTGTCGCAGGCTCGGCCCTGGCGCTGTCATGCTTTCATTAGCAGGTGATTCGGCTGTCGCGTGACATGTACCCGACCCTGCTGTGCAGCTGAGAGATTATCGGCCTCCTCTGGTGTCAGTAATGTGATCCAGGCTGTCGCCAATACATTCCTGCTGACCACAAACTCTCCCAGGCTGCAGTCCAGCTCAGATCAGCTGTGTGCGAGAGGTTTAATCTGAGGAGCATTAAAATTTCCTCCAGTAAATCTCCTTAAAGCAGGAAGTTTCTCTGTTTCATGAAGGAAGTTTGGGATTACTGTGGAAATTTTGCAGCTTGGCGTCGATCCAGAAACGTGCAGGAGCTGAACACGTTTTCTGGCTTTTACTCTGAAATTCTGCAGCGGTTCAAACCAAAACAAACCAGCAGAGGAGGAGATGATGTTTGGTTAAGGAGTTTCAGGCTATTGTTATTGAAGTACCGTGATTAAATGGATTTAGATCATCCTCAATTTGTCAAATCAGCCACTCCGGTGAAAAAGTTCAGATTTGACAGATTAAAACAAGGAAAACATGATTTAAGAGTTCACCTTTGCTCTATAGAGTAGAGTATAAGTCTATTTCTAGTATTTATATCTTTACTTGATTGTTTTGTGATTGCTGTCTTGCGTGTAGTTTGTTCTTCATGTTTAATTAAACTGCAGCGTTTAGCCTCTTAATTTGCAAAACATCAGAAATTATGAAAAGTGTCCATCAGAGTTTTATTTATAACCAGCAGGTCAAAACTCCAATCTGATTATTTTGGAATCATATAAAATGGAAAAAACAAACAAACAGAAAAAATCAGCAGTGAAAGATTAAAGGTGTTTGACTGATTAATGAATTCAGTAATACGAAAGCTCTGCTGAACGCTGATTCGCTGTTCTTCTAGTGCCAGCATTACTCAGAGAAAGCTGCTTTCTGTTATGAGAAGGCTCCTCTGTATTATTCTTTGCTAATAACAACACTGGGGCGTCACGTTAGCAGCTAGCGAGGGAGGAATGTTGCTCTCGCAGTCGGTGAGTGTGGGCCATCTGTCGCGGCTCGCTCTGAGCTTGAACAGGAGTCAGAGGGTCTCAGGGATCTGTAGAGACCACATGCAGGGATGGTCGCTCTCCCTTTGTTCACACCAGCTCAGGCATTTTGGTGCTCACAGATGTCCAGGCTCAGTGCTTCATGTGTTGAAGCTTTTATCAAACTGACACGTATGAGGCAAAGAAGCCAGTAAAAATGTCACATCACTTAAATGTGAGAGGGTGAAAAGTTTCTCAGTTTAGTTCAGACATGTTTCCAAGGGCTCAGAAATAGTTCAGGATTGTGTATTAAAACAGACGCCTGTGTTATCAGTAGTTATTAAAATATTTCAGAGCTTAAGCACTTTTCATCAAACCCTGTCCGGACCCAGAGCTGGTTCTGATGAGTGTCTGAAGACTCACTCTCAGAGTTTCTGCTCCTCATTGATCCCATGTGAGAACTCTTTTATCTCGTCTCCTGCCGCCTACTTTCACTCAGAGGTCAGAGGACAGGGGTCAGGGTCGGACATAGAGTGGCGCCACCAAAGCTGGCTGTGTCTCACTCATGGTCTCACAAGGTCACAAGGTTTCTGCTGGTCCTGAATGTTGGGGTTTAACAGCTCTGTTTGACCTGCAGGACGAGCATGAAGAAACAAAAACACATATTAACTTGGGGTGGGAATCACTAGTGGCCCCACGATACGATATTATCATGATAATTGGGCCACGATTCGGTAGTATCGCAATTTAAACATTTTGAGATACATTGAGTATTGCGATTCTCTTCTTTTTGTCATATCGACGCAATATTTTATTTTCATGTTGCAAATCTTGGAAACCTCGTGTCATGTGCATCTAATTTGTGCCTTGCTTGCATTCCTAATGTAGGTGCTGCCATATATTTTGTACTAACAATTGATTTTATTTTTCCATTATTATAGACTTGAGTTCATATTAGCAATTACTTTAAAAAATCCATACTTGGTGGATGAGACAATACGATGAATCACCAGACAAAAGATTGCGATACTATGCTGTATAGATTTTTTCTCCTACCCCTAATATTAACCAATCAGAATCAGAAGTTTTAAACCCGCTTGTTATTGTGGTTATAACATCCGAAACATTTATTTCAAGAGTTCAAAATTATAATCTGAAAAACTTATGAATACTTTGAATTTAGTCTTCGCACCAGTGCTAAATCAGTTGTGATTGATACTTAAAGGGGTTATGAAGGACATAAAGACACTGATGAGAGGCCCTTAAAGTGGTTACAATAAGAGAGTCAATAAATACAGCAGCATGAAACATTTACTGGTTACATTAGACTGTTAAAAAAATACACTAAGATACATTATTAGAGGAGAAACTTATCAGGGTTGTGTTAGAGACTTTTAAAGTTAGACGCTTAAAACGGTAAAGTTTAAAGATATTTAAAGTGGTTACAAATTCACACGGTTTGGTCCTATTAGACAGTAAAATGGTAACATGAATAACTTAAATGGAATCATTAGACACTTAAACTGTTACTATAGACACTAAATATGGTCACACCTGAAGCTTCAGTGGTTACAATTGGTACTTCAAGTATAATGCATTAGCAATCCAATGCATTATGGGTGCTACAGACAACAAGGATCTTCTAAAGGTGGTCCCAGAAATACAGTTCTGAATGTGCAGCCTCTTAGTTTGCAGACACATACCTCTGAGGGGAACAATCTGTATAAAACGAGGATAAACATTTTCAGCTTTTTGTTTTCACTTGTGCGTCCCGCCTGGAAAAATCCAGAACATTTCAGGAATGTGATGCATGTGTGAAAAAGGCTTTAGAGATGTGTCATTGAAACAGGGGAACTTCAGAGAGCGTGGTTGTAGACCTGTCAGTCTGTCTGAAAAAAAGAGTGATCCTGAGGCGTGGCGAGCTGGCTGGACAGCGTTTGCTGTTAGTTGTCATGGTGATGGATCAGCAGGAAGAGTCAATAAGTGTGTGTTGACTCAGCAGCTCTGTTTGCTGTCAGACTTGAACAGATCATAACAGAGCGGACTTTCACTAGAGCTGATCTCTATCTCAGTATCGTTGACTTACATGGACAGCACATGTCCTCTGAGTTAGCTTAACTCAGGACACACTAACTACATACTGCTGATGTGTTTTTGTGTGTGTATGTTAAATGCTTTAATGATGCAGACAGCAAAGAGATAACTGTGAAACTGAGGGAGATTACCTCTCTCCTTCCTTACTTCTGTGTCTCCTCTAAGTCCTCTATCTGGGTCTGTCCTCAGGTCTGGATGACAGCCTGCAGCAGTACATCACATCTTTCCAGCGGCAGCAGGTGGACGGGGAGAGGCTGCTCAGGATGTCCCATCAGGAGCTGCTGTCTCTGGGCGTGACGAGGGTGGGACACCAGGAGCTGATGCAGGAGGCGGTGGATCTGCTCTGTGCACTGGTCAGTAAATTTTGTAGTGTATCTCCACAGGCTTCACAAAACTTAGTCTGGATGAATCCGAACCTCACAGTTTGCCATGTTTTCTTCATACCAGAGCCATTGCTCATGCCCCATAAATCCAGGTGTAGTAAAAACTAATATAAGGACTGAGATAAATCCTTATATTAATAACTGTGTAGCCTTCAGCTATCTGCCTCTCTACTTTAATATGCATGCTTTAGCAGAGTCATTGCACGCTTAGTCAGGCAAACTAGGCCACTCAGAAAGGCTACGGGCTGTTTGGCTAAAAAAAACAAGTTTTTATTACAAACTCTAAACATTTTGAACTTTCGTCGAAAATATCAGGCTATAAAAACAGAGCCTTAAGACTCTGAGTCAGTTTGAATAAAATCAATCAGATTTCTTATTTAAAATCTGGGTCATTGTATACAGAGAGCTGAGGTTACAAACTTGAACAACATATTGAGTCTAATGTACCAGTTGGTTCTCTTCAAATGTTCTGAGCTATTTTTTTGCATGAGCAGCTTCTGTTCATGTCACGGTAAAAACTGACGACTTTGAATCCATTTCTCAGCACTGAGCAGGGCTGTGCAGTTGATTTTAATGTCATAATTATTGCAATATATTGAAATTTGCTGTAAACTAATAAGTAAAATTTGAATTTATGCAAGTAAATGAAGAAAACTATTGTATATTGTTCTAGGAGCTAAGTTGATACTTCAAGTTACTGAGAAGCTTGACCCAGAGTAACCAGGTTGATGAAAGTCCGGACGCTGTTTCTCAGATGCAGCGAACAAAAATTTGTTGCGATGAACATTACCAAAATCCATTTTGCAATTGACATTGAGCAATACTGAAACAAAGAAAAACGCTGGCATCTAGCGCCACAGCGGTCAAAAACCTTTTGCCCTTCCGGGTCAATCACCTGCCCACAACAATGACATAGCTACCTTTATTTCTGAGCCGCAGATAACAAGACAGCGACACTTAGAGCATATAAAGTGAACTACAACTCATTTTATGGTATCACATCAACATATTTGGCTCCTACAATAGTTATACATTTTTAACCCTTTCATTAGCTCTCATTATGTGTTGTTTTCACCTGTTGAATGGAGGCCCGAGTATAGTGTACATTCCTTTGCACCATTTAGATGTTCGCTGAAGCTGTCAGCTCCTATTTAATCTGTGAGAGAGTGTTCTGGATTAAATTTAGATGAAAATATTTAACACGTTTAAACCAGAACATCAGCAGACAAACAGAAAAAACTGTGAATTAAAGAACTTGTTTACGTCTTTAATGTTTGTTTATTCCACTTTATGTTGTTGTCAATATTGAACTGTTTTGTCGGACATGTATATCTGTGGTAAGGGCCCAAACCTGAGGATTATGGCACAAGAACTGGAGCTAAGACTAACTGTAAATGCAAATTATCTGGGCATTGTTGGAATTTTCACCAGAATGCAGGAATTGGCAGTCCTGCACTCTCTTTTTGGTTGCAGCTGGTTCACTTGTCTTGGTTTGGATCAGCAGTTAGAGGCGTGTCAATGCTCTGAAGAGTCTTCATGTTTGCCTCACTCTGCTGACAGACTCTGACATACCTTCTCTAATGACTTGGAGGTGTGCACCCACTGTTCCTGTCCAATCAGCTCTCTTTGTGAGGTGTGTTTATAATTTACTGCTCACTTCACTCATGGTTTGAGTTTCAAGGGCTGGGCTCACCTGACAGCATGGTTTAGAGTCAACAGACAACAAACCACAAAGTCATCGCTGGGTTCACAGCGTGCTGAGATACAGACAGAAGTCACTCTGAGTCCTGAGCTGAACCCAAACATCTGTGATCTGTTACACCACAAACAAATATCCAAGGCTTATAAAAACAGTTTTACTGACATCTGACCTCAGGTTACAGCACACGGTCTGAAAACTTTAGCAACTTTATGTGACTGACTTTGGGATATAATGGTTCAATCAGGACCAACCCTTCCCTTCCATAGGCATGTGAGCAAGGCCAGAGCCTGAAGCAGGAAAAGCACGTTCCCCCTCTGTTTTATGCATACCTGAAAAACCAAAGCAGGGAAGGCAGCAGCTAAGACCCCTGAGGAAGATTTACCTGCCCTTCCACGTGTGGATATAGGGTACCAGAGCCTGAAGCAGGGAGAGCAAACCTCCCCTCTGTTGCATCTGTGCTCATAACAAGCAAAGGCAGGAAGAGCAGCAGTAAAGTCCTCCAGGGGTACAGAACTGAGGAGGCATCACTGACATCCTGTATGGTGAGAGAGCTGAAGAAGAGGCGGGTTGTAGAATGCATGGGAAGAGCAGTTCAAATTAAGTCAACATATGAGCTGGTGTTAGGATGAGCTGATACACTGTGGGTGGAGCTTGACTTTGTGGTCTACCCCTCTTGTTGGACCATGAAACTTGGGCCTAGGCGGTATGATGTTTGAGAGGATGTGGGGCACAGTTTTCTGTTTCTGTCTGTCTGAGATACACAAAGAGAGGTAAAGAGAGATACCCCTGAAATATTGAGGGAGCAAATCACAAAATAACCCAACTCTTACCGGTTATCTACAAACCTACAAAGTTTGCAGAGTCAACACACCAGAAGGTTCTGAGATAAGTCACGCCCTGTTTTCCTCTTTGGCAGCGCAGTGAAGAACATCAGAAACATACCAGCACTTGCACTTTAAGAGGAGAGAAAAGATGCAGCTCTCTCCGTCTGTATTTCTGCTCATAAAGAAACCTCCTGCTTTTTCTCTCCATCACATGATTTAAATGGCAGTGGGTAACACTGGGCCTGGCCGTCATACTGGAGAATGTGCTGATATAAATATAGTGCACACTGTCAAACTCTTATCAAACCTGGAAATGTGCCACACTGCTGGGTTTGATTCTTCTACACTGTGAAAAATGTGCAGAAGAAAGGGTGGAAGAACAACTTTAAAAATGAAGAACCATTTAAAACACAAATTCAGTCAAATAAATACACAAGGAGGAATAAAACGATGTTAGAAACAAATTCAGTTCACTCAGATCCTGTAAACTTTGAAACTGAAGGTTAAACCCCCTTAAGCTCCCATGAAGACTTTTTTTTGACATCTTTAAGATAGACTGAAATTCATATTGATTCCTTTTTACAAAAACAAACCAGACCATCAATCACAAAATTGTTTTTGACGCCTAAACCTGAACTTGTCATTCACATCCTCCAGTATTTTTTCTCACTAAAAGTTCACCTTTCTGCATTTTAAATGTTAGATAATCCCTCCCTTGCCCTGTGCCTGGTGTATCTGCGTTCATGAGAGGCAAAGGCAGGGAGAGCATCAGCAAAGACCCTGGGATGCAGACCCAAGGAGGCTTCAAAGATAGAGGATAGGTACCAATGAACCTTTGACATATAAAAACATTAAAAAGTCTTTCATTATTACACAGCAGCAGGGTGATCAGTATGTTATTGATAGTCTCTCATGTGGTCTTAATTATAATCATAATTGAGGCATCAGTGTTTCTTTAAACTCTGCAGCAGCGTTACGTTTCTCTAAAGCGGCAGAGCTGTTGTTTTTCCGAGTTTTCATGTTGATCTGCAGACAGAGCGCCTCAGTCAGCTGTTTATGAGCTCTGTCTGTCTGTGTCTCTGTGAAAAGGAGGATTTACAGCCACTGCTGCTGAGCTTTAATGGTGTAACTCTGCTGAATAGGATGTTTGAATGGAGCCTGACACTCTGCTGTCACCGCCGACAAACACTGGAAATAACAAGAGGACCGAACACAAACAGTATCAGAGTGGTACTGTTCAAAGATCTGTGATTAAGGCGCTCAAATTATTGTTCTTAAACATCAAAATCAGATTCACCCCTGGGCAGGTAACCCTACTTTATATAACAGGGGGCAGAAAAGTTATTATTGTTTTAAATAACAGGGACATTGACTCACAATACAAATCACTCAAGGTTTATCTAGGGATCTGGGGATTGTGAGCGTGCAGGAAGCTAGAATGACTATCCAAAGGTGTTCAGGGGTTATTACTGTGAACTTTAATATCTGTGGCAGGTTTATGATTCTCTGTAACAATATAAACATGACCTCACAATGATGAGAGAGGCAGTAAATGACTGAAAATAGTCTTGAATAGACCCGCAGACAGCAGCAGCAGCAGCAGCTTCGAGACTCAGGGAGAGTTTTTCCTGCAGGCCCAACTGAAGGTCAGGTGACGTGTTCGGGATATTTTCTGCAGCACAAAGCTGACTTTACTGCTCCACGGTACAGAGCAGGAAACAGATGTGACCCTCCCACCTGTCAGAAAGACCCCCACCCTTCCCCTGAAGCACACACACACACACTCTGTGTTCAGTAATCAGAGGAAGAGCTGTTGCAGTTTTGTTCCAGCAGCAGCTTCCGTCAGCTGTGTGATGATAAACTTTCCATCAGAGACTCTAAATGTAACTTTCCAACAGCTCAGCTTTAAAACCAAAGAATCTGATCGTTCATCTGCAGATATCGAGTTAACTTTTAACAATATCAGCTATCTGCATTTGGTGATCACTGTGCCTGTGTTTTTGAAAGCGAAGGACTGGTCTGTACCTGTGATCAGACTGCTGCTGGTCTGTGAAGCCTTGATGGTTCAGGTATTTACGTTCAGCTAATTAGTGTGATCATTATGTGCTTAATGTGTGAATCTCTTTAATGGCTGTGCGTAATTGGCCTTGTAAAGGATCACTAATGTCAGACTCACACGTCACCTGCAGAGACACAGAGGAGGATCCACCTCCTTTAAAAGCTGCTCTCTGATTGATGCGTGCTGCTCACCTGCAGGTTGAGCTCATTTTACCTCAGACATGATTGAAGATTGACCTGAAACATGTCTCTTACTGTCAGCTGTCATTTTGGGTTAGGTGTTGATTTTTTACAAAGTGCACAGGCGGCAGGTGAGCTACAGTTTGGCAGCAGATGTTTTGATTGGCCCAGAGCGTCCTGACGCCTCAAACATCTCATCAGCCCAAGGCGAGCCGGCGCATTCGCTCTGACAACAGGCAGACAGATAGAGAGGCCCTGTGATGATCTGTGGAGAGGGAAGAAAACCCGAGTTTAAACTGCTGCAGATACCGACGAGAAAAATCAATACAGCAGCACAGTAGTATGATATTTTGTGTGATGTATCTCATCGTCTCATTAACCAAGTATCGATTTTTTCAAATTAATTGCTAATATGAGGTCAAATCTATGGTTATGGAAAAATTAAATCAACTGTTTGTCGAGGTGACATCATAGAGCAGGAGAAAGTTAGTGCAGCAAATATATATCAGGTTTGCAAGATGTGCTACATGAAAAAAAATACAGCATAAATAAAACAAACATAAAGAAAAGCCAAATGCTAAATTAGCTAAACAGTTGAAAAAATTGTATAAATTGCGATATATTGTATCGCAATACTCACTGTATTGAAAAATATTAAAAATGTTAATAATATCATATCATGGCCTAAGTATCGTGATAATATCATATCGTATTGCATCGTATCATATCATATCGTATCGCATTGTATCGTATCGTATGGTATCGTATCGTATCGTATGGTGGCCCAAGTATCGTGATAATATCATATCGTGGTGCCACTGGTGATTCCCACTGCTACTTGAGACTCCACAGGAGTGCAGTGATAGAGTAATGTAGTAATACAGTAATGCAATAATGCAGTAATACAGTGAAGCACTAGTGCAGTGTTACAGTGATTCAGTGGTGCAGTAATGTAAAATGTACTTCTAACGCTGATATATTCAGAAGGATTTCACAGTTTGAATGTCCAACTGCAGTGACTCCTCCACACTCAAAGATTGCTGAACGTTGAGATGATTCAATCTTATTAGAAGTACAGTTTTATTATCTGACACTTTTGCTCTGTAAATGTTCGGCAGAATTACGGCGTGGAGTCGGACAACCTGAAGACTCTGGTGGGGAAAATGCGAGCGGCTCATCACAACCTAAACAGCGCCGTGTCGCAACGCAGGAAGAACCCCGTCTACAACAGCAAAATCTCCCATCAGCCCTCCAATGAGTTCCTGACAGCTGTGATGGAGCTGATCGGAGCTGCCAAAAGTCTGCTAAGCTGGCTGGACAGGTACACACACACTTGTTTACTACAGATAATCTCTAAAGTCAGCACAAAGTAAAGACAGCTGAAGAGAGTAAATCCTTTTTTTATTAAATATTCACTCAGAGACACTCGATGAAACAGGTTTAGACATGATTTTTGAAACATATTAATAATAATTCTACGGTAATACCTTCAACTCACTGTGGCACGGCTTCATACTGGGTACCATACTTAAAAATGAAGAAGCAGCAGTTGCTTGCGAGCTAGCTTAAGCGTCCCTCTGAGAGATGATAAGACACTTTTTAAAAACTAACTTTCAGATTTTCTATGAAACAAAAACAAACATCTACCAGGAGTAGATAATTTCAAAATAAAAGCACAGTTTGTTAATATATGTGTGTGTCAAACAGCAGCAGCTCACGCACTGTTGTCATCTCTGCTGCTTGTTAACATGTCAACTGTCTGAGTCCTTCAGCTCCTCTCAGCCTGTATCAGCATGAAGAACATTCCAAATCACTGCAGCTGTAACACACACACACACACTGACATGTTACAGCACTATCACACACACGCTTGACATTTGATACCTGTCATGTGTCACACACACCTTCAGCCTAACAGATCTTTTGTGAATCTGGCACGTTTATTCTTTGGATTGAGGGATCCTGGAAACATCTGCGGTACTAAAATCCTGTGAAAAAGTCTCTTCACCATCTTCAGTTTTGCTTTGAAAACGTTAATACCTTTATTTATTTAGCACTTTTAAAAACAAGAGTTTACAAAGTGCTTTAACATGCAAGAAAACAAAGAGGATAAAAACAACAGAACAACAACAAGAGAACACGGGGAAAGAGCTTTGAACAGACTACTTGTCCTAATGTGACATTATTGGCAATAAAGAAATAAAATAAAATAAAAATCGTTGGAAGACATAAAAGCTTTGATGAGTGTCACATGAGCTGAGACATCACTAAAACGAAGACAGTAAAACACTGACATTAAAAGAACTCGTGATACCCAGCCAACACAGGAACCCAACCACAAAAACCTGAAACCAAGGAGACTATTATAAAACATGATTAAGAATAGTAAAAGATTTTAAAGAGGACAAAATCACATAAAAGTAAGTCTATAAAATGAGTTTTAAGTGAGTTTTTACAAAATGCAAAACCAGATACAGGAAAAGAAGAAGATTATGTTATTATAATGTTTGAGAAATTTGCCTTTAATTTAAGAAAAAGTATAAAAACTGTAAAGCAAGTCATGAAAACAGAATGAAAAATTTAACTTAATGAGTTTTTCTCTCTTTCAGTTTTAAAGTTTTAAAGTGCTTAAAAAAAAAAAAAACTAAAAGAAAAAAAAGAAAAGTGGTGACTGTATGAGGCTGATTGTCTCAATGCTTGATGCAATAAAACAGTATTTGTTATAATGTTTGAAAGGACAAAAACTGACAAAACAGTGACACAGCTCTGGTTTGACCCTGCTCAGAGATCCTTCAGGGTGTTGGAGGATCTAGATCTTTCCTCTGAGCAGTGTCAGTCTGCCAGGGTTCACTGTTTCACTGCGGTTCACCTCATCCTAACACCACCATTCCCTCTCCATGCAGGACTCCTCTGACCAGCGCCAACGACTTCACCTCCACCAAGAGTAAAATCATCCAGCTGTGCCTGGAGCTGACCTCCACCGTGCAGAAGGTCAGTCAGACTGAATGAAGCATAAACTAATGCTAGAGTGTTTCTGAGAGAAGCTGCTGGTTTTAAAGAGAAATCAGAGAAAGGGGTCAGCTTGATCTCTGATGTTGGACTGTTTATTTTCAGGCTGTGATGATGATCCAGATTACAGCTGTTTACATGTTCAAAGTCCTTTTGGTGAAGAGTTTCTGTCAGATATCAGCCTCAGCAAAACAAACAAGAGAAAGTCTCATAGCTGTCTCTCCGTCTTTGAATTTATGAAACTTTTCCTACTTTTCTGGATGCTCTCCAAGTTTGATTTAGTTTATTGGGGAACCTGAAACTCAACTGAGATTAAACTATTTAAAGGAAACTCATGTCCAGGTCCTGGCATGTTTAAAATGATTGCATACATTATTTTATTCCTCCTCTTGTGTTGGAGAATTATTGACGCTGGGAAACCCTGATGAGGATTGATCCACAGTTTTCATGCTATTGTTACAAGTGAAAATACTGCATCAACACAAAAGTCTGATTCCTTGTTTAGACAAAGGACAGGTGGAATATAAAGGTCAGGTTTTAGAGTTGTGAATGTTGTCCCCCAGAGTTCGGTGCAGCGTTGAAGGCGTCGCCTGCTGCGCTGTCATGCAATCATCCTGTCAGCCTGTTTACAGGGAGCTGTTATTTCACCGACCGCAGGAGGACTCCTCTCAGTGAGGCGTTCGCTGTCCCTCCCTCTGGTTTCACTCTCCTGTAGGCTGTCATTTCTCAAATACTTTTGCTTTCCCGCTGATTCCTTTCCGTCTTTCCACCACACTCAGAGCTCTCCACACTCTGACTCCTGAAGGAGACTTTCCTTATATCACAGGATGGGTTAGAGTTAAAGTTTCCCTTTTTAAAAACAGGACAGATAAACTGTTCTCCAGCGTCAGAACTGTGGATCTGATATATTTGTCTTTATTGCACAGAGCTCAGTTTCAAACATGCACTTGTGTCTGTTTTTTTAACCACATAGAAGGTTATCGTGATGTTTGAGAGGGAGAGTGCATCTGTTTCAGCGTCAGCAAAAACTCCGGAAACTTCCTTAACATCCAGGATTTCTCATGTTTGAAATCATTTCTAAAACTATCTCACTTTTTTATGTTTTTGATAAACATGTTTGAGGATTTCAGACTTTGTGTCTCTCTTAATTACAGAACTGTACTGTTTATGAGATCGAGGAGAAGATTCTGGAAGTGGTGAGTGCTGCTGCTTCTTTTTCTTTGGGTTTGCATGTTAGAAGATACACACACACACACACAAACATATACACACAGGGAACAGCACAGGACACTTAGAACAAGACAGGAAAAGTAAACGTGTGTGTCTATGTGTGTTTGTGTGTGTGTGAGTCCTTTGGTTTGTTTATCCAGCTCAGTCAGGACCATCCTCTTCCTGTCTCAGATAACACTTCCGGTTGGCGGCCCTGTTGTTCCCAGAAATCAAATCAGCTGATGTTGAATCAGTTTCTGTCCTCACATCAGTTTCTAATAAGACCTCAAGCTGCATAAATCAGCAGTAAAAAACCTTGTATCAGTAAAAAAACACATCCTGGTCTTATTCAAACGTTTCTGCAGACGCAGCGAGGCGGAAGGATGACTCTCACAGTGTCCTGACAGACTCTCAGAGAACTCTCCCTGTGTTTAGCTCAGTGGTTCTCAAAGTCCAGTCCTCGGGCCCTCCCCTGTCCTGCATGTTTTGGATGTTTCCCTGCTCCAACACACCTGATTCAAATGATCAGCTCGTTATCAAGCTCTGAAATGGCTTACTAACGAGCTAATCATTTGAATCAGGTGTGTTGGAGCAGGGAAACATCCAAAACATGCAGGACAGTGAGCCTCGAGGACTGGACTTGAGAACCACTGGTTTAGCTGTTGCTATTTTCTGTTTTATCCTCTTAAATTTTCAGGATTTTACACCTTTATCTGAATCATAACAAACAAACATTTAATTTGAATTGGTGGAGAAAAAGTCTTTGGTATCTTATACTCACTTTGCTGATTCTCTCCCCACCTCAGGCTTTAAACTTACATTATAAAAAGTGATTAAAGCGTTAAAGAAATTTAGGTCAAGCAAATACAGGTAAGGGAAAATGTGACCTGAGCAGGTTTTTACTGAGAAGGACCTCCTGTTTACACACTGCTATTGTCTGCTAATCAGACTCCACAGTATTCTTGGTGTCCATCTTCAGTCTTTTCAGCCTTTCCTGCTGTTCAGTTTGTTTGTCCAGGTGCCATATTTAAAGCTCTAAAGCAGTGCAGATTGTGTGTCAGAGGTTGTGTCGTCATGTGACTGTAAAACAGGCCATGAGAATCATCTAAATTTGTAAAGCAATCAAGAGGAAATGCAGGAGTAATCTCTCCTGAGCAGCATGTTGTTCTTGTTTGCTTGTAATTTCCTCGCTGCCTCTCCTGACCTCAGATCCCCTGCTGGGTTTTCAGGGTTCACTTTACTGATAAAATGAGGCTGAGGACTGTTTGTGCAGGCCTCAGGCTGCTGGAGGATCCTTCTCTATGTGTTTCTAACTAGACAGAAGCTACTGTGCTGCAGCTTTTGTGAGGAATATTTGCTTTGTTTGATTTTGGCGCCCCATGTGGACATAAACAGTATGTCTTATCTCCTCTGACTTTATTTAAGGGTTGTTTTTTTAAAGGTCATAGTTGCTGACTTCGATTTCTTCTTCTTGTTTTAGTCTCGCGCTCTGAACGGCATCTGCGAGAAGACGGTGCAGGCGACTTCTGACCCCTCAAAGAGAGAGATGTCCTGCCTGGAGGAGGTGCACATCACCAACGTGAAGCCCGGGGAGGGACTGGTGAGTTTAGAGAGTCAAAGATGATAACCAGCTTTTAAAATCGGAGCGTATTTTATAAAAACAGCTCAAATGTCGGATGGTGTCAGCGGAACGTATCTGTCGGATAAGTGCCGAGTTCTGAAAAAAGAAAAACCCACAACTCAACCCAACTTCCCCGAGAAACACTAACAGGTAGTTTATGGCTGCACCATGAACCACAATCAGCAGCAAGTCCAGAACAGAAACAGATGTAGGTCCAGAGAGAAAACCTCCAAAACCACCTCTGCAGGAAGAGATTATAGAGCGAGCATGAGAGGGAATTTCTATAGCAGATTCATATATACTCTCAAACACCATGTACTTAAATGTGTGTCATGTTACAGGGTATTTACATCAAATCCACCTACGACGGGCTCCATGTCATCACAGGGACCACAGAAAACGTAAGTCTGCTGCTGGGGGTCAGGGGGTGGGACACAGTAAACAGCTCAGGTTGAAAATACTCCTGAAAATATTTGTGATACGTTTGTCTGACTCTCTCGCTCTGCTGCTCAGTCTCCTGCTGATAAAACTCAGAGGATCCACGCCGGAGACGAAGTCGTTCAGGTCAACAAACAGACTGTGGTGAGTCGACCATCCTCTCTGCTCTGAAAAGGTCACAAATTTAGACCACAACAACGGTGGTTTCTTCGATAAAACCAGCATCAGCTCAGGATGTTCTGAGGTGACCAAATCCCACAGCTTTTGAACCCAAGTTTTCATAACACCTTAAAAAAACTCCTCCAAGCATGTGGGACTCAATGTGTGGGACTTTGAATTCTTTAATTTTGTAATGATGTCGCATCTGCACGCACAGAGCAACCTTTGACAGAACAGTAAAATAAGTACACAAGGGTGCCATCTAGTGACAGCATTTAACAGTGGAAACTCCTAAACTGGATGAAGTGCCACATTTGTTGTTTTGTTGACAGCGCAGGCGTAAATACAACTCTTCTTCTGCAGTTGTTTTAGCAAAATCTGGGTGCATGTATACACAGATTACTTGATTTTACACCCTTAGAAACAGTGTATTCAGATTATCCGATCCCTCAAATTTTTAATCGGATCAAGAAACTTCGCCCATGTAAACGCGGCTAATATTGTGAGATGATTTCTCAGCATCAGTTCAGTTGCATAGTATTGACTGCCTAATATTTATATTCTGTTAATGTAAAAGTTAAAAAAGGTAAAACCCAAAATGTCAGACTACTTCTTTAACTGATTCAATTACTACCCTGATACTTTTGGCCTTTTGCAGTTACAATCATTTACAGCGAAATACTTAAGTATGTGCAAGCGTTCCTGCAGTGCCCTCTAGAGATCATCATTTTGATCAGCGCCAACACTTCTGCTCTGTGATTTGTACAGGTCGGGTGGCAGTTGAAGCACCTCGTGGAGAAGCTGAGGGCGGAGTCTGGAGGCGTGGTCCTCGTGTTGAAGAAGAGGCCGTCAGGAATAACCAGCGGCTTTGCTCCAGCTCCGCTCAAAAACCTGCGCTGGAGGCCACCAAGTGTCCAGGTGAGGTTCTGTCACACCTGCTGAAATGCCATTGAGTATACTGTAACATACAGTATGTGACAATGGTTCCCTGAGTGAAGGGACTTCCTCTCTCTACCCACATATGTACATGTGGAAAATCTAACAGAATGGAGAAAGAGTCTCAATATGACAGAGAAGATCAATTCAGTCATGCTGTTACCCACAGGACACTTCACTTGTTTGGTTGTTTCTCTTTAACAACTTTCAACCTGTTTGCTTGTTGTACTAGGAACTTTTTACCTGTTTGGTTGTTCCTCTTTAACAACTTTTTACCTGTTTGGCTGTTCCTTCTCAACAACTATTTACCTTTTTTTCTTGTTCCTCCAATAACTTTTTACATGTTTGGTTGTTCTTCTTTAACAATTTCCTACCTGTTCAGTTTTTCCTCTAGAACGACTTTTTACCTGTTTGCTTGTTCCTCTTTAACAACTCTCTATTTGTTTTGTTGTTCCTCTTTAACAACTTTTTATCTGTTTTGTTGTTCTTCTAAGAATTTTTTACCTGTTTGTTTGTTTGTTTGTTTGTTTGTTCCTCTTAACTACTTTTTACCTGTTTGGTTGTTCCTCTTTAACAACTTATAACCTGTTTGGCTGTCCCATCTCAACAACTTTTTACCTGTTCGGTTGTTCCTCTGTAACAACTTTTTACATTTTTGGTTGTTCCTATAAAACAACTTTTCACCTCTCTGGTTGTTTCTCTTTAACATCTTTTTATCTGTTTGGTAAACGTATCAGAAACATATTGCTGGGCTCAGAGAGGGGAACTTCAGCTTTTTTTGTTTCAGTCAAACCTCTGTGAAGGTGTGGCTGAGTTGTCTCTGGACCTCCCCTGGTAAATAAAGCCCCCCTCTCGCTGTAATCTCAGCCTGTCAGTCCGTCATCATCTCTTCAGTTTTTTTCTGTTTGTGATCTAAAAGCTCTCCAGCTGCTCGGTCTGCTGCTCCTCTGAGGTGTGTGTGGGAACAATAGATCCCTTCTTTACTTTTTCCTGGAAATAAACGACAGGAAAGACTCAAAGATCAGGCCGGTTGATGTCAGACATCTTTAGAAGGTGACTCACTTGTTACTCAACAATGTGACAATTAGGATTTCACCAAATCCCCCTTCATGTTGACTGAGGTCCAGGAAGTGTGTTTGGGAAGATAGGCGTGTAAAATGTCCTGACTATTATCTCATCCATTGAAACAGATCTGAGGTCAGTCTGTCTTTATTTAGCTCTGTTGAAGTTGATGTCTTAAAATGCCGTCAGACTAACTTTCACTTTGTCAGAACAGAAAACCAGTGAACAGTAAAGTTCTGATCCAGGTGTCCCCTCCAGCTCTTAATGATCATTTCTTTTCTCCTCTCATCCTGAGCAGAACTCTCCAGGAGCTCCAGGTCTCTTGAAATGTCCACAGCCCGAAACCTCAGACTCACCTCTGAAGAGAGGGAAGACGGCCATATTGGATCTGTATGTCCCTCCTCCACCTGCTGCACCTTACAAACCACTGTGAGTACCACACTGACTGATCTGATCGTTTATCCCGACTGTATTTAATCTCTACTCACATGAACGTGTCTCTCCTCCTCTAAAGAGACTTGAACATGAACGTGTCTCAAGGAGTCAAAATGAGGCCCAAGTCTCCAAACTCGTGTCTGGACGCAGAGGTTAAGCGGCGCTCCAGCTTTATCGACAAACCGCCGGCAGTCAGTCCCTCGTATGAAGTCAACAAACCGGTCCCTGTCCTCCTCAGGAAGCGCTCGTCTGCTCGCTGTAAGACATGTTTTATAAAACTGGAAAATTGATCTTTGTTCTTCATGCATCTACATCCTGTAACTTTTGTCTCATCTCGCTTGCAGGTAAACCTCGACCCGTCTCCATGCCGGTGGAGATTTCAAGCGTCCCCGACTTTTCCCAGCCCGGGTTTAAAGGAAGAAAAGGTGAGCTACACCTGTCCCTGTCACACAGACGCTGTAATCTGAGCGTTATCAGTAACAGCCGCCTGTCGGCTTCATTAACGGCTGCAGACTGAGCGCTGTGAGGAGAGTCGCGTGCTTTGAATTTTTTACCTGTAGAAAATTAACCCAGAGAGCTGCTGCTGCATCCACACGGCTGATTTCAGAGAAGGAACCGTGTGGCAGGAAAACAAACAGGCTGTCAGCAACTTTCAGGTTATAAAAACCCATTAAGAGTTTGAAAGTCAAATGAACCATCAGCAGCTGAGACGAGTTTGTCTTATGGATTGAACGTGTTTTCCTCCAGTCATCTGAAAATGTTTTTCTATTCATTTCTTTATTTCACAGAAGTTTGACCAGAAAGATCACAAAGTTTCACAAAGTCATGTTCATGAAATTTCAGCTTTAAAATGTGGCTCGAAAACCACCCCGCTGAAAAATGATGATGTTTATAAAACGAGGCGTCCTCGTCCAGTGGTTCTCAACTGGTGGGTCCTCACCCAAAAGTGGGTCGCAGACACGCTCTAGATGGGTCACGAACAGCTGGTCAAAAAAGTAAATATTTAATGCGCATCTGATGTTTGACATGTCTTTTATTTTGAAAAATAGCTTATTTTGAAAGGCATGTGTTATATCGTGGTCCTCCTCGGTTTCTTATTAATGTGGCCTGAATGAAGTAAAAATACATGTTTTTTATTTTTGGTCTTTATTTTGTGCAATTTGATATTTGATCATTTCTGTATATGCAACTTTAGTAGTCGTCATCCTCAGTTCATGTGCTCTGAAATACAATTTACTCAATAAAATGGGTGTATTTATGTTAAAGATTTGAGTCCTCAAAGGTTTTTTATATAAAAAAATAAATTTGCTTGATCTGAATTTTATAAAAGTGGGAAGCGACTTAAGGAACAAGGGAAAATGTGGGTCCCAGAGTGAGACCAGTTGAGAACCAATGTCCTAGTCCACTGTCCTGGACTTGTGCAGAGGCCACACCCACCTGCCGCTTTAAAGTGTCAATCAAACAAACAGATTAATGTTCACTGCAGACACTGCTGGGGTGTTTATTCTGCAGATTCCTCTTAAAGGGAACTTTGACTTAAATTTTGACCTCCGTAGAGAATAATGTTTGTGTTGTCTGTCCCGTCTCCTCTTCAGGTCAGAGCGTTCTGCACAGATATCTGAGTAACGAGGGAATCAGCACCATCACGGAGGAGGAACCCTGCTACCCTCTGCCATACCGAGGACACCCATCCGTCCGCGGCGTCGACCACATCAGAGGCAGCCAGTGCTTCATCAACGCCGACCTGCACAACAGCGCCACCATCCCCTACCCGGAGGAATCATCCAAAAAGTCCTCGTCCTCCAGCTCTGCTGCTGTAACCAAACAGTCCACGTCACTGTTCGGAGGTTTACTGGCCCGACTCAGGCTGCTGAGCCACTGACCAGGGCTGGACACGGTCTAAAACCTCTGTTTGGCTCTGTGAGGAGGTTTTTATTCTCAGTGTGAACCTCAGGACATCTGCGGGAGGAACGTTTCGGAAAAAATCCAAAACAGCAGATCACAAAGACTAAGGTTAGAATCAAAGATCTGACAGGAGGAGGATTCCTGAAGGAGACTTTTCCAGAATCATCCGGCCTCTTCAGAGTCTGTTGATGATTCCTGCTTTCATTCAGAAACACAACAAGGAGAAGAAACGCTGCTCTCAGACCAGTTAATTGAATTTTCCACCTTTTAGAAAACAAAAGCACAGAAATGTGAGATGAAGTCAGATGATTGACTGACGTGTTTCATAGCATTTTAAAGTCAAAATCAAACAGGTCACCATGCTCAGAGAGAGGGCAGATAATTTATGAAAGAACATAAAGATTCAAGAAGAAATACAGAACAGAACAAAAAACAGATTAATGAAAACTCTTCAAAACACTTTATGACTTCCTAAACACTGAAAACTGTTTGATTAACCTTTGATACTTCTTACAGAAAGTCAGCAGGAGGAAAAACTCACTTTGAAACACTCAAAGTTTCTTAGTTTCTGCACAGACATCTGTTTCATCTTAGCTTTGAAGATTTTTGGACTTAAAATTGAACAAAAGTGAGAAAATCTGTCATGTCTGCACAAATCTGCTTAAATTAAGCAGATTTTTGTTCATAAACATGCATCCAGCGGGAACAAGGACCAGTCAGCAAAAATAAAATCATCCTTGTATTTCTATAAAAGAACAGAAAGAAGCTTCTTTACAGATTATTCATCACAGCTGCTGTAGTTAACATATTCCTCTCAATCTCAGGAGCTTCTAGAGTTTTTGTCGTTGTTTCACATTATTGTAAATATGTTTTTTAAGATTGATTTATCATTACAGACCAAATTTTATTCAGTTATTGAAGAAGTCTGTTTTTCTGAGAGCATAAGTTCATGAGACGGAGAAGAAAGTGGAAGTCAAGGGCACAGTGAAGTTTCTGAGGATTTCTGACGCCTAATGAGACGTGTTACAACACTAATGAGGAAGTACACTTTTAGTTTTGGAGGGAGAAGTTAAAATACCTTTTAAAGTTAAAACCACTTTCATAGAACAATAAAATGTAACTAACAAAATATTAATCTACTCAATGTTTTCAAACATTTTTAAAGACATCTGTGTATCATACTATTTTCATTTTCACTGTTTAAAAAAAAACAAAGTCCAACAAACTTTAAATTTGTCTTCCTTTGTTCTCATGGTCCTCACATTTACCCTAAAAGAATATTTCTGAGATTGTGCCTGATTTCATTTGAACGTTACAAGCGCCACACTGTCCTTCAGAGATTCACAAAGACTTTATTTTCAGCAGTCGTCTGCTGAACGCTGCTTCACATTTCAGGTGAAACTTCCTGATCAAACATTTTCAGGGTCAGTCATGCACTCTAATAAAATAATTCCTCTTTAAGACTCTTTAAAAAACTCCTGCATGTTTGAGATATCTTCATGAACATGAAGGAGAACTCAGTGAAGGAGTTCCTCAGGGCAGGTTTCTAGATCCTCTGAGGTTTACACTCTGGAAAGAGAGTTTCTGATTTATTTTAAGTGTCTTTTCACTAACCAAACATTGTGCAGAAGCTTTCATACAGACTAACAGAGTGTACTGAATATTGTAAATATCACAGAAATAACCTCGTTTGTTCTTTACTGAATCAAATTCCTTAAACCAGTGACACCAAATCTTTTATGTACTTTTGAAAAAAGTTTAGATTATTGTTTTCAGAGCATATAATTTCTATTCAAAGTGAGATAGCTTTGGGAAGAGAACATTTCAGACATGTTATGTATTACCACTTACGGCCACAGGGGTCACTGTTGTGTAGAAGTTACATAAAGTCTCATTGGAAGTTTATTGTACAGGTTTCTGAACTCTGGAGGTTCCTGTTTGTAAAGGTCTCATCGCCTTTATCATATTTGGATTTTTTTTTTGTAAATATTTCAAGTTCTCTGTAAAAATCTCTGAGTTTAACCATTTCATTTATGATGTGTACATCTGAATCCAGAGCTGCAGTATCATGTCTCTATCATCCTCTGTCATTTCAGCAAAATATGAACAATAAAGTGCAATTTATCAGAAAAGATTTCAGGTTTTATTTTCAAACTTAACACTAATGGATTACTTTAGGATTAAGAGTTTAAACACTGCAAAAGAAAGGAGAAACTCTGGAAACAAACTGAGATGAAGAAAGATTATTGTTTGTAGTGAACCAGTTTGAGTTCTTTCCCTGCTGTTTGGTCTGCTCAGGTTTCAGTTTGGATAAAAGGGCTGATATGAATTTTTGTAAGTAAAGCTCTCTCTTAAAATTGTGGCCTTACAGGAGCAGCTGTGTAGGCTGATGGCACCATCTTGTGGACGTTGGTATGTACAAATGCGAAAAATCTAAAAGTGAAGTGAGTGAAACCTCAAACAGAAATTTGTCAGGATTATAAAAACACAGGTAAAGGAGTGGATCACAGTCAGTCCTGAAGACCACTTCATGCAGATCCATTTTTGTCAGTAACTATCTGCCTCTCTAGTCTATGTGTTTGCAGCCTGAAAGTATTTCAGCTGAATCATTCTTCATCCACGAATCTTGTTAAATCTGCTGACTCTGAAGAAAAACTGCTGAGATCTTCAGAGTCTGAACAAATACAACTGTGCAAAAATCCACAAACTAGCAACAACTGAATCTTTCTAAAGTCCTCAGTATCTGTCAGTGACTCAAACCCAAACAACACTGAAAGTCAGTCAAACTGAGCAGTTTTGAAGAACCGCTGTCTGATTAAGACAGAAATAAAGGAAAGAAAATTCAAATATTGACCTCTAACACAAGGTTTTCACCCGTCACTGTTGTTTCTTTCTCCATTTTTAAATAAATCTAACTGAAACAAATAGATTTAAAAACATACAGATAGGGGGCATGCATGAGTCTAAACCAAACTGTTTAAAAACAAACAACCTCTTCACCACTAAAATATGAAACCACAGTAATGTGCAATAACACCATCATGTGCAATACTCGTATGCAACATGGACATGTGTGAAAATGTGTGTGCAATGTGCATGACTATTTCTATCATTTTTTATCACCTACTTCTGATGCAAATTTGAGTTTTTAGTCCACTTTGAATTTGTTGTAAGTTTTCGGAGAAGGACAATAATTACTTTTAATTTATAGAGTTCCCTAACTAAACTAATTTCTGTATTTAAATCATTGGAGCAGTTTCACCAGCAGACTTGTGTCTCTGCAGACTCCTGTCTCTTCAGACTAAAGAAACTGAAACAAACTCTCCGCAAACCTCAGACAAAGTAACAGTTCAGCTGAATAATGTCTGAGCGTCAGCAGTTATAGAAAAGTTTTTTATTTTCCAGAAACGTTGGAGGAAGTTTGTGTGCACTCTGAGAAAGCTGGCGGGCAGAGGGGTCATGAAGAACGCGTGAAAACAGGAAGGATGGTGTGGGTATGCGCTCATATGTCTGAGTGTGATTTAGACTCTGTGGTCTGTCAGCGGAGTGAGGTATAGAATCACACAGCGCAGAGCGCAGAGCCTCCAGTTCCTCCTCTGGGTCTGCTGAAAACACATCGAACAGCCTTCAGACAGCAGGTACTGTTCAAAAACTATTTTAAAGTGTTTTCACTTTATTTAAAACTAAATTTGTACGGTAAAGAGTGAGATTAGAGAGTGTTTAAGAATGACCAAATGACCCTAAAGATATAGATTACAGTTAGAGACCAGGCAGAACTATAGTTGGTTAAAGATGACACAGATATTAAAGAGGAAATAAAACATTTAACTTATAGTATAAAGAACTTAAAACAGGAGATACTTAAGTTTTTACAATTTTTAAGAGAAAAAGAGGAGAAATGTTTAAAATGGGAAAAACATGTCTATTAGCTGTTCTGGAGTAGTTTTTGTTTTTGTTTTTTAATCACACAGTATGATCTGAGCTGGTCCTGAATTAAACACGCAAAAACCAAAAAGGTTAAAGACTCAGTTTAAAATGACAATGAAACAGTTTTAAGATTTTTTTGGGTCCTTTTTTAATAGGACAGTTGAGACAGGAAATGTGGGGGGTAGAAGACAGCAGAGGTTCATGTCCGGGAGTCAGACCAGCAACTGCATCTAACACTGTATCTGGGGCATGCTTAGACCCGACCATTAGGCCATCTGGATGAAAAAGGATTCTCAGCATTTGGAAACCTTTTAAAGTTGATATCTAATTTAAAATGGAGCAAAAACCATAGATCGAACACTGAAACTGGAAAAACATTTTTGTTTAATGAATGAAGCAACAGTTTTTTAAAAAGTAGTTCTAGGTTTATGTTTGTGTGTACCCTCTGTAAACCTTCGTGAACCCAGCAGACCAGGTTCTGAAAGTGAAATGTTGTCCTATTCTCACCTGATAGGGGATTTCAGCTGCTCAACAGTTCAGGGTCTCCTTTGTTCTGTTTTTTGGTGTCTCGATGCTCCAAATGTTTTCAATAGGGGACAAGTCAGGACTGCAGGCAGACCAGTTTATCAGCAGGACTCTTCTACTACAGAGCCATGCTGTTGCAATCCCTGCAGAATGTGGTTTGTAATTGTCTTGCTGAAATATGAACCTCCAACAATGAAAGTATCATGATGTAGCACCTTCAGCTATTGAATACCTTAAACTCTGTAACAGATTCAGAACATTTTTAGATTAAAGTTGATGTTCATGTTAGATATCAGAGAAAGGTGAGGGATGACTAAGTATAGTTTATACTTAAGCACGTGTTTGTGGTTGTGATGTCTGTCTATTAAAAATGGGCCAGACCCCCAAACATCCAGGAAACACAGCCAACCAAAAGCCTACAGTCCTGACCAGATAGGCCATCTATAAAGAGAAATCACACTTATATATGACTACAGACACAAGGCTCTGTGAAAACAGTAACGATACTGTTATTTAAAGATGTGTCATGAGCACAGACTCACAGGTTAACTTGTCTGTAAAAAAGATTCTGAGTCTGAGACAGCTGTACTGAAAAGAAGACATCCTGTCGTCTATTTCTTTAAAATTATCACTCCTCTGACACCTCATGTCTGCCTCTCCGACCTCTTCAATCGATTTTTAAGAGTGCTGACTGAGAAAAATTTTGTTAATCAGCTCAGAGGCTGTGCCTGTGCTGGTCGCTGCTGATGGGCAGGAGAAAGACCCTAACCCTTACCTGTGTCTTCAAGTTTCAGGTTGATCTCAGCGATGAGTCGGCGGAGGGTGTCGGTGAAGGATCTGGGTGTGGTGGACTGTGAGGGCTGGCTCCACCGCCGTAAGGAAGGCCGCAGCCTTTTAGGGAGTAAATGGAAGAGATACTGGTTCATCCTGAAGAAGAGCTCTCTGTACTGGTACAAGGATCAGATGGTAGGTCACATGATGCAAACCCCAGGCTCTCTGGCAGCTCAGGGATCTGACTTCTATTTGTACATCAACAGGGTTCGATTCTTTAGATTCCTGAATGCAAACATGCTTTCTACTAACTTCTACCTAATTTGGACCATGAGAAAAACAGAATAAAAACACAGACCTGCTTCATGTTACTTCATGTTACGTCCCTCTGAGGTTTCATCTCTCCCCTCTGCAGGCTGAGAAAGCTGAAGGGTTCATTAACCTCTGCGGCTTCTCCATCCAACAGGCCAAACAGTGCAGAAAGAAACAGTAAGACCTGTTTTTTTATGTTCTCTCTCTGCTCAACTTAGACAAGGATTTCTTAACTGAATGTAATGATTCGTATTTAAAGACAATATTTAAATGAAATATAAAGACACAGACAAACATCACACAAATGTGAAATCTGAGACATGGTGTTTTATGAGAACCTGCACTAGGAAAACTGTCCTGTAGTCTGATGGATCAGAATTCATTAATGCTGAACAATATCTTCAGGTTTAGGAGTAACATATACTGCCATCCAGACAATGACTTTACAGGGAAGACCTTTATATTTCAGTAAGACAATGACAAACCACATTCTGCAGGGATTACAACAGCATGGCTCTGTAGTAGAAGAGTCCTGCTGATAAACTGGTCTACCAACAGTCCTGATTCGTCCCCCATTGAATACATTTGGAGACCGTTTCTCTTTTTTCCTCTTAGTTTCTCTCTCTGATTGGTTAATCTCTCAGTATGTTGTGTTTCAGTGCCATAACAGCGAGTCGTCCTCTGGTCCTGACCCTTTTTGTAGCTGCAGAGACTTTCACAGACATGAACAAGTGAGTGTAATCAGATCTGCACTAAAGGCCTTCAGAGGGAAATGAGCATTTATATTTAAATGAAAGCAGATACTAGTTCCTCTGTAATCCTTATCAAAGCTTTCAGCTTTGAATAAAGTCACTGTGGTGGTTCCTCCTCCTCAGTTTCTGATCAACTTTTTTTTGCTGCAGTGTGTCGAACGTGTGAAAAGTGTAAATTTGCGAGTCATGGCTCTTTTTCTCACTGACTGTGTTTGAGCTGTAGGTGGATCAGTAAACTGTCAGAGGCTGCTGAGACGTCTGAGCTGCTCGACACTGAGGGTCAGAGATTTGAAAAACAAGATTAAACACAAACTACATAAGAGTCAAACTATAGAATAACATGTATATATTTTCCTTCTTTTAATAAAATCTGGCCCCTCTCTCTTTCCTGCTGTCCTTCTTTCTCATGTGTGCAGAATGCTACAGCGAGAGCAGCGATCAGGACTGTGACGAGACTGTGTCAGCTTCTTCTTCTTCTTCTTCTCTGAACCTAGAAAGAGGAACAGAGAGCTCCAAACATGTAAGTGAGAACATAACAAAAGTTTTATTTCTGTCCTCGGCTGTAAGTTAAATCCCCGTCTGTATTCACAGATTCCTCAGCATCTCTGTGAACCTCCTTCCTGTGACCTGCTGAGTGAAAGCAGAAGAATGAGTACTTTAGAGGGTGCAGGTCTGCGCAGAGACAGAAGAAGAAAACCTCCTGTTGATGCTGAGCGCCTGTCCTGGTTGGACCTCCCCAAGAGGGACAGAGACGGTGCTGGAGCATCCATCCCTCTGGTCCATGTAGAAGGAGAAAGAGAAGAGAAGGTCACCCCAGGTAAACACCTGATGTTCTCCTGAGTGTAAGTTACTGTAACTGTCCTACAGACAGACGTCCTCCTGAGTGTTATTTATTGTAGCTGTCCTATAAACAGATGTCCTTGTGGTTGTTATTTACTATAACTGTCCTCCAGACAGACGTCCCCCTGAGTGTTATTTACTGTATCTGTCCAATAAACAGATTTCCCTGTGGTTGTTATTTACTATAACTGTCCTACAGACGTCCCCTTGAATGTTATTTACCACTACTGTCCTACAGAGACATTCTCTTGAGTGTTGTTTACTGTAACTGTCCAACAGACCTCCTTTTCAGTTTTGTTTACTGTAACTCTCCTACAGATGACCTCTGAGTGCTGTTTACCGTTTCTGTCCTACAGACGTCCTTCTGTTTGTGTCCTACAAACTGACATCTGTCGGGGTGTTATTTACTGTAATTGTCCTACAGATGTCCTTCTGGGTGTTTTTGACTGCAACTGTCCAACAGACATCCTTCTGAGTGTTGTTCACTGTAGCTGTCCTACAGATGTCCTCCTGAGTGATTTTTTTACTGTAACTTTACAACTGATGTCCTTCTTGGTGTTGTTTACTGTAACTGTCCTACAGACACCCTGCTTTGACTTTTTCCGTCTGTCTGTTAGAAACTGTTATAATTACAATAAAAAAAGTCCAGATATTAACACAATGCTGCCTCACGGGATGATTTCGTAGATCCACCAACGTGGTTTAGCAATAATACTGTAAATCAAGTCTGACCTCCTCTTTGCAGAGATGCCTCCAGATGAGATGGAGAACCTGTACATCCACCTGAAGACTGCCAGCCTGTCTCCGATTGGTCAGTGCGCTCAGAGGGACTTCAGAGCATCATTCATCAGACGGTGTCAAAATGACAAAATCAACGATAAGCTTCACCTGCTCAGGATCCTCAGCAGCACCTTAAAGGTCAGTCACTTAGCAGTCATGTCTGTCTCACTATCTAAAATTAGAAAAGGTCAGGACAACGTTGTACAGAGAGTGACACCCTCCAGACTACTAAATTCACGACCAGGTTCACTCACTGCTGCTGGACTGATGTCTTCACTGGATTATTCGCTTCTTTGATATGTTTTGGCAGACATCTGAGTCCCCCCTCCGTTTTCTTAATCCAACCCCTCAAACATCCTGAGTCCAACTACAATTTAACTTTCGTTTCAGTCCAGATCAGCCTGAGCTTCTTTTCGGACACAGGTGTTCTTAAATCAAGTGAGACATGACAGACCCAGAGTTGAAGAAAATCCCTGAAAACGGCAGCACAGAAGCGGTTTTTATTTCAGGTTGAACTCTCATTCCTCTCTCTTTCAGGCTAAAGAGTCAGACCTGCAGGCGGTGGACCAGATCCTGACAGACCCGGCTCTCACAGCACCCACATACAGACAGTGGAGACTCTCCAACTGTGTCCTTCTGCAGGAGATCAGTCAGAAGAACCAGGCAGCAGGGGGCACCACAGAGCAAAGACTGACAGGACATAACTCTGTGACCTGAAACTACCCGTGTCTGTAGGTCATCTCTTCAGACTGAAACACCAGCTAATCTGGAAGCCTTCAGTGCTGGGACTACACTGGTCTACAGTATCTGGGTAAAGAGACTTCGGTAACTGCAGTCTCTGCCACCTTGTACTTGACCCTGTCTAAAACTGTTGACACCTGTCTGCTCACTGTCTGAACAGTAAACAAATGTAGACTGAAAACTTGGAGGTAAAAGAAAATAACTGGACCAAGTTTCCCTAACTCAACGTTTAACTGAGGACTCTTCGGAGGAGGGTAGAAGCAGCAGGGGGTCAGTTTCAGGTGTGAGTGGATTTACTGTGTTGTTTCATATCTCTGTACAGGTAGTCATTTTTTGTAAATCAGAGGCAGATATTTTGGCTCTAATAAAATGTGTTGAAACTTTTCTATGATGTTCACTAATAATGTTCGGTGAAAACAGTGACTGTCAGGAACCCTCTCATGCAGAAACACATCAAACCCTGGGGAAATCAGATCCTGAGAGCAGTAAAAGAAATAAAAAGAAATTCAGCCGAGCAGACAGTAAACAAATTTATTTTGTCATCTGCATTTACAGCTGGAACTCTGGGAATTCAAACACAACGTCTTTGCCTGTGAGCTTCTTATAGACCCCGGAGAAAGTCTCCACCTGAAAGACAACAGGGAGCAAAGTTCAGTCACAAAAACAGAAATTTTCAAATCAGGGTTTTCAATATGTCTACAGACTTCATCAGTACATGGGTTATTAATGATATTCTCTGCCTGATGTCTAGGACTGATAAAGACTTCATTTCAGGACAAGAATAAAAGGGATCATCTCTAAATCCACTTTGTCTTCAGCCTCATCACCACAGATTGAAACAGATCATCAAAACTTTCACAAGACACTGAACCGACTGATAATATAAACAAACATTAGTAACTATTTTATTCTGCAACATAAATGAAAAAAAATAAGCTACAAGTCAAACAGGAAACGCATCATCGTTATTACTATTAAAAAAAAAAATAGAAATTAAAAAAAAAAAAACTCATTAAACATTTGATCATCTTCTGGTTCTCTGGAGTCTGTGCACTGCATGGTTTAGCTCCCCAGTCACGGCCCCAAGGGACTCTGGGAAGATGTAGGAATATGCAGGACGCCCGTCCTCACCGACCAGCAGCCGGGGACAGAGCTTTCTGTTCGACGTTGTGGAACGGGAATGTACGTCCTCGCTCAGAGGCTACGCTCCCATACGCCACCAGGACAGAGCCAGGAGACGAGCTCTCTGGATGACCACGTCGGGTAAGAACTGTGCTGAATAACCGCACAGTTTACCAGGATGGAAAAAGCTTTTTGAGGCATTGCTGGTTTTCCTGAAGCAGGTTTAATATCAGGTCTTCACAAACCTGGTTTTTAAAAGTTCTTTATCTGATCAAGCTTTTCTTTATTTATTGGAAAACTAAAAACACAAACTTAAGCTGGTCCTGATTTACAGAAGCACCAGCGCCAGACACACGTGTTTAAAAACTACAATAATTACTCAATAACATGAACCTCCTGACCAGAAAGCTTCATCAGAACAAACCCACGTTTATGTCACCAACTCAGCATAAACCTAAAAATCCCATTTACTCTCAGCTGTTTCTATGGTGACCCGTGGACATGGTTTCAGGACAGACACGTCTGCAGAGGTTTTCAGGGATCTTACTTTGTGTTCCACGTTGTTCTGCTGTGCCTTGTCCAGATGGACCTTGATGAGCCTGCTGCTGTCCAGTTTCACTCTGATCCTCTTGCCCACGATCTCGCTGGGAAACACTAGGTCCTCCAGGATGGCGTCATGGACCGCTGTCAGAGTACGGCTGAAGGGGAAGGCAGAGAATTAATATAAACGCCACAACACTCAAACACTCAGAGTCTGATGTTACAAAGAAACTACATCAAGAGGTTCAACTACAGCCAGGGAGCCTCAGAGTTTACAGACAGGCACCAAAGGGCTTCTAACAGACTTGCAGCAGGTTTTGAAATGAGTGTGATCACATTAAAATAAAAATAAAAAGGATCATTAATCAACGACTGAAGATAAAACGTGTCACACATGATAAAAACCTTTTTTTTTCAAAGCAGTTCAAAATGTTGTTCTTGTTCCTCTGTCTCTGAAGTGGAAATACCACAGTTGTTTAAGTAACAAATATGTGCACTGCATGGTTTAGCTCCCCAGTCACGGCCCCAAGGGACTCTGGGAAGATGTAGGAATATGCAGGACGCCTGTCCTCACCGACCAGCAGCCGGGGACAGAGCTTTCTGTTCGACGTTGTGGAACGGGAATATACGTCCTCGCTCAGAGGCTACGCTCCCATACGCCACCAGGACAGAGCCAGGAGACGAGCTCTCTGGATGACCACGTCGGGTAATAACATCACCCTCACAGAAGACTCAAGTTTTCTTATTGACTTTATTCAGCTACAGAGGTTTTCCCTTCACTCTCTGAACAGCAGAGTTACAGCTGCTTCTGTTTCAGGGTGTGCTGGTTCTGGAAACACTGAGCTGCTGTTGAGGCTCAGATGCTGCACAAGATCTTCTTACTGTGATCCAGATTTCAGAGAATATCTAGAGTTTGGTTCTCACTGAGGGGCTTCTTCCACTGGACCAGAACCAGACATTAAATCTGACCTTCTGCTCTTAAAAAGGACAAAAACAGTCTGGATTTGAGCTCCACCTGCACAGCATCCCTTCACCTCATGGTGATGACTGTCCTCCAATTTTAGACTTTTGTTTTTCTCTACAGTTATAAAAGGAAACTTTAGGTAAATAATGGAGAAAATCATCTGCAGGTGAATCAAGGTGCTTTAATCTTTGAATGCTGATTTTTTGGTCAGTGGTGTGGCGAGACTTTAACAGGAATTAAGGGGGAAAAAAGATGAAGGTTCTCTGTAAAAGGGACAACTGTGATCAACAGAAAATCAGGGTTTACTTCACGTCCCTCATTAGACTATCTTAAGTTAGACGACAAACATGTCTGTCCACAACTCAGCTACATAAATATTAAACTGTCATTTAGGTCATGGACTTAAACGGCAAAAAAGACCTAAAATGTAAAACTGACGTTTGGCTTTAAACTGTTTAAAGTTCGTTTTGTAGGATTCTTAATTAAGTTGAGTCAAACTGAGAGTGTCCAGCCTGATGACCCAAGATATGAGTCTGAAAACATGTCACAGCACCAAAGTTCTTCAAGACAGATACAGAATATAGTCAAACTTATTTTGAACACTTTACACACACCACCATCCCATAAAGTCCTGGAGCAATCACAGTAAAATTCAGCCTGTCATAAAGTCTGAGGGTTTCTGCTCACCTTCTGGGACGCTTCTGCTTATTCTTCGTGCGGCTTTTCCTGGTGGGTTTGGGCAGAATCCTCCTCTGAAAACCACAAAACAGCTGATTAAACTTCGATTCAACATTTACTGACATTAGAAAAGAGCTCGACTCTAAATTTATGACAATACCACTAAGAAACATCAGTCAGACGGATCAATGGGATTGACTTTCAGAATCTGCAGAAAACTTCAGCAGGTCAAATGTTCAGATCTACAAACATATGATTTTATCGCGTTACATAATGTGCACTGCATGGTTTAGCTCCCCAGTCACGGCCCCAAGGGACTCTGGGAAGATGTAGGAATATGCAGGACGCCCGTCCTCACCGACCAGCAGCCGGGGACAGAGCTTTCTGTTCGACGTTGTGGAACGGGAATGTACGTCCTCGCTCAAAGGCTACGCTCCCATACGCCACCAGGACAGAGCCAGGAGACAAGCTCTCTGGATGACCACGTCGGGTTGGGTATCCAGACCCATAAAAATGATCTGCTTTACACCTGATCTGTTTTAGTTGAAACCTTTTAGAGCCTAAATTATTTTACAGCCTGCTCAGATCAAAAATAGAAGATCAAACTTCAGTTTTTCTGTCTCAAACAGGACAAACTTTGAAGCACTTGTTGATAACATCCCTGCAGAGGCAAAGTGACCCTCACTGCAGCGATCACATGTCCTTAGAGATGTTTTCTTACACTGACATTGTGCTGCTGGAAAACAAAACTGTTTGATCTCCTGTCAGGACTGAGCTTCTCCAGACTGAACCTCCACACTATAAATCGACATGAAGCAGAAAAGCCTCCACTTCACCTCAGCAGCTTTCTTCAGTGAGCTCATCAGCTTCAGGGAAAACATCTATAAACTGTCACTCTTCAGTATCATTAAACAAGAATACAGAGCGCACACAGACATCATCATCCTCACCTGTGCGATGAAGACCACGTGCTTTCCACTGAACTTCTTCTCCAGCTCCCTCACCAGACGCACCTGAATCTTCTGGAAGGACTTCAGCTGAGGAACAGGAACGAAGATGATGATGGCTTTCCTGCTGCCACCAACCTCGATTTCCTACAGACAGAACAGGGTCATTATGAGTAACACTCCACACCTCCGTCCACTGTTTGAGGAGACATTAACACCAACAAAGGACACAGGTTTGTCCATGAGATCATGTGCACTGCATGGTTTAGCTCCCCAGTCACGGCCCCAAGGGACTCTGGGAAGATGTAGGAATATGCAGGACGCCCGTCCTCACCGACCAGCAGCCGGGGACAGAGCTTTCTGTTCGACGTTGTGGAACGGGAATGTACGTCCTCGCTCAAAGGCTACGCTCCCATACGCCACCAGGACAGAGCCAGGAGACGAGCTCTCTGGATGACCACGTCGGGTAGATTTGAACATTTATGTCCAGATACTCAGGTTTCAAATGTTCTACACTCAATGAAACTGAGACGTTTATGTTATGGAGAAAAACACTTAAATATGTGAAATATTCCTTTAAAGCTCCCACCTTCGCTGCTGTGATGTTCAGCTCTCTCAGCTGAGCCTTCAGGTCAGAGTTCATCTCCAGCTCGAGCAGAGCCTGCAATGAAACGAGCACAGTTATGATACACATACTGACAGATGGATGACCTTCCATTTTTAAGAGACCTACAAAAGCATAAAAGCTAGCTCACTGTTTCACTGGATTTATTAACAGGAAACAGATACTGATCTGTTTTCAAAGCTTGACAGAAAACAGGTCTGGCAGATTTTAAGCATCACTTCCAAGTCCTCCATCTCATCTGTGTTTACACTGAAGACACAATGGCTGCAGTGACTCTGGTCCCACCTTAATGTTGTAGTTTTTCTAAAAACCCTGTGGTCCCCTTCCACACTATTTTTATGTTGCTGCTTCTGATCATCATGACAGCATTTAACTCAAACACTAACCACTGAGTATTTTAGATTTGATAAAGGTGCTGATGCGTTTTTGTTAGGACCGATAACAGTGATACCAGCCCCTTGAAAGTCATATCGGCACTGATTCACTAAATTTAGACCGTGGAAGTGATCAGTATTAATATGGGCCTAAACACTAGAAAACATATGTATTAATCTCTAAACCCTAATTAAAAATGTGGCTCTCTAATTTTAAAGTTTTCAGTCTGGTCCTGGTCTTTGAAGGGTCAGAAAACCATAGAAAGTGCTGAACAGTCCATTTCACCAGAATGACAGCTGAGACAAACCCTTGGCCGACTCCACTTAGATTAAAATTCAATATATTCAACTTAACAGCAACATGAATAATCGTATTTATAACATTAACAGTCCCCCTCCCCATGTACCTGAGAAAGTGGGACCTGCAGCTCTTACCTGGGAGATCCCGGACTCAAACTCGTCTGGCTTTTCGCCATTGGCCTTCACTATTTTGGCGTTGGTACTGAACATGGCCTTTGTCTCTGCAGAGAAAAATGATCATCTTTTAATAAAACAGCAGATCCTCTTCAGACACACCTGACATGATCCTTCAGACCAGGATGAGGGGGAAAACACCAGATCAACACTTACTGGGAACAACAGGCTTCTAAATAAGACAATATGTGTAGTTTTACACAAATAATACCCGGACTACACACTCGAAGTAACCTGGAAGAGGAGCTGGACTGTCTAAGTCCAACTGCAGACTGGACCAGGTCTGTTAGAGCTAAGCTAGCTCTACTTAGCCGCCGGTCCTTTTTGACTACCACATCTTCGTATGAGCTAACTAGACCACATGGAGGATATATATTCAAATAACATTTACGAACTTATCCATACAGTTTAATGAGCTCTCTTCTCCACGTCCTGCAGTCTCTGAAATCTGAACACATGGAAGGCCCGCTAACTTTACCCATTACTGCAACCCATTCACCGAAGCCTTTCTACTATTCTCTATTTTCTGTTATAAAACGGCCATCCGTCGACACAAAAGACATAATCTAAAGTATCAGAAAGGTAAGTTGACATACGATCCATAAAAACGCGAATTTAATGACATTAAGAGGCATTTTGAGACATAAAAGCCAGTCACTAGAAAAATAGCACGACTAACCTCAGTCAACGACGGCCAAGGAAGAGACCGGATCATCGCGAGAGTTGTATTAATCCAATGAGCGCCATCCGTTGTGCTATCGCGAGAGTAAGGGGATTCCACGTTTGGAGTGGTAAAATATCGCGAGAGTATTTTGTGCTGCTTGAGGGGTCACCGGTGTTCCCCTTTAAAATAGTGGCCCTGTCAACTGGCGCCTGTCAGCCAAATATTACGCCTTTAAGTGCCTATATTACCACACCAGAGTCATATCTGATGATTAAATTTTGATTCAGATTCTATTTCATACGGTGAAACACCTTTTTTACGAGGACGTCTTCGCGTTTTTGACGCTGCTGACACATTTGGCGGAAAGTCGTCACCCAACACGGTCACGATTTAAAGCGAAACACCGGAGTACATTACAGCGTTAGTTTTGGATATCTTGGTCGGGTTGTTCCGGTAACTGTAAGTTGTTGACCATGCGGGTAATTTAATGACTCAAAGACCTCAAAGGAAAAATAAACGCTGCTGTAGTTATTAGGGCTCATGTTTACGCACGTGGACTTTTGAGAAGAAGCGAAACCTGCTGTTGTCGGTGTTAGCTAGGTACTGCCCGTGTTAGCTAACTACTGTCTGCACATCTTTGTATGGTGGCAGATTTTCCCTTTATTTGAGGCCTCTCGTTGAACACACATTAACTATTCAGAAATTAAGATATTTCAGTGTGTTTTCAGCTGACATGGCGTTATTAGCCACCTCATTTTGGCTCCACTCAGCGTGCAGACAGTGATGTTTAGGCTGACTGGTGTTTTCAGGAGCTTCTGCAGCGCCGCAGAGGACATGGCTAAAGGAAAGTTTTTCTACGCTGTCAGAAAAGGATTCAAACCCGGAGTCTACAACTCATGGTGAGATAGTAAATATAATGATATCAGCATGTCTGAATGGAAGAAAAATCCCTGTGTACCCTACAAACCATGCTTGTTCTTCAGTTGAATGGGGCACGTGCCGAACTGCGTTGAGAAATTGTGTGATTTTAACTTTTCTTATGGTTGGTAAATTTCACTTGAGTATAAAGAATGCATTAAGATTTTTATTCAATCATATTAACCCACTCTAAAATTCGGCTATAAAGCAATTCGTGAACCACAGCTAGTTTTTTGATGATTCATCTTTGTATCTCCATAATACTTCACTGTTCGTCGTACAATGAGGAGTCTACTGGTCGACCGATATCAGCAGTTCAACGGCTGTTGCCGATAATTACAGACGGCAGCTGTCCTTATAATGGTTTGATCTTGACTTAATGTGATTGAAAATTACTTGAATTTGATTGAAAATAACAAAATAGCTGAACTTGATTAAACAGTCCATGGTACTTTTAATATTGTCTTTCTCAGGTGTTGGCATAGTAATGTATTGCCACAATTGACCTCTGGATTTCTGTCCATTCATGTTATTTTAAATCAGCCTCATGAGCACAGATATTGGCCAATGCTTTTTAATCTAAAATGTATAAATTGTCCAACAGATTACTCAGTCTGTTTTGTTGTATCTCAGGAGAAAAGATAGGAAGAGATTCACCACGCTGTGAGAGACTGCATGAGCAAATAGTTAAACAGTTTCAGAATAATGATCCTTAGTGTCAGATATGAAAGACTGAGTGGACTTTATCATCTACAGTACATGAAATCATCATCTTAAGTTGCACTGCATTGAAACGGACAGCACTTCAGAGTGGAAATCTCTGCATGAGTTCAAAATCCCTTCAGAGACCATTGTCTGTGAACACATTTCATCACTGCATCCACAAATTAGGTTAAACCAGAAACAGGATATGAACATTAACAAACCTTTATGTTGCTTCAGGGATGAATGTAGGAGCCAGGTGGAGAAATTTCCAGCAGCATCTTATAAGAAGTTTGCATCAGAGAAAGATGCCTGGGCTTTCTTTAGAGGACTTGATCCGTCCCCAACTCCACATGCGTCGAAAGGTCAGTAAAGCAGTCTCCTTTTCTCTCTCTATTATTACATTTGCTGTAAAGTTTGGTTAATGCTCATTTCTTGCATGGGGGCATGATGAAATAAACAGAGTAATGCGGTACCGCTCCTCTTTTCTTTGATATGTTGCTTAAAGCTCACGGCTGGACTAAATACCTCCTGACAGAAAACCGTTTGTGTCTTTCAGTGTTTGAGGCTTTGAAGTCAGATGTCAGTCTGCTTCCTAAAAGAGGACCAGAGCCTCTGGAGTACATCCCTCTGGGCAAGAAGAGATGTCACTCAGAGGAAGAAGCAGAGTCCAGCCCCAAAAAAGCCAAACAGTCAGAGAGCTCATCCTCAGAGAGCAAAGATGGATTTACATACATGGGTGAGATAGTCAGACATACCAGAGACAAACTCAGATAAAGTCTGAACTTGGTATTTGAATCAAACCATAACTAACTATAATCTATGTAATTTTGATAAATTAAGATGAGGCAGCATTTGAGGGTGTGTTAGGTATTAGCTCTGCAGTGTCACCAGAGTGTCTCCGCCTCTCCTCAGGTGATGCTGTGGTTGTCTACACTGACGGCTGCTGCTCAGCTAATGGAAGGAAAGGAGCCCGAGCTGGGATCGGGGTGTACTGGGGTCACAACAACCCATCGTGAGAAAATGCTCTTAAGTACTAACACACAATAGCTGTTCAGAGGAAGCTTTCTAGAGCAAACTTTGATGAACTCCTCTTCATTGGTAAGCATTCATTTTACACTATTTGCTGTTTGTCTTGCAGAAATGTTGCAGAGCGGCTGCAAGGAAGACAAACAAACCAGCGTGCAGAAATACAGGTAATAGAGATATAGCCAACCAACATGAGATGGTCCGATCTTAAATCCTGGTCAAACAAAAGCTGTATTCAGACACACAAAAGTCCCTTTGACTGTTTTTAAGGTCTTTCTGCATAAGTCAAGCAGACCCAACAGTCTGACAGCGTTCAGGTGCAACTGTTTTCTCTTTTGTCATGTGATGCGTTTGAGTGACAGTAAAAAAAATCAGATACTTCACTGACTCATTAACATACGCTCTCAGCTCAGTTCCTCTGTGAAGTCTCGGCCTTCAATACTGACATTGAGACACCTTCACTTCTGGATGTCTGTGTAAAAAAAGTATATATACATGAGTGCAGCCATCGTGGATTAACAAACAGTGTGGCCTGTTTTGGTGTGAATGAACCAGGCGGCCTGCAAAGCTCTGGAACAGGCCAAAGAGATGAACATCAAGAAGCTGGTTCTCTACACAGACAGCAAGTTCACAATCAACGGTGAGTTTGTAAACCAAAGAGAGCTGTGTACAGAACCTGATCATGTAACTCTGGTGAAATTTTTCACTCAGAGACCTCAGAGTCTGTCTGAAACCTGTGGCGGTTTTTCTCTGTAGGTGTGACCAGCTGGGTGAAGAACTGGAAGCTGAACGGCTGGAGGTTGAAGTCTGGAGGTCAGGTCACCAACAAAGAGGACTTTATGAAGCTGGACAGACTGAACGCAGAGCTGGAGGTTGTCTGGGTAAATATCATCAGACGTCTCTTGAACACTCACAGAGGTCTGAACTGTTGCAGAAACAGCTGAACTGAAGAGATGACTGCAGGTCTGTTTTCTCTCTTTTTCTTTCAGATCCACATTCCTGGTCACGCCGGCTACAGAGGCAACGAAGAGGCCGATAGACTGTCCAGAGAGGGAGCTGCAAAGGCTTCAGAGGAGAGTGGAGAGATGGACTAGAATCCCTAAAGACATCAGCTGCTGGACTGTTAGTGTGACAGAAAGTGGACCGCTTTTATTCAGGTGTGTTTTTGCACAGACTGGAGTCTCTTGTTTTCTTTAAATGTGTCATTTGCTGCTGTAAATAAAGTTTCTGCCTTAACCAAACCTTTCCTGTCTATAAAGCTGCAGGGTATTAAAGTGAAGTTTCTTCAAATGATCATTTTGTTGTATGTTTTATGGAAGAAAAGTGCAGGTGAGGAAAAAGGAGGAAGGAGAGGAGAGAAAAGAGGAAGGGGGAGCAACCTGGAACAGTGAGGAGGTGTAGAAACATGAGGGCTGTTCAGTTTATGGTGTGAGTAAAGTTCAGAGCAGCAGAAAAACGCCAGGAGACCAGAAAGAGAAAAATCAGAAGTGAAAAACTTTATTTTCACCTGTTTGGGTTTCAAGTCAAAGAATTTTTTTCTGTAATACACTCGGTTTACCAGCAGGGGGAGCTCCAGGCCATATTTTAACAACTTCATTAAAGAGCGAAGTTTGGCTGAAGGATCTGATCAACGAATTTGGTGCATATCCGTTTGTAAATACTGGTTAAAAATGACATGTTTACAAAGTTTGATTCATGCTACGGAATCAAAGAGAAAAAAAAATCCCAGATATTTTCAAGTTAAGTCCGAGCTCACCTGAAGCTGTCTGCTCTGGCTGTTCTCATAGGTGCTGATTTAATCTTGATAGAAACAGTGAGACTGTGAACAGCTGAAGTTACAGGTAACAGCAGAACTTTCATCAGCTCAGAATGGACATGCAGAAAAAAACAGCTGAATGACTCTTAATTCGATTGTTTCAGGTTCCCCTGAAGCTTCATCAAACTGGCTGATTTATCTGAGATTCATTCAAAAAGCGAACATAAAATCATTTTACAACACAGCACCAATTCAGAACCATTATCTCATGAATGAAAATAGTTTGCCTAAAACCTGCAGTTTTAAGGTTTTCAACACAAGCACTTAAAACCTAACGAAACCTTCTGATATCTATAAGGAGATGAGGATTCATAACTGATGATTTGATGTTCAGACTCTGCGATGCTCATGTATTCATAAATAAAATGTGGTGAAACACGAGTCACCACACTTTTAAACTTCTAAAGGTTCATGAAAACTTGTTGGTCTGCAGGTTTCTCTGAGGGGAAAGATTTTCTGTTGTTCAGCTAAATTTAGGGACAGGGAGCCCGTAAATTACCCCATGGTGCTTTATTCCAGCTTTTGATGCTTCCTTACTTCGAACCAAATCGGCACCAGAACAACACCTACCAAATCTGTAATAGATCTACAAGACCTAGAATCAGAGAAGACTTGACTGTCACCAACCCATGGTGCAAATATATGTCTGCCTCCCTCTGTCTAGTCCTCGAGCCCCCCCATCCTGCATGTTTTGGATGTTTCCCTACTCCAACACACCTGATTCAAATCATCAGCTCGTTATCAAGCCATTCCAGAGCTTGATAACGAGCTGATCATTTGAATCAGGTGTGTTGGAGCAGGGAAACATCCAAAACATGCAGGACAGTGGGCCTTGAGGACTGGACTTGAGAACCACTGGTCTAGTCTTAAATGAAGCTGTACCATGAGACAGATAAAACTGAATATTTAGAGCAGTAATATCTGTAATAACATATTTGAAATAAAAGGTGATGACGTGCTATAAAACGTGATTTCATACTTGTGAGGTCTTAAATTTAAGAGCAAAATCTGAAACATGTCAGATTATTATGTAAGAATAACTATGTGAGAATATAGCAGATTATGCATCAGATCCACTCTGGTTGTATCAGTGTTTATTTGAGGTTTGCTAGTGTATCATGGACTCATTCACAAACCACAAATGGAAAGAAAAGAAAGATGGAAAACTGGAAGTTCAGTGAAATATAATGTGGGGAAAGAAAGTGCAGAGAGAATTTTTAGGAGCCAATAACCACGAGTGAGCTGAGAGGATATTTGGTTATGTTTCTCCTGAGCTACTGTCAGATTGTTTTATGCTGTAAAATAGTTTTGAGGTCTTTTGGTTTGAGTCTTGGAAATCTTGGTCTTGATTTAAAAAAGTTTCCATTTTATTGGGAGATATTGAGAGAAACCTTAAACCCATCTCATTCAGCGTCTCCTCTGCTGTTCCTCTGCTGGCTGATACAGAGAGTTTTGTGCATGAAAACTTGTAATGTTCTCAGTCTGGTGCAAAGACAAAATTAAGTGTATCTGCATGTTATTATTCCAACTTTATGAGGCTGAACAGGAACTTCTAACCCTGCTGGGTTTGTAACAGAGAGTTGGCAGTGCAGCCCATCCAGAGTGTGCTATAGGCAGTGCGAGGCTCTGTATGAGCCTGAACTGAAGCTCCGTAGATGATGAGACAAGTGCCAAACAATCTTTAACTCTGCAGCAGACAAGTTTGGAGACGCTGAAGACAGACAAGTTTTCTGAGACCTGAGGAGAAGCCACAGTTGATTAAGTTTCATAGATTTTTTTTTTTTTCATTTACATTTATTAATTTTTCCCACACAAAAATCCATTACATAACAGTGTATAAAGTTTGACTGATAACTTCCTCACAAACAGTTATCTCCATATTAACTCTTCTCTCAGCTTCTGTTCGTGGTTATAAATCCACTTTCTTCAACAGCTAGTTTCAAACTTTGTTTCTGTGTTGCACGTAGAAACCATAGAAACTGAAGCCCAGTTACAGGTCCACAAAGAGAGTAAAAGAAAACAGTGAAATAAAAAGAGAGCTAAAGAGTTTGTGATAATTTAGTAAAATCTTTTTTCTCATTGTTATAGGTCTGATCTTATCATCTCTTTATAACATTTCCCTTGAACCCTGAAACAGCTCCTTCATTCATCTTTGCGATGGGTTGACGTGCTTCCTTTTAAACTGGATTCAGGATTTCTGTACTCAATAGCTCAAACAGAGGTTAGCAAAGATCTGAGTTCAACTACTTATTACAGGTGTGAGAGGAAGGTGGTCCAGGATGAAACTGCAGACTGCTCTGATCAGCCTGCGCAATTAAGTCTCACCAAAACCAAGAGAGGTCCACACCAGATTGACTCAAGTCATGACCGAGTGGCAACAGTGGAAGGGGGTTCTGAAGTACAGGGTTCCAGAATGTTAGGGTGCTGGGTTACGGATTACGAAGTTTTGGATAAGTGGGTTCCATAGGGCCGAGTTCTAGAATACTGGGTTTTAAATTAATGGGTTCTAGAATGCTGGGTTTTAAATAAATGGGTTCTAGAATGCTAGGTCTTAAATTAATGGGTTCTAGAATGCTGGGTCTTAAATTAATGGGTTCTAGAATGCTGGGTTTTAAATAAACGGGTTCTAGAATGCTGGGTTTTAAATAAATGGGTTCTAGAATGCTAGGTCTTAAATTAATGGGTTCTAGAATGCTGGGTCTTAAATTAATGGGTTCTAGAATGCTGGGTTTTAAATAAACGGGTTCTAGAATGCTGGGTTTTAAATAAATGGGTTCTAGAATGCTAGATCTTAAATTAATGGGTTCTAGAATGTTGGGTCTTAAATTAATGGGTTCTAGAATGCTGGGTTTTAAATAAACGGGTTCTAGACTGCTGGGTTTTAAATACATGGGTTCTAGAATGCTGGGTTCTGGAGGTGCTTGACGTCTCTTAAAGAGACAGTTGCTGAAATGAGGCATTTCAGTCAAGGGCTTAAACAAGGAGTTTTAAAGACTTCAATCGGAGCCCAGGACAGAGTTTTTGAGTTTGAATTATGGAGAGAGTCATGAGCTTTTAGAAGGAGGACAGACTGACTGAACTGGAACTGGAACTGGACTCAGACTGTTGTAACAGTTCTGGAGCAACAGACTGAGACAACTGATGTGTCTGAATGAGGCCTGATAACGTTTGTTTTTTTCTGAGTGAAAGTCCGAGTAAGAGAGTGTGTGTCTGAATCACTCACACTTCTATTGTTTATTGATCTCTGCCCCGCTTGTCAGTTTTCCAGAGACCCTTTAAAGCTCTGATTATAACCCAGACCCTGACACACATCGCTGAAACTTTCCCCAAAGTAACTGGGATTTTCTCTGCATCCCAGTGAGATTTTGGACTTTAGAGTGAGCTGATGTAAGACGCAGTAGGAAGTTTTCGGAATGTTCACTGCACATGTGCAGAGGTGATGATGGAGAGATCATGCACATGGTGTGAACCTGGAAGAGCAACACGAGACAGAATGAATAAAAACACCTGGAAAGGTCATTGTCAGGACGAGAACAGCACAGTTGGGTGTTTACAATAAAGCTGTAAAAGTAAAAACTGTCGTTGTCATTCAAGGTCTCCGCTGCTTCGTTTTCTGTCCTGTTAGACACTTTGTAACTTTCACTGCAAGACTTTCAGACCTGCCTCCTGAGACTCAGTTCGGCCCTCTTTAAAGACAGGCAAAGCTTCACATTTTGAGGGATGTGTGTGACTGAGAAACTTACGAACATTTCGGGTCCAGCTCATGTAAAATCCTGAAAATGTTGGGGATGCTCAGGTGAAAGGCTTTGGGATGAAGAGTCTGTCCTTCATGAAAGTCTGAGTGTTTTTATTTTCCTCTTTTACTCTTGACACTCTGATAAGCTTCATCCTGGCTTCTTTTACTTTGACTTATCAAGAGTATTTCTTCTGCCGCAGTTTCTCCTCTTTCTCTCGCATGTTTTAAAAACTAATTTGTTCAGCTGATGGAGAGAAGAGACAGAGAAATTAAAGGCTCCCCCTCCTCTCCAGCTCTCTTCCTCCACCTCCTCTTCCTCCTCCGTCCTCCTGCGGCCGGTCGATTGGTCGTGTCGATGTTGGAAACGGCAGGACGGAGGCTCGGGGTTCTTCACTCTGACCCCGGTTGCTGCCTCCCGGCGAGCGTGGGGCGCCACGACCCCGCCAGAGGCAGCCCAGTCTGAGAGAGAGCGCGTCTCTGAGGTCAAAGGTCACCTCGCAGCAGCTTCACCTCCTAGCTGGCTGAGCCTCGTTAGCACTCCTCCTCATCACATCCACACATTTCTCCTCAGCAGACTGCAGCTCTGGCATTGGTCCACTGCTGCCCCGCTGGAGGGGAGGAAGACCGAGAAACCACAGAAACTTAACAAACCAGACATTAGAGCCATCCTGCTCACACTTCACTGACAGGGTTTGTCAATTTTTAGACCAGCAGCCTCTAAAATAAACTGGAATCTTCTGCTGGGGTTGATCAACTCTCTGACACCACAAACCGTCTGACACAGAGCGGGGGATGTTCGCCAAAGTGCTCGCAGAGAAAGAAAGAAAGAAAACTTCATGCAGACATTCGGCTGCTCAGCCGGCTGTGCTAATGTTTCAGAGTCACTTAGTTTAAGTCCACAAACTTGGCTTTGTGTCTCGGTTTGGTTTGGACCAGAAGGTGCTAAATTACCTGCTTTAGTCCAGATCACGGTCACTGATGTTCTGTAGGAGTCAAAAACCGAGTGTCTGAGTTTTAAAGGAAACGGTGGTTTGAAGTCATGATTTATTCCCTGAAGTTCGGAAGCAACTCCGGCTTCTACTAAGTCTGACTTTAGTTCTCCCTCTTTTTGTTAACTTCTCACATCATGCTGTGACCAACAGGTGTGCTCTCAACCCCTCTGGACATGTGGCATGGACTCTCCTTTAGGGCTAAAAGGATTCTTGATAATCCAGAAATCTTTGAGCCCATGGTCAAGTCGTTGTTTAAATCTAGACTTTATGAGATCCCAGTTGTAGACCAACACCAACTACCTAATAACCACCATTCAACAGCAATAAAACAAACAAAAAACGATCTACATTTATAAAAAAAAGAGTTTTCACGGTTATGTTCACGTTTATTTCCATCTATAAAGCCATCAGTTCTACCTCTTCATCAGCTCTGTGCGTACTTGTATTATGCTCTGGTCTTCCCTCAGAGACTCATCAGGGTTTTTAAGTCCTCCTTGGATCAGTGAACAGTTAAAAGTAAATATCTACAAAAGCACATAATTCAGAATATTACATATATCATTTCTGTACAGTGTGAAGAGTTTGGGTTTTACGAAAGCTCCTTGTGACACCCCTTTAGTGACATCCTGTAGGTGTGATTTATAGTGTTCAAGATGTATCCACTCTTTCTGTTGCTATTGATGCTCATTGTCCTGTTGTTGGATGAACCTTTGAGATCGTGTGACCATGTTTTGGAAAGGAGAAAATCACGATTCACAGAATCAAAGGATTTTTTGCCGTCAATAATCTAATGTTGTTCTGCTGTTTTTCCCATGGTTGTTATTGTTTTTACTGCTGCTGCCGTTTGGGTGGATCTATTCTTTATGAAACCGTTCCAATTTTCACTTTATGCTTAATTTTTTGTCATTTAGTCCCCCTTTGAAGATTAAACCACCATACTGTCAGTCCCAGTCCCAGTCCCAGTCCCAGACTGTCAGTCCCAACCTGGTGATGAGTAGTTTTAAAGTACCATATGGAAAAGCTAACATACTTTTCGAGTTTTAAATCATGTTTGAGTTGCTCTTTGTTTTCTGAATCCATCAGGGTTTATCTAAGTCTGGGGTTTCTGAGGCCATGTCTGAGTCACCATCTAATCTAGGTTTTCAGAGGTTTCAGTAACAACACTTGAAGAGCTCTCTTTCCATTGTGCAGGATAAGAACAGCAGCTGAATGCTGGAAAACCTTAAGTCGGTCTCATTTCTTTGATTATCAGTGCACATCTGGCTCTGAAGGGGTTGCTCATAGGTTTGGTTCCTGCTCTCCTCTCCAGCATTCATCATCAAATTACTTCTTCTTTCTATCCATTGACATCGTTTCCTATCTGATCCTGAATCTAGAGAAAGAAGGGCTGGGCTCAGCGCTATGCTGATGGAGGTGGCAGAGGAGGAGCTGCACACAGAGATGGCAGCACTGAACAAAGTGGTGTCTGTTTCCATGACAGCTGTCTGCATCCGACTCTGAAAACAGCTCCCCACCTGCTTCCAACATGACATCTTATATGATAAAGAAGAGGGTTTCTTCGAGACCCAGAGGCAGAGCTCTCTATGTACCAATTGGTCCAAATTCCTACCATTGACTCTAAAATTCATGAACCGTCTCAACATCCTTCAGACGTACAAAAACATGAAACGCTGCATAAAATATTAAAAAATAACATATTTTCATGGTTTAATTTGATGAAGCAGCATGTTTGTAAAAGTGGTTCTAGGTTCATGTTCATCGTTGTGTGTCCTCAGCTCTTCATTTTCCGACTCTCTGTAAGCATTTTTGAACCCTGGAGACCAGTGGCAGACCAGTTTAGCAGCAGGACTCTTCTAGTACAGAGCCATGCTGTTGCAATCCCTGCAGAATGTGGTTTGCCATTGTCTTGCTGAAATATGAAACTCTGCCCTGGAAAAGTCATAGTTTGGATAGCAGCAGATGTTGCTCCTAAACCTAAAGATATTGTTCAGTATTAATGGAGCCTTCACAGATGTGGAAGATACCCATGACATGAGCTCTGATGATCCCTATGCCATTGAGTGGTCCCTCTACTCTATAGAGAAATTTGAGTGTTTTGCTCTTCCACGTGCATTGTCATGAGCTCTGGATACCAGTAGAAGAATGGGACTGTAAATGCAAGTGTCTAAAAGGAGCGTCCTTTGACAGATGTACAGGCTTGGCTTCAGAGATAGCGTGAGAACTTCAGATTTTTTTGACAGATCTTGGAGCAGAGCTACTATTTCTTCTAAAGGAGTTGAAAGAAGGTGGTTCAGGCAAGACATCCTCCCAAAACCTCTCTTTGGAGGTCTTAGGAATGTCCAATCAGGTGGAAACCCCAGGGCTGACCTAGAACTTGCAAGAGGAACTCAATACCTGACTCCCAAAGAGGGGCAGCTTGGTGATACTTTGTTTTGTTTTGTTTTGTTTTCTGGCAGAAAGCTGGTAGAAAATGTTTTCTTGAAGGTTTATTGTGGTGTGGGTTTTGTTTTTTTTGGAAAACCGCATCAATTTAAAGAGCTGTTACATAAGAAAATTTATTCCCTTCAGGAGCTGAGCTCTTGATCCAACTCGTTTGAAGCCTCAAACTCAGCAGCGATGGCTTAGTTTTTCCCTGCATGTATTAATCAAAATTAATCAGAAAATTCAAGAGGTCAGAGCGAATGAAATCTCTGCCAACTTTCTGCTCATTTACCATCATATTAATCTGTAAAACAAAGTCTCAGTCTCACATTTCTTCTTCTTTCATCAGTTTCTGGTGATATCTTGGCATAAAATATCGAAGCACAACACAAACCAGAAACCTTTGTGTTCTTGTTTGTCTAATTTGGTGGAATAACCCTTTAAACCTGAAGTAGTGTGAAATTTCACAGCATTATAAACCATGTATCCCTGATGGAATGACCGCTTGCCAATACAGCATTATAAAAAACACATTTTTCTGTTGGACTGATGAAGCTGTCGGTCCGGCAGGTCAGCGAACACACCACAGGCGTCAGCCAGACGGCATCCTGATCCAGCTGATCAATGTTTCCTGCGTACTAACCGATCAGTGTATCAGCTATTAGCAGCTTGGCAGGTTCCCGTCATCTGGGGCTTCATTATCTCGTCTCCCCGCTGATTTGCATCGTGGACAGAAACATATGAATCAATTTGTGCCCTCGTTGGAAGTTTGGCGCGCTCTGCATCCCTGCAGCCATCTATGCGTTTCTAAAGTTTCACTCCAGATGAGATTTTTCAGCATTTGGAAATTATGACGCCTACTCTGATTAAGAAAAAAATCAAACATTTGGAGCAAAAGTAAAACTCATTATGGAAATACATTGAACTTATTGACTATTCATGGGATCTGCCTGCAAACGAGGAGGCACTCTCCAGGATTTCAGTCAGAGTTTGGAGGATAGAAAGCAGAAGTTTTAACTCACTTAATGAGTTTGAATCGTTCCATAATTATTGTTTCAGATCAGTTTAATCACTGAATCATGCTTTACATTTATTCATTTATTGGAATATGGTTCAGTCAGGTTAGTCCCATGAGGTCCAAGATGTTTTCCAAGTACGGCAGCAACATAAAGTTTAAACAACCAAATGTTCTGACTCTTGCAGAACTAAAAATCCACAGGATGCCAGTGAAAACATGAGCATCCAGGAAGTCCGGCCTCTAGCCCATTTACAGGGATTCAAATACATTCAGGCTAATAAAGTTTGATTAGATAGATGTGGTCTTTAGTGCATTGTCTATCATTCCTGTGGAAAGACAAAGAGTAGAAGCTCCCAGACCCTTTGTCATATTAACACACACATGAGCACAAAGTAATGTGTAAAGATGGATAGTTACTAATCCAATCCAAGAAAATTTATAAAGCACATTTAAAAACAAACAACAAAAAAAGCTAACCAAAGCACTGTACTGTAAAAATGAAAAACAATAAAACACAGACGCTGGACCACAATAAAAACAGGAGGACATAAATTAACACAATTCACACCCCTGTCACGGACACTCAGGAGATATTTGAATGCTTTTATTTATTCTTTTTAATGGATTTTAAAACCAGGACCAGAAATCAAAGGCATTGGAGCAACACTGCACAGATTGATTTCTCATGGGGTCCCTCAAGGCTCAACCCTGAGACCTTTCCTTTTTCAATTATATATTAATAACTCAGACATGACCTCACTTAAAGCAATTTTTTATTTTGTTCGCTGAATCAAATATTTTTCTGGTAACGTTGTAGAGGAACCAGAATCTTATTTGAACGTTTACGGGAGTAAAATCACTACTTGGCTTTAGGACTTTATCCTAACGGTCCTTTACAGTGGTTACTGCATCTATGATTCATGAAATTTTGAATAGCGGGAGAAACAATTGTTTTATCAGGTCTTCTCTGAAGACGTTTCAGTCTCAGGGCTGCTGATATAGATAATTAATCAATTTGACCATAAATAGTAATCAATGATGACTGTCAGTCAATAATGTTAACTGGTGTTCATTTAATGTTAACTTAAATTATGTCTCTTATAAAGTTTATAAAATCATGTTTTGCTCTATCTTTGTTTTGACTTTAAATCAATAATCTGTCAACATAAACTGAAGTGCACCCTCTCCTCAGCTCTTACAAGTTTGTGACTTCACTGAAGAGCAAACAAAGTAAACTTTGTATGTTTAGTCCACAATTCAGTTCAGTTTCTGTTCACTTTTATGTTTTCGGACCCGAGCCTCTTCAGCCTGGCCCGAGGTGAGGCCAAGGTTGGCAGGGTGAAGGTGCTGCAGCGCCATCCATCAGCTGGAAGAGCGCTAATTATGCAGCCGGGCCCAAACGAAGCGTGAGATGTCATTACACAGATGGAGAGAGAGAAAGGGGTGAGAAAGAAAGAGAGAGGGGGAGAGAGAGGGAGAAAGAGAGAGGGGGGGAGAGAAAGGGGTGGGTGGAGAGGGTGAGCATCTGTTTGTTTGTGTGGCTGTCAGCCTACATCACTGCTCAGCTGTGTGTGTGATTGTGTTTGTGTGTGTGTATTTATTATGAGCCTGTATGGCTGCAGTCAGCCTCCAGCTCTCTCTGTATGTGAACAGAAACACAGATGCCTCCATTCTGGATCTGGTTTTGGATTTCCTCCACTATCTCCTAAAATCTCTCCCTGACAGATGACTTCACCTCTGCACAATCATTGTCTGCACGCTGGCTCTGTTGATGGTCTATCTAATGTCTGAACCAGGGTCAGGAACATAAGGACCGCATCTACAGAACAGGCTCTGATTATAACCAGACGATCAGGCTCTGGATGAGCTGATGTGTTTAATGGGAGGCTACTGTGAGAGGCCGCTGTTAGATCTGACCTGAAATCCCTGAACTCTGGAGGAGTTCATATTCAAACTGCATTAGCCCGTCTGAACTACTGTAACCTGACCATTGAGTGGCACTTCTGACCTTAGTAAATAAATACGGTGATAGTCCTGGGTGAACAGTCATCAATCACAAACACTGTGACAGCCAATCAGCATTGAGATCCCCTGGTGACATCTGTCTACAGCAGACTGGTGGAGGTTGATTTATGAGTAAAATGGGGGACAAACTGATGGTGTGCAGCTACCCTGAGCTTTACAATACGACTCTTTGTTTCTATGGAAACAAGAATAAGGAGGACGTGCTATGAGGAGGTCAGATTATCTGGAAAGTTCTGTGTGATCTAGGAGCCTTGTCTACTGTTCTGGATAATGATCATTAATCTGGATCTATCAGGATCACCTGTGTTGGTCCCTCAGTTGAGACTGGGAGGTTGTATCAGGAGGATGAGCTCTCCTCTTCAGTTTGGTTGTAGCCCCTCAGAGGGTCCATACCGCCAGTCGGCTTCCTTTCAGGAGATTGTCTGTGTTTTATCCGAGTCCGTCCACCAGTCATTTACTTCTTCTCTCCTCCCCTCTTCTTCTCCTCTTTTTGGTTGGCTAGTGGGGAGGATGCTTTATTTTCTGCTGATATCTTTTATGAAAATACAAAAAACAATTTTTTGGAGAAAGCAGTGTAAGTCTCCCAAACTGTGACCTCTGACCTCAAGGAGCCAGAGAAGCAACAAAAAGAAGGACCGCTGCAGCTGTTTGACAGCTGACAGCAAAACAGCAGTTTGTTTTATATTTATACAGATCCTTTTTACAGTCTATGTGCACGAAGGGTTTTCTGACTGACTCCCATTGACTCTCACAAATTTATTGACTCAAATTGACTTTCACTATTTTTTTTAACTCACATTGACTCTCACTAATTTATTGACTCACATTGACCTTAACAAATTTATTGACTCACATTGACTCTCACTTATTTATTAACCCACATTGACTCTCAATTATCTTTTGACTCACATTGACTCTCACTAATTTATAAATTCAAATTGACTCACATTAATCTATTGACTCACATTGACTCTCACTAATTTATTAATTCACATTGACTCTCACTAATCTATTGACTCACATTGACTCTCACTAATTTATTAATTCACATTGACTCTCACTAATCTATTGACTCACATTGACTCTCACTAATTTATTAATTCACATTGACTCTCACTAATTTATTGACTTAAATTTACTCTTGCTTATTTATTGACTCACATTAACTATCAGTAATTTATGTTCTCACATTGAATCTCTCTAATTTATTGACACACATTTACTTTTACTAATTAATTGATTCACATTGACTCTCAATAATTAATTTACTCACATTGACTTTCACTAATTTATTGACGCACATTGACTCTTACTCATCTATTCACTTACATTGACTCTTACTCATTAAACTCACACTGACTCTCACTAATTTTTTGACTCACATTGACTGTCACTGATCTATTGACACATTGACTTTTACTAATTTTTTGACTTACATTGACTCTTACTAATTTATTGACCCATATTAACTCTCACTAATTTGACTCACATTGACTCTCACTTATTTTCTGACTCAAATTGACTCTCACTAATTCACTCTGTAAATGGGTTTGAACAGTAAACACTGTAGCCTCCCGTCCATCAGAGAGGTGCTGATGTGTCTGTTTAGCTGTGTTTGATAACAGTGGTGTGGCCCAGCTTTGGAGATATGATCAGACGCTACAGCAGAAGCGCCAAGAGGATAAAAGTGTGTGTGGGAATTATCATCACACACACACACACACACACACACACACACGCACACACACACACACACACACACACACACACACACACACACACACACACACACACACACACACACACACACACACACACACACACAGAGATCAGAGGAAAACACTCAGCTGACTGCTGCATCACACACCACCACCCTGCTTTCACCTTTCACCAAAACTGACTCATAAACCTCTTTAATTGCTGTTTTTGTGTTTGAACCCGCTCCGCCAGCGCCCGCCGTCCTCATTATTAGGAGAGGTGAATTGTGGGTAAAATCTGCGGGTGGTTTCGACAGCCCGCTGTGTGCGCTGATGTTTCAGAAGGCAGGAAACAGGAGACATGAGACGAAAGGGAGGACGGACGTGATGGAAGAGGAGGGGAATGAAAGAGGAGAGTGGGAGAAAGCACCGGCAAGGGATGGGAGGAGAGAAGAAAGGAAGATGAAGACGACGAGGAGGGAATCAGAGGACATTTGAGGAAACAGAGGAGGCAAAAACAGACCGACAGGAAGAGGGGGAGAGGGAGAAACTTCAGGAAGACAGGCTGTGAGAAAGAGAGAGAGAGAGGGGAAAACTAAAAAGAGAGGAGCTGGACACGAGGGAGGAGAGAGGTGGTCGAGGGATGGAAGAAAGACAACTGGTGGAGACAGATGGAGAAGAAAGGAGACTCAAGAAGAAAAAGAAGAACAGCTGTGTGGAAGAGAGAAAAAAACACCTGAGAAGAGAGAGTGTGGACAAACCAGGGTCACTGTGGGACACCGAGTTGACCAATAGCAATGTCAGAAATGACTGAGTTACCTGAGACATGTTCAGGTCTGTTTGGATGGAGCTGAATAAGGAAGAGAGTCCAGTGTTTGACCTGTTTGAGAAATACCTCTCCTCCTGGAACCACACAGCCTGTTATTTTTAAGGTTAAAGGCTTTATCAGTAAATTACACTGAACAAAAATATAAATGTAGCACTTTAATATTTGCCCTGATTTTTCATGAGCTGAACTCAAAGATCTAAGACTATTTCTAATCACACAGAAGACCTATTTTCTCTCAAATATTGTTGACAAATTTGTCTAAATCTGTGTTATTGAGCACGTCTCCCTCGCTGAGATAATCCATCTACCTCACAGGTGTGGCATATCAAGATGCTGATTAGACAGCATGATTATTGCACAGGTGTGCCTTAGACTGTCCACAATAACAGGCTACTCTAAAAGGGGCAGTTTTATCACACAGCACAATGCCACAGATGTCACAAGTTTTGAGGGAGCATGCAATTGGTATGCTGACTGCAGGAATGTCCACCTGAGCTGTTGCTCGTCTCTAAAGGCGTTTCAGAGAATTTGGCGTATAACCACACCAGCCCAGGACCTCGACATCCAGTATCTTACCTCCAACATCGTCTGAGACCAGCCATCCGGGCAGTTGCTGCAACAATTGGTTTGCGTAACCAAACAATTTCTGCACAAACTATCAGAAACCGTTTTAGGGAAGCACATCTGCATGCTCATCATCCTCATCTGGGTCTCGACCTTACTGCAACTCATCGTCATGACCGAATTGAGTGGGCAAATGCTCAAATTTGATGGCATCTGGCACTTTGGGGAGGTGTTCTCTTCACGGACAAATCTCTGTAGTCACTGTAGAGGGCAGATGGAAAACAGTTCGTTTGGCATCATGTGGGTGAGAGGTTTGCTGATGTCAGTGTTGTGAATCCAGTGGCCCATGTTGATGGTGGGGTTGTGGTATGAGCAGGCATATGTTACGGACAACAAACACAGTTGCATTTTATTGATTGCATTTTGAATGCACTGAGATATCGTGACGAGATCCTGAGGCCCATTGTTGAGCCATTCATCCGTGACCATCGCCCTATGTTGCAGCATGATAATACATTTCCCCATGTTGCAAGGACCTGTACACAATTCCTTGAAGCTGAAAACATCCCAGTTCTTGCATGGCCAGCATACTCACTGGGCATGTCACCCATTGAGCATGTTTGGGATGCTCTGGATCAGCGTATACGACAGTGTGTTCCAGTTCCTGCCAATATCCAGCAACTTCACGCAGCCATTGAAGAGGAGTGGACCAACATTCCATAGACTACGATCAACAACCTGATCAACTTTATGTGGAGGAGATGTGTTGCATTGCGTGAAGCAAATAGTGGTCACACCACATAACTGGTTTTCTAACTACGCTCCCAATACAGTAAAACTGCCCCTTTTAGAGTCCCCTGTTATTGTGGCCAGTCTAAGTTACACCTGTGCAATAATCATGCTGTCTAATTAGCATCTTGATTAGCCACACCTGTGGGGTAGATGGATTATCTCAGCAAAGGAGAAGTGCTCACTAACACAGATTTAGACAAATTTGTCAACAACATTTGAGAGTAATAGGTGTTTTTTGTACATAGATTAAGTCTTAGATCTTTTGAGTTCAGCTCAGAAAAAATGGGAGCATAAACAAAAGTGTTGCATTGATATTTTTGGTCAGTGTATTTATGGATTAATCTGGTGTAGTTGTACAGGATTAACTGAGTTTATCACTCTGAACTGTGAGATCCCCCATTGTTCGTTGTTTAGACTCTCTTTGTTTTCTAAGTACGTTGAAGTTTTACATTTCTTTGTGTGAACCCGGATTTAGTTGTTAATCAGCAGACTCCAGAGGCTGAAGTCGAGGAAGCTTGCACCCGGGTTCAAATCTGACCCTCGCCCCTTTTCCCATTTTCCTTCTTTATGCTGTGCCAGACCCTGAAAAATGACTCACCCAACTCAAAGTAATCCCCTTCAAAGAAATCTGCACAAAGACAAATCCCGTCTCTCTTAATGTGACTGACTGAAAATGAACATTGAGCATAAAGAGTCTGAACGCTGAACGTACAGGCTGTAACCTGGTAGATTTGTCTCCTCATTCTGGTAGAAAAGAGCTCTGTGAGGCTGTGAGGATGTTAAAATGCTGTTCAGGTCTGCAGCAGGCTGAGATCCAGAGAGGCAGTCGGAATCCCAAACACACACACACACACACACACACACACACACACACACACACACACACACACACACACACACACACACACACACACACACACACACAGTAAAGCCTGTAGAGGAGTCACAGGTCGTGTTGCAGCGCCGATAAACCGTCACGTTCACATCAGGAGGAGTCAGAAACATCCTGGAGGGAGCGTCTGCTGCTTTTATCAGTTATGGGAAAAGGGGCTGATGGGAAATGTGGTTTTAATTCAGTCTCACAAAGCAGCACAAACAATGACAGTGTGCTGGTCGTGTGCTCCTGCTGTTTGGGTGGATTATAAGAGCCAAAGTGAAACCCTCTGAGGGCTGCCACGGGCCAATGAGCCGCCGCATATTTCTACATAAATTAGCCTTTTAGTTTTTGGCTCATTTCTCCGCTCACCATCGAGTGTTTCACATCGTTAGCTTGAGGGGGACCTGAGCTCCCTCAGTGATTCAGTTATAGGAGGAATAATTATTATGTAGGCGGGTCATAATTAACAAAGAAACAAAAAATCTCCAGCTCTGTGTGAGTTTTTTTTTTTTTTTGTAATCTCTCGGTGATAGATGGACATTTCAGTTTGTAATCTAAACTCTGTCTGTTTGCAGAAAAACCCTCTGATCCAGATCCACATCCCTCTGAAACATGCAACAATACATAAGAATGATCCAAAGACTGCACTGAGGAGAACAATCTCAGAGAGCCTCATCCAAACAGGGTTTTATAGATTTTCCCAGCCTGTGGTTCAGTAATTGTTTTTGTTTCGATTTGTTTGGGACTCTGTCGTGGCTGAAGCTCGGTCTAAAAGCTCAGTTTGGAGAAATATTGACAGGCATGAGGTTTCAGAGAAGGTTACGATCCACAAGTCTGAATTTCAGAATCAAAACAATCAGATACTTTCAGCCATCCCGAGAGTCGAGATGATTTAAAACAGAGCAGGGCAGCCTGAAAGGCAAACCCAGGGGGGAAGTATTCACTCTGTGTTGCTCAGAGGCTGAATGAGAATCAGCAGGAAACTCAGATGAGTTTTTAAACTCTGAAAAACTTTTTATTTTTGGTAAATTAGTGATCTTCTCCAGCTCTACAGTAAATCACAAACTCATCAGGAGACAAAATTAGACTGACGAATGCTGCTGTTGGTTTACATATCTTAGAGCTTATAAAGAGTTCTGCAGTGACAGACCTCACGGACTTTGTCTATCTGCCTGTGTCTCTCTATCTGTCTCTGTCTGTACGAAATGTTAATCAGCCTCTCTGCAGCTTCGTGTTTCTTAATTCAGCTCCAGATTGTCTCCTTGTTCTTCATGCAGAAACCAGCCCCTAGAAAAAAGTAAGCTCTTTTGAAAGCTGAGATCTGCAAAGAAACTCTGTAGATGTACGGCAAAGACAGAAAGTTTGTTCTGAGGATGCATCAAAGGAAAGGTCATAAGGTCATTTTGAAGGGAGCCTGAAATGTCTCCTCTGTTTTAAGGTGATTTCTCCTACTTTGTCACATAATTGAGATATCTCTGACAAAGAGGAAACATTAAATAGTACTTTTAAAGTAAAATAGTTAGCTAATCTGGTTAGAGAAAAAGACATTAACACATACTGAACTTAGCTGGTGGTCTTGAATTTCTGTTAAATGTGATAATAAGATTCAAAAATTACCAAACTTTTATAAACGAGCAGGATGTCCTGAAAAATAGCTTACACACGTAATTTCTCACCAATGTGATAGGCCTATTACAACTAGAATAACAAGAATATTCAATATAAAAAGTCTACTATAAAAGGTGAGTTGGTTTTGTGTTACTCAAACAACTCTTTAAAATATATTTTTTATTTTTATGTGAACAATGAACAGGTGAAAACAAGGGCAAATAAAATACAATCTGAAAAAATACAAAAGTAGACATAAAAAAACAGACACAGCACAAAAGGGCACAGTTGAACACTTTTATTTGCAATCCCATCTTCCATAAATATTTCCCTCCTCTCTTCTTTTGAAGACACAATGTAAAAGTCATTTTCTTCATTTTGCAAATAGAGTTTATAATGTTTACAAGAAATTTTACAGTTGGAGGATTCTATTGAAGCCACCACTTAGTAATTGCTTTCTTACTTGCAATCATAAATATCTCCAAAAATATGCATAAAAACTGCTCCCTCTGTTGGTGGCCTGGTTCCTCAGACCATGCTCTGAGCCTCAGACCAAAACAATAAAACAGTCAAATGAACACTAATACCTTTGAGTTTGAGTGACAAGAGGGATGACATGAAGAACTGTTCATAACTGTTCTTCCTTGAGCTGTGTCACCCCACTGCAGTCGATGGACTCGCCTGGAGGTCTCCGTCCAAACAAGCGGCTGTTGGAAGAGAGTGGGTGAGTTGTGTTTAGTCTCTTTGCTAAATAAATTAGGCAAAGTTAAAAAGATGTTTAGTGGCTTGTGCTGTGGCTGGGACCCTATATGTACTGTTGATGAAGTTAGGTGCTGTTCTGAGCATTATTTGTGGCTATAGAGCGGTGTTTTGGTTGAGCGCGTGGCTCTCTGTGTTGCTATCTGCAGTCATTACTAAAGTTGGTATAAATACAGAGGCAAGCAGTTGACAACATCCATCTCTTGACGGGGTCTTTAACTCAGTGTTACGGTGTGTTTGACTCCAACTTAATTTTATGCCGGAATATCCCTTTAAGGTCTTAAAACACTTTCCTCAGGCTCCTGAATTGCTGCGTGAGCTGGATCATCAGTATAGAGAAGGAATGGCAGGAGGAAACACAACTAACAGTACGGCTACATCTTACTGCCTGAACATCTCGCACTTGCACCCCTTACTTATGACCATCTCTTGCACGAAATTCCCTCCCATCAGAAATGCACAGACAGATACAAGGAATTAAAAAGAGGAGAGAATGACTAGAGGAACTTATTTTAAGCGACAAAAAACATCCTTTTCTCAGCTCTGGATATGTCTGTTTATGTTGAAGGAATCAGCTGATCAGCTAGCAGTCAGCTGCAACAGCTGTTTGTGTCTGCACACATCCAAGGGAACTGGACCCAACTGAGGGAGCTTTAAGGTGGACTGGACTTTGTGGTCTTTACATTTATCAGACTTTTTCTACATGAAGATGCAAAGTTTCTGCTGGACTGGACTTGAGTGTGTGAAGTATGAGGAAACCATGAAGCAGAGTTTCTCTCCTCCGTCACCTCTTCTTCCTGTCAAGGGTGATTGCGTGCATCTCTGATTGGAGACCCATCAGCCAGTCGCCTCTCTTCAATACCTCTCTCTCTCTCCTCCAGCGCTGAGGCCGTGCAAGATAGGAAGTGACCTACATAGCGTGGCGGCTCCCTCGCCTCGGCTGTCGTTTGCATTTCAAGGGGTGATGAATAATTTACAGCTGCACGACTCCCAAATCTCCCCATCCCTTCCCGAACATCGAGCGAACAGCCCACCGCAACATGACAGGCCTCAATAACGTCAGATAATTCAAATATGGATCTGTGTGTGTGTGTGTGTGCGTGTGTGTGTGTGGTAGAGGAGGTGATGGGCTTTGAGGAGGTGCTAGGTGGAGATCTTTGTACTCAAAGCACCAACTCCAAAAAAACTACAGGTGAAACTTTTTGGTCTAAAGGAAGAGGAGGAGTAGGAGAGGAGAATAAAGAGAGAGGAACAGAGAGATAGATGAAGGAGTGGAGGATGTGAAGAGGAGAGAGGATGACATGAGGGAAGAAAACATAATAAAAGGTTGAGATGGGGGGGGGTAGCTGAGAATTGAGGAAAGAGCAAGGAAATAAAGGATGGAAGAGATGGAGACATAGAGCAGAGGAAAGGAAGAAAGAGGTGAAGGAAGACGGTGAGGACAAGAATGAAGGAGAAAAGGTTAGGAGGAGGATAGGACAGAGGGCAGGGTAGTAGTGGAAGTGAGGGGGAGACAGGGAGGAAAAAGAGAGGGAGTCGTGGAGGTGAAAGAAGGAGTATACAGAGAGAGGTTGGGGAGAAAAGGAGGAAGAGGGAAAACGATGAGAAAAAGGGATGAAAGAGGAAGAAGGAAGAGAAGTAGGAGGCAAAAAAGGAATGATAGAAAAGATAAAAAAAGTGAGAGATGAAGAAAAAGAGAGTTAGAAATAGAGGAGAATAAATTAGAGGAGGAAGCTAAGCAGGAGAGAAGAAAAGAGGAAAGATAATGAGATGGAGAGATAGACAGAGAGGAAAACATGAAAATAGGAGGAACGAAGGAGTGAAAAGGGTAAACAAAGAAGAGAGGAGGATGACGGAGGAGAAATGTGACAGGATGGGGAAAGGGGAGAGAGGTATAGACAGAGAGAGAGAGAGAGAGAGAGAGAGAGACAGAAAGAGAGGGGGAGAGGGGGGCACTGTGTGTTTTATGTCAGCCAGATGTTGCTCTTACCCAAAATGCACTGCAGCATGAAACAACCCACAGTGTGTTTGTTGAGCAGAGGGGTGTGTGTGTGTGTGTGTGTGTGTGTGTGTGTGTGTGTGTGTGTGTGTGTGTGTGTGTGCAGTGATGTCCTTTCTGTAGGTCATTCAGCTGGCACTCACTCTCACACACACACACACACACACACACACACACACCTGCTGTTCCTGCTACATGCTGATCTGATCAGGTGTTATCTGGTGATAACCTCGTGCAGCATGGCGGTTCAGTGCGGCAAGGAGATGGAGTCAATGTCACATGACCTCATCTGACCCTGAATAAACTCTTCTCCTGTTCACTATCACCATGACAATAAAAAAAAAAACATATAACATATATCTGTTATATTTATCCTCAGGGCCAATCATTTTCATAGTTCTAAAAATGGCTCATCAGTTTGTCCTCTGACTGTTAAAAGTGTTCAATGGTGTATTCATCACTATACATCACTATTCATCACTATACAGCACTAGGCACATCCTGTAAGATCAGACCTTCATCCACATGAGTGTAACATTTATAGTTACAGTGGAGAGGAAGAACTTTTCTGTAACAGACAGAAACCACAAGCAAACCAAACTCATGTCAGACAGTCATCTGCTGAGACTGAGCTAGGTTTAGAGAGGGGAGAAAGGGGGATAGAGAGAGAGATGGACAGAGGAGAGACTGGTAGATGGAGATGGAGAAAAAGAGAAAGGACAGAGGAGAGCTTGATAAATGGAGAGAGAGACCCTCAGTAATGGTGTAACAGTGGTCAGAAATGGTCGTTTATAATCATCTTTATCGTCTTCCTGGGTTTGCAGCTGAGTCCCAGTCTGGTGTGAGCAGCAGAGCAATAAAGACAGACGCTGGTATAACGGCTCTCTGCAGATACAGGGAACATCTCAGCGGGTTCATATGGAGAAAGGCATCATGGGTAACTGTAGGCTGCAGAAGCTGTGGAAGGACTAATTCTATTCTATTTATTGTTCAAACCTTCTTTCGACAGGTAAATCCCAGTGAGATTTCTTTACAATGATATACCTTGCTGAGTACAGCAGCAACAAAAAGTTTTGACATTTAACCACTCAGACTTTTACAGGAGTGCTAAAAACCCATAAAATGAGGCCAGCTTAAACATTTGCACACTCAGAAACCTGACCTACAGACCTTTAACTGGGGTTTTGAGGCTGACTAATCTTTGCAGTTTAAACTGTCTGTAGATTTTTTCTGGAAAAAAATACTTGAAAGTTTTATTTTCAGACTGTTCAGACTGTGAGCAGAGGACATGTACAAGACATTCCCATAATACAGGACAGGTTAACAGGGAGACTACACTATCAAAGATTAAGCAGGATCTGTTTTTGTAGGAAAACCACCAGCTCATCAGAAACAAACTGGATCTGCTCCTTAGAGACAAACTGTCCCTGATCAAAAACCCAGAGTATTTAAAACAGTTTTTGGTAACAGTTTTCTGTGGACTAAATCAAATACTGCAGAATCGACAAAGTTTGAGTAGGTAAAGGTGCGCAGTAATAAATCACAGTGTCATCAGCATAGAGGTGAAAAGTAGAGATTGGGACACTCTGTTAAGGTCAAGTTATGTAAATAGTAAACAAGAGTGGGCCCAGAACTGAGCCTTGTGGTGCTCCTCTGTGGATTTAGAGCACCTCTGAGACAGAACCTCCTAGTTTAACAGTTTGGTCTTTACTTTAGATTGTTGGAAAACCACCCGACTGTATGTTTTTGTTCTATCATAGGTTTCCTTTTATTCTTTATGGGTTTCAAAACTTTTTTTTTTGAGACATTGTATCATGCTTTTCCAAATTTACAACAAAAACTGCAAAGTAACAGTGTTTGGTGTCCATACTAGATGTATGAGGTAAACAAAAGATGTCATAATCTTAGAAAATACATGAGAATGTAATTGTTGTTAGCTGTTGTCAGCAGTTGTTAGTAGTTGTTAGCTAGCCTATACCAGTTGTAAACAGCACATAACACAGTATTTTACTCTTACTAACACCATAGCACTGTGTTCACAGTTAGACGTTGGGCAGTACAACATATACCACTTATTTAATTTCACAAAAACAAAACAGAAGTGCTAATAAATAATACATAACGAGAGCTTCCATTGTTACTCTTTACTGTTGATGCACTGCACTGCCATCTTGGATTATTACGTCGTCAAGGTGGGGTTGGTGAGGATCGTCCAACTTTCCCTAGTTGGAAATTCTGACTTCTCTCCTTCCTGTTTCATCTGCGCTTCCAGAACGGCCTTCCTCCAACAGCTTGTGAAGTGACACCCACAACAAAGCAGGTAATGCTGCTCTGCTGCTCTACTGTTTGACCACGAAAGAGGGGGTGGAACCAAAATATTGAGCTCTTTGGTCATCCAGCCTCCAGAAAGGTGGCTAATCAGAAGAAAGTTGTCTCGGGGGGCTCAAAAAGACAGCAGCCAAAAGGAAGCTGAATGTTTGCATCAGTTAACCCGCTCGGAACTACAATGTGTTCCTACTATATTCTCTATGAATGCTCCGTACAATTTGGTCAGACAAACATGCTCTAAAGCTGTGTAATATTCTGGAATAAATGGACTAATGAAGAGGAGGATAAGAAGAACCATCAGCAGCAGCAAAGTAAGAGAAGAACTGTCCTCACCTCTAAGAGCAGGAAGAGCTGCTGAAACATTAATGCGGGACTGTGACAGCTGCACGTTTACTGAGCAGCAGCCTGAGGACAGAAACAACTATGGAGGGACTAAGGAAGGAGGAAAGGTACCAAGGATGAAGGGAAGAAGGGACAGAGGAAAAAAGAGGGCTGCTTCCCTTTGTAGCTCTCTTTCTTTCTTCTCTCCATCCATCCTGAGAGCGTCAGAGTGTGTGAAAAAGAGAGTGAGGAGCAGAATATAAAGCAGAGAGCTGAGATATACAGCCTGTCCTAGATCACACTGAAGAGGAGAAGGAGGAGAAAGAAACAGAGGAGGAGAAGGTCTAAGAGCCTTCATTGTCCCTATGAATCAGACCTCACCTAGGCTCGTTTAGGTGTTTTCAATCAGGGAAGTTCATTGATTTCATTTGATTGAAAAAAATCAAATACTTTAACTGGATCCACAGACAGTCAGGACTTTACTGTCTGCTCAGCTGATTTCTGCTGTTATCACGGAGTAGACCATTACAGAGTCATCTGAGTCAGAGCGAAACTTGACAGTGAAACTGAGACTCATTCACAGCAGACAGACAGGTGCTCCTCAGCCGGAGCAGCAGGTTGTTATGAAGTAAATGTCAGCCATCAGCCTCTATAGGCCACATCTGCTGCTCTGTCTGTCACAGCTCTGTGTCCTCTACAGGACACTGTAGCTGGCTCTGTACGGGCCGCTGTTGTTTTCAGACTTTGTTAGCACTTCCATGTGAAGGTGAGCTGTGTGAAATACCAAGAAAACACATGTAAAACATCATATTCAGGGTGTTTGTGACATCTTTGAGTTTGTAAGTTTGTCAGTTTAATGCTCATGTGTTCCTGCTGTGGTAAAACAGGTTTTCACACTGCTGAGGATTTGTGATTTACATGGGCATGGTCATGTGAGGTGAATCTGAAGTTCTGTTTTAATCAGGTATTTATTATTTATTATTCTGTCTGTGGTTGTGATTCATTTATAATACTGTCTCCATATTTGTCGAGGTTGCTCCTGGAGCTGCCTCTGACCTGAACACACTGACGCTCCTTCACTCAGTTTGGACATAAATCAACATGGCTGTTTAAACCTCCGAAAGCCCGCTTAGATGTCTGCAGGACTCTCACTTTATTTCAGCGTAATGCAGCATTGGTTGCTGCAGAACAGAGTAAGGATCTGATACGCACAAATAATGACTTTATTTTGAGGTGTAATCACTAATTAAAAGTCTTTTTATATAAATAGATGCTGATGGTTGTTGGTTGTCATGGTTTGATCGGCTCCGTGAACAGAACATCTTGTTCTGGTATAAAAATGTGATGCGGTGCCATTGAAACGTCACGCTTCTGTTCGCTATCTCCACGGCCAGACGAGGCTGTGTGTCAGAGGAAGATAAACACGGCTCATATTTAAGGATAAGGCTGGCAAGATTGGATTTCATTTCTTTATTGTTGACAAATCCCAGGAGAAAACCCAAACCCACATGAGAGTGCTCTGATTCTGGCTGTGGTTTGGGTTTTCAGTACCCTACTGATGAGATGTGCATGCAAACATCATCTTCATGCTGAAATCTTGATAAGCTCCTGATATCTGAAATACTCAGACAGAAAACATTAATGAGAGCATGTGAACAGCTAATCCAGGTGTCTGAACATTATCAAACTGAAATCTGCTCACAGACAAGAGGAAAAGTCTAAAGGTTATTCAAGTTCACTGTAGACTATCTATCTATTTACAGATTACAATGATGCTGCAGTGCTGTTTGTATTGATCACTCAGGTGTTAGCAGACTTGGGTGTTTGCAGAGAAAACAGCTAGTATGGAGAGCAAAAGCAGGCAGTAGATTATAAAGCTGCACTAGCTTTACATTTGTATGAGTCATTGTGTCAACCACCTGACAGATGTGTCCTCCCAGGTTAGCAGTCTATAAGGGCTGCAGGATTGCTGGTCTGTGCTCTACTGTCACTCCAGATTCCCTCAAAATTTCAAACCCACCTCCTCCTCAGGATCTCCTCTGTTTATAGCAAGAGATTATCTCACTGCTCCTCAGATTTGTGTATGTGGGATCAGTCTGCATGGAGAGATGAGGTGGAAGGTTTAACACCAAATACAAAGAATGTTTTGCTGAAGCTGCAGTTGAAGCTTGAACCATAGACTGTATATACTATGGACAACTTGGTTCTGCCTTGTGCCAGTATGTGGATTTGAAGCCTGAAACTGGGACTGACATTGTGCAGTAGCGTTGTATGCATTCGGCGGGAGAGTCACCGAGAGTCGCTGTGATGATGCTCGGCTCAAACAGCGTATCCACCAGGTGAGCTACGCAATCTTCGTACGCCCATAGGCTGTATCAAGTGTCAATCATAGCAAACATGAACCCCAAATAACTTTTAAAAATGGAGCTGTACGGAAAAAAGAGGACTTGAGCACAAAACAGTCTTACAATAACTACATGTCAACATTGCAAGCAGGGGGGAGAAAAAAATTATGTTCTGTGTAATAAATTTCTAAAGTTTGTCCTCATCTCCATAGGGATTGCTGGAGGAGACGGGATTTATGACCTATACTGCAGCCCGTCACCAGAGGGTGCTGTTCTCGGAGTGGCTTCACCCAGCGAGGAGGCAAACGGCATCCATTCTATATACTGTCTATGGCGTAAACCGATACTGTTATTGATCTGACTAAACTGTTGAAATGATGTCTTGATTCCCACACTTCTTCTGTTGTCTCCTTTTAGTGTCTCAGTTTTCTCCTCTTGAGGACAGACCTGACAAAGCTGGACTTTGGATCTGCATCATGATGTTGTTATTTCAGCAAACTAAAAACCCGTTAATGAGGAGGACATCACAAGTACATCAGATGAGTGTACTAAACAACAATAGAGTGCTGTCAAGTAGGTACAAATACATGTCCTGCCTTAACATATGTAACTGTCTTTTTTTAGACAGTGTGAAATTAGAACAGAGTCTAAGTGAGCATGGGCAGTGCTGTTGTCTTCCATTTACTTAGATATATAATATAGGATAATAATGAGAGCAGGAAGTATACGTGGGACTATATGTGAAGACACCTGCAGTCATAATGAGCCTCTAAAATAACCCTGCAGAGAAGAGCCGTCTGGTAACGAGAGTACATTGGGATACATACCAGGGTAACTTCAGGTGAGGTGGTACAGTATGTGTTAGTGCAGGAGTGTATGGGTGTATTGGGAGGTGAATGTGGGTATATGAGATATAATGCTGTAATCAGCTCTCTGCAGGAGGAGAACCAGCAGAGCTTATTAGCTTCTGCAGAGAGAGAGAGAGAGAATCAGGCTGACAGTCGCTCGCTCTGTTTGAAACGCAAGACTGCTAATCCTGTGCAGCCAGAAGCTTTGGGCTTTAGAAACACACACACACACACACACACACACACACACACACACACACACACACACACACACACACACACACACACACACACACACACACCTTACTGTATTTCTGTCCTTATGAGGTCTTCTTACTTGACAGAATGCACTGGTTTGCCCCCAACCTAATCAAACTCTGACATCGGTCCAGACCTTCAAACGCACCTTTAAAGAAAGGATATTCATTTAATTATGGAAAATCAGCTGGTTCAAACGTTATCTTATCTTCCGTAAGTGTGTCCTCTGTTAACTGCAACGCAATGAAAGAATTCACCCCACGCTAAATAGGAGAAGAAGAAACATTTGCAGTAGGTGATTAGCAAGAACTGGAGAAGAATAGAGAAAGTTCCAAATGTAAATATGCACGCCACACTGCAGGACCAACACTCATCTCCCAGCAGAAGCTCAGTTAAACCAATACCTGTTCTAACCAGGTGTAGTATCCAAACAGTTATAGTAGGGGTGCATGCGCTGGTGGATGATGTTTTGGATACAAAAATACTGAACTTAAAAATGTCAGTTTCTATCATATACAAACTGTTCGACATTCAAAGAGTCTGTAATACCCCCAGACATGCCGTCTGAGAGGAGAGTCTTTCTTTTTTTCTTGACATAGTTTTAAAAATTCAGCTGCAGGCAGACTCAGTTTTAGCTGGTAGAAAAAAAGTGGACGGATTTATTTTTCCGTGGAGTTTTTGGAGACCAAGTATAAAGCTTAAAGGACCAGACACTGGACTCATATACAGAACATCAGGTGATGAACACAAGGTTCAGTTTCTCTTAATCAGACTGTAAATTGATAATGTATCAATCACACACACACACACTAGCTGAAAGTCTGTCCTATTGTCTCCAGTGTGTGTGTGTATGATGTGTTCAGGTGCATGTGTGTGCACTAATTTCCGTCTTGCTTTGTAATTTCTCATCCTCTGTGGCGAGACGTGCTTTTGTGATGGTGTGTGTAGTTCTATCTGCGTGTATTAGTGTATGTCCCATGCCAGTGTGTGTCTCTGCACGCAGGTGTTAGTCCGCTCTGAATGAAGACAACAGCATCAGCAGCGTCACCACCAAACCTCCAGTGTTCAGTCGTCTGAGCCCAGGATTTCCAGCTGAGCTCTGCTTCCTGTCTCTGCTGTGATCTCTTCCTTCATTTCTCTCCATCTGAAACATAAAACTTCCCTGATTCACTCTGAGCAGACTTCACATTGACAGGCTGGAGGGAGTCTGGATCTGCAGGCTGAACCAGACCACATGTGGTTTAAGGTTTCTGTGAAATGTTGAATATATCTGATGTACTTTGGTGTCTGTATGACACACTGAAGCAGCTGCAGAGCTGCAAACACCTCTGTCCCTCAGGTCCAGTTTTCACTGTTAATTACTGTAAATATAGTCAGAGTCTAAGTAAAACAAACAGAATTAGTACTATTTCAATTTTTTCCAGTTTTGATTCATGATAGAAAACTATAAAACTCAATGATACTCACAGGTCTATCAGGTGAACTCTCCGAACTCTCAGATCCTTTCAAAACTTTCTTGACTTTTACCTCTCTGACCTTCAGAGTGAGAAAACATGTTCAGTCCATATGTCATAAGTTATATGCTTCTTACCTCCAGGAGAAACAAAAAAACAAACTTCTGAATTCGAATACACCGAAACCTTCCTGAAATTATGAAAGTGGACCGTGTGAGGGTGCAGAACGAAGGAACAAATAGAAACACTGCCTTTAACTAGTTTGCTGGTCATTGTCTAAAAAGGTGAGGCACCCTCTCAGAGTTGGGGAGGAGATCCTGCCTAAGTGAAGGAGTTGAAGTATCTCAGGGTCTTGTTCTTGAGTGAGGGAAGAATGGCGCAGGAGATCTGCAGGTGAATTTATGTGGCATCAGCAGTGACGCGGATGCTGCACAGGTCTGTGGTGGTCAACGGCCAAATTGAGTTTCCAGGACGGCTGGGCTCTCCCTTAGAGTTAGGGTGAGAAGCGTTGTCATTTGAAAGGGGCTCAAAGTAGAGCTGCTGCTCCTCCGCATTGAGAGGAGTCAGATGAGGTGGCCGTTGGTGATGCATTCAGGGCACGTCAAACCACAGTAGGAGATCCAGGATACGCTGGAAAGACTATGTCTCTCAGTTGTACTGGGAACACCTCTGGGGTCACATATGAAGAGCTGGAAGAAGGTTATCTCCACATAGGAAACCACTGTTTGCCTTAAATGCATGATTAAGACACACTGAGGGTAAACAGAATCAGAATATTGTGCTGGTTTTTGTCTTTGTGTGTATGGAGCTCACACTTCCTACTACATGCTACCTACAACCATCTTGGCAACTTTCTGAGCCTCCTGCTCAACTACAGAGAGTGAGGGTAGCTGATTCTTCTTCTCTTCGTGTTTCTCAGAGAAGATCGTCTGTGTTGTTGTGTTTGCTTTCTTGTGAATCTGATCTCCTGAAGTTCAGCTGCAGTTTGTGCAGGTTCAGACTACTGAGATTGGATGTTCCCAAAGAAAGGTTGAAACCCTCTCTCCGCTCCAGGAGGTCATTAGACCTACTCCAGATTTCATCCAAACATGGGCCAACAGTAAAATAAAGCAGGAAAACTCCACCTCAGCCACAGTTACAGCAGGTTTATCTGAGACGTCTTTTGACCTGAAAATCATCAAATTGATGCTCAGTGGGAAAGTTTAACCCTCTGTTAACTAAACTGAAAACAGAGGAGGATTTCTTTGGAGAATTATTTTAGTTCATGGGTCAGAAGTAAAAAACAATTATTATCCAAACTGTCAGTATTTCACATCGATCAGCATTCACTCTCTGACTCTCTGCTCCACCCTGAACTAACTCAAGAGCCCACATTTGTCTATAAACCTCCAGACTCCCTGAAACTCTCTGAACTGTAAATACTGTTTTTTTTTAGACAGCAGGTGACCTTTTTTGTTCTCCTTGTTCATCCACAGACTTTTACTCATTTAGCTGAAAACAATATTTGGTGTTTGGTTTCACTTTGACAACCAGCAGATCACACCAGTTTGAACAGGGAACTCTCTAGGAACAACTCCAGCTAGTGGAAGACAGATGCATTACAGCCTAATGTGAATGTGTCATGCTGGGTTGTTGATCAGTTGTTTTGGTAAAGGTTGTCAGCTGGGCGACAGTCTTGCATGTCAAAGATGTGTACTGAAAACAACAGAGAGTAACATCGCCAACAAAGACGTGAAAGTATGCAGGGCGCCTTTGACTCCTCTTGTTGGACGTCATTGTGTCTCTTATGTCTGTGGCTCACCAGAGAAGACTGAGCAAAGCGGAGGAGGACTTGCATTTGTCAATAGATCAGGTCCTGTGCAGGGCTTGTGGACTGGGATCAGGACAGGCGGTCCACTGAACTGTAAACTGAATATTGTGTCGTCTTGATTTCTCACCTGTTGAATATCGTGCACACACATCTGAATGTGACAGTTTCTGTTGTTACCTTGGTGGTAACATGTTGATTTAAGATGCAGTTCATCACTTAGGAGCTACAGACATTTGTAAACTTCAGGTCTTTTGTGAATTTAAGTTTATAGGAGTAAAATTGATCCTTTAAAGGCGTTAAAAATCAATACCAAAGTTGCGCATTAGAATAAATGATAATGAAAACAGTTGCTGAGTCTCAGTCCTCCTGCTGCAGCTCTCCAGCTCTGCGTCTGGAAAGCTGCAGGAGGGCAAAGTGCAGTGCTCGCCGCCCATGCATGCAGCCGGGGGAGCGCTCCGCGGCGGCCATCTTTACGTTCTTATCTCCCTCCCATATGCCCCCCCGCAGGCCAGGCTCAGCCCTGCTGTAATTGACTTTCTCCCACCGAGCCCGACAGAGGCTTCAGGCTGCAGAGCTGCACCGAAAAACCTATTACACACTGCCGCACACCTACACACTGCAGACCTATAGAGAGAGGAGGAAGGGGAGAGAGGGGGAGAGAGGGAGGGGAAGAGAGAGAGAGGAGAGGAGAGGAGTCGACAGCTTGTGTCTGTTGATTCAGATCCAAACAGGTAGGAGCAGCAGAAATCTGATTAACCAGCTTAGATCAGTCTGAGGATGACAGATCTGTGTGTGTGCGTGTGTGTGTGTGTGTGTGTGTGTGTGTGTGTGTGTGTGTGTGTGTGTGTGTGTTAAGGTGTGAATGCGGCTTGAGTCTGGCTGAAGTTTCTGTAATCTATGGCTGTAAACATCATGTCTGCTCTCATTGTCAGAGAGGAGAAAGTGCCTGCAGTCGGCAGAGAGGCCGCCGTGAGGAGGAAGACGAGGTCACCGTCTGCCGCTATGCCTCATAACCTCTCATATAAGAGCCGCTATTCAATAAGCTGCCAAAGCGAAACTCAGACTGGGTAATACAGGATTGATTTGTATACAGTAAACTCACTCAAATGTACATTTTTATCAAATTAAGTTTGTCCAAGAAACAGAGTCATGAGGAATTCAACTTTTCTGCTCCAAGCGTCTGTTTTTGACTGATCGATACGTTCATTTTTAGGATCTGCTTTGTGTCAGGTAAATATGAGACTAACACCAATATAACTAATCACTTGTTCCTCCTGTTTGGACCATGTAGCCACGGACGAGATTTAAGGGGGGGACTGACCTGAACATGCCAGCTTTTTCCAGCTTCTATTCAGAGTCCAGACTTTTCAATGACCATATTCACTCACTGCAGTAGATGGCTCCACTTATCTGTAAAGACAGAATACCCCCAAGGCTAAGGTCTGCTGTCACTCACAACCACAGCAGCAGGGGGATGAAAGACGGAGAGAGAAAGCGATAGTCCAGAACAAAGAGACTCAAAAGTAGATAGAGTTTTTGGGAGGATTGGTGCTGATTCAACACCTGGTTTTCACAAGAACTTAGACGAGATTCACCCGCACAAATGAGTGTCAACACAATTTAGTTCCAATGCAGAGACATCTAACAGCTGAGACTAAACTGACAGAGGAAGTCGAAGAGTGAAATGATTCAGATTAACTCTATCATAATTATAAACAAAGGTAAATCAAATTTACTCTGTAAACCTAATCTATAAACAAAAATGAGTCAGATTAACTCTTTCAACTGTAAACCTATAAACAAAGAGGACTCAGATTAACTCTTTTAACTGTAAATCTATGAACAAAATGTGTCAGATTAATTTTTAACTGTTAATCTATAAACAAAATGTGTTAGATTAACTCATAACTGTTAATCTAGAAACAAATATGACTCAGATGAACTCTTTTAACTGTTAATCTATAAAGAAATGTGCAAGATTAACTCTTTTAACTGTTAAACTAATAACAAAGAGGACTCAGATTAACTTTTTTAAATGTAAATCTATAAACAAAATGTGTGAAATTAACTCTTTTAACTGTAAATCTATAAACAAAATGTGTCAAATTAACTCTTAACTTTTAATCTATAAACAAATAGGACTCAAATGAACTCTTTTGACTGTTAATCTATAAAGAAAATGTGCTAGATTAACTCTTTTAACTGTTATTCTATAAACAAAGAGGACTCAGATTAACTTTTTTAAAAGTATATCTATAAAGAAAATGTGTCAGACTAACTCTTAACTCTTTAACTCTTAATCTATAAATAAAAATGTGTCAGATGAACTCTTTTAACTGTTAATCTATAAAGAAAATGTGCTAGATTTACTCTTCTAACTGTTATTCTATAAACATAGAGGACCCAGATTAACTCTTTAACTGTTTATTTATGAAGAAAATGTGCTAGATTAACTCTTTTAACTGTTAAACTAATAACAAAGAGGACTCAGATTAGCTCTGTTAACTGTTAATCTATAAACAAAGAGGTAATAATATCTGTCAGCTCTTGTCTGTATTAACAGAAACTATGGTTAATATCAAACCTGTGGGTTATCCAGCACCCCAGGGTCCCTGGTATCTTTTTCAAGTTGAGGATTAGTTTTCCACATTTGGTTCTGTTTTCAACCAATCAGAATCGCGCTTTTATCACAGCTTGTTAATGGTACATATAAGGGAACTCTTACTTTATGGATGATTTTTTTTTTCATAAAATGCAGAAAAATGATCTGATCACATTATTTTTCTATGTCCACATGCCAACGAACAAGAATCTCCACATTTTCTCTGCATAGATTTAAAAGCAAATGAGGAGAACGTGTTAAAAAATAATGACATGACATGTTCCTGCAAAAATGTTAAAATTTATTTTAGATCTGATTTTTCTCAAACAGTTATATTTAATTTTCATTACAATTATCAGATTCAACTTTTAATCGAACCAGTTAAAAATTATTTACATGTTTGTAGACCTAAACCCTGAACTGGAGACTGAACCCTCTATAGAAACAAACAGAGAGAGAGAGAGATAGATAGAGAGAGAGAGAGAGAGAGAGAGAGGTAGGGACGGAGAGAGGCACAGAGAGAGAGAGAGAGAGAGAGAGAGAGAGAGAGAGACCTGTGCTCCTCTTCTCAGTCTCCATGTTTTATTGAATCCAGAGTCTAACTAGGTCACCCTGTTCAAACCAAGCTCACTCTCTCTCTTTCTCTCTCGCTCTCTCTCGCTCTCTTTCCCTCTCCCTCTCCCTGTGTCCTCAGTTCACTCTGGTCTGCTGTCAGAGCAAAGGGACGAAAGGATGAGGAAGGAGAAGCAGTGATGGAGGAGAGGTGGAGGAGCTAGGAGAGGGGACAGATGAATGGAGGGTATAAACAGTGGGATGGATGTGGAGATGAAATGTGACAGGGATGGAGAGATGGAGGGATGGTGAGCTGAGGGGAGAGTAATTGGCGGCAGAGGGGAGGAAGGTGAGGGTCAGAACGCAAGACAGAAAAAAGAGGTGAAATGAAAGAGGAAATTAAGGGGAAATAAGGAAGGTAGAAAGAAGGAAAAGAAGAAGGGAAATACATGAGCGAAAGGAAAACTGAGAGATTGATGGAAGAAAATACTGAGACTCATTTAACAATCTAGACAGGAAACATGTCAGACACCAAACATGAAACCAAGAATAAATGTTGAAATCTTCAGACATTTTACAGTCTTCATAATAACAACAGGAAGAACTTTATTTATTAAGAGCCTTTAAAAATCAGAGTTACAAGGTCACAGTTAGAGTTGGAAACAATCAGAAAAGTTAAATTAACCACCATAGGAAGAGAACACAGACTCAGACCCTCTTGGAAGGATTTCAGAGTTTAGAGGCTGATCACCTTTACACACCAGCCCAGAGTCAGCAACAACCTAAAAAACACAACACCGGCAATCTGGTGGAGAAAAGGTCAAAGGTCACAGATGTAGGGTGATCTCTGACCCTGAAGGACCTACAAGCAATAAGATCTGAAAGTCATTTCTAAAAAAAAAAAAAGGTAACTTACCAATACTGGACCACAAAATAAAAATCTTTATTTTTACAATGTCATTTCTTCACAAGGATTTAGAGCTAGTCATTATGATTATAGAATAAAGTTATTATATTTATAGAATCATACAGTCATTATGTTTATAGAATAAAGTTACTATATTTATAGAATATAGTCATTAAAATTACAGATGAAGTCATTATGTTTATAGAGTTAGGCTATTAAAAATTGGACATTAACAGTGGACCTAGAATGGAGCCCTGAGATACTCCATATTGGTTGTATTTATTAGACATGGAGACATTTGTGAACATTTGTTTCTTTTGGAGTTTGGTTTTGGTATAATGTGGTTATTTTTTTTTTAAACTTAGATAACTTAAAGGGATATTCCGGCGTAAAATTTAATTTAGGGTCAAACACGCTGTAACCCCCCCCCCCAGAGAGAGGAATGTTGCCCAACACTTGCTCTAGTTATACCAACTCGTGCGGTCCTTACTAAAGTTGGTATAACTAGAGAAGTAAGCGGTCAGCAACATTCATCTCTTGACGGGATGTCTAACTTGGTGTTACAGTGTGTTTGACCCTAACTTAATTTTACTCCTGAATATCCCTTTAAACAGACCCTCACAAAGTTACAGTTTGGAAATTATTCTCATAATCACCCTATTAATAGTTAGTTTGGCTGTAGAAGAAATTAAATAATATTACCATCAAGATATTACAATCAAAGTTAAAGATATCTATACTAATGTGATTCAGAGCCTACAGGAACACATTATATATGTGCGCATGCTTGTGTGTTTGTGTGTGTATGTGGACCCTGCAGTCAGTCTCTGGGTGTTTTTGGAAACACACACACACACACACACACACACACACACACACACACACACACACACACACACACACACACACACAGTCTGTATGCCTTGAATTTAGCAGAGAGCGAGAGAGATGTTAGAGAGAGGTTGGGAATGTGTTGCTTATCCTTGGAGAGCCTTTATGCGCGCTCCCGCCCTCTCGCCCGCGCTTGCTCTCCATCGCCCGCGCCCCCGCCTGATTGCGTGCGCGCGCCCGGTAAATAAAGAAAGAGGAAAAAAAGAAGAGGAGGAAGCAGAAATAGAGAGAGAGAGAGAGGGAGAGAGACGTTAACCCGTCCCGTCTTTCTTCTTCTTTTTCTGCTACTGCAGTGTCTGATTCTCCCTCCACCATCTTCATCATCACCACCATCCTCCTCCTCTCCCTCCTGTCTGTCTGTCTGGGTCCCCCCTCCCTCCCTCTCCTCCTCCTCCTCCTCCTCACCCCTCCCTCCTCCTCCTCCGCCAGTGAAGGCACGGCCAGATTATCACGGCGACAAAAGAGAGAGAGAGAGGGAGAGAGACCTTCAGACAGACCGAGAGAGAGCGAGAGAGGGAGAAAGAGAGAGAGGGAGAGTGAGTGAGAGAGAGAGTGAAGGAGGCTGCAGACTTTCCACGCACAGAGGAAGAGGAGAAGAGGAAGAAGAGACAGAGAGAGAGAGGAGTCTCCATCTTCGCCATTTCAGTATGTTTCTCTTTCTTCTTTATCTTTGCTGCTCTGACGCTGTTTCTGCGCTCTTTTCTGCGCTCTTTCTCGCGCCTCCACGGCTCCGGTCACCTCTAGCATCCTCCTTTCGTGCTCCTGTGGTGTGTCAGTCATGCTTGTGTTGTTTCAGAGCCCACTTCTGTTGACAGTCTTCCTCTGAAGCTCCTCTTCCACTCTTGAGCTCCGTTAGGGTCTTCATGCGCCTTTATGGGGGATATGTCTGCTGTAATGTTCCTATACTGTGTGCCAGTCATGCTGCTGCTGCTTAGACATGAAACCTGAACAATATACATGTATTTTTCTGTCATTTCTGCACATTTTGAATTTATTTCTCTGCTGTTTCTTTGTTGAGAGTTCATGTCAGACACTCAGTACCATCCTCTCCTGATATCTGCACCCTGAGCTGTCCTGTCTACTCTGTAGTGACCTTACGGCACCTTTTTGATTACGTTTATTCTCATGTTTCATTATCATACTCATATATAATTTCCACTTTATTACACTGAGGCTTCCACTGCTCTATCACATCCTATAATATCCCTGTAATATTCCCCTAATGTTCCTACAGGGTGCCGTGAAGCCTGTATTGTTCGGTATGGCAGCTATAGGATGGGGTCTAATAGGCTATGATAATCCAGGCTGGGACCATTGTGTGTAATATTTTGTATTCCTGCAGGGTGTCACAGAGCGTCACTCGTCTTATAATATCGCCATAATGCCTCTACTGTGTGGTGAAGTGTGCCTGTGCTGCCAATTACTGAGCTGCAGTGACCTTATGGCACCTTTTTATTAACTTTATCCCCACTGTCTGAGGGGAGGATGCATCGTAACCATGAGCATTTATGTTTGTGACCTGCTGTAATATTTGTGAAGACTCTGATTAATGTGGTGATTATTTTTTGACATTCTGACATTCACTTTTAGTTATGCAAACATCTTAAACAAACACAAGTTTGTAGGTTGGAGAAGCAGATCTTTTACACAATTTCCTCTTGTGGGACTGATAAAGGATTATCTTATCTTGATAGTGAGATTATTCTGTTTGAATAATGGTCATCTTAATTACTATCCGTGGAAACCTTTGCAGCTGTTTGATAAGAGTTAAAATCATTTTAAAATACATGAAACATGCAGTGAAAATGTTCCTTATTTATCATGCAATAGGAGTAGAAATATAATGACAAAAGCTGCACCAAACCAACAGAATATTTAATTTTAATCCAGCTTTATTTGAGTGATTGTAACAGTGATAATACTGCCAAAGATTTAAGTGACAAATAGAAAAAAATAAAATCAAAACTAACAAAAATCAAACTAACAGTCAAGGGACAAAAATGAAGATCTTTGCAAGTTTAACTGGGCTTGTAAGTTTATCATTCTATGCAAAAAGTCTCTTTCCTATGAAGCTAAAGTTTCCTTTTTCAGAAAGTGTCCAAAACTTTCTGCATGTTGAATCTAGTAATGATGAGAATTGAGAGTGAAAACAAAGGGAAACATGTGGACTGCGCAGACCTTCTCTCCTTAAACCAGAGCTGACGGGTGTTTCTGGATCCTCTGCATGTTTGAACAGAGTCTGAGGAGTGTTGATGACTTTCTGAATGAATGATTAAAACTTTACAGTCAGAGTGAATCCAGGGAGGCTCTCTGCAGAGGAAGACTCTCTGCACTTTTTTTCTGTTTGCATAAAAAGATGAATTAGTTCATAAAAATCTGATTTCTGCTCAATAATGTTGCAGCTGCACAAAGACACACTTTATTTTTCACTCAGAGGAGAAGTGTTCTTTACCAGGTTCATGGAGAAAAGCTGCTTTTTGTCCTTTTTTACTCCTAATATCGCTTCCCCTTTGTCTCTTTGTGTCTGTCAGTAACAGGAGCTTATCTGGAGGATGATTTTGTCCAAAATAACTTTGAAATATTACTGCGAAAACTGCAGAGCAAACAGAATAAAATTATAAAGCCTTTAATTTCTCACTACAGTCAGAAAATACGTCAAAATGGTCTCTAAATCTGCGCTCATATTGTCACATTTGAAGGATATTTGTATCAACGGACTAACAGAAAATTAAACCAGCTCTGCAGTTTAAAGAGTATTCTCACTTAAGTCTGACTGTAACACCTGTCGCACCAAGAGCAGGTGTGTTTTCTGTATGTTTTAAAGAGCGATGCACCACACAGCTGATAAATGCACCTAAATATTCCTGAAAACTGTTCGCTGTAACTCCGGTGGAAATCGTCTCCTTCAAAAAAACAGACTTAAAATAAAACCTGTTCAGACTGTGATTGATTAAAAATTATCACAGTGATTATTGAGCTCTAATTTTATTTCTCTTTTAGTTTCTGTCCATCGTTTTCTTAATGAAATGTTCTGGAACAAATGTGTGTTGCACACAGACCCTATTTATCATTTTGGAGGGAACATATACGCTGAATTATTTAATCTACGAGCTGATTCTGACTTAAAAAGTTTATAACAGAGTCTGAAGCTTGAAACAGCGTCAGTAAAATCAGAAATCAAAACCACAGTAACAAAAAAAAGAAAAACATATTTTGTTAAATTAGATTTTTGACAGAGAAATTTATCGGACACAGACTGACATCAAACAAGCTGTTAATTAATGTTGATTTATAAAGTTTTTAATCTGTTTATTTGTCAGGGACAGGTACAACAGCTGTCTGATGATTTTATTTTTGAAGATCTTTTCCAACACCGCACAGCAGAAAGGTTTCAGAGAGAATAAAAGATAAAAACATTTTAAGTTAAAATAATAAATGAGGCTGAATGGAGTTTAACAGAAAGGTATCTGACAGTGTCGCACTGTGGTCCTTGGTCGCTCTCTGAAGGTAAGGCTTCTGAGCTTAAAAAGGTGATAATCCTGTCTATCCGAACGTTTCAGCAAAGATTCACTGGATAAAACCAGTAACATCAACAGGACTCTGACTGTTACTTTCCAGAGGTCTGACTCAAGATTCATTAGGCCCCATTAGAGATGAACTCTGAGGGTCTGAGGGCTGACAGGCTTGACTAGGACCAGTCTGTAAACCATCAGACAGATATGAGAGTTTCAGAGTTTCAAGACACAAAGTCACAGCTGAGTATTATATCACTTATTTCATCTTAAAACAGCCAAAATGAGCCTCAGCTGTAAGAAAAATCTCTCAAACATTTTATTAAAATGTTAAAAAAATCAATTTTTTTTCACCAAAACTAAAGTCATGAAGTCCGTTTTGTAGTAGTTTAGTTTTTTCTGCTCCAGTCCTGCCTCATTTCCTGTTTTATTTTGTAGTTTACGCTGTGATTCACGTCTTGTGTTATTTTCTGTTTTTTTTTTTGTAGTTTACCCTTAATTTCATGTCTCGTGTTATTTCCTGTTTTACGTCGTTGTTTACCTTGCGTTTCATGTCATGCCTTAATTTCCTGTTTTATATATTGTTTAATGTCTTGTGTTAAGTCCTGTCAGTCACTAGTTAGGGCACATTAAGAAAGTCTTTAAAAGTCCCCCCTGAGTCATTCCCTGTCCTCTTTTCCTATCCCTGATGATAAAGTTCAACGGGGTTAGGTAAAAGTGTACTCCAGGACTTTGGAGACTCAGTCTCACACTTGGAGGACGTTACTGAGGTCATATGAACATGCTGTTGGAAAAAAAAAACATTGACCACTGACGGACTGCAAAAATCCCAACACGCTCTGACAGTGTTGATTCAAGCAAATATATTAACTAGGTGATTCATGTGATATCATCCAGGTGTATCAGGTGTAACAAGGTTTGTCAGGTGTAACGGGTGTATCCAGTGTAACGGCTTTATCAGGTGTATTAGGTGTCTGACTGTAAGCTCCACTAAACTCCTAAGCACTGAAGCTCCTGTCTTCATCATTTGGAGGATTCAAACAGCTGTTAGCATGGCCGACGATCAAAGACTGCTGGGTCATTTGCCAGTCCAAACAGTACCCCTTCTTACATTTCCCATCCTAACAGTTCCTGTCCCAGCAGTCCCCATCCTAACAGTTCCAGTTCTTAGAGTTCATCATCATTTTTTCTGCGTTTGCACCCTCAACTCTTTGTGTCAGTGACAGAAAACCCTGAATCATCACTGATGACCTACAAAAGGAGTTTTGTGTGTGTGTGTGCGTGCGTGTGTGTGTGTTATAACTTTCTTACAATTGTAGTCTCTTTATTGTCTTCATTGGTGTCACTCATTGTTCAAAGCTGAAGTTCCCTGTAAGCTGTCTGCAGGCCTGGATCGATAGAAAACACACAGAGTCCGACTGAGATCTGTCTTTGTCCTCTGAGTGTCTGAAACATGGACATAAAGAGAGACTTCACCAGGGGAAGACTCAGGTCTTAGAAACGTCTTTATTTGCAAAAGCAAGTGTTGTAATGTTTGTGACGGAGGGCAGAGCAGAGACACACTGAGCTGTAACACCTTCCTGCATGTTTATGTTATTGACCTGTCACTTCCTGACAAGTCCTGCTGAAATCATGCCGTCTGACCTCAGCATTAGTTCTTCATAAAGCATCCCTGTTGCTTGGGAACAAAATATGAAATGAAGCAGTGAAGTGAAAAGCTTTAATTTCCTATTTTTATGTTGAAAATATAGAAATATCCTTTAATGAGCAACAATTTTCCACAATGAAAGTCCTTCAGATGGAGTCAAGTCTGTGAGCTGCAGTCCTCTTTCATGTTAACAGAGTGTGTCAGTGCTAAATAGGAATAGTCGGGAATACATTTGTCAATCACAGCCAGAATGAAAGAGTGTTTATTTAGCACAGGTGTCCAGTAACATGCACCGTAAACTGTCCAGGTGATATGCCTGATGGCTTGATAGTTATTTTTCAAGCCAATTACTGAGCTAATTGCCCAGTGGGTGGAGCCTGTTAGCACATTAACCTGTTAGCAGTTTAGTACTGTTAGTGTTATCTTCATATCCCTCTTCATTATCCCGTGATCACTCAAACATCCTCAGTGATCTCTGCTCTTTCATTAGCTCTGTGTTGTCTCTAAGTTTATACAAGCAGGAAACAACAATAAGCCAGCCCAGTTAGACCTGCTTTTTGTCCCTCTGAGGCTCCAGTAGACGTCTGTTTTCCAGTGTAAACACTGAGTCTGGGTGATCCCGGCTAAAAAAGTAATGAAAGATAAAATGAGCCTCCTTTATTTCCTGCCTGCTCTCAGAGGAGTCAGAGACAGAGACAGAGCTGAGATCATTCATAACCTCCTCCTCTGTGCAGACACACACCACCTGAGTGTGACGGAGAGGCAGATTAAACACTCCGCTCACACATGACCAGCTCCACAGAGCGCTGCAGGTCACAGATAAACCCTCTGTCACACCTGGAGGTCTGCTCACATCACAGCTCAGTCACACCTGAACCTGAGCCGGACCAACCAATTATCATCATCCCAGCTGCACCCCGCAGTTTCTATGCAACCGACTGGTGCTATATATAAATATATATATATATATATATATATATATAACATAACATATATATATAACATGTGACATTATAATTCCTCTATGAGACCAGCACACCTGTAATCTGTGGCCTTATACTTGATTCAGAGTTATGATGAGACCTTTGACATCAGACACCTCCTCCTCCTCCATCCGGCCTGTTTCAGAGATCCCACTGAACGTCTGCACTTGTTGCATGATCGTAAAACTTCGCAGGATTTGGAGAATGGTCAGTGTTTTCTGAGCAGTGTTCCATGGTTGAGAAATGATGCAGCCACCAGCTGTAATCTGTGTGCTGCTGATCGATCTGCTGTGTGGCTGTAACAGCAGATCTGTCTTTCTCTCAGCTGTCCTTGGATTCCTCCTTCAGTAAAGCTAAGACTATGATCACGCTTCATGCGTTCATGTTCAGTTTAGGTTTACTGGTCAGATTGGAAGTCTGTATGAAGTCTGTACTCTCTGAAAATGGAGGTTCTAAAAACACCAATCGATAATTTTCGAGTGGATGGCAAAAAAAGAAAGCTCTGGTGATGCTGACGTACTCGAGCACTGCAATTTTTCTTCATCTGTGTTGTGCACGCTCTAAGGTGGTGGTCTATTAGTTAGTGGATGTGTCTTCAGCAGTGTTTGGCCTAATTGCTCATTAAGAGGAAAAACTAGAAGAACATTGTAAAGGCAGCTTGCTGAAGAGGACGCTCAGTATGCATGCACATTAGACCTGGGCGATTTGGCAAAAAAAATGCTCACGATATATTTTGTCATATTGTTCGATCTCGATTATGATCACGAATTTTTTTTTAAACTGCCAGTTTTAAAGCATCTGTACTAAAAACTAAAGAAAGTAGTGATTAGTTCAGCATTTTATGAACATACAAAGTAACAAAGAATAAGATACACTTAGAAAAATATAAAAACCATTTGAACTCAATAATACAACAAAAGCAGATAAATATTAAATAATACAGTAAATTGATTTACACTCCTGAGTGTTTTTGCAGGCATGCAAGACCCAGAATAAACAAATCGCCCCCTCAGAGATAATGAAGATGCTTTAAAATCTAAACATTAGATGATTTAAACATAGATGATATGATTGATTGCTTTGGTCTGGTTGCTGCGTCGCTAGTTGTAACTAAACTACTAATGTTACTTGTGCCGTCATCAGTGACAGGCTGTGTAGACTCTGCTCACATTTTCATGCTTTCCGCATAATCACTCGGGAAGTAACTCTTCTAATGATTAAACAGATCTGTTGTATCGCCGGTTTTCGAGGGCACCGACCGCCGACGTACCTTGCACATCGGCTTAATTGCTCGATGCCACTTTGGAGATACCCGAACCACCGCCACACAACCAACGTTGAATAACTGCTCAACAATAACATCTTCGGAGGATGACTCAAATTGGTGGCTGGCATGTATTTTGCTGCCCTCAGCTCTGTGTTTAGCTCCACATTCTGTCATTCTGTTTACTTCTCCTGTTTACTTCTTCGGCAACTTACAGAAGTGAGCAAGAAAAGCTCGACTCTGATTGGCTGTTGTGACGCACATTTCCGCTATGTTTGATCGAGTAAATATGCTCACAGCTGATCACCGTGATCAAACTGAAATTCATCACAATCATCGATCACGATCATATGATCGCCCAGTCCTAATGTACACGTTCTTCTTCTATGGTGTTTGAAAGGCTGTTTCTCATCATATGAATGAAGTAAGTCAGAGTGAAGCCTCAAAGTGACTGTTACAGTGAAACTGAGACCAAGCGGAAATGACTAAACAGAGGCTCCTTTAGGGTCATTATTAAAAATAATGATGATCCAATTCTTCATTGAAAGGACAAGTCCTGTTGCCCTTTCAATGAAGAATGGGATTACCATGACCTGGATGAATGAGGACCTTCACAGACAGAGACAGCGAGACTGTGGCTTGATGGTTATAGGAATCACTGGGTGATTGATCAGGTGTTTTTAGCCAATCCTTAAAGTCTGATGACGACTGATCTGGCAGGGTTTCATTCAGAGTCTAAAATTAGACCAGAGACAAACTCTGGGCCATAATCCAGATCTGTCCTCCTCCAAGTCCAAACCAGTGAGGGAAGGAACTTCAGCTTTTATGAGAGATAAGACTGTCAGAGGCAAGTGCGAGGTGAACGATGTCTGTGAGGGTTTACCAGAGTGAGTTCCTGCAGAATGAAGGATCAACTGATAACTGACGGACTGATAACAAAGACTTGAATCAACCACCTGTGTCTGTCTGTGTCTATTTTTGTTTCTGTCTGTGTTTCTGGCTGTTTTTGTTTATGTCTGTGTCTGTTTCTGTCTGTGATTGTTTCTATTTCTGTCTGTGTCTATTTCTGTCTCTGCCTGTGTATGTTACTGTTTTTGTGTCTGTCTGTTTCTGTCTGTCCGTCTGTCCGTCTGTTGCCAGGACCACCATCAATCTGATTAACTCATTCTGATCAATGGAGGCTGGCTGCACTCGTGCACACTCATGCACGTAGCAGAGGGCATCATCCACCATCTATTCTGGAGCCCCGAATGACTCATAGAGTAAAAATCCGCACACACACACACACACACACACACACACAGATTTTAAATGATTCTTCGTGGGTAGACAATTCTCTGTGAGGTGCGTGTGTTTGTGTGTGTGTGTGTTATTGTGTGTACAGTCATTCATGTGAGTGGCAGACCAGCAGCCGCCCTCGGTGGACTCTTAATTTGAAGGGCTGATTAATGCAGAACTTTTTAGACTCCCTCCCTCTGCTGTGACCTCTGACCTTTAGCCTCCCCGTGTCGGGTTTTCTGCAGCCTCTCTGATGTGAGCTGAAGAGTGTCTACCTCTGCTGTGACTGAGAGGCCGTCTGCATGAAAAGGAGAGTTAAATATCTACCTCTGTGCATGAAAAGAGACAAATGATCCTCCGAGCGAGTTAAACACAGACTCAAAGAGTAACGATCGCTTCATTCACACTCTACTGCCACCCCCTGACCTGTCAATCACAGAGCCTAGAGCCCCGCCCCCACGGGTATAGAACATCAGTTTGGTTGAGTAAAGGGTCAGTTATTGAATTCATGCAAGGACATGTCTCCACTTCTTTAGGCCAAAACAAAGTTTAAATTGTGGGACTGAGAGAAATTTATGAAAAAAAGTAGATTTAGACCAGAGGAGGAAACCTGGGAACTGGATGAGCCCATGCAGGCAGCAGAGTCCTTCCTAATACAACAGTGTGATCTAAGGTTTCTTACTCTCTTATTTAGAGCTCTAATTCTTAGAAAGACTGTAAGGTTCCTCTCATTTCAGTCTTGACAAGGGGAAAGACTTAACACAGTCGTATCACCTGACCCATGAAAAAGTCCAGGTTTAGGCTCTGAAGTAGGGCTGGGCGATAAAATGATAATATATATCAAAAAATAATTTTGTGGTGCCTGTGCAGCCGAAACAGCCGACCATTCAGTCCACTTTCTCTAGCGCAACGCCTTACGACAAAATGTTAAAGAGAAACAAAGACCTCACAGATGCAGTAGCTCATTGTATTGCAAAAGATATGCTACCAAAAAGCACTGTTAAATTTCATTTTTGATATCGTGATATATATCAATATCAACTGATATGAAAAAATTTATTGTGATAAACTTTTCCCATATCACCCAGCCCTACTTTGAAGACAAGCTTTTTTCCTGAAGACTGAGAGCAGGAGTGATTGTTTCTGACATGGACCAAATTCCTGAAAAACACTGGAAGTGTGAAAGCAAACAGCTGAGATTTCCTACCTGTCCTTTGCCATCATGTAAGGGTTCAGTCAAGGTGAGCTCACGTCACTGTGAGCAGCAGCTCAGGAGGGGGTGATGAAGCTTCTAATAAGTCGAGTCTCCCCGCGTGTTTGAACAGTGCTGCTGTAGACGGTTTGAGGACGTTGATAATGTCTTCAGGTCATAAAGAGGGACAGGTTTACTGCCAGGAGAAGGCAGCATGTTTGCATCTGTGTGTACCAGCTTTTAAACTCAAAGAATAAAGAGGGTGAAGCCTAAAGAATCAGGGGTTAAGATCTTTGATAAGACCGTGAAACAATACACCGTCTGCCTCCTGAAAATCCCCCCATGTGCCTCTAATCCAGCGTTACAGTCAGGTCAGAGCTTTTGAAAGAGTTTGGAGATCCCTAAGATTCCCAGAGTTTCCTGAGAGCAGCTTGTGTGTCAGCTGTCTGACAGACAGGTGAACCTGTCCAGGATGAATCCACCGTTCATCAGGGGGCAGTGAGGGTCTGAGGTCTTGATAAAAGGTGTAGATAGCAGACTGATGTATCAGTGTACATTAGCTCAAAATCTGAATCCTTATCCATACTGACAGATTTCCTACAGACATCAAAAACAGCTGAACGTCACTGTTTAGACTACTCTGAGAGTAAACTTAAAGGGATATTCTGGCGTAAAATTAATTTAGGGTCAAACACACCGTAACACTGGGTTAGACACCCCCTCGAGAAATGAATGTTGCCGACTGTTTGCCTCTCTTGTTACACCAAGTTTAGTAATGACCGCACGATAGCAATACATTGCGGTCAATGGATCCACACACAAACCTTAACCAAAACGCCACTCTATAGCCACAAATAATGCTCAGAACAGCACCTCACTTCATCAACAGTACATATAGGGTCCTAGCCACAGCACTAACCATCAAACACCTTTTAGCTTTGCCTGATTTCTTTCGCAAAGAAAGGAAACACAACTCACCTACTCTCTTCCAGCAGCCGCTTGTTTGTAGGGAGACCTCAGATGAGTCCATTACCGACTGCAGCGGGGTGACGCAGCTCAAGGAAGAACATTTATGATCATTTATTTGTGGAAAAGCAATCAAACTGAGACGTCAAGGCAGAAGAACTGCAGAACAAAATGATAATTATGATGATTATTACTTCAAAGAAATGATGAAGGAAATGACGTAACTTAATTTTACACCGGAATATCCCTTTAAACCAGAACTCTTCTGATACCAGAGTCTGATCCTGATCAGATTCTACGTTTTCGTAATCTGTAGATAGAGATTACTGCACTGCCTTCTTCTGTAAACACAGGAATCACTGAGCAGGTAAGATCTCACACCGTCAGTCAGGTGACGTCTGACAGCAGAAGCAGCTGTTTGTGCTCATCATGAGAAGACAAATTCAGCGTAACACAAACGCAGCCTTTAGACGTTCCTGAGTCTGAGCAGACTCTCACCACTCCGACTCTGAGCTGAATCTGCTCTGACAGGAGATGGTCCGAGGGCTGAGGAGGACGTTATCTCATCTGAAGTGCTGACACGACACCAGCAGACACCCGCGGACCTGGTCACCTGGAGGAGAGCCGGCTGGCCGGCGGTGCGTTTGTGTCCAGGCAGGAAAATCTGCAGCGTGGCCTCTTCACATTTAGACTTTTACAAGCTGTAGAGGGTGAACATGAAGTGTAGCAGGTTCATTACAGCACTAACCCCTGCAGGAGGATCAGACGAGTTCATGTGTGCAGAGAGAGAGAGTGGGAAAAACGGGAACCTAAAAATAAAAGGACACAGAGAGAAAAAAGCTATTTTCTAATTTATTTGAACTTAAGGAGCGACGTCAGGATAAAACTGACAAATGCAAAAACCAAATCCTGATTTCTAATTTTCCAGATAAATCAGGCGATAAATGGAGAGAAAGGCAACAAACAAATATGGGGAATTCCTCGGTGGAATAAAAACAAGAGTGAGTGCAGGAATGTGATTTCTTATGCTAATGCTGTATTCCCACATGCATTCATTATTATTTAGCATGCAGTGCTCAGACAGGGATTCAGCTGTGATCATATCTGCAGATCACACTCAGCTGCTGCCGCTCGCCCGCTCTCTGTGATTGGTCAGAGGTTAATTGACGCGGCTAATCACCCGATCAGTCCAGTCTCCATGGAAACCAGGAGTGGGGCTGATGTACAGGAGGGAGTCACACCAGGCGTAGCTGCTGCAGAGTTTCCTTTTATTTCTGTGTGTGTGTGTTTACGCCGTCTGCAGAGAGCGTGTGCAAGGCAGTTTGTCTGTCAGGAAACTCATTAAGGATTCATTCTTTCATTTTTAATTAGCAGCTGCTAAAACTAACATGCTGCAAGTTGACTGTAGCTCTCTGTTCATTCAGCCGTCTGTAGCAGAGACCGTCACTTCATTCACTCACAGCACTGAAGCAGTCCTGTTTTCAGGTTTTTTTTAAAGGAGGAGTATGAGTCACTGAAAAAATCCTCAAATTTAAGATGATTTTTAACTTTTATCTATAGAGATTTTCAAAATAAAAGAGTTTAACCTGGACAGTTAAATAAAAGAGAGTGTTGTTAAAAGACATATGTAAAAACATAAATACTTTGAATGATATTTTTCTATAAAGAAGCATGACCTTAAAGAGATATTCCGGCGTAAAATGAAGTTAGGGTCAAACATACGTAATTACTTTATCATACGCGGTAGTTCTTCTGCCTTAGTGTCTCAGTCTGATTGCACTTCCATGATGAAATAATCATAAATGTTCTTCCTTGAGCTGCGTCACCCCGCTGCAGTCGATGATGGACTTGTCCGAGGTCTTCGTACAAACAAGCGGCTGCTGGAAGAGAGTAGGTGAGTTGTGTTAAAAAGATGTTTGGTGGCTAGTGCTACGTCTGTGACCCTATATGTACTGTTGATGAAGTTAGGTGCTGTTCTGAGCATTATTTGTGGCTATAGAGTGGCTTTTTGGTTGAGGTTTGTTTATGGCTCCTCAGACCGCTGTGTATTGCTATCGTGCGGTCGTTACTAAAGTTGGTGTAACTAGAGAAACAAGCAGTCGTCAACATTCATCTCTCGAAAGGGTGTCTAACTTTGTGTTACGGTGTGTTTGACCCTAACTTAATTGCACGCCGGGATATCCTTTTAAAGGTGCAGTCTGTATTATTTAGATAGTTATCAGGACAGAGTTTGAAGGAATTAGGCCAAAAACTTAAAGTCAAAAACTTCAAATCAATTCAAGTGTCAGTCATCATGTTTTGGGTGTCATTGTTTCTGTATAGATGGCAGAAATGTACAGATCATCCATGACAGAACCTTCTCCTGAATCTTGGAGTTTTGGAAGATGTTAGACATGCTAATATCTTTAAACTCAATGTTGGTATTGATGCATGCAAAATCAGTTTTAGACTCTGCGGCAGCGTCTTCTGCTCACTTTGAGGGATGATTGGGTTTCTGCTCCGGTCTGCTCTGAAGGAACTGATGTGAAGTATTAGTAGGACTCTGACTCACTGCGTTTCACACTTTATTCCATTTTTATTGTTTTTAGGATCTCATCCACATTTCTGAATCACAGAAATCACAGGCAGATCAACCAACATCTGAACACCAAGAGTGTCCTAATGCAGAAACTTTGAGTCCTCGATAAACAGGAGCTGTGCTGCACCTCCCTCTCTCTCTCTCTCTTTTCGTCTCCCCCCTCCCTCCCCTGTTTCACTCGTGATGTTTGGCTTGTGCGCTGCAGCGACTCATCACACTCCAGGTGTTTCTGTTTGTTGGTTTGATAAAAGTGCTCTGCTGTAATAAAACACTGAGCTGCTGTCAGCTCGGCTGCATACACACATACACACACACACACCTCACCTGTCTGCTGTGTGTGTGCTCAAACATTTGGCTGTGACTGTTTGTGTTTGTATGACTGTTGCAGCCTCCTCAGACCTGAAAGTTGAGCATTTTCTCGGAGCTCAGACATGAAGAAAAAAAGTTCTTTTTTTGCTGCTGAGTTCAAGATCAGTTTTTGGACATTTCTGTCTTACATAAATAAAACTTATTTGTTTGTATTGACAGTCTGAAGAGGACTTTAAAGCTCTAACTTTTGCTGATCAAAGCACCCCTGAGACCCCGTCCTCCCTGCTGTTATCAGACAAACTTTCTGACACTCTTTCTCCGACTTTGAATTGATAATTAGACCTGGTCTCCTCTGCAAATAACCAGCAGCAGCTTAATGAGCTGCTCCAACCATTAAGAGAAAGCAAGATCCCCAAATCTCTGCACCATGAAGTCATTTGCATTTTAATTCATCCAGGAAATCTCAGAGCTGATCCATCCAGAACCACGAGCTCTGCAGAGTCAACATCAAGTTCACAAGATGCAAAAGAACATTTAAGATTTTACAGTTTAAACGTTTAAAATAAAGCTGGAATGTTATAATTCATAAACTGATCATCTGTGGATTTATTAAGCAGACATGGTTAAATTCTAAAACATTATGTTGAGGCTTCATTGAACTGGTCCACAAACCCGTGTCCTGTGTTGGACTCAAACACCCAACAGAACTTTATAATAACGATAATATTTATTTATAAAGTGCTTTCCATCACAGTGCTGTAAAAGCAGATTACAATCATAAAATAGAAACAAAGGATTAGAATTTATTTAAAACACAAGTTCAACATAGCTCACAAGTCGTGTGTACGTTTATTCTTTCGCTTAGCTTTGAATATGTCCACTGAACATGGCTGCCTAATGTCATGAGGTGAACCGTTCCATAATGTTGGGGCAGGAACAGAGAAAGCCCGCTCACTAACAGTCTTTGTGCGGACCTTGGGGATGCACAGAAGGCCAGACTCCCACAGAGTAATCACTCTGAAAGAAGGAACATTTTCACCTCTATGGCAGATAAAACTTTGAAACCAGTTTTATATCTAGGTGGTTTGACAAACCCCAAGAGAACTCTATGTTACTTTACCTTCAAAAAGTGGTGGTTCATCCTTTCATCGCTAGAATATCTGGAAAATTCTCACACATTAAGTGCACAGGAGCAAACACTACCTTCTTTCTCTGCCTTGGTAATATCAGCAGAACTACTTTAAGATTTCTTTCCTCTGAGTGTGTGGCCTTTACATGTTAAAAATAGTGTTCAGAGACATATAGCTGTACTGTCAACAACATTTCAACCACCTGTTATATTAAGCTGCAGGTAACCTAGCGACTGCGCTGTTATTATAGGCCTGTCAAACTCATTTGCAGAGGAGCAGAGGCTTTTCTTTGTTCCTGTATGATGATAAAGACGAAAATAATGAAATTGTCTCACTCTGTGGAGGACTTTGCGTATTGAATAGTCTTTCATGTATACTAACAGGAAAAAAACAGTAAGATGCAGTGCTGGCTTTGACATACAGGAGGCGCTGCAGCCAACAGTGTTTTTAGGAGAGAAATCGCACAAGGACACAGTGTACACTCCAAACTGTCATGGCAAAGTGGGTGAACCATGTGCGCTGTTCTGCTACATACCTTTGAGTGTGTATGTGTGCGCGTGTGTGCACATGCATGTGTGTATATGTGAGTGTGCGTGCAAATACGTGTGTGCCTGAGTATAGAGCTCTGCATCATATTGTACCAGACAGGCAGAGTGTCGAACTGAATACTAAGCAGCAGGAAGCTCCTCTTCACACAGCGCCAATCCAGCCATATAGGACACAGTGACACACACACGAACACACACTCACACACACACTACAATTATTTCTTTATTGTGTTATAATGTGATAATTTTATGAATACTTGAGTAGAGTCCCACATATTTCCATGAATTTAACCACCTTGATAAAAAACCCACCTTCCCTCTGCATGATGTCAAATCACATTTATGATAAAAAAGATCCTGTCCCTAAAGATGTCTCTTCGCTGAGACATTTCAACCTTAAAGTTTCAAAAACATCTTTGTAACTCAAAAAGTCCTTACCTTTTTCGACGGTCCTCCTTCCTGAAGTCTACATCGAACAAAAGTCCTCACAACGATAGCAGAACAAGAGCACACACACACATGCAGAGGCAGAACAAGGACACAGCCTATGGAAGCACACATTCATAAAGACACACACACACATGCGCACACACTGCTGAAGTCAGTACAATATGTGCACAGAGGCATATGCGCACACACACATGCACACACACACGCACATACACACACATATACACACATGCCCATTAAGTGTGCAGCCCACTCAGTCGTATAGTTTCCAGGGAGGTGGAGGTTTTTTTTTTGTCGGTTTGGCTCTTCAGGGTGGAGGGAGGGAGAGAGGGAGAGAGGACTGTATTTGATGTAGGGTGCGTTGGAGCGCGCTCAGTGGAGTGGCGGCCTTAGATGCACCCGGCCCCGGTATGCTGTGGCACCATAATGGGAGTAGGCTGAGAGTTCAGGCGAGGCTGTCCAGAATTTACATTTATATTAACGCCGCAAACCCCCCCGGAGCAGCGCTGCAGCTGAAGAGCAAGCGGCATCAGGGGCTGCTGTGCTCGCGTCTTCATCATCAAACTCGGGCTCCTCTGTTGTCTTGGCTCTCTTTGTGCTGCTGTTTACATTGAAAGACGCCCTACAGCGTTTCTGACTGTAATTACTGCACCAGAAAAAGAAATTCTGCATTATTTCAAAATTTGAAAGCAGTGTTTCACTCTTGGGTTTGCCTCGGCTAAGACCGTAATGAACCATAATCCCTCCACTGTGGTTACCTGTAGAGCTTCACTTCTTGTCATATTTCTCAGCTCTTCCCTGTTTGATGACTTTGTGATCTTGATGACCTGGTAGTATCTATTTCTTCTAAACTATGGCTTTAAAAACATCCATGCCGAAGGTCTCCTTAGGATTTTTTCTTCAATGTACAGGTGGACTGTCATTTTTTATCTAAATATCAGTCAGTAAATTAAATTTGCACAGTTTGCACAGTCCCAGTGTCTGTTTGTATCTTCAGGACTCAAAAACACGAAAACAACAAACCACATTTGTTACAAAGCCGTGAACCTCAGGAGGTCCGAGGACTCGATGGTATCTGCTTTGTGTTTGTCTTGGTCATAAATCAAGATTACAGTTAACTGGAGTGACCATATTCTGATTTCCCAAAAAGAGGACACGACTACATGGGAGGCGCAGTCACGGAGTCGCATGAAGTTAATTTTGAGAGTTTTTCGGGTCAGATCGAGTGTCTTTTACGCGCTTCTAACTCAGTAAGTCCACGTGACACAAGATCGAAACCCTAGTACAAAACCGCCGACATTTGAAGGATTTTATAAACTTGCCAGACAAAGCCGTACAGGCCCCGGCAGCCCCCCCAAAAAAGGACATGTCCGGGCAAAAGAGGAGGTATGGCCACCCTAAGTGAACGATCAACGAACAATGACACAGAAAGGAGTGACATGTCTGTTTGACTGTGTGTTAGCTCCTCAGCGCCCCCTTGGTGTAACTGAAAACTCTGCACTTGGATTTGGTACAAATGAACACAGAGGTACCGCAGTCTCGTCAGTGCTGCTCTTATATCAGTGTTGTTGCCTGCTGTATTTGTCATGATATTTTTTGCATCTTTTAGGATTTATTATTTCTAAATAAGTTTTAGAGTCAACCTATCAGAGTCAAGGTTTTGCTTTCAGACTACTCCTTCTTCCCTCAGCCTCTTGCATGTCACGGTCTGTCACTGGGGTATTGCGTGAGATTGCTGTGGTGTTTCTCTAAAGAGGCTAAGATTTTAACCAGCTGTAGAGTTGAAGTAGACTAGCTTTCCTGTCTTTCTGCACTCTCAGGTATGAAGATACCAGTTTAACATTATCTGGTTTGTTGTTGTACTAGGGCTGGGCAATAAACTGAAAATTTACTTGTACCAAAATTTATGATAATAACCGCTGTCATTTTGGCCGTAATGGTATATTTGGTGTCAAATAAATAGATAAATAAAAGTTGGTTTTGGATGTGTGTAGGTAGGCTATGGTCTCATGTCCTTTTAAGATGCTGTCCTATGTCAGAAACGTGACTCCACCCCATCCAGTCCGTAACAAAGAGGGAAAGACAAGTGAGGAGATGGAGGAAGGTTCAAAAGTTGTAGCGATAGGAGCGGCAGCTGAATTAGACCAAGTTAATATTGGAGGGGGTGAGCAGCTTGCGGAGTAGTTATCGTCCATTTATCGTTATTGAGGTGAACTGCTCAATAGATCATGATATTGATTTGAGGCCATATCGCCCAGCCCTAGGTTGTACAGTGGTTTGGTTAGTCCCCGTGACCCTGTAGTTTCTTACAGGTAGGATTCCCTGTGCTGATATACTGTCACTGTTTTCAGTGGTAGTCTGGTATACGTACAGCCTGAGCGCAGGATCAGAGCTGCAGTTTTATCCTCAGAGTTTGATCAGAAACTGTCACATTGACCCAGATTTGACCCAGAATTTGAAACTTTGCTGATTTGAAACACTGAATGTTTTATCAGGTTTCTATAAAGAGCATGTTAAAGCTTCTGCCTACACTGACTGGATATTTTAATGGCAATTCAAAATGCTGTACATAATGCATTAAAAACATTACAGCGGGAATATAGCATTAAACATTTAAATGCTAATTAAAAAGTGCTAAAACAAAAGTTAAAATAATTAAAACATTAAATAAAAAACAGAGCAGCAATAAGTGAAGGTGGGAAATAATGAGTGTTTATGCATAAAGTTTGATGATCATATATCTGAAATAAGTTTGTGTTACATTAAGAATAAATTCATGTTGCGAAAAACACCATGAAGGACTCGGTCCTGTATGACTTTAGTCTTGTATCAGGTCTGTTTTTATACAAAACTATCAGGTATGTTTTTATGTTTATTCATCAGGTTTCTGCAGAAACATCTGAGTGCTTAAGTGAACTGCATGTCACTAAACATTAATAATAACTTTTAGGTGTCACAGACTGAAGACGTCCAGAGGAAGTGAATAGAGGTTCAGAGTCAAACTGTAGCGTTAAGACTCTACAGGACTGCGGCTCCCAGAGAAACTCAGATATTTATGTGTTTTGTTTTTGCAGATCATGACTCTTGAAGACGGCTTTTGAAACTCTGCCAGCTTTAAAGACTGTTGAGCTACATGACCAGCGCTGCACCGACCTCTGACCAGGTAGGAACAAGGCCACCATGCAGGTCTTATGTAAGTCGTATCAGGATAAATAAACCTGCTGTTTGTTCAAAGGTGATCCCCATGTGCAGTAAATAAAGTTTTGAATGTGACCTCTGCTTCCTGTTAGGATGCTCTCTGAAAGGTTATTGAGTTTGTTGTGTTTTCATGAACAGTTTAAAACGTTTCCTGTTGATTTCTGCATGGAAACACAAAAGAAGCAATTTATGTAACAAACACAAAATGCAACATGTTTTCTTCCTGCTTCCTTCATTCTCAGAGTTTGACTCGATTATTTCTGTTTAGATGGAGGTTAATGCGGTTAAAAAACGCCATCGCACAAGATCCAAAGGAGTCAGAGGTATGGGCATGTCTGTTTAACATCCATCTATCTCTGAAGAACCAGATTTACATGCACAACGGCTATCAAAAAAAATGTCAGCAACATGTTTGTAAAAAGTAGTTTTAGGTTTATATTTCTCATCGTGTATCCTCAGCTCTTCTTTCACAAACCCTCTGTAGACATTGGTGAATCCAGCAGACCAGGTTCTGGAGTCTTCAAGTGAAAAGTTTTCCCATTCTTGCCTGAGACAGTTTAGGGTCTCATTTTTCCAGTCCACCTTAAATGGGTTCAGGTCCATAATAGTCTCTGGTGTTTCTGGATCCTGTTACTAACCTGTTGGAAATTAACCTTATTAGTTAGAGACATACCTGCCAACACTCCTGTGTTTCCTGGGACTCTCCCGTATTTCAGACCTATCTCCCATCCCCCTCCCGTATTGCCATTTCTCCCGGGAATCTCCTATAGTTTGCATGGCCCACATTTATTCATGAATCAGATCACTATATTCGTCCATAGTTGACAGGATTCCAGACTGGATTCATACTTTTACTTTACAATTTGGGATGATTCAGGTCCCAGTGGAGTGGTGCGTTCAGGCAGCCTCAGATAAAAGAGTGCTGTATTTCACGCACAGATGTTCAGAGAGCCTTATACGGGAGAGCATGTCAAACAGATGAGAACTTTAACACCAATATTAGTGGACCAAATAAGTTCAAAGCATATCATAGCAATTATTTTTTTATTACTGTTTGTTATCGTTAAAACAAAAGTGTGCAGCTTTACTTATACTTATTTGGATGAGCAAATCTTATTACAAATACTCTCATAATTAGTTCAAATCTACCATACAAGGTAACCCCAAAACAACCCAGTGTGCGTTGCAAAAATCTTCAGGATTTTATAACCCAAATGTTTGCAGGTATGGTTAGAGATGTTCCTCCAGCTGTTTTTTTGAGCATGACTCTACTTTTTACCTCTTTGGCTGTTCCTCTAAGAACTTTAACCTGTTTGGTTGTTCCTCTAAGAACTTTTTACGAACATGTTGCTGTCATCAGATTGAACATGAACATTTTTTGGAGTCATGGTTGTATTTACAGCTAAACCAAAGAGTCTGAACATTTAGAGCTGCTGTGTCAGTAACAGCTGGCTGGTTGAGGAGAAGTTATAACTTGAATCTTTCTGTCCTGTCTCTGTCTGAAGCCGCCGTGGAAGCAGTAACACAGGAGTTATTCAGGTAGGTCAACCTGCGCTCACTCTGCGCTTTTCTACACTGTTATTAATGCATTAGAGGAAACCAGCATGTGCATGGTTTGATAAGAGAGTCTAATGTGTCGGCAGTAAAATGTCAGAGAGGAGGCTCAAACGCTCAGGTCGGCACTGACAGGCAGAGGTGAACTGAGCAGGAGTTCAGTTTAGTTTCTGGTCATGTGATCTGTCAGCTCATCATCAAACCGCAGGGTCTCTGAGCTCTGGGTCCCATCACTCAGATCTTTACATTTGCATAAGGATGCATTTTGTGTGTATTGTTTGATGTAGTCGCTGAGGAATAAGTGAACGAACTTCTCCAGAACATGAATCAGTGTCCTTGACATGAAGTTAAATGATGAGGTTGCACAGGGGGCTGTAGCACAGCGGGGCTTAAATAACAGGTAGAGGACGTATGCACATCTGGATGCAGCACTGCTGTCACAGACGTGCATTAAAAATGTCTGCTCTTAAAGGTATCAGTGCTCTCCTGATTCAGCAGACAAACAGCAGAACTGGCTCCTGACGGATTACAGAGTGCTGCAGATAACTTCATTTCACCTGTGGGTGGTTTACAGCTCAGTCAGAAACAGCTGGAATCTCTGTCCTTACGTTTGAAAACCACAGTTCTCCACGCCAACTCCGGATTAACCCTGAAGGAATCACATTTTTATGATGAGCAGTAATGGATCCTGTTAAAATGTGACCCAGCTGTTTTATTACGCAGTTTTTTCAATCTAATTCAACCAGTAATTCATTAGGTTTTACCGTACGGCTGCAGCAGGAACACACCAGCAGCTGCTGACAGTTAATGCTGAATATGACTCCTACCTGTGAGTGTGTTTTAGTGTGTGTGTGTGTGTGTGGACAGGAGTTTCTGCTTCACTTAATCCCATTTAGTAAAACTGACAAATATTGGTGTGTGCAGCAGATTAGGGTTGAACTCGCTTTGATTCAGGTCATGGCTTTACTGTAAACAACATGTCGTGTCTGCGCTGAGCGAGCCCTGAGCAGAGCAGCAGAAACTCGCTGATTCACCCTGAATTTCAATCTGAAGGTGCCGCTGAGGCTGAGCATTCAGGGCCAGACGTGATGGACGGACAGACGGGTGGAGAGACTTTGAAGTGAGCAGTAACGGCAGACATGACTAAGGCTGGAGAAACTGTGAAACACCATCAGAAACCGCTGAAGATTTCCATTAATTGAATATTCCCCATCACAGGCCCTGACTAATCTGACTAATCTGCTGGGATAAACATATACAAATGAATTTGTCATTGTGGCGGGCAGATTTGAGGGGAAAGACATGTGGCTGTGATATTAAAAGTCTTCCATGACTTAATGCTAATTACTAAATAAATACATCACATCTGTCGGCTCAGCAGGAATCAGAGCGGCAAATTCTGCTGCATCATGGCTCTGAATTTTTAACTTCCTGCAGATTTGCTCCTGAAACAGACTTAAGATTTTGATGTTTAAGAAGAAGATTAGGTCTTAACGTTCAAAGGAGCGCCTGACTGTTCTTCCACTGAAAGACACTAAAGCAGAGGCCGTATTAAACAATGAAAAACCTTTGCAGTTTTCTACTAAGTAATGGAATCCACCTGTTACATCCATGAACCCTCTACAGCAGACCACACCAGGCCCTTTGGATGTCCCTGCCCGGCCCTTCGTGAGGTCTGTCAAACAAATTATCAACATGCTATACAAGTGTGTTGCTTTTATTTTGAAAACCTAGCCGTTGTTTTATTTCCATTTGGACACACGTGCAAAATAATAATAATAATTCATTTTATTTGTATACAGCACACAATTTGAATATAGCAATAAAAATAAAATAAATTAATATAAATAAGTAAAATACATCCTAGATCTGCATTTGTGAACAGAGACAAGTTTAAACATCGGTGAAATATACGTAGACGCCTTATAGTTGCCAAGTCCGCTTATTATAAAAGACTTCAGGCTTGTTTCTCTCAGAAGTCGCTTGTAAAACTCATGAGTCGCCAGTGTGCTTTTTGGGGGCTTGTTTTTAACTAGTAGTTGCTTATTTGGGCTTGCTTTACTGTATCAGTGAACCCCCCTGATTTGAAGTTAAAGTTATTGTTGGTTCGGCTTTCGAACATAGTTCAGGTTTCTCATGTGGCCTCATGTAAAAAAACTAATTGCCCACCTCTGATCTACAGGATACAGACATCCAAAATACATGCAGCTTTTCTGACACTAACTGGTTCTCCACCATGTCGCAGTCTGAGTCCATGTCCCGTACTGAGGCTGATCTTGGAGGTGCAGGATCAGACAAGAGCACCAAGAAAAGGATGAAAATCATGTCTGAACTCACAATAACCCAGAAACAATAACAAGAAATGAAAAGAGAACAAAAATGAGAAAAATTCACAAAAATACAAAAAATCAAAAAAATCATAATAACAGATTTGAGCTCTTTGACATTCAATCACAGTCTGCAGATCCAACAAATCCTTAAGTCTTTAATATGAAGGTATTTTTGGTGCAAAAGGTTTGTGCATCTGCAACATGTAATTTCTAGTTGTGTACAGTGATTATGTATGTGTATTAGTAAATGTGAAATCACACACTCTATGAGTTGTGTACTTGTAGATTTTTGTGTGTACTTGATGATTTTTTTTTATTTCCATAAGTACAACACAACATTTGCACATTCGCAGATCTTAATTACAGGTGCACAAATCCTTTTTTACAAGTCACAGATTCAAACTCCAACATTTTTGCTCCAATTGTTGCAGCATATTTGGTGCAAAACATATTTGTGCACCTGTATGGAACAATGTGAAGTTGTGGACAAAATTTGAATACGTGGAGATCATAATGTGAACTTGTGCAAAAAAAATGTTACATTTATGTACACTAAGCTTTCACGAAAGTAGTTGCATTGTTTTAAAACACAAATACAAATCGATAATTACAACCACTGGAATCTTCTCAGCGAGTCACAGACTGTGTTTCCTACAGCTACAAATCAAGTCGCTGAAATGTTTGGTGCAAAAGGCGGTCGCTGCTAAAGTCACTGTTTAACACCACAGACATTCACACACTGTATAAACTCAGGGTCTCCACACCCTCTCCAATGATGCTCTGTCTGTCCCTCTGCTTTTCACACACACACAAACACAGACACACAAACACACACACACACACACACTCTCTTTGTGAGCTGCACAGGATCAATAATTCGACTCGATCAGTCTTCCTCCCACACAGATTGATGAGCCTCACCTTGAACGAACTGCCTCCTCCTCTCCTCCTCTTCATCACGCTTTTCTCCTGCTTTTCTTCATCTTTTTGTTCTCCCTCTCTCTGCTGTTATTCCTCCTTCTCCTTATTCTCTCTCTTTTTTCCTCTTTTGTCTGTCTCCGTCTGCCTCTAATTTCTTCTGTTATTCTTCAGTCCTTTTCCCTTTTCTCTCCTTTTTCTCCTCCTCTCCTTACGTGTCTCCTGATTTTTCTTCTCTACTTTCCTGTCTCCTTCTTCACCTCCACTCCTTCCCTGTCTTTCTCCCTCTCTTCTTCCCTGTTTCCTGTTTTTTCTTGTGTTTTATCGTTTTCTCCCTCCCTACTTGTCTCCTCTCCCTATTCTCCTTTTTTTGTCCTATTCTTTCTCCTCCTCCTATTGCCATCCTATTCCTCGTCTCCTTTCCTCTACCCTTCCTTGTATTTTCCTCTTATCCCCTTCCTTCCTTTTCTCTTCTCTCCTTCCTCCCTTTAAGAGTCCTTTCCCTTGCAGTCCTCCTTCTCTTTCTCCTCCTTCTTTGTCTTCTTTATCTCCCTCCATCCTCCTCTCCTCCTTCCTTGTCTCCCTCCTCCAGCCCCTCCTCGTTCCTGTCTCCTCCTTACTCCCTCCCTCCCTCCTTCCCTCCCTGTGCTCGTGATGCTCAGTCTTCACCTCTGTGGTCGTGCTGCTCTGGTTTTAGCCTGCAGTTAGCAGGGTGTACAGATCAGGTGATGCTGGGTGTAGGGTGGGCGGAGCTCTGTGGTGCGGGGTCAGAGGTCGTGGGTGTGGAGTCCCTGAAGCCCGGCGGCGTGCGTTGGCTGGCGGTCTGCGTGTCTTCAGGGCAGAGGAGCCTGTAAGCTGCAGAGGAGTGACTCAGAGCTCTGAGTCTGCTGCCGACTGAAAGGAGAGAAAAACATGAAGAACATGAAAAACAGGCAGACAGAAACACTTAGAGCTGCTGCTGAGGGACGAGCACGCTCAGTCAGTGTGTTGGCGTTCAGAAAATTAATGCCATGTGAAAATAATGTTCCATATTCATCGGTGTTATCAAATTCTTAACCTCCTACAGCCTCTGCTGAAGAGGATCTAAACCTGGACTGCAGAGAGCTCAGATCCTCAAATCTGGTTCAGACAAAATGACATTTTTTGACATTAACAAACAGGAGGCCCAGACCTTTGTTCAGAGAGAGACATGACACCCCCACCCCGCTCCTTCCCATGCTCTCCCTGATCTCCTCTCTTCTCCTCCTGCTTCTCCTCCTGCTTCTCTCACTGCTCTCTTCTCTCCTCTCCTCTCTTTTCTCTACTCTCCTACTGTCTAATCTACATCACTTTAGTGTTTTCTTACAGATTTTATCCAGTTTCTCACCATCTCTTGGTTTCTTCCTGTTTTGAAGTTTCTTCTTCATATAAAAATTTTTAAAGAATCAAAATTTGGCCAAAACACTGAACACAGAAAGATTCAGTCTGTGGTTTTAATTTGAAAGTGTGTGTGTTTTATTCTAAAGTTGTGCGTGTTTAATATGAAGGTCAGTGTTTTATTCTAAAAGTGTTTGTTTTTTTCTGATATTATATGTTCTATTCTGAAAGTCTGAGTTTTATTCTGAGGGTATGTTTTATTTTAAAGGCTTGTGATTTAAGGTCCTTACACACCGGGAGTGACACAAATATACGACGCGAAATTCCGAAATATTCAGAGGCGAATTTTGATGCGCCTGACTATACACATCAAGTGCGATGCGATTTTGCAACTTTCCAGGGGGAAAAAAGACGCATCCCAGGTGGAAGCGAGAAGACTGACACAACACCAGACTGAGTGTTTTCAGTTCTGATGAGACACTAGTGTTGAGATGGCTGTCTGTCATGATAGCATGTACTGAGTCAGGGCCAGTACCAGATAAGCACATTAAACTATAATCCAAAAAACCTAAGGTAACAACCGGTAACAACTTGTATTGACAGGATACGGGTTTGAAAAAAAATACTGACGTCTGAAATAATCGCACGAAAAAAACGCTCCCAGTGTGTAAGGACCTTTAGTCTTAAGTTATTTTTTATTCTGAAGTTTGTGTTTCATTCTGAAGGTGCTTGTTTTATTCTGAAAGTGTGTTTTATTTTGAAGCTGTGTGTTTATTCTGAAGGTCTGTGTTTTATGCTGCGGTCGAGTTACCTCAAAAGTCAGAAGTTTGAGCTGTAAATGACGTCACACCCGAGATACCAGCGTTTCAGTTACAGAGTTGAAAAGAAGCAAAATCAGAGGCGTAAACAAGATGGCTACCTCTACAAAAGCTATTTTAGTTATTTCTGCCTCCAAATTTGTTTTTTTCCAACTTGGTAACTGAAATGCTGGGAACACAGGTGTGACGTCATTTTCAGCTCCGACATCTGACTTCCGAGGTAACTTGAACGCAGCATTATTCTGAAAGTGTGTGTTTTATTCTGATGGTGTGTTTTATTTTGAAGGTGTGTGATTCATTTTGACGGTGTGTGCGTTTCCTCCTCAGCTGTCCCACTCCAGGCTGTGATGGCAGCGGTCACGTCAGTGGAAAGTACGCCCGACACCGCAGGTACGACCATCCCCATGTTTCAGGCTCTGATGAGGATAAACAGATGAATGTATAGTTGAAGGAGTTCTGTATCTGTGTGAACATCTAACATAGAGCATAAATGAGCCTTAAGAGTCCAGGATAAGGTCCAAAGTGGAGCTTATACCCACCCATGCTGATGAGTGGAATTGTAGTTTTCAGCTCAAGTATCCTCCTGCTGCTTTTTGTCTTCTTATAACATTTTAAGATGTTTCTGCTTCATTATGTGAATTAGCACATAAGATAATTCTTTTAGAGTTTGATACAGCACTGTGCTGAAGCTCTCTGAGTTTACTGTGGTGTTTCTTTGTTTATGTCATTTTTTCAGTCTATTTAGTTTTAACAGTTTTTAGTTTTATTTACCCTGTTTTTAAAATGATGCGGTATCAGGGCTGAGTAATCTGAAGCTGGAAGGAGATGTCTTTTGTTTTTGTCTGGAGGAGCATTTGCACCACAGTGTGAACAGATTAAATACCTGAAAACACACATGAATATCTGAATGACCAAGACTGTGGTGGAGCATCCTTCTGGTTTTTCTCAACAGACTGTTGAATAATTACTGGAGGTAGGTGAGGTTACCTGTAGTCCTCCTGTCCGAATCACCCCATAATAATTCGGCTCCTGTCAGTTTCCGAAAGCGCCTGGATTGATGTGGTTTGCAGGTTTTTTGCCTCCAGCTTGGCGAATCCGGCTCTCTGTCACTGGAAAACCAATCATGCCGAGTGTGGAGCTGTGAAGTGCTCCGGTCACACCGACTGCTGTCTGTCCTGCAGCTGGAGGGGTCAGAGAGCTGGATGAGTCCTGCGTCAGATCACTGCACCTTTGGAAACAATGAATTACCGACAAACACAAAGCAGGTCTCTAACCCCAACCATAGCTTTGTAGGAGTCACTTCCATTTCTGTCCTGAGTCAAACCTGAGTGAGTAAAGCCGCAGGATCATTTACGGCAACAGAGGGAACACACAGCTTTAAAAGTGGACTTAAAAACTTCCACAGACTGATTTTATTCATGCAGTAAACAAAACTCTAAACCTGTTACAGATGAATGTTTCCTAAACCTCTATTGCACGTACTTTAATTATATTTTAAATACAAAACCAACAAAAAAAAAAAAAACAGAAAAAAAAAACAAGGCTGTGGGGGAGGAAGTTAAGGTTTTCATTAAGACACAAACTTCCTTTAAGAAACCAAATTTGAAGTGTTTTCAGGTCATTTTCAAAAATCTGTACTGTGTTAGTGTAAGAGACCATGTGTGTTCCTGTGTGTATCTGTGTGAGCGCATGTGTGTGTGAGTGGGAGGCTGGCACAAAGGGGTTGCGCGGCTCAGGACAGCGGTGGTTTGGCGCCTGAGGTAACAGAGAGATAATGAGAAGGGCAGGATGGCAAATCGCTGGCAGTGCAGACTGATGGTGCTTTGAAGGGCACAAAGAAACTCAGGAAATTCCAGCTTCACACATACGGCGCCAAGACAACAAGAAATCCTCAGAAAATACCTAAAAATACCTAAAAGATGGTTTTCACATCATAGACTTGCCAAATCTGAAAAATAGATTTGAAGAGGGGAATACGAGACAAAATCTGCAGCTAAAGCAGCAAATTCCTGTTAAATTTCTGCCTCCTAAATTAAACTTTAGTGCACCTTTTCTCAACCATCTCGTCATGTCCAACCTTTTTAGTAACCTGATCCTTTGGAGGAGCTGACACAGTTTGTTAGCTGTGTGCTCATTTCTGGTGAAGCTCCTCTGCAGGAAGATAAAGAGCTCCTCAGCTCAGTTATAGTTAATAAGGAGTCAGGAGACAGCCGTCTGTTAAATAAAGAGTGTGAAGTTGTTATCTAATTAGCAATCAGGCTAACGAGCCGACATCAGAGAGTGTTTAAGTCTCTTAATAACTAAATGAAATTATTTATGAAGACAGAACGCCTAACGGCAAACAACATGCTAAAAATACTCTGATCATAGGAATCATTATTCATAAGTCATGACTCCTCCGAGCCACCAGGAGGCAGAGTGAGACAGTCCAATCCTACAAAACCCTGTGCTGTGTGTCCACCCTCAGCTTGTGAATTTATGTGAAGCTGAAAATCTGTTTTAAATTTTCCAGCTGTTAAAAAGAAAAAAATAAACATATGATTCTCAGGGACTTCCTGGGCGCGATATTTTTTTTTGTAGGAGGCGCCTCCTTCGCCTCTGATTGGCTAGAAAAGCTGTAAATGTCATCACACACTCAAGCCAAACGTGGGCTGTCGGCTCTGTACATCAAACAGAACATTACAGAACATTATCACACCTCTGAATCTCTTAACCCTAACCCAAAAGACAATGACGTTTCACAGTCAGTAGGAATAACCAATTTGAGCCCAGCACTTCTAGCCAATCAGAGACGAGGGAGGGCGGGATCCTTCCCTACCATCCTACAAAAAAAATTAGCTTCCTGGGCTTTAGTAGCCAGCCTCAAGTGGAAACTAAGGGAACTGCAGTTTTTAAAGATCGATAAAACAGAATAAACAGATTTAAAATCCTGTGAAAATATACTAAAGTTTTATTTCTGACATATTTTTCACTATAATATTGATTTATAATATAATTAAAATTATAGATTGGTTGGCTGTTGTGGATATTTCCCACCTTTTTTAATCAACAAACTGTGGTGGATACTTTATCAGGAGCTAACAAAGCTTTAAAGCTGATAGTAGGTGAACTGGGCCTTCAGGTTAGTTCAGACCCTTCAGCTTTGTGTTGGTACCTCATCTCATCCTGGAAAGTTTCTGTTCAGCACCAACAATCCGTCACCTCTAAACCAGTCTGCGGGATTAATATACACACGGCAGATCAGTAACAAAAGCATGTGACTTCCCCCCCCCCCCCCCGTACACCATACATAGACTCTACCTGGTCCACCCAAGGGAGAGACCGGATCAAAGACCTGTGAGCCTCCTGTAAACCTGATTTTTACCTCCGAACCAAATCCTCAGACTCAGAGCATCCCTCCTCCTCCTCCTCCTCCTGCTGGAATCTACAACTTATTGAAGCACAGATGTAGTCCTGCTGTTCATTGTACTGAATGAATTGGGGGGGAAGGGTGGGGGGAGGCGGGGGGGGGGGGTTCAAAGTCACTGTCTCCCCCTTCTCCCTCTCTCTCCCTCTCTGTTTCTTTCTTCCTCCCCTTCCTTTCTTTGTCTCTCTCTTTCTCTCCCTCTCTCTCTCTCTCCCTCTCTGGAGGATGTCACCATGGCGACAGCACCATGTGGCTGCTGCAGTATGAGGACCAGGAGGGATGCAGCCTGTCTCCCATGGCAACCACTAGTATAGGATGTGAACATTGTGTTGCCCCCCCCACACACACACACACCCCACCCCCCAGCCCCCCCCTTACTCTTTATCAGCCACCACCCAGTCTCCTATATACCTCCCCCCTCTACCCCTCCTTCCTCCGTTGGTGCCAAGGCGTTGCCACGGCAATGAGCGTTGGCATGTGGCGTTGCTGGTGGCGATGATTCTGCCTAACCACACACAGGCCTACCTGAGTGCAATTATCTCTGTGGGCTCGTATTTCTGTCCCTGAATCTCTGATTAAAATCACAGTCTACACCTTTAATCCTCAGCAGAGGCAGAAATAAAGACTTCATTCATGTTACATTTCAATATGAGTCTGACGCTGTTTTTGTTTTAACATCATCTCCTGAACACAAGTGAGGGAGTGACCTGAGGTTAAAGTGAGAACAGACACACTTAATGTGGATTCAGACTCTGTCGCTGTGTGTAGTTAACATGGAGGCAGTAACAGCCCCAGGCTGCCTCATAAAGACTATCATAGATTCCCAGATGTCCAATTAGAGAGTCCTGGAGTCTCAGTCATGTGATTGGGAGAAAGAATTTGATTCCAAATTTCCTTGAGACCAGAAAAAGGACTCAGGTGGTCCCCACTGAGCTGACGGGGGTCTCTGTTGTACCTTGTGGACGGAGGTGGACTCTGAGTTGATAATTTGGAGAAAAAACAAAAAACATTATTAAGAATCACTGCAGCCGTGTAAACAGGGCTTGATAGAGCACATAAGTTAAATTATTCAGGCTGAATCAAGGATTTTAGGGGCACAAAGAAAATCTGTGAAATGCCTTTTCCTTAAAGAGACACGAAAGTTTTAAGAAATCAAAGATTAAATAGAATAAAAGTTATTATTAAACTGTAATTCAAACATTTGAACTCAAACAAGTGAAGGTCTGAGGGTCTGACCAGGGAGTCTCTAAAACCAGTTCTTTATTTCTGCCTGTCAGTGAGGTCTCTTGCAGCAGCTGAAGTCTTTTCTACTCCATTTCTAATGTTTGTTTTACCTTTTTTTAAAGCTGTGACATCTGACCCGATTGAACATCATCTCTGCAGTTTATCTGCAGTCCTTCACTTTTCAGCAGCTCTTAAACATGCAGTAAAACATATACCCTAGCTATATGTCCATGTATTAGTTTTCTATCAATTCAAACCTTCATTATTTTATTATTTAATCTTAATCTCCTCAGATCAGACTTTGTCCATTACAACATTAACCCATTTTCACCAGACTGCTTTCAAAATAGGAGAGACGCTCTGCTGCTAAACCGTGTCATAAAGTACAGAAAAATAAATCTCATGCTTTTATGGCTGTTGTCTGTTGTCTAAGGACCAAAGTGCAGACCTCGGCCTGGTCAGTGCTGGTCTTTTTATCTCAAACTTGTCAAAACTTGGTGCCAACATGTACTTTTACAGAGATAAACAGATAATTCAGCCCACTGCTGCCCTCTTTAAAATGGATCTAGGAGAATCTCATCCCTGAGTAGTGACCGGCAGGTGTTCCAGACAGGCGCTCTAACATTTTACATTTTAACACCTATTTTCACTCAAATCTGACCTAAACACTAAAACCGTTGAGCCCTGTAAACGGACTTTAGAGTTCCTTGAAGACCCAGAAAACTTCTTATAATTATTCTAAGAGTCAAAAACTGATTTACAGTTTCCCCTTTGGGAAGGAAATGGACCTCTCAAAATTGGGCCCGAAGACCTCTTACAGGGTCAGGGTCACTTATTAGGCGGTGCTGGCCTGGAGGTCTTAAGTGTGCCTGATATATGTGGGCAGCGTGTTGCTGCTCCTGTTCTCTACTCCATCCACCATCCTGTCCTCCCTGAATGTGTCTGTGGATCTGTCAATCGTCCGATGGTGCCTCCAGTGTCTAACACCAGGAAGTGCATTTCTGTGGGGATGAAAAGTGGTCTTCAGACGTGCAAACTCAGGTTCCTTGTACAGTCAGAAACTGAGTGTGAGGACAAAAAACGGACAGCAAGTGTTCAGTCTGAGGCAGAGTGTCCATCTCCAGATACTTACAGGCTCTTGTCCTCCAGGGGACAGCTGACCATTCACAGGCCACCATCCTGTACAGTGTCCCCACACCGAGAGACAATAATGGACTCTATATTACATATGAAGACTATAACTGATCACAGGTGTCCTCACAGAGATGATGATGGACCTAACTGTCCACACACCAACATGTCTCACTTCAAAAACCTGCAGGTCCAGGTCTTCATGAAGCTTCTCTAAAGGTTACGAGTTCATTCAAAAATACATTTATTTTCTCCCCCATCATCAGAGAGCGCCAGAGCAGACTGCAGAGGAGAGAGAGAGAGAGAGGGAGAGAGACCCCTCCTGCTCTCTCTCCCTCTACATAATTACCATGCATAGTCTCTCGCCCTTGTCTGCAGCATTCCCTCGTTTCTGATCTGCTTTAATTACCACCAGAATTTTAATTGGCGGGAGACAGCAAGGTGGCTGAGGTCACACACACACACACACACACACACACACACACACACACACACACACACACACACACACACACACACACACACACACACACACACACACACACAGCAGAGCCTGACAGCCTATAAGGTAAATGATGGAGGGATCATTTGAGGATAGAGAAGTGTGTGTGTGCTCAGGTGTGCATGTGTGTGTGGGTGTGTGTGTGTGTGTGTGTGTGTGTGTCAGCCCTCAGCCCATCTCAGACCTGTTTACAGGTTTATGGCGGTCTGACACATGAAGTGCTGCAAAGTCATCAACAGACTGCTGCAGCTCGTGTAATGGGAAAAATGTTAGACATTTTAGTGAATCTGTGCAGAGAAGCAACAAGAAAACCAACGGACTCAGATCCAGATCTGGTTTGCTGTTTGGACACCTTTTTGATCCTAATCCCAAACCAGGTCTCATTTTTCACGTTTTTACTACAGTATCAACAGGAATAGGGCAAAGTTGATGGACTCTGTGGATTCATATAATCTGGTGTGTGATCAGGTTTTTCCTTGTAGTATTTTGTAGGACCTATATTTGTTTATGTAATAACAGCTGTTGTTGTTAAGTTTTTACCACTCAGGATCAAGGTTCTGGTTCAGCCTGTTAATCAATTAATGGAAAGTAGACCGTTTTTGGTGCAGATTGGTCCCAGGTTGTTTGGTTCTGGAGAAGGAGGTGCTGTCATAGGTTCTTGGAGCAGGGCTGTAAAGTCCTAGTCGACTGGTCGACTTGTTGGTCGATACGTGCTGAGTCGACTCGATTTTTTTCAACTTACAGTCTATGGTAAATGTCAACAGGAGGACTGTACCAAGTGCTAATGGGGGTGTTTTCACAGCACCCCGTTTCATAGATAACGACCTGTCTCAGAACACCCCCCTTGTTTTCACCATTTTGGATTCGCCCAACCTACTGAAGACCGTCTGAAGATTGAAGAGCGTCCACGTTAATTTGCGTCCGGTGGTTTGCTCAATATTTATGTTTATTTTGAGCGTTTCAACTTTCACGTGAGTTTTCCTCTACCATCCATGTCAAAGACACCGGCAGCGCTCCGCCGAGCCGCGTCGCCCCCGGCCGCAGAAGGGTTTGCAGTTGTCGATTTTTGGTCGAAAATTTCAAGGTTTTAGTCGACCAAGAATTTCTTTGGGTGATTACAGCCCTAGTCTGAGTAATGCTCCAGTTTGTTTAGGGTCTCGGTTTCATACCTTAGATTATGATAAAGTCGTCAGAGTTGGTTTGATGGAAGCTGGACTTCAGGCTCTCAGCTGAAAGTCTTTTGGTTGCTTTCTGCTTCTTTTTCCTTATGAAGTTTATTAAATATGAACAATCATATTTATTGAAACTATAACAGCGTTTGCAATGAGATTTATCTTTCATATTTACCTGCTGACTCACTGCAGCTTCAGTCAGACTGTCTGTGTCTCTGTAGTCCTTACTGGCTTTCTACAGTAATTGTTCAGTTTCCTTTAAAAAGCAGCTTAAACTGAAACACTGTGGTGGGAAAGTGGTCACAGTGTCACAGTGGTGGTGACTTTGGTTGAGTTGTATATTTTTCCGCAGCAGCAGGTTTGTCGGACAGACTCTCTGATTTCAGTCAGTGAAACAGCGTCACCTCCTCCAACTCGCCCTCCAAACACAGAATCAGCTCTTTCATATGGAAATGCTCTAATTGATTTCCTAAAATCCACATTAAAGCCCTGTATAATTGTGCTGGCTGTTTTGGAGCAATTAAAGCTGAATTTTCCCAACAGTTAATGACTATAATGGGATTTGCGTAATTGAGGCCCCGGTTGAATAAGCTCTGGGTTTTTCTTTTGGAGGCTGAATCTGCTCCTCGGCGAGGGCGAGGGGAAATCCACCGCAGAGTCTGAACACACGCTGCACAGCAGAGAGGGAACCAACAGTTTGACCTTTGACCTTTACACACAAAGCTGCCCCCCGACAGACCCTCTGATACTGACAGAATATAGCGACATGAGACTTCTGCTGTGATATTTATGGTTTAATAAAGACTGTGGACTCAGAGAGAGGATGACAGTGAGGCTAAAGATGGAGGGCTCCACCTTAACCTCAGACATTACTCTGACAGTCCTCTGAAGAAAGACCTCCAGCTTTAAAAAGAAAGACTCTTATTTTTTACATTTATGTCTTAAAGGGATATTTCAGTCTTTTTTAGGTATGTTTGTATGAGTTATGTGTTTAAACTGTTTATGACTGTTTATGACTGTTTTAATCTAGGGTGATCATACATCCTCTTTTTGGGGGGCTGTCCGGGTTTGTCTGGCTTTGTATGGGGAAGTTTATAAATCCTTTAATTGTCCGCGGTTTCGTCCGTAAGATTCGAGTTTATGCCACGTGGACTTACTGAGTTAGAAGCGCGTAAAAGACACTCGATCTGCCTGAAAAACTCTCAAAATTAACTTCATGCGACTCTGTGACTCCGCCCCCGTGTAGTCGTGTCCTCTTTAGAATATGGTCACCCTATTTAATCAGCAGGGGTGTCAGTCTGCTCGGCTACTTTAATTCAAAGAGTAATTCACACAAGCTAGGCTACAGTTTTCAGATCAAACAGAGCCCGTGGACCAGGGGACTGAATCCTGATGCTGTAAGAACGCAGAGAGCTGACTCTGACGACGCTTTTGTGTGGTCAAATTGTTTACAGATATATTGTTTTATATTGATATCTTATTCTATTTCATTATATAGCATCTTATATATTTTATTACTATCACATCTCATAGTATCATTGGATTGTATCTAATCAAAGAGGGTAGTTTTGTGTTGTTGAATTTACTGTGTTATCTTGTTGTGTAGCATCTTGTTTCACATCACTGTATGGAGTTGTATCTTGCGCTGTTGTGTTATATATCATTTATATTATTGGTCACATTTATTACATTGCATCCTGTTGAATTTAAGTGTATTGAGTTGTTTTATATCACATAGTCTTGTATTTTTTTATCCAGATGGTTGTAGCATCATATCCTATCATACTATACAGTATGTGGTATTGTATCATACAGTGATTTTTTTTATCCTGTCATATATTCAAAGTTCTTATCGTCTCAGTCATTCAATTATCAGGATTAATCAAGACTCTCACTCTGGTTTGGGAGAAATCAAACAGGTCTTTCACCGAGCTCACTGACCCAGGAGATTTTTTTTTGTCTGTTTGTGAAGCTGAGCTGGTTCAGATCTTTGAGTGTTAGTCTGACTGAATTTTTTGAGAAATTTGACCTCAGAGTTGGCAGCAGTTAGGAGCAGAGAGAGGAGGTGAAGATGAGGAGGAACAGATCAGACAGGCTAGAGGAGAACAGTTAGTAGCAGAGAGAGGAGGTGAAGATGGGGAGGAACAGATGCTGACTATGTTTGTGCCCTCTGTCTCACCTTAGCGTCTACGGCTGCCCGCTGGCCAAGAAGAGGAAGGCTCTGGAAAAACAGCCGCTGGAACCTGCTGCCAAAAGGAGGCCCTTCCTCACTTCCCGCCCAGGGGAGGAAGAGGAGGGAGAGGAGGACACCGGAGCCTACGCCAACTATGAAAACCAAGCCATGGAGGTCGGGCAGGGGGGGAAGGATCAGGAGGAGGTAGTTGAGGAAGATGAGGAGGAGGAAGAGAGAGAGGGTGATGAAGAGGAAGATGGAGATGGGGAGGACGAGTTCTCCGAGGAGGAGCAGGGGGAGGAGGAGGAAGAAGAGGAGGAGATAGAAGTGGAGAGATCAGACACGGGGATGGGAGGAGAGCAGGGAGAGGAGGAGGAGGACGAGGAGGGAATGGAGGAGGAAGAAGATGTAGAGGACGGGGATGATGAGGAGGAGCAGGAGGATGAGGGGGAGGAAGAAGAGCAAGAGGAGGAGGAGGAAGAGGAGGAGCAGAACCGTCAGCACGGTGAGTTTCTAAATTGAATTTCTGCATGTATGATCTTTAAGATCACTGTGTGAATATGAAAGCTTCCTGTGACTCCTTTACAATAAAAGCCTCCCAGGTTTCCTCACCACCCACATGCTGATATAAATTCATCAGAAACAGCTGTTGACTGTTGTGAAACTTTCCTGAGCAGTAAGGCAAAAAAAGCTAAAGTTTCAGAGACGTAAAAACCAAATATCAAAGCTTTACTGTCTATAACAGCCTTTTATTTTGACACCCATCCCACAGCAGCAGACCAGTTTTTACACCAAACTGTTTAAACCGTTTCAGAGAAAAATGATGAGTGAAGATATGTTTTCCTGTAAACACCTTACTTCAGCTGCTGACTACCTGCACAGGTACGACCTCAGCCAAAAGATGAATCAGCAAAACAGACCTGGAGGCAGCAGCAAGAGCTTCTTACCTCTGAATCCACAAAGAAGAATTAGAGTTTCCTGCACCCTCACATAGCTCAGACTCCAGGAGGGTTCACTGTTGAGCGCCAGGCAAACAAACCCCACAGGTGTGTCTCTTTAGAGATCATCAACACACCTGCGAACCTTATTTACATTAAGAGTCGTCTGCTTTTTACTTCTCATATAATATACATGAGCTGTCTTCAGCTCAGTGTGGCAGCAGACTACTGAACATCTGTGCACCTGAGTGAAACCTGCCAAACCTAATGAAGTCATACCTGAACAGATCATGTGATCACTCAGTACGTTTACATGACACTTGAGAAAACTGAATTATTGCCTTACTCCGATTAAGACCGGACAACTGAAGTGCATGTAAACAACTTAGTCCAACTATAATCGGAGTTTGAGAACTCCGATTAAGACACCCAGATAATGCGATTGAAAGTGGATTTTCTCTACCATGTAACCAGCGTAGTCTAATCATGATTGGACAATGCATGTGCCCGTGCACCACGCCCCTGTGACCCCGGAACAAAAACAACAGAAAAGAGAAGTAGCGTGCATCTCATCTGCAGAAAAAGTAGCACATACATCATGTACAACAAAAACAACGCTGTACGATGCTCCATCTTCTTGCTTTAAAATGCGCAGCAGCAGTTGTAGCCACTTCTGACGTCTGGCACAGACTTGTTGTTGTTATTGGGTCAACCGGACACAGCGCCGCAGAAAAGACCCATATCACCCCCTAGTTTTGGGGAGGAGGACACGTTCACGTCATTAATTCGATTTTCTCAGCTGCATGTTTACGCGGACAAGGAGAGAAGTGCGATTTGGCAAAACAAAAACAAATTATGAGCTTAGTCAGATTAAGCTGTGCATGTAAACGGACTGTAAACTCACCTGTCAGTCATCCTCCAGGATAGAGATGGGAAAGTGCCTGGTTCACAATTAAGAGCAGCTTTTATTCACCTATTAAGGACATGATCCTGGTCATTAGAGGAGACTTGCCACCAGGTCGTGATTTGAGGAGTTGAGGAGTTACGATCTGATAGTCTTCATGAATCCTGCTGACTCTGCAGGGTTCCTGTCATGTTTAAATAAAGTTGTGAACGTTATTCAGAGAAAGTAGGAATGATCTTAAGAGTCCTGCAGCTCCAATAAACTGCAGAAGGATCCGTTTCAGAAACAGACTCTTATTCTGATCATGTTCTGGGTTGGTCTGGTGTTCAGTCTGGGTTTGCAGTATTTTAGACGTGCTGTCTGAAAGGAGGAAGATGATGAGCAGGATCTGTGGTGGACCAGATGCTCTGTGCTCGCTCTTCCTCCGTCACTCCCCCCCTGAACACCCCGCTGTCCTCAATCGCTTCTGACAGCGCCTCACGGATAATCAGAGAGGAGCTCTGCAGAGTTATTAACTCCCCCTCGTCCCCCTCCTCCCTCATCGTCTGGGTGGACCTGTCACACGCGCTCCTCCTCGGCTGCTCCTCCTGAGAATATTTATGGCTCCTGAATCGGAGCACCTCCCCCCCGCCTCCCCCGTCTCTGTCCCTCCTGCAGCTCTAGGCTCTGCAGCTCCTGGGTGTGTGTTTTTGAGAGTAAACAGAAATATAAGAGCTCTTCATCTTCTTTCCTCCTCTCTGGATGAGCAGATGGTTTATTATCTTCAGAATGAATCACTTCCTGGTGTTTCTGACCAATCGCCTTCTGTCGCTCTGAGCGGGTAAAGCTGACAGAGGCTGCTGGTCGGCTCCGGCTGAGATCGGAGACGGTTTCTTTTTGGATTCGTGAAGTCTGAGAGTTTTCTGTTTGGTGTTTTTGTTTTAGGAGAGAATCACTACAAACCCAGCGGACAATCAAAGCTGCTCGCCATCCAGAAGGACGACAACAACAACAGCTGCGCCATCGGAGTAGGAAACGCCACTGGAGAGGAGTACGAGAACTACGACGAGCTGGTCGCCAAGTCGCTCCTCACCCTGGGAAAGATCGCAGAAGACGCCGCGTACCAGGCCATGACGGAGTCTGAGATGAACAGCAACTCTTCTAACAGCGCCGGAGAGGATGACGATGATGAGGATGACGACGGCAGCGATCAGGGTGACAGAAAGGGCGAGCTGAGCGTGGACCTGGACAGCGATGTGGTCAGGGAGACGGTAGATTCCCTCAAGCTTTTGGCGCAGGGTCATGGCGCCATGCTGCCCGAAGATGGCTACCCAGAGGGCACCATGGTTGATGATGGAGGTCATGCTAACGGGCAGGTCAGGGTTCGGGCAGACGAGAGCGAGGAGGAGGTGTGTCTGAGCAGTCTGGAGTGTCTGAGGAACCAATGCTTCGATCTGGCTCAGAAACTGAGCGAGACGCAACCGTGTGACCGCCCCACCCTGCACGCTATCCACCTCCAACAACTCCACAACCCACCAGACCCACAGATGGTGCATCACCTGAGCAGGTGAGTCATCTTTAGGTTGTCTGTGAGCAGGTCTGACATTTTAAGCCTGTAAAAAAGTCTGTCAGACTTTCGGGTTTGTCCTGCAGAACTAGTAGGATCTGAAAGCTCCCAGACCTCCTGTTAAGGTTTTATGCAAGGAAATAAACCTAGAGACAACAAAGAACCCCCCTCCTGTGAGCAGCCCCCCACTCTCTTTCTGCACTAACACCTGTCCACAGGGTCCTGTATGTGCATGTTTCAAGATTATTCCATTTTCAATTTTCCCTGAAGAAGGTTTCTGTTTTTGAGTGCTGAAGAATCAGACATTTGTTCTGGTCGCTGGAGGTCACCAGAGGTCGTTTCGCCTCATTTCTTGTCCCCCTCACCTTTTAGGTACGACAGCTGCCAGCAGGGTGGTCAGGAGGAGCCCCAGTCTGTGGAGCGCAGCTTCTCAGACATGGTGAACCTGATGAAGCTGGAGGAGCAGCTGAGCCCGGCGTCCAGAGGTTACCCCACCAGCTGCAGCCAGGAAGGCGACGAAGACACCACGTCGGTGGCCTCTGATCGTTCCGACGAGACCTTCGACATGGCCAAAGGAAACCTGTCGCTGCTGGAGAAGGCCATCGCTCTGGAATCAGAGAGGGCGAAGGTCATGAGGGACAGGATGGCCTCAGAGCACGCCTTTCCTCGCCGGGATCAGCACCACCATCGCGGCCATGGTGAGCACAGCCCGAGGCTGAGCAGCGCCGCCGAGGAGCGAAAGTCCAGGATGCACCACGATGGGTTGAAGAGGGCGTACTACCCCAAAGGTAGGCAGATAATACCCACACTGATCCTTGCTGGGTCTGTATCTGCGCTGAGTAAAGACATGCATGTATAAGAACACGTCTCTTTGTTCGGTCACTTCTGAATCTTCGTAAAATCAAAACATCGTGAAGTTCCTTCAAAGACGTCCATGTGCACGGTTTAGGAACTGGATTTTACACTCAAATATTTTTACATCTAGGGATTAGGACTTTAGGTTTTCATGCCAGGACTATTTTCCTCTCAATGGCTGGACCTCCAGAGGCAGAATGAGTTCAGTCAGTGATTCAGGCTGTGTGCGGCTTTACAACACCAAACTACAGCAGTAGAAACAGCTTATTTCAATATTACGGAAAAGCTATTGTCTTTTAATTCAGCAGTTAAATTAACACACAGCTATAAAAGAGGCAGTGAAAACTTTTACGGGAGTCACAACACGATGATAAAAACAGTGAAAACACTTTTTTTTCTCACTAAACTATCAAGTTTTTGAACTGTATCAACAAATTTGTCATCTGATGGTGTTTTTTTCTGCTAATTCTGCCAACTTCTCATCACCTCTTTGCCTCACATTTGACCTGAATCAGCTTTAACTCCAAAAAGCTGACCCCAGGTCAGCGTGGAGGAAGTTTATCCTATCTGCCTGACTTACTGTAACCCTCAACACTTTCGCAGCCAGAGGCGATCAGAGCTGCAGCAGGAGGAAAAAACACAGAGCTGTAATTTTAATGTCTGTCTTTGTCCTCCTGATTCAAACTTGGAGCCTCTTGTTGGGTTGGAGGAGTTTCTGTTGAAATCCATCCTGGTATTTCAGAGTCGTTTTACGTGTCCTCCAATAAGATTACAGACTCTCACACTCTGCATTCAAACCAACACAGTTTTTATTTTTCTGCAGATGCATGGTGTTTCACTGACAGCAGCTTATGTTGTTAAAATAGGCCGGTGTGGGAACATCAGACGGCCGGCTTGTCAGGCATGAGTAATGGAAATCTGCACGGCCTGTTAGGAGAGCAAATCCATCTGTGGGACGCTCTCTGCAGCCTACTTCTCCCGTCCACTCAGAAACCACCCCAAGCCAATGAGAAGCAGTCACCAGCCACACTGCAGACTCACATGGCCTTTATTCGAGCAGAGGATGCATTTAGAAATCCAGAATGAGGTGTCAGTGCACAGGAAAGCTTTTGTTAGGAAGAAGAATCAAAATCAGGCTGATTTAAAGTGTCTTATCCAGTTTGAGGGCTTCAAACTGACCTCAGCAACACAAATCCTGCTGGTCATCAGTATCAAACAAGATGTGAGACACACATGTATAAGATCTGGATGTAGACTCAAGAACACCACTAGTCACCATATGGGAACTGCTGACTCTAACTTTTGGTTTCCCCTGACACATAGACAGAAATGGAGCTGAAGCAAGTTTTTAACTGTGTGATTCAGTGCGACATTGTTCCCCACACAGAGCCAGTACCTGAGCAGTCTGTCTGAGTATATCACTGACCATTTTATTGATCCAGACCTGAGCACCAACGCCCTACAACCACCAAACTTTACACAAAAACAGCAGAAACATTTGATATATTATGGCTTTTCCAAAATTACTGCTTCAACAGCGCCCCCCCGTCCCCCAAAACCTTACAAAATGTAGACTGGGGTTTTAGCCTACTTGCAACAAACTTGCCAGGCCAGGGCTCGATAGTGCGACCATTTCACCTACATTTGCAACAAAAAACAGATGTGTGCGAATTGTAAAATGTATTTAGGGGCACATGTGTGCATAAAAAAAATCAGCCGAGGCGACACATGTTTTTTCATGTTAATACCGCGGCGAAGTTAGTTTTATGTTGGGTATTCGACTGACATTCACTGCGGATCTACCGGTGTCTTCTCACTCTCCATAACCAGTAATGGCAACAGCAGCATGGTTGAATCTATTCGCCACCCTCGCTGTCAACGTCGGGTGTTGAATAACGGACCATCAATAAATACCGGTTGATGTTCCTAAAAAAGGTTTGATTTCAAATAATACTAGGCTACGAAGGTCTGACGTGAAGACACACTCTTTATTTCCCTAATTTGTCCTCTAAAATTTTTTGTGTTAAATTTAAAGGCAACTTTTGAACATTTTCTTTAATAGCTTCCATTACATGCGAACAGCTGACCTAAAATTGATTTCAAATAACAGTACTTAAGTCGTCCAACAAGACACACTTTATTTGATCAATTTTTATTGTGCCCCTAAAGTTCTGTGTGCTCCTTACTTTTTCAACTTAGAAGCACATGTGCTCCTTCTGAAAAAAATTAGTGTCGCGCCCTGCAGGCACATGTGTAATACCAAGACTTACTTACATCAGATCTTTTTTATATAGACTTTAATCTCTGTGTTATTTCATATACATGATTACAGCCACCTTTATATCCATCTCTCAACTACAGCCATAGTGCCACCCTGTATATAATACCTGATCTTTCCCACAGTTTACGAGTTTGATGGTCTCAGCCTGAACTTATGACTTAATACATTTTTGTCAAGGTTATAGAGTCACTTTTTCCACTTTTTTGCAGAATAAACTGACAGTTTTTAACCAGGTTATAATCATAATTGAAAAATGAGCTCTGCTGAACGTTCCTGCAGATGATCACATGGTTCGAGTCACCGCCCTGCCTCCTGTTTAAATGCAGTAATGTCATTCAGTGTCTATTTTGAGCTTGAAATCAAACATGCTAACATTGTTGACCAAAACTCAGCTTATACACCTTTGGCTCTTGATTCTGTAACTTGGACAGTGGCTTTAATAGTTTCCATTTCGGCAACACTTTTTGGTCCCACATTTTCAGAAATGTAGAGCTTGAAGGATTTGTAGAAAGATGTCGCCCTCATTGGTATTCAAAATTCAGATTGGTCAGTTGGTCCCTCATGTATGGGTCCAACAGTACACTTATTTGACTTGCTAAACAAATCTGAGATGGCAGAGGTCTGGAACAAAGAGATTGGCCAAATTCACTGGCCACAGACGTTGACATTTGTCCTGCCAACTGTGTCTAAACTCTTGTTTCCTGTCCACCTGCCACCACTTCCCTCTCGCTCCCTTTGTCCCCCTCTCTGTCCTTTCAGACTCCTCCAGGGGGGAGAAGAAAGAGAGTAAGTGTCCGACGCCGGGTTGTGATGGGACTGGTCATGTGACCGGTCTGTACCCACACCATCGCAGCCTGTCTGGGTGTCCTCACAAGGACAGAGTCCCACCTGAGAGTAGGTCCCTCTGCCTGATGTTGTGCTGCATAGCTTTAAAAATCTGTCAAACAAGTCGTTTTAGCTGATACCACAGAATCTGTGTAAAGTAGTAGAAAAATGTGAAGGCGTAATTTAAACCAGCTAAAACTATGGCTGAACTGCACTACCCATTTGAAACAGTGGGGGCGCAATCTGCCTTTGACTTCCAAGATGTCTCCTAAGTCTGTAGCTACATAGAGGCGTACAGACATGTTGGCAGCAGGTGAAGATGGACTGTCAGTGTCTCCTGACTCCTGGATGGCTCGCCAAAAGATAGTCGATCACCCTTTAAACATCTTTCTTTTTTTAATCCTTGTTAGAGATAAATCTGTTAATGATAAATGAGTGGACCAGACCTCTCTCTGCTTTAGTTTCTTCATGCCTGTACCGTGTTTTACTGAAGCTCAAAGGCAGACAAGTAGCCTTTTAAAAGCACCCAGTCTACCCTGACTTGAAATGACTTGTTTGATGGATTACAATGGTGAATGTTCGACCGTGTTGGGCATGTCGGCCGTCCACCAGTCTGCATCTTTCCTGCATGAGCTGTGATTTTATTTCAGGTTTTTTACATGTAGGTTTGGGCTGTTCAAAGCTGCAGATGGATTTGAGGATGTGTTATGGTCCATCAGACGGACTTGAATCAGCACTAGACAAAATCTATATTTATTAAAAAAGGTCAACTGATGGTTAAGCCCTGACACAGGAAACTTCCATCGGCTTAAAACCATTTTCTTTCAGGTCTTTCTATCATCAGTTCAGTCTGTGTCAAAGAAAAACACGCGTTTAGAATCATCTCATGTTGGAGTTCAGGACTTTTGTTCGCTTGTTTGAGTGTTTGTCTTCTTTCTCTTCTTCATCATTACACCTGCCTGCTGCCTGTCTGCTTTTGGTATCTGTGCTGCTGATGTAACATGAACGTTTGATCCACTTGCTGTGCTGCGCAAACTCACAAACCCGCCTGCATGAAGACTCCTCTGAACACCCAAACCTGCATTAAAGTGTAAGGTAGAACCGCACCAGACAACCTTGAGAGTCAGACTTGAAAAAAACAGACAAAGACAGTTGATTACAAAATTTATCAGCATCTATGAAAGTACTATTTCATTGATTCCAAGACAGGTCATATTTACATGATAACATGTAGATCTACTGTTAAAGTGAAGTTCATAGTTTTATTGCGGAAGTAGAATTTGACATTTTCTTGAAGTTTCATATTTGACAAAACATTTAATGATTTAAAATTGAATAGCCATATGAAAAACGTTAGGGGAATAGTGAACAGCATGTTTCCAGTGTATGTTTGATTATATTTACTCTAAGATACACAATCGAACCATAAAATACAAGTTTATCTTTAACACGTGGTGGAAATGGAGCATGTTTGTGTGGGAGCATGTAACTACAGCTCAGCGTCACTAAACTAAAATGACTCTGAAGTGAAATAACAAACAGAGTGTTCAAACTTTTACAAGAACATTTTTGACACAACATTCAATATCATTAACCTCCATCTATTCATCACCTCACACATTGTTCCTACACCATCTGCAGAGCCATCAGCAGATCCTAACAGTGCATGACTAACTTTTGCTTCCAGTATGTTCTGGTCTCATAAAATTTCATGATTCAAATGAGATGAAAATGTAAATGAGACTTGTGTTCCCCAGCAGGAAAGGGTTACACTGAGCAGACATGACAGACACACAGAGTAGTTGGTGACGGAAACACACGTTGAATCTTCAATCATCTCTGTTTCAAACTTTTCTGCTGGGAGGACGTTTTCTGTCCGTCTGTTGAGCAGAAACATGGAAAGGTGTTAAACTTCTGAGGAGGTTTAGAAGTTTTTGATGTGGCTGCTGCTTCTTTGTACTGACCCTCTGTCCTCTCACACTGGACACTGTCATAACACTGAACGCCTGTCACAGTGTTTGTGTCGTCTAAAAACTCCTGCGACTCCTGCAGCCGTATACTGTCTGTGCATGTCTAACCGCCGTAAGCTCTACGCTCAGTAACTTTCTGTCTGCTCCTAACCCTCGCTGTCTTTCTCACCTTTTCCTGTCCGTCAAAGTCCTTGCCATGTATGAAAATGTTTTAAAGTGCCCCACTCCTGGCTGCTCTGGACGGGGTCATGTCAATAGCAACAGGAATTCGCATCGAAGGTGAGTGAGCGTCCTTCAGACGGGCCGCTAACAGCAGACTAAAACTGCCAACATGTGAATGTGGAATAACATGCAGTGAGGATGCTGAAGGTTAGCTTTAGGGTAGTGGGTGTGCATCCTCAGCACAGTCAGCTAAACCACTGGACTTTCATGTGTGGAGGTGGGATCCTAAATGGCGAGACAAAATTTATATACAAACCAGAAACCTCGATTTGTTTGGTGAAATGTTGGAGTTTGAAAAGTGAGGATGGTTTTTATTTTGCCTTGTAACTCAGAGAAGCTAAAAAAATGCAAATGAAATCCACACTTCAATGTAGCATATTATTAAAAAATTATAAAACTTATAAATGTTTAATAGTCTTAAATTTTTAAAAATGCATGAAGTCTGTGGAAGTTTTCCTCCCATTTTGGATTGTCAAAAAAAATTGATTTTATTTTTCCCTGTAACTCAGGGATACTGAATGTTGTGATAAAATTCTCATTGGAGAACTGCTGGGAAAGCAAATTGGTGCAGTTGTGACTGAGCCTTGTGGGAAATTCAGAATGCAGACGTTTTTTAATTATTGATGGAAAATAAAATAGGTCCTAGCACTGAGCCTTGAGGCACACTGTCATAGACCTCCAGAGGAGAGGAGGTGGATCCAGCCAGGAGGAAACATAACAGTCTGATGACAGGTTGTTGGCAAATCAAGAGGCTGCTTTTGTATTACTTATATTAGGAATGCAAAATGGTGCAGTGAACCTCAGCATTCAAACTACTACTACACAACAAAAGTGTTGTTTCAGTGCTGCATCACCACAATCTCTTCTAAGGTCCATGTTTATGAGGTTCAAAAGGCTAAAGGTTAGGAAATAGAACGTTTTTTTAAAGTTCTTCTTTAAACCATTCCTCTACTTAAAATCTTACAAAGTCTTAAAGACACCATCTGATTACATGTCTTCAGCCTGAAATGAGATCTTTGTTGATATGGCCTGAAAGAGCTGTTGATTGGGATCTACAGAGGTGTATCTGAACCTCTGCAAAAACCTGGACCTCCACCAGGTCTGGATCCACGTGGGAAAAAAGCTTTAATTAAAATTTAGGTACGTCTGTGTCACAGCAGCAGTTCAGCTGTTAGACAGACGGAGCTGAGAAAACACATACACAAACAGACACATAGATATACACACTCAGACACACACATACACACAAATGCACACAGATATTTTTGAATTATGTAATGTGATTAGGATTTGCGCTCATTTTCTCACTCATATGTTCAGCCTCAGATCGCAGACGAACACACTGTTGGTGCGTGCACACACACACACACACACACACACAGCAAGAGACTCACAAATTAGCTTACAGACACCAGCACATGTGCAGACAGAGCAGCACACTCATACACATGCACATACACACAAACATGCACACACTCACACACAGGCTCAGACACGGCTGCAGGGTGTGTTATGTAGCACAGCTCCGCTGGGAGAGGAAACAAAGCACGAGCTAGCTAGCTTAGCTACTGTTAGCTCCCAACCTCACTCAGCTTTCATGTGTGGCAGTCGCCATGGAAACGCCTTCGTAGCCGCAGCCACAGCAGCAGCCACCGTGCTGATCTGTCACACACTCCACACACACTTTTCTCATGCTTTAAAAATGTGTCTGAGCATCTCCAGCAGCGGTTTCTCCTCCATCTGTGGATAAAATTTTGATTTTAAAGATGGCGGGAGACTAAGGAAGTTTTAGCTCTGACCACAGACTGTGTCCCCCCACCCCAAACTCAGACCAGAAACACCTGGAGACCCTCTCTGAAGACCATCTGTTTGATCAACAGGACCTTTATTCAGATCCACCTCCAACAGGACAAGCAGTTTCCTCAGACTCCAGTGAAACTGTTGACCTGTTTGATGGAGATATGAGTTAAACCAGTTTACCCAGCAGCTGTTAACCAGTTTACCTGTAAACCTTTTAACCAGGAACCCAGCAATCAGCCTCCATAAAGTAGGCCATTTTGAATCCATAATTCATCCCCAACTTCTGTTACTGACAGCTGAACCTCTCTGTATTCAGAGGCAGATGCTTTGGGTTTGTGAGTGAGTGTGTATGTGTGTTTGCTCACGTGTGTGTGAGGAGTACAGTGTGTAACCAGGTCATATGCTGTCTCCCCCCCCCTCCCTTCCCCAGTCTGTCCGGTTGTCCCATCGCTGCAAAAGAGAAGATGGCGAAAGTCCATGAGAAGAGCCACTCGACCGAAACCGGCAGCAAGACCAATCAGACGTCAGACCGTGTCCTCAGGTACCGCCCACTTTAGATAACTTCCTTTACCTGTCATGCAGAGCGACCTCTAACTGTTATAACCTTTTCATTAGGGATGCCGAATGATTTTCCAATCATGCCACATACATTCACACATTTCTCCATTAATTGTTCATGCCTTTGCAGCTTTGCATGGTTGATTCTACTGCATTTAGTAGAGATGCCAAATAGTGAACTTTAGTCTTAAAATGGGGACTACAGATTATTTGCAAATACCCTTAACTCCCTCTCTGGTGCAGCAAAACTGACAGGTACAAAAAAGGTGAATCTTACATTTATGAGGTTCCATAAGAAAAGGACAAAATTACATTTTCTTGTGCCACTTAAGATAAGGATGCCAAATGGTTCAGCAGTATTTTTTTTACTTTTGAGGAAGGCTAGATGAATAATGAGTTGTAATTTTAGTACATCCAACTTTGGAAACAAGAAAATTTAGATGTTGCAAGACATTATGGTAATAAATTCTTTATTATTAGAATTAAGTCATTTTGGAAATAAGGTTACATTATGGGAATAAAGTCATGTTGTAAGAATAAAGTTTGTGTCTTAAGTGAGGTTGTTAAATTTTCAAACAAGTGGTGTTTTGTTATAGGAAAAAAGTGGTTATGTTACCAGATTAAAGTCATCATGGTATGAAGAAAAGTCATAATATGGAAAAAAAAAAAAAGTCTTTGTATTACAATAATAGAGTTGAAAAAGTCTGTAAAACATGACACTAAAGGCTTTATGTTAATAATAATAATAATTATGTTGAAGGTTTGGATTGGAGTGAGTTTTACTATTAAGAGTCACTCAGTGTTCCTTGTTGTGGAGCAGACCACTGGCTGCTCTTCTGAGAGACGCACACCTTAAAAATGGGTCTGCTGTTAACAAAAACTCTGATTTTTTTTTGTGATTTTTTTTCTCTAAACATTCTGACTTTATTCCTGTAAGTTGATACCTGAATTCTTCCTGAATGCGGCCCTGAAACCCGGTATCAGTCACAGAGACTTTACTGGAATCAGAAACTGAAGTGGGGGCGGTGAAGTCCTAGTATGAACTCGGCCTTGTGCTCTTGATTTCCCTTCAGACCCATGTGCTTCGTCAAGCAGCTGGAGATCCCTCAGTATGGCTACAAAAACAACGTTCCGACCAGCACGCCGCGGTCCAACCTGGCCAAGGAGCTGGAAAAATACTCCAAGACTAGCTACGACTACAGCGGCTATGACAGCCAGCACGGCGGCTACGGGAAGAGAGGCCCATCAACCAAGTCGCACCATGGCCGAGACACCTCGCCAAAGGGATACGACGGTACGAAATACAAACATTCATCCCTTCCTGCTGATTTGTCCTTCTCAGTTTGGTGTAGGCAAAGCTGGTCGGATATTTTCTGCCTCTGTTTGGGTTTACTGGTGGGAAATTATAGCTGGTGGTCACAATGGTGGTTAGATTCACCCCAATTTCGCTAACTGAGGCAAACTTTTCGAACATTTAGATCAACCATTTCCTTTTCAGCGTTCTTACAGGTTAAATCAAAGGGACGTCTTTGTCTTCTTCAGGATATACAGACAGAATTATTCTCCTATAGAGTTCCTCTGTTGGTTTTTCTTTTCTAGGCTGAACATTTTGTGCCTGACGATGAAAGCTTGACAACACACACACACACAGACACACACACTCTCACGCTCACACATGCTCAGCGCTGAGTGTATTCTCTTTGTTAGAGAGCTGAAAGCGCCGGTGTTTTCCGCCTCTCCACATGGCGAGAGTGCAAGCTGAGCAGAGTTATGGAAATGCCGAGCTGAGAGGCTGCCTCCTCTGAGCAGAGGATGGAGGGATGGAGAGATGGAGGGAGGGAGAGGAGGTGCAGATGGAGGGATTGTAAAGCAGAGAGATAATGGAGGCGAGCCCTGCTTCTTTGGCTGGGAGCCATTAGTGAGACGCAGGCGAGAGAGGGAGGATTTTTAGACGAGGTGTCTGCACTCCCCTTCATCACGACTCCCTCCCTCCATCAGCTTCGCTCTAGCCTGCCGAGCGCCAATTCCACCGCCACCAACACCAGCAGCACACCATCATTACCACTCTCTCTTTCTTTGTCCTTATTCTTTGGGGTTTATTTATCCCGGACTCTCTTTGTCTCCTCATCTGATCCTGTTTGATGGTCCTCCTCTTAAATCATGAACAGACCTGATCCAACAGTGTTTCCGTTTGTTCGTCTGCTCGCTCTCACTTCCTCCTCACTGTGACTTTCACGGTTTATTAATGACCCTTACTTTACTTTGGGGGGAGAGAACAACAAGAAGCATGTCAGATGGCTCTGTCCCACCCTGAAACATGATCAAAAGTAGAGATGTGTATGGTGTAGTAGATCATCACCTGTAACCTTTAGGTGAAGCATGACTGACTCTGTACAAACAGTAACCACACAGCTGACATAACTGGTGAACACTTGTGTGGCCCACAAGTCTCTGACATTAACAGTTTTCTGACACTCAAACTCCTGTAAATTAGGAGCTGTTGTCTTTTACATTATTGATGGTTGAATTAGCTGGAAGTGGTATTAGCATGTAGCAATGAAAATAGGTTTCTACTTTAGGAGTAAATCCTGCTTCTCCCTCAGTGCTTGAAAATACCTTGTATCTGCTACCTTTCTTCCACTGTTGGATTATGGTGATGTTTTATATATGACTCCTCAGCCAAATGCCTGCAGTCCTTAACTACTGTCTATGACTGTGCACTGAGATTTGTTGCTGGTTGTAGTCGCCTTACACATCATTGTGAACTCTATGCCAAGTCTTGCTGGCCTTCACTGAGTACTCGCAGGTACACTCACTGGATGACTCTTAATTTATAAGGTTCCTCTTGGCTTAGCTCCTTCTTATTTATGTGATTTTCTTCAAAGGACTGAAAGCCATTATGCCCTGTGCTCAGACAACACTATCCATTTGATTGTTCTGCGAATCAGAACTGAACTGGGCAAAAAAGCGTTCAGTTTCGCTGCCACTTCAGCATGAAATACTCTCCAGACTGACCTGAAATTGTCAGAATTAATTTCGCTGGAAAAATTTTGTTCAATCTTACATGACAGATTTTAGGAGACCATGGAACAGTGCCTGTGTTTTTAATATTTCTGGAGGTCATTGTCTTCTTCTTTATTATTATTTACTATTGTGATGTGCGCTGCCGACCTCTTGGCCAGGTCACTCTTGTAAATGAGATCTCGATCTCAACGGGTTCTTACCTGATTAAATAAAGGTTAAATAAAAAATTTGAAAAATGACCATGCTAACGCTTCCCCAAAGAGCCAAAAAGAGGCTGAATTGGGGTGGGGGGACGCCATGATGGCGTGGAAGTCTTAGCTTAAGGCTGTAGTTCAGTCACCATACTTTGAGTCTGAGTCACCAGATAGCCGAGTCCCCATTCCCAGGGTTCAAGTTCTGCTCAAGTCCTTATAATGGAAGTTATCATTTAGAACAAACATGGTGGCTGTTTCACTCGATACCATAGACTGACTGAACCTGGACTGTCTAGAACTGGACTAGCTGAACCTGGATTATCTGGACCTGAGCTGACTGAACCTGGACTGACTAGAACTTGACTGGCTTAACCTGGATTTTTGAAACCTAGACCGATAGAACCTGGACGGTGGGACCTAGACTGTGGGACCTGGACTTTTTGAACCTGGACTGGTGGACTTGGACTGTCTGAACCTGGACTGACTGAACCTGTACTGTGGGACCTGGACTGTGGGACCTGGGATCAGTAATGTCCTCTGCTCTTTTGTTCGTGTTTTTAAAGCAGCAGAACTTTTGTTTGTGATTTTTGATCTCTGTAATAATCCATCTGCTGCTGAGTTAGGCTGCTCGCCAGCATCAGTCTGATAAATCAAATACGTGTGTGTGTGTGTGTGTGTGTGTTTGTGTGTTTGTGTGTCTATGTGTGTGCGCTATCCCTCAGCTAAGCGATACTGCAAGACGTCGAGCCCGGCCAGCAGCACGACTAGCAGCTACGCTCCCAGCAGCAGCAGCAGCCTGAGCTGTGGGGTAGGAGGAGGAGGGGGAGGAGGAGGTGGAGGAGGAAGCAGCGCCAGCAGCACCTGCAGCAAGAGCAGTTTCGACTACACCCACGACATGGAGGCGGCGCACATGGCAGCCACCGCCATCCTCAACCTATCAACGAGGTGCCGGGAGCTTCCTCACGCTCTGGGAGGGAAACCCCAGGACCTGCTGACACAGGTAGATGGAGCACACCTGCTTCTGCACGCCACCACCACACTCACTTAGATGATAACACCAGAAGAGGAGAGGAGGGGGAATATTAAAGGCGATAATGACCTGAAACAATGCCTTGCTGTGGTCTATTTTTTACCATGATGAGGTCAGACAGGGCAAACCTTGGTTGTGTCGACTTTCTTTTCGTTGACATGTAAAAATGATGTGTACCCACCAAACTAAGCTTTGAGATCTGGGAACTCTGTAAAAAACCTCCAGTTCAGCTGAAAATACGTCAAAAATTGATTCCAACTTTAGCGTGTCCCATGTTTGGGGTCTGTGGTCTGTGCAGCGGTCGCGGGTACGAGTCCAGCCCTGACCATGTGCTGCATGTACTCTCCCCTCTCTGTCTACCCCCCCCCAAAAAAAAACAAAAAACAAACTTAAAAACAAAATAAAATAAATTCCAACTGTGTTTTCCCTCATATCTGTTTGGAAGTTTAATCTTGTGATGACAGTTTGGACTCTTGAATAAAATCTTCTTCTCCATGTTTCCAGATCTCAGCAGTCAACTTGGTGAGTACAACATTATTATTACAACTATAAAACCGAGAAAGCAGCTGCCGAGAGTCGAGGCAGAGAACTGAAATGAGTTTCAGCGGTATGAACCTGAAACAGAAACTGTTTGTTCTTGTAAAGTGTTCTCCTCTTTAACGGATCTTCAGTTTGCAGAAATGACAACATCATGATGCAGATCATGATGGTCAGGTCAGGTCTATACTCAAGAGGAGAAGAAAATGACTCTAAAAATGTTGGTTTACTGAATGGAAGTCAGATCCATCACTTCTGATGCATTCAGGGAGGTCAGGAAATCTAAACTCTGATTGTCTTTAGTGTGTCAGCATCAGTTAGAAAAGTGTCTCAGTGTAACGCCGAAAAACCCATAGGATTCGTGTCGTAGCTCCATTTGGGAAGTGCGTCACCACCCACTGGAAGAGTGTTTGTAGCGTAGCAGCAGTATAGTGCAGCTCTGGTCAGCTGGACTCAGTAAATAGAAAACAAGTGTGACGCTCCCTGTGTGTGATGCTGCATCAAATAGAATGGAAACGTATTTGCTGCAGAGCGCAGGACGCTGACGGCACTCAACACGCCTTCTGTGGGTTCTGGGTGTCAACGTTTGTTGGAGTTCCGAGAGTTGGCAGCACTTCTATAAAGACATCTGTTTATATAAAGAAATGGGATATCACTAATTGGGGCAAGGATACCGTCACAGTGGTGTGTTCTGCCTGCTTTTGCTTTGAAATCTGAAAATCTTATGTAGTAATTTGTCAATTTTAAAAAAGCAACAAGCATTCAGAGTGCAGACAACACAGTCAAGTTTGCTCATACAAATCCTGTTATTCTGTTGTACTCTATTTGACTCTATTCTTTTCTATTCTATTTCATTCTGGTGTAGAAGTCACGAACCAGTGATCCCTGCTGGCCCTGATAATGTGCTCTGTCAGCTGGACCTGTTTTTTTAAGATGGCCATCAGGATCGTAGAGGAAACTTTCAGACTGAGATAATTTCATGAGATCTTTTCCCTGACTCTCTCTATATCAGAGTCCAGTTGGCGACCTCGACGACAGCGGCACCATGGACATTGCTGGTCAGCCCGGAGGTCCAGAGGGCAGCGGAACGGTGCTGACCCCCCTGCAGCCGATGTCCCCTCAACGTCAGGCGCTGCTCAGCAGCCGCTGCTATCAGCTGAGCGACACAGACTGCTGGGACCTGCCTGTGGACTACACCAAGATCAAACGACTGGGAGACGAGCAGGACCACAAAGAGGTAACAGGAAGGTCTACGTCAGACTGAACAGTTTATGGTCTATAACAGTAAAGACTATCAAAGAATTAACAGATTACAGTCTGTAGATTAAAAAAATATTTTTTTCATAATCTAACCCTCCTCAGAGGTCTACAGTCATTGTTACATAAAAGAGACCTGATGGTATAGAGCTGCCAGCGAGCATTTTCAAAAGTTACATAAACCAACAAAAACTTCACTAAAACTATCTAAACTTAATAAAAACTAACCAAAACTTAATAAAAACTAAAAGAAAATTACACAAACATAACAAAAACTTTACAAAAACTAAGGAAACTAATTAAATCTCAAGAAAAATTGCACAAAAAAATCTGAAAACTATAGAAAATTTACAAAAACTAATGAAAAATTATTTAAAAAATAATGAAAACAACGAAAACTAACAAAAATGAATGAAGGCTTAAAGAAAAATAAAGAAAACTAATGAAAACCTAACAACTAACAAAAACTGGAAAAAAAAAATACAATGAAAACTATGGAAAACTAACAAAAACTGAAGAAAAATTACAAAATTGAACTAAAACTTAATGACAACTAACAGAAACATAACGAAAACATAATGAATACTTAACAAAAACAAAACAAAAACATAATGTAAACTCAAAAAAACTAACAAACAAAAAAGAAAAATAATGAAAACTTAATGAAAAAGGAGCAAAACTTAATAAGACTAACAAAAACAATCGAAAACTAACAAAAACTTCTGCAAGTGAAGAAAACTTAGACGCCAAAGTAGTAGTAGTAGATAAGATGTTTGTAGTTTTATAAAGCGCCTATTAATTAAAGATACTGCAAGATTTTAAGACGAAGGCATTAAAGGATGCAGAGATAATACTCTAAAGTTTATAAACTTCATATTTATGGAGCTAATTCTTCACAGAGTCTGAGTTTATAAAGGAAGCTAACACAGATCAATGACATAGCTCATAACTTTGACACCTAAAGGCAGTTTCATTTCTTTAGGGGTATGTGGGACGTTTGGGGTCACCTCAGGTCAAACTGTCTAAATATGCAGAGTTACAGGGCCCAGACAGGAAAATAAGTCACATAAAAAGACCAAAATTCAATCATCATTAAATGTTACACATGTGCCAAGCTCTGCTTTTACAGCCCTCATTAAGAGTTTAACCTCCTCATTTAATATTTAGGCCCAGTGTCCCCTAATTATCCAGACTGGGGAGAATTGAAAGCATGAAAATGAGAGATTTAAGGTGGCCTGAGTTCATATTTAAGGATCTTTGCATAGATTAAGGGGTGATTATAGATGATAAGCTGTTTAAAGGGATGATGTCTACTGATGCACAGCAGAAAAGCTCTGTAGTGAAGTTGTGGACTTGTTTTGCGAGGGTGTACTACCAGTTGCTTGTACGCATAAATTTTGCATCACTTTACATACATCAGAGGGAGATTTGTGTGTGTGCGTGCGTGTTTACCTTCAATAACTGAGGGCATCAGAAATGTACAGAACGGTGGAGCTTGCCAAAGTTGTGAATCAGAGCTCAGTTTTTGTGGATGTTTCTCAGCCTGGAGCTATGACATGGAAATAAGTACAAACAGGAGAAGTAATCAGAGAGGTGAGAGACAGGAGCTGCAGCTGCATGAACTGTTTTTCATTCTGATGAGACTCATTCTGCTTTTTAAAGGTTTTAAGTACCTGTCTGCAGCAGCTTGAAGCTCTAAGCAGTCTGGACTTTTCTCTCTGTGGAGTTTACTTACAACATCTTAAACCAGTTTGGGCCTTTTAAACTGGCTCCATATGAACAAAAGCTAAAGAGCACAGAGGTTCTGAGCATAGCGTGAGATGAAGCTGTTTGATCCTGTTTGTAGGTTTATAACAGTCCCATCGATCACACATTGAGAACTACAGCAAATCCTTTAAGTTAGACCTGTATTTAAGTCAGACCTCCAGCTCAGGTACAAACCGGCTCCTCTGTGGGGGTCACACCTCTGATATCGACTTGGTGATTACCTGACTTTCAGACTAGGATTATGTGGCACCTGCTGTGTTCTGCTCATTATGTAGCGCACCCTTTATTTCTTTCTAAAGAGCAGAGGAGAGAGAAGGAGGAGGGAGGAGAGCAGGGAGAGGAGTAACCCCCAATTTCAACCACATCTGGAACAGCTATGAAAAGGCAGCATCTGCTGATCACAGCTGATCGTGACCATTCAAGTTTATGTGTCAATTTCCACAGGCTTCTTTTTGTTCTGCTGCGGATCACCGGACTCCGCAGCTGATCACAAGAGTTCTATTTTTCCCGGACGCTGGAGCATGCAGGATAAATTTAGCACAGATTAATCCATGCTAGAAAGGAAGTCGGGCACAGACACAAAATAAAACATCGATTCATTAACATTACAATTACACCATAGATGAGTAGATGCTGATTTTAGAATTCTAGAGGTGGATTTCCTCCTCTGGAAGGACGCAGTCTACTACTTTTATGGTTAGCCTCTTTGGCTGTCTTTATAGAGACAAATCATTATCACACAATTACACATAAATCTGCGGGTTCTTGTGAGTTCTCGTGATTACTGCTGTCCGTAATCCGCCTCAAAATTCGCCTCACCAATGGATCCAGTAGGAATTGGCGGACGGCGAAAATCGCAGCTGTTCCGGATGCGGTGAAAATTGGGGGTAAGAAGAGTGCAAAAACCGCTGTCAGTGGACACAGGCCCTTAAAGAGTATTTTCCGAGGTTGTGGGAGATTTGGATCAGACATTTAAAAAGCTGGTTTGGATTTAAAGAAATATTTACATTCAGCAACATTACACTGATCCTCATACAAAATAAATCTGAATTTAAAAACTTTTAAGAAGAATTAGAAGAAAGTAAAAAAGTGAGAACTAATTTAGGGGAGAACTCGCTCACTTATTACTAACAGAGTGACAACATGTCTGTCAATCAGATATGTCATTCACTTACTTGAGACTTTTATGTATAAAAATGATCATCAGTTAACTTTAACTTACTGAAAATAAGAAATAGATCCTAACTTAAAAAAAAAAATCATAGGTCAGAAAAATAAGTTGGAGTTGAAATGAGTCAAAACTTTCCTCTGATCGTGGTATTAGAACCTCTCATTAAAACAGATTCATCCATCTCTGCAGCAGGCTCAGAGCGCCCTCATGTGGTCAGCAGCAGCACTGTGTGCAGCTCTCTGTATGAGCTGGAGTGTGCTGCATCAGGCAGCTGAATGACTCTAACAGAGGAGTGACACGGGACAGATCCTCTGCTCACTGCAGACCCTGACTGATCCGATACTGCGCTGAACAAACCATCCAGTTAATGAGCCTTTTACTGTCCAGAGTTAGGGCGCCGCAGTGAGAGGGTTTAATCAGGAGGGTAGATGAGTTTGTTAATGAAGTACGACGTGGAGGAGACGGAGGAGGAGCAGGGGAGGAGAAGGAGGAGGAGGATTAGGGGAGGAGGGGGGGCACTGATGCTGATGATGGTGTTGTTCGGATTTTCTGCAGACAGACCTGTGAGTGATTCCTGCTCCCTGCTGAGGAGGAGTGATGTGAGGACTGTAGAGCAGCCTGCAGCACACACACACACACAAGCACACACACACACACACACACACACACACGTTTCATCAGGAGTATGCGCAGCAGTGTTTCCTTCATCAGCGCTGATATTTGAACAAACTCGTCATTCAGTCTTTAGTTTTATCACTAACTCGGTTACTGTGCAGTTGTCAGGTTAAATGCTTCACCTTCTGAGCTAAAAAAGATCCAGTTACAAATTGTGCCACACAAAATAAAAGACAATAACTGAATCTGATGTTATGGACAAAGACTGAAAACATTCACAGTTATAACCTTGATGTCAGTCCAGTTAACGACAGTCGGACCTGTTTAATTTCTGAATCCTTTAGTCTGTTTTCCAATGATGTGTGCCGTCTTATCTCATGGTTGACAGTCTCATTTAAATGAGTAATTCTGGTTGTGACGTACTGTAGTCTGCTTATTTCTCGTCTTTACACCAGAGCGACGAGCTGGACCCGTTCCAGGAGCTGCTGGACGAGCAGCGCTACCCGGCCGAGGTGACCATGCCCAGCCCCAAACACCACAAGTACCCGCCGTGCAAGGAGGGGAAGAAGGAGCTGATCACGTAAGAGACACTTTAACCTGCTGGAAATAGAACAGAGGGATGGACTTCAGTTTATAACCACAGCTGAAGAGACAAGGACCATTATTACCATAATAAAGTTTATTTACAGGCTACAGGGTTACAGAGAGCTTTACAAAAGAAGAGAGAAACGTGAGTAGCAGGACGACGAAAGATTTAACAGTTTTCAACAAAGCTGCGAGAAAATGAAAAATTAAAGAGACAGCAGCTAAAACTAAGCATTTCAGATCAAGGCTGACATAATGATATTTTGATACACCAGAGTGAAAAACAGGAGGCTTTTTTTTTTTTATCTGATAATCATGTTAAGATATTAAAGAGGGTTCAGATGGGAAGTCTAGAGTCTGGAAAAAAAGGCAGAGTACTCCCTCTTTTAGTTTTTTTAAAATTATTTTTCTGTCTAGAATTTCAAACTATTTCAGTAAGTTTCCTTTCCACACTAAATCCTCCTTAAAACGACTTTGAGGTGGTAAAATCTACAGTGAATTTTAAAGTATTTTCAATTTAAGACAGTAGGATTACACAGCAAACTACGGAGGCCCAAAGAGGCCAGTAAGGAAAGAGAGAAAACTCGTGACTTTCTCTGTGAGATCTTTTTGTTTACTCTCCAGTTTTTATGATTTCAAAAGTTTGGCTTGAATTTTCTTTTTAACGTCCTATATGTGTTTTTCTTTTTCATAAGGGAAGTAAAAGTTTTCATCTCTTCGCACGTCTGTGAAAACAGTTTTTTTCTTTTTGAAAACTTGAATGTGTTATTGCAGACTCCGTTCATATGTTAAATATTGTTTATTAATTATCTCCTTTTTTATGCTTAATGCAAATAAGAAATTGTTTTCATATGTTTCCTTATGAGGCCGCCATAGAAAAGTCAACAATAAAGCTGAATTTCATGCTTTTTCAACGTGAAAAGCTGCAAGAAACCTTTATGTTTTAAATTATTTTACATCTGATGAAAAGAAAAGTTCATCTAATCCTGAAGAAAAAATCTAAATCTCATCTTTTCACTCTTCAAACCATCCCTTTGATTCTCCACATGAATTTAATCGTTAGAAATACAACCGTAACATCAGAATCAGCTTCAGTCTCTTTTCCTCCTGCAGGCTGTCGAGCTGTCAGCTGGCCGATAAAAACATCCGCGGAGTGATGACGAACAACTCACAGGAACTCAAGTGAGTCTGAAACATCAGATATTAAGATCTGAAGGAATCTACGGGGTCATAATCAGACCCAGCAAGGGTTTTAATGTACAAATCAGTGCTTAGATGAACTAATGGGTCCATCATGAACTTCTTGTTTCTTTGCCTCAGGTGTCCGACCCCGGGCTGTGACGGATCAGGACATATAACTGGAAACTACGCCTCTCACAGGAGGTACAGTGACTGTTTCTAAACATGAACCTGTCTGAAGTCCTTCACAGACCCAAACTAAAGTTACTGCAACTAACATGCTGATTAAAAAATTCTCCTCCTGTCCTGCAGTCTGTCTGGTTGTCCTCGAGCCAAAAAGAGCGGCATCAAAATCCTCCACAGCAAAGAGGACAAAGACGACCAGGAGCCCATCAAGTAAGATCAGGTTTCATATAAAGCCATGACCAATATGACATTTTAACATTCATAATTTGGCTGCTCAGGATGAACTTATTTTGTTCATGACTGTTTGAAACCCAGATTGAGATTTAGGATGTGGGAAAGGTTCAGGTACAGGCTCTGAGTCCTCAGTGTACTCATACCTTCACTGCTTGTGCATGCTGACCTTTCTAACTTCAGGAAGGAGTATTTTAGAGGATCTGCGGTCAGTCCTCCTCTTCAGGTCTCGTCCCAGCAGCCTCAGTGCAGCAAAGGTTAGCATTCGTGAACGTTTGGCATTTCGGTTACAGCAGAAGTCGATATGTGAAGCCAAAACGACCTTGTGAATAATGTAAAGTTCAGCTGGTGTCAGTCTGCAGCAGCTGTTGTTGTTCATCCACCTCACATCATTAACAGAAATTATAATGAAGCTTAACCTGAGCTCAGCTAGGGAGAAGTGACGATGCTCGGATCATTTTAATCAGCTCAAAGGTCAGAGGGAAGGATGTTAAAGGTCACAGGAGGTAAAGATGGGCAATTATTTAGATTTCAATGATGATTATGATTTTAGCTCCCCAACCATCATGAAATACGGAGACTCAATGATATTGTGCCGTCCGCTCTGTTGCTCTCGTGACATCATTTACTTTTAAATGACTCGCCCTCCTGAACAGCAGATCCTGGGCGCAACCTCTCTCCTCAGCCAGCTCTAACTTTAGCTTCAGCAGCAGCTATGAGGAACCAATGAGGAACAAAGTTCAGGAGGAGCAGGAGGAGGAGAGAGGAGAGCAGGGACAAGAGCAGGAGGTGGCAGGCATTCCCCTTTACTCCCCACGTTGACTGATGTGGGGAGTGTTTTTGATCGCAGACAATAAAATCCAGAGAAATGTGCTGTGGAATTAAACTTAGATGACCTTACATCTCTGCCTCCTTTCAGGTGTCCGGTGCCGGGCTGTGACGGTCAGGGTCATGTGACGGGGAAGTACGCCTCCCACCGTAGTGCGTCAGGCTGCCCCCTGGCAGCAAAGAGACAAAAAGACAGCTACGTCAACGGCTCGCAGTTTGTCTGGAAATCTGGAAAGACAGATGGGATGACATGCCCAACCCCCGGCTGCGACGGCTCGGGACACGTCAGCGGGAGTTTCCTGACTCACCGGAGGTGGGTGTGGTTCTGTGACCCTCTTTTTCAGCCCGATCAGAGTTTTATTTTTGTTTGTTGTGACAAACTGTTATATATGCCTATGATGACAAAATAACTTAAGGGGTATTCCGGCATAAAATTAAATTAGGGTGTAACACACCATAACACCGAGTTAGACACCCCGGCGAGAGATGAATGTTGCCGACTGCTTGCTTCTCTAGTTATACCAACTTTAGTAACGACCGCAGACAGCAATACAGAGAGCCACGTACTCAACCAAAAAGCCACTCTATAGCCACAAATAACTTAATTCTAATAACACCCTAACTTAATTTTATGCTGGAATATCCCTTTAAAACAGGCCTGAATCAGATTGTGATTGTGTTTGATTCCAGTCTCTCCGGCTGCCCCCGGGCCACCTCAGCCATGAAGAAGGCGAGGATGAGCAGTGTAGACATGCTGACAATCAAGCAGAGAGCGAGCAAAGGTCAGAGTCAAACCCCCAACTTTGAAAATACAAAAAATATAATGAATTTGACTGAGCTTCCTGTAAAGATGTTTTTGGTTTCAGGCATTGAAAACGATGAAGAAATCAAACAGCTGGATGAAGAAATCAAAGATCTGAACGAATCCAACAATCAGGTGGAGTCAGACATGATCAAACTGAGGACACAGGTGAGATGGTTCATAAGTGTGCGGGACACAGTTGTGAAAAACTAATAATCAAGACCTCAATGTGTCTGCAACATTTCACTGAGTTAGAAAAGATCAAATATAGCACAGAAGCTCTGACAAATTCCCCATGATTCATGATTCAAAACTGGCGAAAAACACCGCTCTGTGTGGGCTCTGAATTAGGGTGGAAAAAATACACCCTTAAAAAAGTTCAAACTGATTCTCTCAACAGATCACGACCATGGAGACCAATCTGAAGTCCATCGAGGAGGAGAACAAGGTGATCGAACAGCAGAACGACTCGCTGCTGCATGAGCTAGCCAACCTCAGCCAGTCGCTCATCAACAGCTTAGCCAACATCCAGCTTCCACAAATGGTAAGAACAAACAGCCTCCACACATGTTGATTAATAAACAGCCTCCACACATGTTGATTAGTAAACAGCCTCCACACATGTTGATTTAAAAACAGCCTCCACACATGTTGATTTAAAAACAGCCTTTACACAAAGTTGATTAAAAAACAGCCTCCACACATGTTGATTTAAAAACAGCCTCCACACATTTTGATTAATAAACAGCCTCCACACATGTTGATTTAAAAACAGCCTCCACACATGTTGATTAAAAACAGCCTCCACACATGTTGATTTAAAAACAGCCTCCACACATGTTGATTTAAAAACAGCCTCCACACATGTTGATTTAAAAACAGCCTCCACACATGTTGATTTAAAAACAGCCTCCACACATTTTGATTAATAAACAGCCTCCACACATGTTGATTTAAAAACAGCCTCCACACATGTTGATTAGTAAACAGCCTCCACACATGTTGATTTAAAAACAGCCTCCACACATGTTGATCTAAAAACAGCCTTTACAAAGTAATAAAAAACAGTCTCTACACATTGTTATTAAAAAACAGCCTCCACACATGTTGATTAATAAACAGCCTCCACACATGTTGATTAATAAACAGCCTCCACAGATAATAATTGAAAAACAACCACCATACATGTTGATTAAAAAACAGCCTTCACACATGTTGATTTAATAACAGCCCCTGCACATATTAATTAAAAAACAGGCTCCACACAATACAAAAAAAACAGCCTCCACACATGCTGATTATAAAACAGCCTCCACAGATAATAATTGAAAAACAACCACCATACATGTTGATTAAAAAACAGCCTTCACACATGTTGATTTAATAACAGCCCCCGCACATATTAATAAAAAACAGCCTCCACAGATAAGGATTAAAAAACAGCCTCCACACATGCTGATTATAAAACAGCCTCTGCACATGCTGATTATAAAGCAATCTCCATACATGTTAATAGAAAAACAGCCTCCACACATAGTACTGAAAACACAGTTTCGGAATATGTTGAATAAAAAACAGTCTCCACACATGATGATTAAAAACAGCCTTTCTTTTCCTTATATCAGGACAATGATTCAAACATGACTTGTATCCCTAATTTTCAGCTTTACATCTAAATTTTTTTTGGTCTTATATCTGTGTAGGATCAAACAGTCTTTTTGGATTTTTTTTATTTTATTTTTTTATCTAAAGAGTTTTGAATGTGGATCAGGTGTTTGTTTTTTGTGGGGCTAAATGATAATGATCTTCTCTGTTTGGTTGTCATCGCCTCAGCGCTTTTGTAAGTTGAAATATTATCATCAAATAACACTTGCTCAGGTTTTAGATCCAGGCGGGTGTTTCCAGCCTTTTCTGTAAAGACACTCAGGTTTTTTCCTCATCTGCTTTTTTCTGTTCGCCACCTTCTCTGTTTTTCTTTCCCAGCAGTCCATGCTGTGCTTCTTCTGTGCTTTACAACGTCTCACCAAGTGTCAAAGAAGGAAAACAGCCCCGTTTTTATTTCACTTTCAGTTTGAACAGGGTGCTCATGGCTGTTTAAAATCATGTCGTCTTAGTGTAGAAAGAAGACTGGATAACTGGTCTATAACTGGATTCTTGGCTTCCAGTCACTCTTATTGGTGCAGAATTAGTTTGTTTCATGCTGCAAAAAAGTACATATACAGCATATCTTTATAGAAAATCTGATTTTTATCTGATTTTTATCTGTGTGGACGATGATCTAGTTATATTCAACGATGGCATGACCCCATGGTTGTTCTAGATTTTAATTTGCTGAAACTTATTTTGTGGTTTGTGGTTTTCTGAGCTGGAAAACTTTCAGTCATCTTGGTCAGAGGGGAAAAGTCTCACAGTCGAACATCTTTCAGTGTTTCTCGGTGTAGCTGATGAAGCCTCAGGTGCTGTAGCCAGGCTAATAGACTTCTCTGTACACCCTCTCCTGTAGAGACCGCTGCCACAGAAAGAGGCGCCAGTAAAGCATAACTGCTGTTTACAGATGCCTCCCAGAGTAAGAGATCATTTATCCTTTATCCAATTATCCTTCTGTTCTGCACTGTCATCCCTCCCTTCCTTTATCTCCTTTAGCCCACTGTGCCGTCTGCACATCACGACTGTCCATGACCACTGCAGGTTATAAGAATTTAACGCCACCCGTTTAAATATCATCACCGTGCCGTGGCCCTTCAGAGTGGCTGAAACCTATTATTTGTTTGCTATAGGAGTGGAGCTTCAGTTGACTGTTTCTACCATGATGGAAAAGCTCTTTAATCACAAACTTCACATACAATCATTAATCTGTGAGATGATTGTAGTCGGGCTAAAGCTGTGTCCCAGTTTAGGAGTAGGGTTCTTTTAAAAGACCCAGTCTTTGAAAAGTCCTGCCCTTGTAGCCTGTGTTGTACGCTCATGTGGCGTCTTCCACCAGATCTCTCATCAGCCCATCTCTGCTGGTAGGTTTCACTGGAGTCTCGGACTGTCACAACAGTATAAAATAACCATCTTTACAAACAAATGACAACTGATAATTGAAATAATCTAAAAATAATCATACAGTAAAATGATTCAGGTAATGTACGCTGGAAGCTACACATCATGAAACAGAGGAGAGACAAAAAGCACAAGCTGCTAAGTGAGCTAGCTTTAGCATCTCTTTGAAAGACCCGCCAGTATAGCTAACATCACATAACTTAACCACTATTGATTTAGTTTCAACATTTGTGTCTCTGGCTGCTTAACTAAGTTTAAACCAAAGAATACAGGTGTTTCGTGATGTTTAAAAATGTTTAATGATGATTTATTCGACCACTTGTCACCTGCTGTCTCAATAAATTGGCATAAGTCAAAAGATATGCAGGAAAATTTGCAGGACCATTGACAAGGGAAAGCCTTCAACAGGCCACTGTGAAGCAACCCGACAACAAATACACGTTTGGAAGGATGCAGCCTGTGAACTGACTGCACATGAACTTGGTACAGACCCTAACACAAGAGGAGGGGTTAAAAACTGCTGAGAATTAGAAGTTAAGAAGCTGCTCAATCGACAAATCTCAAAGCAGGACTGAAATCAGACATAATCGTATTAGTTGAGGCAGCAGGAAAGCCTTAATGAAAACCTTTAACAAATAACCACAAAGTCTACCAGGAGTCCAGAGACTATTTGGTTAAATGAATTCTAGAGAGGTTGTAAGAAAATGAAAAAAATAAGTGTGAGGAAAAACAGAGCTCCTTTCACTTTCAAGGTCAAACTTACCCAACTAAGTAAGTTTGACCTTGAAAAGCTAAATATTCAAATGTAATGGCCCTAGACATGAGCCTTGGGGTACTCCACATATAAAACTAGTTATGCTCCTTTAAAAAAAACAGAAATCATAACCTGTTCAGTTGAGAATACATGAATACATATGTGTTCTTACCCACTGAGGTCAAAGTCAACCAGCCCAGGTATTTTTGAAGCCCTTGTCAACGGTAAAAATGTCTGAGGAAGTTTCAAACTCTAGGTTATTAGCGTTAAATGTAACCACCAGTTTTCTCTTTCGACTTCCATTAGTTTTCAACATCCAGCTTTTGTCTCCATACGCTCACATTGACCTACCATCCATCCACCAGCTGACCATCCCTTTCCTGTTTTTTTGCATGTTTTGTAGTTGCATTGCGTAGACTTTCACAGGCTGAGGTTTGGATGTAATATATAACTATTTTGGATGTAAAACGAGGTGTTTTAGTGAGCTTGATGGTGTTCCTTTCCTCCCCTGCTGCTCGTCTGTTTTCTTGACCTTTCCTGCAACACTTTTCTGAAATATATATTTTTCCTTTTTTGACTGTTGACTGTAAAGATGGACGACACATCTCCACCTCTTTAAGGGTTAGCTGTGGGAACAGTAAACAAAGATGACTTGTTTCTTTGGTGACACTTTACAATACCCATAACTTATAAATGGTAAATAGACCATTTATAAATGGTAAGCAGGTAGTTTATTAATGTTTAATCATCATTTATAAATAGCATATAGACCATTAATAAATTGTAAATTTTACAATTTTAATAACCTAACCCTAACTTTACAATAACCATCTAAGTAATGTTTATAGGTGGTCTATAAACCACTTATTAATCACTGAAAAAGTATTACAAACATCAGTTGCAACTTTGCAATAACCATCTAAGTAATGTTTACAGATGGTTTAAAAAACAAATAGTAACCATTTACAAAGTGCTTCTGACATACATTTAAATCTAGATGTTTTACAACCAATATTTAAGCCCTATATAAACCTTTAATAAATAGTCCATTAATAATTAATGAAAATTATTAATCATAACTTCAAGTAACCATTAACTTACACTAATAAACTATCCATTTGCCATTTATAATTGTTCTATATGCTGTTTTAAAATGATGATTAAACATTAATAAACTATCTATTTACCATTTATTAATTGTGGTTATTGTAAAGTGTTACTGTGTTTTTTTCCAACCAAAACTTACCGATGAAATAGCAAAGATAATCCCAGCTGTCAATCAAGTATTGAGAGTGTTGTGACGAGCTAGACAGAAAGGGGAGCTCCAAATATCTGGCTTTACTTTGAAGGAGCTGTCACGTCGTCCATCTTTCCTTGCAGTCATTGTATCTGATAAATGCACGCCTCCTCTAACGCCTCTGACTGTATTTGTCTCGTTGGGTTTCTCTCCCCTCACAGGAGCCAATGAATGAACAGAACTTTGACACTTATGTGAATACACTGACAGACATGTACACTCACCAGGACCAGTACCAGAGCCCGGAGAACAAAGCATTGCTGGAGAACATCAAACAGGCCGTTCAGGGTATCCAGGTGTAGCCCTGACCGGGGCCGAGGCAACAAATGCAAAGCAAAAACAACATGAAGGTCAAACAGACGGGAGGGAAGGTTGTTATTTGCTGCTGTAATCTACCATAGTTCTTTCGTTTCGTCTGCTGTTCTGCTCTCAGCTACATGTTTTTTATTTTGATGGTCGTTGCCTTGCTTTGAGAAATTTTTAAACTAACATTCACATTTTGTACATTTTCATATGACCTTACATTATGTGATGTACTGTTTATAGCTGCTAATGTATGCACATTCTGGTGTATATGTATGTATTTATTTATTTATTTATTGTAAGCTTGAATCATTTTTTATCTTAACGTGATTTACATACATAAAAATGGGCATCACGGGTTAAAAGGGAGCAGAATGGTGTGAAAGTAACGTGAAGAGCAATCATTTTTGAGAGGCTTTTTTCACAAGCTAGAGGTCGTTTTAATGGATGTACATTCATTTTGGTAACATTTGGAGGTGGGCTGCGCGGCCACTTCTTACTGTAAATCCTTAAGCTCAAATTATGAGAAGAAACCTGAAAGAGGGTTTTCAAACATCACGACACGGAAACTGACTGGTGCAAATCCCATCATCCCCTTCAAAGTTTTTGGGTTTCAAACTGTCCTGTTTGGTTGCTTGACTTTGTTGGTATGAAAAACAAAGCAGAGAGACCAATGGCTACAGAAAATGTAGGAGACAATCTGCCATTTTGAAGTTCTTTTAATTGTTAATTTTGACTAGATAATAGGACAACGTGTCAGCAATATTGGTATAATAATATAAATTTGTTTGTTTAGATATGGGATGCAATCTATATAAAATGTTTGGGTATATGCAATTTCTTATGAATAAAACTAGCAAAGAGCTGATAGACCTTTTTACTAACTATAAATGTATTGCGTTTTGTACAAACCTTTTACTACAATCATGTGTTGGGAATCGGACGCGGGTGAAAGGACTTTGGTTCTGTCATGTTCGTCTTTGCACAGGGACACCTTTGTTTCCATGTTTTGATGTTTTTATTGTCGACTAAAAGGCACTGGGCAGGTGGAGGAGAGACTTGTAGATATGATTTTTCTTTCTTTAAGCTGATGGCTCCTCTGGACTTACAGGGTCAAACGTCCCCATCGGTCATTGTAAATTGCACTCGTCCTGTGGAAAAAAAATCCTTCCAAACATGCATCAAATTGTCTGAGCCATGATTGGACATGATGACCAAGCAGCACTTTTTCTTTTTACTTCTCTTTGATTGTTTTTTGAAAAGATGAATGAATACCTGAGCCAGCAGTCCTGATGCGATGTCTGTGCACTGAATTTTACCGACTGAATCGGCCTTACGATGACGTTCAGTCTGAAGCCACAGCACTGGTGGAGTATGTGTTCTGAACACCGTTGATCTTGCATGCACTTTATTGGAATATGTCAAAAGTATTAACATGTGGTAAATGAAGCAAAAACTGTACAGCGAGTTTGTGGAAACTGTGACCTCGAAAAGACTTTGTGCTGGTGATTCCTGTTTGAAAGCGACCTGGAGCAAATGTCACTGAGTTGATGAGATACTTAAAGGAAAACTCCCCCCAAACACACAGCAAGCAAATACAAGAGAAATGGTCCTATATTTGAGCCCTGGGGTGCACCACATATCAAACTGATTGTGTTTCTACAGAAAAAAAAAAAAAGACATTAACGTTATATAGAAAGGGTCCTATAATTGAGCCTTGTGGTACGCCACAAAAAAACAGAAATTATATATTGTTCAGCTGAAAACATACTGATAGAAATCTGTTTTTCTCACTGACGTTGAATTCAACCAAACAAACCATTTTGAAGCTAAAGCGGCTTTTTGACATATTTCTGAAACATCTTTACTAAAAGCTCCCACTTTAAAAAAAAACAAAAAGGAACTACTGGTTTTTGTTTTTTTGCCCTTTAGTTTTAAATGAAACCCTGGACCCCTGACTTGTTTACTTCCAGAGCATTTTAAGATCAGATCCATTTTAAAATTTAAAGCACAAAGAAAGAATTAAAACAGCACCGGCAGCGTTTTGTTTAAAGTGTTCGCTGTTTAAGGAACTTTAAAAAAGCCAAAACATGATGTGATTGAAATGTTAAAGACTTGAATGTGTGGTTCCTCCTGAGGTGTGACGTTGTGGGACAATCAGATTCTTTTTCATATCAGCTTTCTTCAAAATTTTTGAAGCAAATTTTACTTTCAAATTTACCAGCTTGCCTTAAATTCACTTCTTCTTATCCCATCATTCAATCGATGCACCTCTAAGCCAAATTTCCAACCATAATCCAGCTACTTACGAGATACTGACCAGTTTACAGGAGATTGGAAAAACATTTTTTAGACCAGGCTAAAAACATGTTTAATTCTGCTTTTAAAAATTACCATTTTACCTGCTCTGATTTTTTTTTAAGTGAAGTTGACACTAAAGAAGCTGCAATGTTTTAGCAATTCTGACTTCCTGTTTCTAATCCAAAGTCTGCAGCCAGGAAAAAATCTGCCACACTGTAAATAACTCATTCACATTAATGTCCAGACTAGGGGTCATTAGGACCCAACTTCCTTGTTGTTTAAACAGAAACATAAATTCTCACTGATCAGCTGGTCTAAAGCTCAGAAAACAGTCAAAATTAAGCACAGTGTCTCTAACTCGACTGAACATAGGATCACAGGGTCTGCAGGCAGAAGATATTGGATTTATTTGATTGGTGGCTAACTTTATTAGAGCCAGCATCACCGGCCTTTAATAAGGTTAACATCTACGTGCCCGTTACCTGTTGCTCTGGTGGAGTGGTCATTTACCAGTTTACAACTTTATCTCCATTTTGTTTTAGGATGGAACAAACACCAAAAACATCCCAAATCAGCCTCTATGTTGGTGATATCAGGACCAGCAGTAGGTCATGCCAGGTATAAATGACAGGTGTTGGCTACTTAATCACATCATGCCAAATACCTGTGTTTATGCTAGAAACCAAATCAGATGTTGAAACTAGCCAGTAATCAGAAATGCCTGCTCTATGCGAAATGTTTAGTTGCTCCAGTATTGGTTAGGAACCATTCTGGTCTTTGGCCAACATGAACACACCTGGAAGATAGAGTCAGGGATTTCCTCTAGGAGTCAACTTCATTCACTGCTTTTATTTTCAGCAAAGAAAGAGATCAAACATTTAAAATCAAGAAGTCCATGTTTGATTTTTAGTAGATATCTTGAACATTTTTAAGTTTTAGACCCCTGCTCTACAGATAAGGAAGACTAACTTTAGCCGCCAGCAGGGGGAGTTTTCCTTTAAAGACGTTTCTTCTTTGGACTTTCACTGCATTTCCTGACTCTCCATCTCTGTCCACAGCTTTGTGTCTGCAGCTTCCTAACAGCTAAATACTGTATTAGATAGACTGACGACTTGTATTTTCTTAATTTAGTCAGTTCTGACGGATAATAAAGGAAATGGGAGTAAAAGCACAATTCTGCCACTTAAAGACAGTCAATAGACTAGATATTGTAATATCAGATGTAAAAGCTAAACTGTAACTATTTACATAGAGAATCAACACTAACATGTGACATGCTAGAATGCAAAAGAAAACCATATGAATATTTGTGAAATCATCCGTTTATGAAGATGTAAGAGTTCCTTTTCAGCAGTGCATTGATAAGGGGTTTTTATACGACCTTCATTTTTTCTCCTTTTACCCCTTTGTCTCTGTTACTGGCAAACTTTCAGCAGCAGTTTTCTTACCACATGGCATGGATTTCGTTGGTATTTTTGCTGTATGTTCAAGGTCACGAGTTGCTACGTGATATTTTAATTTAACTTGTGAAGTTTGTACAATTTTTATCATGCTGGTGTTGGCATCTCTTGCTCTGAATAAATTTTGTGTTGCAACACTGCCTATGAGCTGTTCTTGAGTTAACTTAACGTGATGTCCTGAGAAAATACATACTGAGCGGCAGGCTGGACATAATCTGTTAACGTGAGCATGATTGTTGTTTTCTTGGGACATATTCTCTACAACCAGTAGTAAACAGTGGGGACAGAATGGCTGTCAACAACTTAGAAAAGGCCGATTTTCCCAAACATTCAAGAAAGTTCACAGGTCAGCTCTTGCAGAGGGGGCCAGTCAGAGTAGAAGTAGAACCTTAATAACAAAGAGAAGAAAATTGAGTTGTCAGGAGATCCATTAGACCTGCCTTTTCGTTTATTTGAGCTGAGAAGAGCTGGGAAAGATGATGTATACTACAAAATGTAGTTCTAGTGTTACAGTTGTTTGACAGGGTTTTGGAGTCTGGCCAACTTCCCTCACTGTGGAAACAAGCAATCACAGTACCAGTTCAAAAAAACAAGGAAAGACCCTTCAGATCCATCCAACTACAGACCTTTTACCAGAATTGTGTGTGTCCAGTGTTAGACTATGTGGCAGAAGTCTTGGGATTTGAAACAACACTGAAAAAGTGAGGCTGTGAGAATAGAGCCATGCAATATTTCCTTGGTGTACATAAATTCACGCCAGCTTGAGCTGTCTTGGGAGATATGGGCCGGGAACCCAATAAGGTATGGTTGAGTGTACATATGGTATGTTTATGGAATAGGATTCTAGGACGAAACCCAAAACGGATTGTGATTAAAGTCATTGAATTGGATACTCTGATTGCGGGGGCATGGGATAGGAAAATATGACATTTCCATGAGAGCTGGATATTAGGACCATTATCACAATAAAGGGAAAGTGGAGATTAATATGTTGAAAGAAATGTATTTTCAACAAAGTAAAGACAGGTGGGCATTAGATATTTGGGGTAAACCAAAGCTGTGCATGTAGTGCCACATCCAGTCCAGTTGGTGGCAGTAATGCACCGATAAATTGGTCTGCCAACCACCAATAAACCAAGTGAGAAGAAGGAAACTACAGAGAGGGAGAGAGGGAAACTACAAATAAAAAATAAAAATAAGAAATACTTGTATGGATGATCCGTTAGTTTTCTCTGGTAGTGACAATGGTAAAGTGTTTTGTTTCCGGGTGTCGAAACCGCACAGGGGATTATCACCGACGAACACAGAAGACATTCTTTAGCTTCCCCTTAGACCCGCTGCGAGTCAAGGTACGAAATTCAAATCAGGATAACACGGTTAGACATTAATCCAGGTCTACACTGTTAGACGATCTTTAATCCAGGTCTACACTGTACAGATTTTGATTAGGGTCTACACTGTAATGCAGACTTTAATTCAGGTCTACACTATAATACAGGCTTTAATCAAGGTCTGCACTTTAATACAGACTTTAATTCTGGTCTACACTGTAATACAGACTTTAATCCAGATCTACACTGTAAAGCAGACTTTAATCCAGGTCTACACTGTAATACAGTCTTTGATCCAGGTCTACACTGTAATACAGACTTTAATACAGGTCTACACAGTAATACAGACTTTGATACAGGTCTACACTGTAATACAGACTTTAATACAGGTCTACACAGTAATACAGACTTTGATACAGGTCTACACTGTTATACAGACTTTAATCCAGATCTGCACTGTAATACAGACTTTTATCCTGGTCTACACTCAATTACTGACTCTAATCCAGATCTGCACAGTTAGACAGATTTTAATCCACTTTACAGGCCAAATGCTACTCTTCGTTTGTGTGAAAGATTAATCAGAGGCTCACTCTCAGATATCAACATGTTGACCCTGTTAATTCAAGGTTTCTAAAACTGCATCACACTGAAAGCTTCTTATTAATTAATCAATAATTTAATAGTAACAAAAAAATAAAATAGTCATTATAATGATGACAATAATAATAATAATAATAATAATAATAATAATAATAATAATAATAATAATAATTATGATTATTATTGATTTGATTCAGTTGTTACAGAAGAGGTTAGTGAAACAAATTCCTGATCCAAAACCACAACACTGGACACGTGTCTGGATTACATAATCCCAGAGAGACTCTTTCCAACACAGTTTTAGATTTCTGTCGTTATGATCGTTAAACAGCATTTCACTATTTCCATCTTTAGACCATGAAAGACCAGGTCCTGATCCAGAACCACAGTAATTTTGAGTAGTCTGAGTCTCGTCTTCTGGTTTGACTGAAGTCTTCAGTTTTCTGGTTTTACCTGGTTTAACAACACTGCTGACTCTCTGCAGGTGTGGCTGGCAGCCCTGAAGGAGTCGGACAGGTTGGGCTCAACAAAGGACCAGTTAGTCTGCGAAGACCACTTCCTGCCAAGGAACAGCTCTGAAAATGGGGTAGAAAGTTTCCCCATTCCCATCATGTCCCCCAACCTGGACGGGTCCATGGGTACCATCAGCTCCTGGGAAGACCAGCCTTTTGAGGAAGAGGATCAGTGGGAAACTGGGAGTGATGAGAGTGATGAGAGTGAGGATACTGATAAAAGTGGAGATGATGATCCTGCACCAGAGCCTAGTGCAGAGGATCCACCTTTTGCACTTGATCCATTTCATAACATGTTTCCACCAGCATGGGTGAGGAGGAGTTTTTCTGTTATCATGTTTCTTTGTGAAGTTCATCAGTAAATCAAACACATGCTCCTGTTTCTTTGCACCATAAAGGAGGTCTTATTCAGGTCCTTCTGAGCCAGATAAGATTCACTCTAGACCCTGGACCACTTCACTGAAGGTTGTGGGACTGATTTAGGGTCTTTGTAGGAAAACTAGAAAATTTCCTCTGAGAAATTTTGAAAAGATACTGCCATGGTGTATACATTATAATCTGATTCTTCAGGAATTTTTGATAAGTAATACTAGTAGCATTGTGATATTATATACAAGAAGCACACCTACTACAGACATTTCTTTTTTAAGTATTTACACAACAAAAGACCATGAAAAAATGATGAGAAGGGTGAAGGCTCATCTAACAGTTGAGCAGGAGGACAATGATGATCTTCCATGTTGTCTGTAGCAAATACACACAGACACACACCAAAAAAACACAGGTGTAAGACACCAACATGAGTGAAGTCACAGTCTTAAGTACTCTACTCATTAGTAAATTCCTCTTATTGGCGTCTGTTAGGTTGCTGTCTTTAGTTGTTGCATTTTAAATCATACCGTAGGGTGACAAAAGTCTTGTGATTATGTCGCTACAGTCACATGTTTCTTTGCATGTTTGGATTTTGTCCCCTGACAGAGCAGGCTGACACGTGCACGCTGCAGACAGCTGAGCATGTGGTGAGGCTGTGACACCATGACTGAAATAAACATGATAAAAAAACCATCAGAATCCTTCTTTCCTGTAAATTTGCAGGTCCTTAATTTGAATGTGGGATCCTCTATAAGCTCTGAGGGTCACCTGTGTAAATAAACAATAAAAAGTTTAACCTGATCTGTTTCTGCTCTCCATGCTTTAGTATCAGGAAATGAGGAAGAGGCCAGAGGGAAAAAACAGAGAGATACTGCCATGGAGGTAAAAATGCTTTCCTCTCTTTTCTCTATGGCAGACTCAGCTTGATGTTTGATGTCTTCAGATGTCTCTTAACAAGCAGTGAGTTTAGTAATGAAACCCTGAAGTGTTTCCAGAGTGTTTTCACTCGGTGTGAAGTTTCTGTGTCTCTCTCTCTTCAGCCCTGAGAAGAAACGGATCAAAAAGGACAAACCTGGTGAGTGTTTTTCTCCTCTGGTTAAATGATGTCTCTGAAGTTTTGTTGTTTGGATGTAAAGCTGTTAATGGGAAGTTTTTCAGCTCAGCCACACACACCTGTGCTGTTTCAATTAAGGACACCATTAAGAGCTTCAGCCTTCTAATGACTGACCACCATCTACTCAGACTGCCGGGACACAAAGATCCTGTTTGTTTCTGCTTCTCCTGTAATGAAAGCCCCTGACTGCAGTAAAAGTGCCATGGTTGTGTCATTAGTGGAGATCAAAATCTGTGTAATAATATATTAACAGATATTTCTTTTTTTTCATTTGGAATAATTCAGACTTAGAGATGATTAGACAAGTAGTTTTCAGTGTAATGGAGATTTTTCATGGTTTAATTAAAAGACTAAATCGAAGAAATGAAAAAATAAGACCCTGAAGTTTCTTCTCATTTTAAAATGCAGTTACACATTTATATTTGCTTTCTTATACTCAATTTACAGTTTCTTCATTTTCAACAGCTGGAAAGGAAGCTGTGATTTTGTTTGATGATAGACCTTTTCCTTTAGTGCCTTCAGCTCTGCTCAGTATTTGTGGTTTGAAAAGTGATGCGGCTTTCATACACTGAGTCCGGATGTTTTCCAGGTAATTTCAGGACATATAGGTCCTCACAGTGAGCTGCGTCTGTAACAGAGAAGCTCAGTTCCCTGTGAACGTGGTCTACTCCGGCCCTCATACTGATGATGCTTTTGTTCAAACATTAGAAATAAAACTTGGTGAAGGCTCAGAGTTGTTTTTGCAGGTTGTGACTGTGACTGTGGTTTTTAATCAGCTGTACCCCTGGCTCAGCGGTTGATGAAGATACTGCAGTCACGTCCGGGCATCTTTCTGAACATCTCAAAGTTAAACACGACACTACAGTCCCGCAGATGTCGAACCTCGGAGATCTGCAGAATCCTCGAAGAAGTCAATCTAGCGGAGAGAAGGGCGAGGAGAAGGATCAGATGGATGTGAGTAACTAGGAAAGGGTGTCGTCAGCTTTATCATGTCATGATAATATCATATATATAATCTCACTTCCTGTCCTCTCTTCAGAGGAGAGAAGAGCTCCATCCCCCCAGCCCTTACCCTTCAGACAGAGGTGGAGGCCCTGAAACAGGTGGAGGACACGCTGGACAGGCTCATCAGGAGCTGCTCTGAGCATTTCTACGATGTGACCAACGACAGAAGAAACGCTGAATATCCTTCAGATCAGCTCAGAGGAGCATCAGAGATTTTAACCAACCTCAGTCCTCCTCATATACGCCTCAGAATTCTTTTATTACAACTGAGAAACGTCATAAAACTGTTTGTTTACACCAAGCCTCTGTCATCTTTATTAAAAAAAATTCTAAAATGATTTATTCTTTTTTTAGAAATGCTTTGAGCGGTTTTATTTTGTGTTGTCAGCTTCCAAAAATCACATTTAGACCCTTTAGTCCAAAAATGGAAACATCAGAAAAGTGTAATCAGATAATGGATAATGGATCCTGCAGCAATACTATCTGTTTACATATTATTTACAAGTATTTTACTGAGGAGAGAACAGGATTTAAATGGCTAAATGGCACCATCTGCTGGATGAAACCTTAAACTGCAAATTTGAAGCTTGGCCTGCAAGGTAAACGCATATTATCAGTCATGACTGGCCACAAGGTTATACTTTAACAATTTCAAGATTGTTCATGTGATATTTTAATGATGTAATGAAACTGATGCACATCTTGCTTCATTAAAGTTTATGTCTTTGGGAGGTTTTTTTTCTGCCATTTTAAGAGAACTAGAGAGAGAGAAGAGAGCAGGGGAAGAAATACAGCAAATAATCCTGGCTGGAACCCGAACCAATGACTGCTGCTACAAGGACCACAGTCTCTATACAATGGGCACTTAAACTGCTTGGCCATCAGCAAGTCCAACAAACCCATCTCTATTCCTGAAACTGAAACCCAGACTGAAGTCCTACCACCAAAATCTCCAGTCTTTGCATCCTCAGATGTGTGCAGCTCTCTTTGCTGCCCCCAAGAGGTGAAACAACAGCCGTTTTTTAGAAGAAGAAACAGTAAATACCTGTTTATGTGTTCTTAGACAAGCCAATGAACCAGAGAGGAAATTTTAAAAAAAGGAAAACAGATCAAATTTCTGGAGAATGAATGAAGTTTGTGGTTTATCCTGAACTTTCCTGCACATTGGCCTATGTGACCCTGGACGACATCAGCTGCCTGGAAGCCTTCAGAGACCAGACAGTGATGGTTGTGAAAGCTCCAGATGAAACCAGAGTGACCATTCTCACACCTGCACAGGTAAACAAAACAGAGACAGTTAATAATAAGGATGATCTGTGGAGTATATGAAGTAATGGATGTAGTTTTCTGAAACTGATCGTGGTCAGAGGTTGAGGAATAGAAGTGTCATCACAGACTGACTAAGGTTGTATGTTGTGTGTCGATGCAGGATCACATTCAGGTCCATCTGGCAGGGCGGGACGGTCCCATCACAGTGCTGACCTGTGATTTCAGCACAGAGAGCAGAACAGACTCATTCATGTCAGTGGAGGAGAGTCGGATAAAAACGTCGCAGCTGCACAGAGGTAACAACAGAGCAGATCTACTCTGGGATACTTGATTTACATGTAGGCGCTGAGGTGATTTCACCCCCAGCAAACTAAAATCATTTCCTCTAAGTTCAGATTCTTAATCTCTGAGTTTCTGATTAAAAACTTAAAATATATTAATTACCTTCAAATCTCCATGCTGTGTGTTTTCACTTCCCCAGAGGTTTTCAATGTCTTTGAATCCTCTGGAGATGCCACAGAGTCATGAGGAGACATCGAAGAGTTCAGGTTAGCAGCTTTAATGAAGCCGTGTAGAAGCCAGTCCTCTGTCACCTCAGTGTATTTGTGAGGAGTTGTCTCAAAGGGATGAACCTTTTTTTTTTTCACGCTTCTCTAAAAAAATGTTTTTCAAACTGTTCTCTAGTTCAATTTTCAGAATTATGACTCAAAAGGGACTGAAGCTGGATTCAGAGCATCATGTGTCAAGAAAAGATGAGAGACACCAAAGGAGCCATCAGACACCTGGACTAAAGTTAAACCCCAGCAGAGACACAGAATGATCGTCTCCATGCCACACTGATGCAGAGACTCAGGGGCAAAGAGCCCCAACCGAGAACTGAGGGCAGAAATGTGCAGACTTCACAGAGGAGGGACGTTTCTGTGTTTTTTTATTGATCCAAAGAAATCTTCTGATAATACGAGGTCGTGGATTATAAATCTAAAGAGCTTCAGCCCCAAAATACCTGGAAAAAAGTTCACTTGTTTCAATGAAAACAAAGAAAACTTCACCTCTTTTTTTTTCCTCGTGCACTCAACACGTGGTCTGTCATGGATCAGTTTTTTATCGGTTCCTGTTTGTTTCTGATCATCTGACACCAAACACTTGCAGGAAAACCCATGAGGACCTGAACTCAGCTGAGAAGTGTTAAACTTTGGTATGTGGTGATGTTATTGTTGTTGTGGAGTCCTCAAGTCACCCGAGTGCTGTGCATAGCATGTAGCCTCCAGTTTACCACCAGAGAGCGCCAGCAGCACATGAGAAGTTCATACTCAGGCCTGAAGAGGTCGACTGCAGGTACCAGAGATGCTGGATGATAGAGGAACGCAGCTCAGAGACTTTGACTGAATCTCAAAAGACCCAAACCGAGGAGATCCAGGGTTAGGGTTATAGACTGTGTTTGATTTACCTGATTTTTAATGTTTGCTGTAAAATATTGAACTTCACTCTGTTTATTTGGTTTGTTTGTTCCTTTTTTTTTTTACCTTTTCTTACGTTTTATATTAAAATATTTTCATCCAGTCCAGAGAGTCTTTGTTTTAGTGAAAACCTCGTCCTAATTTTTGATTTCTGCGTACTGTGAAGTTACGATTTTTCCTTTATGTCACCAAAGTAGATGAAAAACAACCCAAAAACCCATCAGAGGCAGTTTTAATATGAAGAACAGGGTTTTAGATGAGGAGCTGGACCATTAGAATCTGGATCTGGAGTCCTTTGACCTTGTCCTTCCAGTGTTTCCAGTCAGCCTCTGTGTCTTTAACCACACATAAAACTCTTTATAATGTAGCTAAAATAACACAAACAACAGAGTATTTTTCCTTGATTGGATCTCTTCGCACTGAACAACAGTCCAGTCTGAGTGGACTCAGACCGCTTGTATAGGTTTAAAGGGTTCTTATTCTACTTTATGAGCTTTGGGGTCTGTGAGCGCTCCTGCACTGACGCTTTGAAGCTCTGCAAACATGCTGAAAACATGTCCAGGAACACTTGGCAACAACATTTCTGGCTCCAGTGTGGGAGAAAATAACCGGCGTGCCTGTAACATGGAGCGAGATGGTTCTCCTTTGGTTTGGCTCAGTCCAGATTTTACGGTTTCTCCACAGACAGAACAAAAAAGAGGGAGGAGGCAGACTAGGACAATTTCTTTAGTTGTTGCATTAATTTCACTATTTTCAGTGTCTGTTTCCTTAAAACTTGTTAGTTTCTCTGCAGTTGAGAACAATGTCTCTTTAACTGAGAGTCTAGCTCACTGCTTGTCTCTGCACGGGTCAAAGAGAGTCTGTGATTCAAACATTAAGACTCAACACAGCCAGGAAACCAGAGTCTGGTCTCTTTCTTTGTTTCACATCCTCTCCATCCACTGTGGGTCCATCAGCCTGAGTACAGGACTGGGTCTGGTGGTAGACTTGAGGTTTAACCCTCCTGCTTCAGCTGGTCCCTGGGATGTCGGTATTAAACCAGCAAACTCTGAAACACTATGTTTGTAACTCTAAACCAGCAGTCCAGTGTCTGCGTGTTTTTGTCTGTGTCTGTTATGTTAATCCTCTGGGGCTCTTTTGGACATTTTTGTCCATTTTTGGGGACTTTTTACCTTTCATTTGTTGATCATTTTGGCTTTGTTAATGCAAATGGGGAATATTTTTCAAGTATTTTTTTTTTCTTACCAAATTTGAAACGTGACCACCCATGATTATATCAGGTCAATATTCACCGTTTGACCAAAACACTATACGTTAAGGTCCTTAGATGGACAAAAATGTCCACCTCCTAAAAGTGCTATGAAAATATTATACATTAAAAAATTGATTTTCCACTGTTTTTTGCTTAATCAACTTCACTCCTGATCATATCTATTAAATATTCATTCATTTTCAGAATTTTAACCCTTTGAATGCCAGTTTGACTTTGTGATGTCACTGTTATTTTTAATGGGAAAACAGGGAATTTGGAGTTATTTTCCATATATTAGACACTAGGAAGGAAATTCTTTGTCTATGATGTGTCAATAACTAACAACAACATTAATTTTGATGCATTATTATGTTTGATGGAGTGTCCGATTTCTAAAAAAGTTACATTTAGGTCCTTAGATGGTCAAAAATGTCCATCTCCTAAAGGTGCTATAGAAATTTTATACATTCATGTTTTTTTTTCCACTTTTTTGCTTAGATCTTTTAATCAACTTCATTCTATAATCATATCTATCAAATATTAATTCATTTTCAGAATTTTAACTGTATGATGTTACTGTCATTTTTAATGGGTAAAAAGGAATTAGGAGTTATTTTCCATATATTAGATGCTGGGAAGGAATTTCTTTGGACCCCTGAGGGTTAAAATACACTCTGTTACTGAGTCGGTAGGTGGCGCTCTGCTGCAGTCCTTGATGTCAGTGTAGCTCTCACTGATGATGCTTGTATCTGAGCTCCTGTTTCCTGTTCGCACCTGAACTCAACCTGGGACCTGCCCAGTGTCCAACAACAGAGAGTGTAGTAGCAGTGAACTAAATCAGTAAACGATTTTAAACCCCACCAAAAATAAGAGGAAAGAAAGGATAAATGTGATAAAGAATAGAATCACCAGACCACAAAACAAAACAGGAAAGTTGGTGTTAAAGTCAAAAACAGGATACACTCTATAATTTAAAAAAAAACAATACTCTTCCTGTTTCTTTCGAACTCGTTTGTTTCAGTGGAAATCTGTTTGCAGCACAGCTGACAGTGGATAAGGTTTATTCACGTGAACTAGCTGCTCCACACACACACACACACACACATACACACACACACACAGGAGGCCTGGTGTGTATCTGGGCGTGGGCCATGAGGCGTGCTGATGGTTAACATGTTGCATCTCAGCGTGATGCTCTGAAACAGCAGTGGGTTGCTCAGAGCTGATGACGCCAATGAGGACTATGAATAACACTCACATGCGCGCGCACACACACACACACACACACACACACTCTCTCACAGTAAAGGAGTCCACCTTGTGCGTCATCACGGTTATAAATGCCAGCAGTCTCTCTCTCCCACATCCTCGTCTCTTCGGAGCTGCAGAAACATCAAACACACAGAAAAAAAGATCCACCCAGGTTTCATCGCTAAAACAGGTTCAGGGTCAGTGTGGGAATGTTGGACCGGTCAGTTCAGGATCTCTTCTGAACCTGTTGACCCGAATCCACCTGCTACGGAAACTTAACATGTTATGAATGTCCCTCCTGATGGTGTATGAACTCAGTCCTGTAATTGTTCTGCATATTAAAGTCCTGCAGCCTCACAGCCGTCTGTGCACTTTGAGTCAGAAGCAGAAGAAAGACGGATTCTGGGCCCAATCCTCTTCACTACCAAGTCTTCATCCAGCCTCCTCTCCAGACTAAGGAGTCCATCTGTCCACATGACAGATTTATGTCTTAAAAAGCAGCATCAGTGAGAGGATTCCAACCAAAGCAGACTGTAAATCTGAGTCTTCATTTTAGATTTCATACGACACAGGAATTCAAATCAGAAACCAACGTGAGTCTGGAGCGGGTGGACTGTTAAGAGGATCTGAGAGAGTCCATGAAAACTCCTCAGACAGACGAGGTGACTGATGAGTGAAATCAGAGAGTCGGTCCTGATCCTGACCGTTCTCTGACACATCCTCACAGTTTAACGTTGAAGTGATAAAGGTCCACACTGCTTTATCATACTCGGAACAGGACAGCATGGTGCTCCAGTGGTCTGCACCATCAATAATCAGTGTGGAGGTTCCTGATTAGAATCCCAGCCGGGTCCTTTTTTATCAGGGTAACAGTAAAGAGATGATCTTCCACATCAGTGGTTCTCAACTGGTCTTACTCTGGGACCCACATTTTCCCATGGTCCTTACGTCGCGATACACTTTTATAGAATTCAAACCAAGCAAACCAACTGAAACCCTAAAAGATTCTTATCTTTAACATAAATCCACTTGTTTTATTGAGTAAAGTGCATTTCAGAGCACATGAAGGGGACAACATAAGGACGACAACTACTGAAGTCATATCAAATATCGAATAAATATCAGATTAAATATTTACGTTTTTGACCAGCTGTGTCTGGGACCCACTTTTGGGTTGAAATCCATCAGTTGAGAACCACTGTTCTTCATGTTCTCCAGACCACTTCAACCTGAAGGAGAATGTGTCTTTGTGAAAAGATAGTAAAGGTAACCATCTAGGTTCTAAACCAATATGTGGCTAATGTCAAACCACCAGAGAGTCAGAGAGTCCGTGTGCATCCTCACCTGACTTCAGGCCTCAGACTCCTGCAGGTCCTCTATGATGGCCCGTTGCAGTGTGTCTGCCTCTCTTCCAGAATGAATGATCTCCTGAAACCCTACCCCTGTTCTTAGCAGGAGCTACAGCCTCCCAGACCGTGATGAACGCAGTGCTAGAATCAGTGCTGGGTGCAGTCATGGACTCAGTGCTGGAGGTGTAAAGTTGCTCCTGAATTGTCTTTGTCAGGTTG